CCCCCCCCTCCGCCCCGAAGTCGACGAACTAGGCTACCCCATCACGGCCCTCCCGACCGAACCCATAACCGACTTCTCCCGGCGCAACTTCTTCGCCCTCATCAACTACCTGCGCATCATGCAAAAAGTCTGCAAACACCGCGCCCACCGCAATCTCCTAATGGTCCAATACAAATCCTCCAACATCCTCCGCAAATCCCTCAAAGTCCCCCAACACCAACTCCGACTTTACACCCTCAAACTCTTCAAGAACCAGGTCCCCTACACGGGACGCAAATGGCGCCAGTCCAACATGCGCGTTATTACCGCCGTCTACCTCCACTGCCGACCTGAGTTACGGGATGAATGGCTTGTGGGAGCAGCGGTGGAGGATCAGGTTGATGAGGCGCTGCCGTTGGAGCAGGCGCTGAGGAGCTTGACGCATTGGTTTAATTTGAGGCGGTATCCGGAGCAGATGACTGGTGGATATGGAGGTGGGAGTGGGGGCAGTGCGATGTTGATGAGGCAGGCGATGAGGGAGGAACAGCAGGACTTTTTTGTGAGGGAGTTGGAGAAGGCTGATTGGAGTTGGTTGGAGGAGGGGGCGGGTGGACCTGGGGGAGGTATGAATGGGGAAGAGGGTAATAATGGTGGTGGACCGGATTCGCAGGGGATGGGTTGGGATGATGGGAGTTGGGGGTAATTAACGAGGTAGTCAACTGACTGGGTTATGTGTTTATTGTTTTGTTTTCGGGGGTGGGATGACAAGGAGAAGAAGAATGAAGTGCTTGCTGTGTTAGATAATTTACTCAAATGAGAGTATTCCAACCATAACCGCTGTCTTGTTGATCAACAGTGAGTGATGTGCTAGTTGATAAATCACTTAGGATTCATGATCACTACGACGAATATCACAGTTATAATAAGTAGGTATAAATGGAAATGGTGGCGTAGCAGAACAGTGATCCTGAGTATAAGGGTATAGGTAAGTATAGAAAAGATTATAGAAAAGATTATCTCAGGAGTTTAGACCAGCACGCGGCGGTGTGGCGGCCCGGCCCAATCCGCAACGTCCACCTCGGCAACCACACACCCCCGTCTTTGGCTGGCCGACACCGCATCGCTGCTACATTTTGCATAAGCAATACTCTGATAGAAGTCTGAAGGTACGCAGGAGCATAGGATAGGATAGGCATAGAGTCCGGCAGGGGTCTCTGGCGCAGTTATTGCTGTTGTACAAGTCGTACAAAGTTGAACATACAATGTATATGCCTATAATTACAGGCTTAACCGCAGCATCGTCAGAGCGTTGGCGGCGCTTCTCGGTCTCGGTCTCGGTGGCTAGGTTCCGGCTGTTAATTACAACAGTGCTTTTGTGCACCTACCGTCTGTCGTCTTGCCGTTCTGCGAGATGCACGCCGCACACAAGGCCGCAACGCTGCGCACGTTGAAGCTCGTATTGTTGCAGATGCACCGCGCCTCGACGACTTCGTCCGACTCGTCGTTGGCGCTGTTGTCATCATCGTCGGCGGCCCGATGCCGGAGCCGTTCGCGGCGGCGCCTTGTCTCGGTGTCCGGGTCGACGTCGCACGTACTGGTCGGGGTGACCATAGGCCCACATATGACCTGGCATGCGTTGGGGACGTCGCTGGCCTTGAGCTCCTCGGTGTGGGCGAGGGAGACGGCGACGGCTAGGAAGAGGGTCGTGGCTGCTGTGGTATGCATTGTGGCGGAGATAGTGGTATTTTGTGATGAACCTCCGGGAGATGATGAGTTTCGAGTGAGTTGGACGATGATGCTTGCTGCTCCCAACATCGGTAAAGGCGGCGAGGTTAAGCTATGGTTAAATACTATTGAGGGGACTGACGCCCGGAGTCGTCTCTGTTGCTCCTAGGGCCTTGACTTCCAAGCTGGAACGGGGATGAGGTCAAGGCCCCTTCGCGCTGTCTGAGATTCGGATGGGTTCGGTTGCCGCGCTCGGTTGTTGAAGTTGTTGGCGCTTGCCTAGGTACGGAATATATCTTGTTTCACCATCCAGAAATAGAAAGATCCGACTCACGGCAGCCCGACAATCCCTTATTTTAGATCTATCTCTTTCCGTCAGGACGAAGATTGTACAAAACATCTGCCACGCAAGGCGTCTCGGAATCATTCACTAGGTAATACTGCTATATGGCAAGAATAACCGATGGGCGACCTCGTCCCTACCAGATTACCTTAGCCCAGGGTCAGAGCCAAGGTCAACTGCCAAGGGGGCTGGCCCATACATACACTTTAACCTTATTCATACCTCACCGCTCACTGGCAGCTAAAACGCTCTAGGGTAGGTCAAAACATATACTATCTAGACTCAGATTTAAACTAGTAAAATCTACTGGCCTAGTCGAAGTCCCTTCTAATTAGACCTAGAACCCGCCGAAAGATAGCTAGAGGTATTCATCAACGACCCGGCGGACAATTTGGCAGAACATGCTCACGAGAACCACAGGCTAAAGGTTTGGTCGTCGTCGGCATAGGTCTCGGCCTCTTCGGTGCCACCCCAATCAGTGTATATTCCTTCCATATGTATAGCTCATTCCCGCATCATCATACATACATCCACCCCTCCTCGCCTAACATAAGGATGGGAGGGTTTATATTCATAGCTGCCGAAACCTAGATCGGCAAGTCGAAAAAAAAAAGCGTGAAAAAAAATGATAAAACAGCCAAAACAACAACAAAAAGAGCGTCCTACCAGAGACGGTTGCCACACCCTCCTCTTTCGTAAACTCCACTGTAACGCCCCCCAGAATGAAAGTAAGTCAAGGAGAAAGATTGAAAGTATAAATCTGTGGAAGAGAAAAAGGAGGGAGACACCATGGCCAGATACTTGCTGCTGGCACGATATACATGTCCTCTTGTACGGGTATTTCGCTCAACAACAAATGGTGTTGTACTTAGATGAATGTGTATTCAACACGACCGCTCATATCCACGCACCCTTCGCATTCACTTTCGCCGATGACTCTGTATCACCCGTCCCGCGCCGGCGTGGGGGACTGCGTGATGGACTTCGAGAGAGACTCTCTGATCTCTTTACCGGTGATGATGTCTTGGCCAGGGATGATGTCTTTACTGGGGACGTCTTCGCCGCGGACGCCGACTTATTAGCTGCAGCCCCGGACGCCTTGGGTACCGCAAAGCCAACGCCAGTTGGACTGGGCAGCTTCAGCTTGCCAGGCGATATGGGGCTGTAGACTGTCGGACTGAGTGTGGTTGGGTTTTGGGCCGTCTCAGCCTTTGTTGGGTCCGCCTTGACTGGTGATACTTGGCTGTTTATTTTGGGCACGACAGGGACGGCCCTTGGTGTCGGTGGTGCTGGTGTCGGTGTGCTCTGGATCGGGTACTTTGCACGATCCCCTGCCCTGGTGGTCACGGTAGGGGTTCCCGGGCCAACAATACCAGACCGTCCGGGGCTCTGCGTATCTGCCCTGTCCAAGTTAGGACAGTCAATGGTATGGACCACACCGTCGTCCGCCTCGAGTTTTGTTTTCGTTTGTGGGGGTATGGCTTCGACCGACGACAAGCGTAGCCCGATTTGGACTGTGGCTGAAGACACCAGCGAGGAGTCTCGGCGGTGTCGTAGTTTCGCGAGGTTGGCCATGGATGGCGGCGGTTTGAGCGCGTCGGCGGGCGAGTATGTTGTGGATGGTAGCAGGAGGGATGATTTGGGCCCCATTACGGCCCGTGGGAACAACGAGTAGGACCTCTTGCGTGCGTGGGTGGCTGGCGGGGCTCGAGCAGGCTCGGGTGCCTTGGGCATCAGGACGGACGCCACAGCCGACACAAGCCTATGGGATCGGAACGAGTCACGGCTTTGCTCGCCGCCTCTTAGCGAGGCCGATATGCTCCTATTGTCTACTCCATCGTCTTCTCCTTTTCGGGCGGTTATCAAGCTGGCCTCGCTGTCCACCCTGCGGAGACCCCTGGGGGCTGTTGTAGAATTCAATGTGGTGTTGCTAAAGCTGTCGTCGTCATCGCCGCTGTCGTTGGGCTCGTGATGTGTCATTTTGTGCCGTGCTCTCCTGTTCTCGTACTCTCCGGCCTTATCTGTCGGGCCAATGGTTGACGTCGCGCTCGACTTGAGGAACAGGTAAAGTCCTCCGTTCATGAGACCCGAGACATTCGCCACGACGGCGGCCACCATTCCCAATGTCATTGCGTTGTTGCGCTGTCCTCTTTCGTTGGCGAACCCCTGGACGAAGAAGAACGGGATCATAAATGACTGGGGAAGTGTTAGCAATCGCACATAATGATGACCGCAACAGATCTACCGGAGCATACGTTTGAAATACCCGCGAGCGCAAGGTAGTACACCATCCTGGAAGCAGCAACCCGAGCGGTTACCTCGACTTTGAGACTCCGATGTAGTCGGATAAAGATTGCCACAGCAGCGCTGAGATTAATGGTCGCAATCGCAACCAAGAGGCCGAAGCAGAGGACGGCGTAGTGCTTAACAAACCAAAATAGCGATGAAAAACAGAAGTTTGGGGTTTGGTCAAAGTCGGCGACTAAGAAGTTGGCGAGAGTGAGCATGCCGATGAGTGAAAGGCATATCGAAACGTTGAATTTTCCCCTCGGGGCGAAGGGTTTCTTCTTGAGGCCCCGGATCGCGACTTCGACTCCCAGCACGAGATGTGTATAAGGGGCGATGAACACGGCTAAATGCGTTAGCTTCAGAGATCTCCAATTTACCAGCCCTTCCGTTACTACCTACCAGGCAGCATAATCTGTGCTATCCACGTGCACCCAGTACCAAAAAAGTCGTCCAGGCCGGTAGACTGAACGGAAGCAAAAATAACGCTCTGGATAAGGATCCCGAACGACAGAATCAGAGGATAGACTTCGGCTTCGGGGATGAAGATAAAACCATGGCGCCTATACACTAGTTAACAATATGCCGCACACCTCGTGAGTGACCATGTGCTGGCGAGGCACGTACCAAAACCTGAAGTTCTTATCGTTTCTCTTCTTCCTGAAATAAGAATCAATCAAGATACCTAGGGCAGTGGCAAGGGCAGCTATCGCGTTGAAAACGGCCAAGATGATGGTCGAGGTCCTGATCGATTTCGCGGCCGAGAACTTGAGATCGTTAAAGAACATCTGCTGGGCGGCAAACTGAGTCCGGTTGAAAGCAGCCCTCGACCTGTTGAAGTCTCCTTGCGGCCGCCCGAACCACATGTTGTCGTCCCGCGACTCCAACCCTCCGAGGCTCCCCGTAACCCCGGTGTACGGATATGGCGACATGATGGGCGTCGAGTTGGTATGCGATAGCGGGAGGCCGGTGATGGCGCTTTCTCGCAACTATGCTGTCGTTAAGTCATCTAAACCACGTCGTCGATCTCGCAAGCACGTCGTCGTCCGATGGGTGAAGGAGAGAAAGGATAGAGGTTCCAACCTTCAGACGACGGAGGAGTGCCGGGCGGAATAATGGTATCTCCCTCGGGAGCTCCGCCGTGCCCATGCCCTGGCTAGCGAACAGGGGTTGGCACACGCTGAGCACAACCACGGACTAGACGAAACAGCCCGAGCGGCCCACCACACGATTCTCGCTTTCCGTGAAGGTTGAAAACAGGGGCCAAGGGGCGAATTAGTGCGGGGAGGACGGGAAGCATGTGACCCTTGCGGGCTCTAGGCTCTGGGCCCTGGGCTCGGCCAGAGCGGACGGGTGCCGTTGAGCGTGCATGAAGCTCAGGACGGGCATGTCGAAAACAGCCCGGTCAACGTGGAGGAAGAAAAGCTCGGGACATACCAATGGTGGTTCGACATGCATCATAGACATGCGCCATTCGTCCCGCTGTGGCGGTTCTGTCCCGTCGTCCACCTAGTCTCGGCTGTCCCGAGCTTTCTTGCCCAGCTTAAGCATTCTTCCCGGCCGTGCGGCTGGTACGTGAAGGATCAAGTTGTTGACTGACCCGTGGAATGGGCGTTGGGCATGCTGATACGAGCCCGGTGAACAACACAGGTTTCAATCAAAAGCTTCGGCTCCCTCCGCTCTAGAGACTTTCCACCAGTGGGTAGCTTGATGCCACCATCATGGAGCCCAGAGTACTAAAGCAGTACGGCCGTGTCAAGGTCAAGGAGGGGCAGAAAAGAGGGACTAGTGGTCTGACCAGAATGTCGCTGAGAGCGTGGAAAGATGGGAAACGATGGTGCAAAGCGATCAGTCTGTGCAGACTCTGTTCGCCCCTTCCAAGGCGCGGCAGGGGTGTCGTGTCCCGGCATCCAAAGGAAAGAGGCCGATCCGGCATCAGGATCAGGCGAGGAAGCTACGACGCCCAGGTCGAACGATAACCTATCGCCAGGGGGGCAAAGCTCAACAAGCTCGAAGCACCCGACATTTGGCAAGGCAGGCTCGAGGCATGAGCTGCACCGTGCGGTTGAAGCATACCTGTGACAAGCCCCATGTTTCGGCTTCCTGCAGGTACCACGCCTGGCCCGAGCTTCCTCCCGGTGGAGTCACACTAACACGACAGAATGCCAAGCCTCCGAGCTCTCGGCAGGGGTGTACCCTGGTCATGTCTCAGACATCCAACTTTGCTTCCACTTCACCTCAACCTCAACAGCTGCCAAGCGAACACTTCTGCTCACATCGAGGGTGCGAAGACGCTCTTTCGGGAATTACCCACACTAACTACGCCAAGTATCGTTGAGCTCGGCCCAGGCTGAGCTTCGCCACCCCCGCAGGCTAGGAAATCTTCGATCAAAGCGGACGGGAAGAAACGGACGACGCATTGGAAGAATTGACAAATCTTTCCGCCCTAGGAATGCTCAAGAAATGCGCTTGAAGGTGGCGATAGGCTGGCACTACGCATAAGCTCTTAGCCAACCCATCACATCAGCTCCTTGGGATGAAGATGTCTTGATCTCGAAAACCCACCGACAGAGCCACACAGCAAATTCTATCCTCCTTGAGCCTCCCGCCTCCTCACAAGCTCGATACCACTTACACCCACCAGAGTCCTTCAAAGAAGAAAAGCAAGATCCATACCATGCTTAACAACCCCTGCCGCGCCCTCCCTCTGGAAACCAATCGTCCCGTCGCACGGATACCTCACCGGTGTCGTCTCGACAACGGGTAGCCACTCGGATGACTTGTTTCCTTCCCTCATCATCGTCCCGGGTGACAGGGTCGTGTGTCAAAAGTTTCCGGAAGCCCCCTTCTCCATGGCGAGGACGGCAGGGGCCAGACCCATGTCAATGGCTAAGCTTACTCAGAGGAATACAATCACCTATTCATTGACTCACGTCAGTCAGTGACGTTGGAAGCAGAATAGCGTCGCTTTGATGAGGCACATTCTAGACTGACTCTATTCCCTAATCCCGTAGAAAACGTTCTCAAAAGCAGTCAACCCAACTATTGACAAGCCACTTCCACGTCATCGCGAACGGGAGCCGACCAGAGAGGCAAGGTTTCAACACCTAAGGCTCCCACGTGGCGTGCCCTCCTTGCATAACTCCCAGCCCTCACAACCAATAACCACACCTAGCCACACTCAGAAGACAGGGACGCAGAGTCCCTTGCATTGCTAGGCAATATCGACAGGGCTCATTTCCCCCCTTCCCCGCCTTCAACAATTCACGAGCCACTAACCTAATCACTCTTATCCAATCACCCTCTCGTCGGCCAGAAAGGGACCTGCTCTCAAGCGAGACTAGGCACGCCCGCCAAGGCAAGCAACAAAACCTGGAAGCCGATCTTTCCGAAATTGAGGGGATTGATATCACACTTTATCACACAGCAGAGAGGCGAAGGTTGACTAACTAACGGAACTTTGGCCGGATGGATAAATTTCCGCGAAGGGCCCAGACCGGTCGGTCTACCTCTGGGGCGACCAACTTAGGTAGTTGACTGGAGTTGTCAAGCCACGTCGTCCCTTAGAGAGATGTAGTTCAGTTTTCTTGCGTTACCGTGATACTAGTACTCTTTTCGTTTTTCCGTGGGTCTGTGCTGTGAACCACGCATGTATGTATGCCTACATAGCAGCTGCATGGTACCTAGATGCTGCAAGACGGATATGTATGTGTGGGTAAAGGGAACGGCCCGTTGGCACTTCCCGTATGGCTTATCACCTCCAATCTATTAACTGGCTCAAAAGAAGAACATCCTCCCCTAAAAGGGGGCCAAAATATTTAATGCTTAGAGACGAGGGTGTCAGTAATTCCCGAATCGTATACCAACCTGTTAGGTCCCTTTAACTTGCTTCACTCCTCCGGTAAGATATGTGTAAGATATGGGAGTTGGGTCTGCGTGTCAAGTTGAATGATGGCCAATCACAGGTATGGAGAGACAGACAAGTCACAAGGACAGTCACAGGGAGGAACGGCATAATCGTGACAACAATGGGTTGATTTAATCTAGCTAAGAAAGCCAGCAAAGGGGGTATTTGTAAAAGATTGCGATCCTCCTGATAACACCGAAGAATCAAGGAAAAATGGCAAAGACCCTAATGTTGTTTCTTCAGAGGAAAAAAGCCTTGTCTCCCAAACCCCTCTTCATCCCGTAAAGCCCTCATAGCCGAATCATGATCGAGGTATGTTGGTGAGGGGAAAAAAGCGGTCAGGTTTGTTGGTTGGTTTAGGTGTTGATTGGCTTAGTGGGTGGCAGCCTGCTTGTTGGCCTCGGCCGAAGCGTCGTGCTTGTGCTCCTTGGCCTTGTCGGAGAGGGCATCACCGGCAGCCTCGACACTGTTGTGTTGTTAGCATTTGGTTCTGTTCTGGGTCGTACTTTGGTGTGAAGTGGGAAGATTAAGCTTACCGAGTGCCGATGCTGGCGTTGTTGTCCTTGGCAATGTCCTTGTTGGCCTCCTTGGAGACACCGCTGGTGGCGCTCTGGACCTTGTCCGAGACGTAGTTGCCGGCCTGCTTGATGGTATCCATGGTGATTGATGTGGGTGGTGATTGAAAGTTGTTTTGAGTTGTGTGTGTCTTTGGAATTGTGTGTGTTTGTGGATGATGATGAGAAAAGGAGAAGGCCTGGGAAGTGGGAGGAGCGGGGTCTTTTATAGACAATCGACGGTGGTCTGGCTCATCTGGCTTGCGTGTACATACAAGGTTCGTATAGCAAGGAGTCAACACGGTGGAAGGAACAATGGGCAAACAGAGGGGACCCCACGCAAGGTGTGACGTCAATCGATCAGTCACAAGGTCCGCTTTGGCAACGGCAAGGACGGCCAAGAGCTGTCTTTGCGGGACAAAGGCCCAGACCAGACGGCGGAAAGGCCGAGGTCGTCCATAGGCGGGTTGGCGGGCACGGTGGGGTCTTTCAGTTGTTGTGTTGAAGCTGCATCCGCTGCGAGCGTCACGCCATGTGTGTTGATGGAGTTCTGGTAACTGGTAACTTCCCTGCCTGCTTCTCTTGGCTCTCACATAATGTACACTAGGAAATTTCCCTGTTTCCAATAGTGATCGAATCCGAAAGATACATACTACGCATAGCTGTTGCTTTGCCACATCTTGGAGCATCGGCATGAAGTTCTTGCTCTTTCTTGTTCACGAACGTTCGAAAAAGTGGGTCTACAATGCTCATGAGTCGGGGAAAAAACTCCGGCATGTGGGGTGGCGGCCCCAGAAAATGATGGCATGTGGGGCCCAGCCAGGCAACTGGTCTTTCCGATTGGCTAAACCAAAATCAAGGCCATGGAATGACGCAATTGACTTTTTGTTCCTCGATCTCGATTCCGTGAGGCGCAGCTCGGCCGTTAGCTTGCCGATGTATCTCCGCCGGTTTCGATTGGATGCGATGGTAAACCTGGAAACCACCAGTTGTTCACGGGCAAGGGGTACGTAACCGCCGTCCGGCTCTTGGATGATATTGCCGTTTTTGGAAGCAGCATCGCGCGGGCTAGTGAGGCTGCGGCAGGAAGGAAGGGTCCCGAGCACAGGCATGATACGACGCGAGGACGCCATCGACGCAACGGGCCGGGGCGCTTTCGATGATGGCAGGAGATGGAGAGATGCTCAGATCGTAAAGTCCGGCTTTCCGTTGGTTGCCGCCGAGGCATGATGTACACCACGGAGGCAATGGAACATCCTCGGCCAAAGCTCAACGCGCGTCATCTTGCTTCTGATGCTCACCGAAGATCTAGCAGGTTGTGAAGAGATCACAAATGCCACAGTTACGGCCCAGGCTGCCGGCCCAAGCCCTTGGTACCCAAATGACCGGTCCCGTGTGATCGGTGTCTGCCTCGACGTGGTACAGGGCCAACACTGGAGATTGGCTATCATACCATTTCCATCAGGTTGACAAACTGATTATTCTACAATAGATAAACAGGCGACGCGTTTTTGTGGAAGGGAAGCTACGATATATCCATATATCGGTCATTATCATCATCGTACGGCAATCACCACGTGCTTCCCGATTGTTTCATCCCATGCCGCTGAAGTGCCACCGAGTCGTAATCCTCGTGGCCCTCAAGGCCCTGTACCTGGATGGGACTGACCTTAACCACGGTCGTGGATCCGAGGGTGTCACCCAGAAGGTTTAACAGTTCTTAGAAAGTGTCAGCCTGGCTTCCGTGATCCTCAGCTTGGGGGCACGAGACCCGCGGTGGAACGTGATCGGAGATTAACATTGGTGTGTTCATTGGAGGTTTGTCAACCGTTAGTCCCTTTTGGCTGGTTGAAGGTGAATTTGGTAGGACAGCGAGAGGAAGAGGAATGATATGAAACAGGTCGTAAGGTTACCTCACAAACCACTTTAAGCCGCACAGGGTGCCAAGTTGGAAAACTTGACATGTGCTTTCGTTCCGTGGATGATGTCTCCTGACTTACAACCCTAACCCTGATAGCACTCATGCTCGCCGATGACATGCATTTCGGGTCTCTCCTGCCTTAAACAACAAATATGTGGTAAAGTTTATTGTGCTGTATCATTTTGTGTTATGAGTTTCCGGTACTGAACCAACAAATTCCGGTCCACTAGCCCACAAATTTGAGTGAACGGCGGAGACTAGCGTAACTACCTAGGTACCTAAGGTAGTGTACATTTCCGACTATCTCCCAGTTTCGAGGCTGATGATGCTGGCGTGTGCAGTGCGTTGACCTCCGTAGAACATTATTATCGAGAGTGCTGACCCTTTTTATGGGTGCGTTAGAATCGTGCTACCCTGAGTCCCAAGTCACTTAACCGTTTCTAAATTTACGAAGGCGTCGGGTCCGGGCGCTTTACCGGACAGACTCTGCACACTAACAATTCACCGGCAAGAACACTTATGCATCAAGGAGGGCAAAACATGGACACATCCGCCACTGAAGGCCTCCGTAATATACTCACCGCCTTCTCCGAGCAATGGACGCTCTCCGCAACAGCCGCCAGCGGTACTGGCAAGGCATTGTTGCTCAACGCGACCGCGTTGTTGGGCCTCCTATCTTCTATTACGCCTAGCACAAAATACCCCCATAATCCACCAGAAGCTCAAAGGAATGCAAACATCACCATCCATCAACCCAACACCCCCCTCGCACCCTCCCCACTCCCACCCCCCGGCCCATCCTCCCAAAGTGAGGAAATCATCCGCCAGTTCATCGAGTTAGACCGGTCAACAAAGTGGCGTCTAGCGGACAAGATCCCATTCTCCGGTGACTGCCACGAACCCGAGGGCATCGTCCGCCTGAGCAACGAGGGGCCGGCACAAGACGACCGGTATTTCGTATCAGCCGGGGAATGGACCGTCCCCCAGTCCCCCGACAAAAACGGCGAAGGCTTCGCACACCTCCTCGTCTTCGACGGCACCGGCCGCCAACTCGCCGACGCCGTCCTCACCGCCCCCGGCGCAGCCGAGTACCACGGCGGCGGGCTCGACTACGATGGGACACACCTCTGGGTGACGCTGGCTGAGTACCGGCCGGTCAACGCAACTGCCACGCTGGTACGCTTGCGGCCTGATAAACTGTGCCCGGAGCCGGTGCTGCGTATTGCTGATCATATGGGTGCTGTGGTGCATGATATTGCCGCGGGGGATGTGCTGACGCTGAATTGGGGGGCGCGGAGTGCGTCGTTGTGGAATTTGCGCCATAGTCCGGTGCCGTTGCCTGGGTTTACACCGCCGCGAGCGGTGGTGAAGAATCCGAGTCATTATACGGATTATCAGGATTGTAAGTTTCTGGGTCGCCCGCAGCGGTATGGGTTTCGGTCTGTCATGCTGTGTGCGGGTATTACGGGGGGCGTGTATGGTGCAAATACGAGTATTGGTGGTGTGGCACTGGTGGATATGCAGACGATGGTGCCGCTGTATGAGTTGCCGTTGAGTATGGTATCGGATGGGGGGAACTTGGTGACTAAGAACCCGATGGATGCGGCTATTGTGGATGGCAAGCTGCGGTTCTTTTTCCTGCCAGATGAACACAACTCGACGTTGTATGTCTATGAGCCGGAAGGGCCCGGCTGAACGCTGAAGTAGAGTGTCACTCCTCCCGCTCACACACAGCTCCGGTTGAATCTTGGCTCGAGGAGAAATCATTGCCTATTATCTTGTGTTAAGCACCTTATTTTTTTGACCTGAGCAGGCTCCGGGCCGGAGGTTCCGACCTCAACTCGGTATCCGGGATTGGATTCCTAGTGTTGTGTTGAAAGGGGGCTTAGTATAGGAGCTCAGCTACTACACGGGCGTATAGAAGAAGGCTCTCTTTCGGATGCTAGAACAATCTACTTAACGCCAAATGAGTCTGGTGATTTCCGGCAGTGCCTGTTTTTGTCTCTGCGACGTAATGGTGGCTCGAGATCGGCTGGCTGGTAGCATCTTCTCATCACAATATTAGACCATCTCGACCCCATAAGGTAACCCAATGGGTGGGTGGCTCCTCAATAGGTATGGGTGGGTAATACCCAACCCATATGGGCTATGGGTAGGAGATATGGGTAGGAACCCATTTTATGGGTTCGGATTGGGTTGGACCCATCATGCCCAGATGGTGTTGATTTGGCTAGGTTAGATGATTACCCAGATGGTTACTCGTTGTAAAACTCGAGGTTTTCTGCTTCGCCCCCTAATCCCCATCTCTGTGGCGCGAAGGGAGGCCGCATGAGGTGTCTTGACGTCCTTACGTTTGGCGAACGTAGTCATTTGAGATTAATTGATGTTTTTCTGGTGTTTTCCTCCCTTGATTGCCCAGCTTGATAGTATCTTCTTACTGTGGTGATGAGGTTCGATAGAGTAAGCCTCAAGAGTCACGGCCGAAGCCCCGGTTTTGGCCATCCAAGCGGAGTAGGAATCCAGCGATTCCACGAGATAAATTTCCTGCAGCTAATTCTTTGTACTTTTCTTTCCTTTATTTCAATTTTAGCATATACGAAGAACTTTCATGTGGTGATGTGGTAACTCGGCGAGCTCAGGTCCTCACCAACGATATTTGAGGGTTAGGGTTGGTCACGTGAACTTCAATGAGCGCGCCCGACGTGCACGGACCATCCCCCACTTTTCAACGAGGCTTGGCCTCGCCGCGGGGTAAAGGAACGAGGGGACAAAACGAAGTGGGAAAACTGTCTTTGTCTCGACTCACGAAAACAATATCTTTCTTGGGGCGTTCTCGAACCGGATGAAGTATCTAAACATAGATCCCATCTGAAAGACTGAAGTTATAGAAGGGAAGAGGGGACCTCAACTAAAAGAGAGGCGGGTACCCCAGGATCCCAGCCCCTCGTTCTCAGGGTCTTGTTCTCAGGGTTTGCTCGAGTTTGAAAAGACCACTGCGTCATCAGCTCATCGCGAATCTTCCACAAACGCCCAGTACAAGTGAGGCATGTCCAAGCGGCCTCCCTATCTGCCAAGGCCCCCCATCGTCCCCAGAGCCTCGTCTTTCAACTCAACACCGCCCTAGTGAGAGGTTCATCGAATGAACCCAATCTCCCGATCCTCGCTTTTCTTCCGTACCTGAGCAGCCCAAAGCTCGACCCCGCTGGCAACCCGAACCCCGCGGAACCCCCACGAAAGCTCCAGGTGCTTCGCTTCTTGTCTCTGCCGTACGGTCCTGGCGATTCGCCAGTAACGCCGTGCATCGCAGCGTTAAACTGGAACGAGCGACACGCAGGCGCTCGATCGTCTCTCCACACCTCGCAGCTTCCAATTCGACGTCGCATTTGCCCACCTGCATTCAGGTCGCAGGACAACTCACTCCGCACACACACGACCTCCAACGTCGAGCCTCGACCTCTTCTCTTCTTTACTCTTTTGCTTCCTTCCCGGTCAGACACCCATCGAATCATCCATCCGCCATCAACAACACAACACCACGCCGTGCATCAGCTTTGACAGCCGATAATACAACACACAATCTACTTTTCTCTAGTACCGCCGACAGCAATCGCCCAGCATGGTCAAAGAGACCAAACTCTACGACCAGCTGAACATCAGCCCAAGTGCTAGCCAGGACGAAGTCAAAAAAGCATACAGGTACGTTGGTCCCATCAGCTATCATCATGCTAGATGTGGGCTGCGGGGTGTTTCAGCCTCGTCCCCCCTTTACAAACATCCATCGCGACTTCATCACGGCCCCTCACTACCTCTTAACCCCGACCCCACTGCTGACCCCCCGCAGGAAAGCCGCCCTAAAATGGCACCCCGACAAGAACAAGGACAACCCGGACGCCGCCGAGAAGTTTAAAGAGTGCTCGCAAGCTTACGAAATCCTGTCCGACCCAGCACAACGCAAGTCCTATGACCAGTACGGTCTCGAGTACATCCTACGTGGTGGTGTACCGCAACCAGAAAGTAGCTCTGCCGGCGGGGCGCACCCGTTCGCCAGCACTGGCGGCGGCGGCATCCCAGAGGGTTTCCAAAGCTTTTTCTCCAACGCCGGGGGCGCCCCCGGCGGCCAGGGCTCCCGCTTCTCGTATAACTTCCACTTCACCGACCCCAACGACTTGTACAACAACACTTTCCACGACAGTGGTTTGGGCAGCGATTTCTTCGACGATATGCTCAACGGCGCGCGGTCTTCAACCTCGTCGTCCGGCGCCCGACGCATGCGGAACTCGTTTGGCGAGCACGGAATGCCCCGCCGCGCTCCGACCCCCGAAGTCACCACCGTCGAGCGCCCTTTACCGTTGTCGCTTGAGGATCTCTTCATGGGTGTCACTAAGAAGATGAAGATCAAGCGCAAGATGTTCGATGACACCGGTCGGCGCACTACTACCGACACTGTGCTGGAGGTGCCTATCAAGCCAGGTCTCAAGAAGGGCAGTAAGATCCGCTTCAAGGGAGTGGGAGACCAGGAGGAAGGTGGCCAGCAAGATCTTGTTTTTGTCGTAGAAGAGGTGAGCCCATTAACACACCAATATCCTCCTCCTCTGCCTTGCTTCATTTTACTCACATATTTCCGAAATACAGAAACCACATGCTCTTTTCTCGCGCGAAGGCGACGACCTGATCCACACCGTTGAGCTCGACTTGAAAGAAGCCCTCACAGGCTGGAAACGCACAGTCGCCACTATTGACGGACATCAACTCAATCTCGACAAAGCCGGCCCAACGCAACCCGGTTCCTTCGAGGAGTTCCCAAGTCTGGGCATGCCCATGTCGAAAAAGCCCGGCTCACGCGGAAAGTTTATCATCAAGTACAACGTTCGCTTTCCCATGATGCTGAGCCCGACTCAAAAGGAACAGCTGAAAGAGATTTTGTGATGGATTATCTATTTTTCAATCACACACACACACACACACACATATCATACCACGTTTACCATACCATGAACGGGCGTTTTGGGCGGTCTCTTTCTTTTGTTTACGTTTCCTTTGTCGTTAGCATGCGATTGTCCTTTATGTCGCAAACAGGCTGGCAGGATGGGAAGGTCAGGTTGACTCGGGTTGGAGCGGCGGATGGAACGGGTTAGGGGAGGTTGGGGTTGGGGGCTCAGGGGTTGTTGGTGAGGGAACATTGGGGGGGGCGGATATCTTTTGCAAGAAACAGACGAAATACTTTTGACAGAAGGCGCCTGGTTTGGATGGATTTGGAGGAGCCGGAGCAGGCGCAGGCGCAGTTTTATCGCTATCTACCTATCTATCGATATGATTCCCTATTTCTCCAAGATTGAACCGTCGTTGGGTATTTGATCCGTTGTGGAAGTCACGTTGAGATTGAGTGATGACTGAAATCCAGAGACGTCCCCAGGAATTATTACTTTAGTTGTAGATACGTCAGATTTTACGGCTTAAATATAGTTGACAAAGTGGCTTATTAGCGGAAATAACTGCACTTCTGTCATGTCAAGAGAGAGGGACACAAGCCGCTGGTGTTTCCCAATGTCAAATGAGTAGGTATAGATGATCATCCTTTCGATGGTACACAAGCTAGTCGAGTAAAACTCAATAATTATCCATTCCTATGTCATTCACACCGTGCTATACTATACATATCGATGAGTCCTGTTCCATGCCTAGCGCTCTTCCCGTTCCCCTCCCCCAGTTGTGCATTCAGCACGTCCCTAACTTCTTGACAAAAGAGCTAGGAAGAGCGACGTTCACGGGGAGTCGTCACATGACGTCTTCATACATCCATCATTTCGGACAGGTCAACTTGATAAACTGATGCAAATGCTTTCATTGATTTGTTCTTTGCCTTGTTTCTCTCCATTACACACTACAGATATCCTGTATCCCATGCATCCCATCCCCTCCTATCCGCCTCCGTATCCTTCGCTTCCCTAGACCATTTCAAGGATTGCTCCCTTAGTCCCCCGCGCCCCCCAAAAAACAAACAATGTATTTATTTCTTCTTCCGCTCAAGGATCCAGTCCTTGGAGTTTTATATAAATCCATACTCGCTCAGGAGTGCCAGACTTCATCCCATCCAACTGGGGAATTGAGAAACAAGTGGAAATGAGATGTATATAGATGAGTGACATGTACCTCGGTGGTGAGGATAAGAGGGAAAGAGGTGATTAGTGACAAGGGGTAGAGAAGGGAAAGAAGGTAAGTGAAACGGGATACCCGTGAGCCGCAACACAGTCTGACAATGGCGAGAGTGAAGAGCGTCGACGGCGTAGCCGTCCGTACTCCTCTATCCATCGATCCATACGTCCGCAGACATACCTCCAGCTGCCATGCATGTAAGGAACCGGGCTAGTGCGACGTAACGCAACGCCACATACACCCCCCTCTGTGACCTGACGGTTCCCAAAGTTCCTTCTCTGCCCGCCTTATCTTTCCGCCGCTTTCCACTCGAGTGTACACAAGAAGGCTACCGCGCATCCTGTGTCGGCCTTTTTATTCCTGTCCTTTTTTTGTCCTCCTCCGGATGCCAGCCCCGTTGAGATACACAATAGGATAGGACAAAAAAGTCAGACACGGGACCGAAACCCGTTGTTTGTCATTGTACAGTACATCCCATGTATGTATGTACCAGATACAACACAACGCCACCTTATCCAACTTTCCTTTCTCGCTGTCTCTTTCTGTTCCTCGTGCCCCACAAAAAGACAAGAATGCAATGTGTAAATAATAAACGACGATAACAAAATGTTGGTTAAAAAGAAGAAGCGAAGTAAGCGTGTTTCCGAGATCCCAGCTCGTTTTTTGTATTTGGAAACTCGCCCAAACCAAGTTGAGGTTCCGTCGAGGAGGGTCCACAACCTGGACGACCGGTCCCACGGGATCCAAGCATCAGCGAGGAGCTACCCAAACGTGCGTAAATTCGTGGTGTCGTCAAGAGTCCCAGGGGTTGTTTTCCCTCTTCTATCCGATATGCAGCGTCCACCAGGATGCCACCCATGCGCAACTCCGCTATATTTTGGGTATACGAAGTCGCTTGAAAACGATCAAAATAGAAAAGAGCAGAAACAAATCCAAGAGGAGACGATTGCCATCAGGGGTATCATTGATGAAGGCAAAAAGAAAAAGAGATCGCTGCGTCAATGGAACGACCAGGACTACCAATTGATCCGAGTAACTTTCGTTTTCAGATCTGGCGTGCCTGTTTTGATGTTCCGCGATCCCAGCTGAATGACGGCGCTGCGCGTTCGAAGGTCGAACTCAACTGCCCTGACCATAACACGCTTCTCTTCGGGGATGGGTATCAGTTTTTGCGGCTGGCCGGAGTGGGAGGAAAAGGACGTGCGCGTGGAGCTAGCGGCGGGCGAAGCGCCATTCTCCCAGTTCCCTTGTTCCAAGTCTGAATGGGCTATGGACTGAGGGGTATCGGCAACGGTTGGTGGCCGAGAATGTGTCTGGACGGGACTAGCGTCTGGTGTTGGAATGGTGTTGCCATAGCCACCCTCAAACAGGTTGACGTCTTCCTCCTCGATCTCGGCAATCCAAGTGCCGATCCGTGCAGTGAGCTCACTATCCCACATACCCTCTCGACGGGCGCTGCTCCGCAGCAGCTGGATGGCCTGCCGGCGGATGTGCGGCTCGCGGCACTTGGTGGCGACCACGTATAGTGGCGGGACAATGCCCAGGTCGGCGCTGAAGCTGGGCTTGATGTGGTGCGCGGCGTACTCGTGGCCGCCAAAGATGTCGGTCCGGCAGTGGTTGCGATGGCGACACAGAGCCGGGTCCGGGCAGCGCTTAGCTGCGGCCCTCCGCTCTTCATCACCGACCACCTCGAGGGCAAGGTCAACTATCCCTTTGAAGAGGTGAGCAAACCCATCGAAATGCATCTCGCTGTCGCTGAAGGTCATGAGGAAAAGGATCTTGCCCATGGTCTGGAACATCTTGAGGACGGCAATGGCGGCCTTCTCCTGGCTACTGACGCCTGGTGCTGTCCTCGACGCCAGAATGTGCTCAAACGCGTCGGACCATGCCTCGATATCTTTCTTAAAAGAGACGCCGTAGTGTTTCAGCGATGTGGGCAGTACGCCCATGATATTAGACTTGGCGTAATTGAACATGATTTCGGTGAAACGGAAGATGCGCTCGCAGAGCTTGTCCCAGGCCAAACGAGCCTCCATGACCGACGTGAAACGTTCGGGAATGGAGTCTTGGCTGATTCCTATCGGGGACCCAGCTTCGGATGTGGGCGATGAGGGATCCAGAGGGGGCTGGTTCGTGGTCAACTGCACAACCCAGGGCTGGGGGAAGTGGAAAGCCATATCGTAGGACTTGGCCTGTATTGCTAGGCGGGTGAACATTTGCGTGAGCTCTTCCTCCACCGGCTCGTCCGACGAAGAAAGAAAGGCCTGCCTCTTTTCAGCACGCAGCTTCTCCAACAGCGCTAGCCCGGTCTGGATCTGACGGATGGCTTGTTTGTGGTCGCCTACAAAGGAGTCGAAGCACGCGAGCAAGACACTTGACATGAGCCGAGTCCGATTCGAAGTAGATGCGGTCGCGCCAGCGTTCGTCAGCGCATTGCAGGCGTGGGAGTACTGCTTGACGGCCATCTCCCAATGACGCATAGCCGAGTCCCCTGGATCACTGTCTGGATGTGGTGAATTTGTGGGTGACTCGTTTGACTTTTCCAACGTCTTGTACAATGCGCCGAGCGCAACTACGGCATGGCGAATAGCGTCCGCGGTATGGCACTCTTGCAAAACACTGCGGGTCCAGAAAGCCGAGTCGAAAAAGCCCGAGAGCTCGTTCGCCGTGTGTTCACGAAACAGGTGGAAGTACTGCCCCTCCTGGTGGCTGAAGGGGAGATCTATCGATGGATGATACACTAAACTCGTGGCGGCGAGGGGCGTAGTGGGTGTAATGAGAGCCCCGGGTGGAGAAGCTCGTCGTTGCATTTTTGCGAGGCGTCTGGGGGGTAGCTGAACGGGTTCGCGGTTGGGTGGCGGTGCGCTCGGGGCCATGGCCACCAGAGGCTTCGGCGCGATCTTAACTTCTTCGCTCGAGCGCGCGCTCCGGGGCGGCGGCGGGTATCCGGTACATTCTTTCTTAGATCGAACGCAATTGGCACATGGCTGCCAGCCAAACCCCCATCGGTCAGTCACTCTTCCAGAACTACCAGAGAGAGAAACAGAGACATGGACCTACTGCTGGCCTTCTTTCATCGCATTTGATCCGCCGCTGTTTACATTGCTGGCATCCCGTTCTAACCTTCACGTGCGACTGACGTACCCCGGGCATAGTGGCGGCCAATAACTATGCGATGGAGTCGCTATCGGCTGGGTTTCACACTGGGTATTTGGTAGAGAGGCGGTCATGAGCTGGAAGGGAGGTTGGTGGTCGGGGACAAGCAGCAGAACAAAAGCTTGTTCTTTGCGGTGCGCGGAGCAGGGGCTCCCCTGGGAGTGTCGCTCGCTTGTTTGCTTTGATCGTTTTTTGTTCGTTTGTTCGACGCGACCTCGGACGGTGGACAGTGCACGGTTCGGCCCGTCGAGCTTGCGCTGGATGTTTCGAGTTTGAATATGGGATGGGAAGCACGCCGTTGGGGGGAGGAGCACCTGGGTCTGGGAGGAAGCCTCGTTTTAGGAAATGTTGCACCCCCGGCTCGGTGGTTGATCGTTTGGGCGGAAGTGAGAAACTTGAATGGCGGAAGCAAGGGTAGGTAAGTCGGAACTTGAAGGGCGAAGCTCGGCGTTCTAAATGTTCACTTCGATCGCTGGCCCACTAGTGTACACACTCCGCGGTCCCCTGATATGGCGGGTGTGGGGCCGTCTGCAGGCGGCCCATCCAGCCCACTCTCCTTGCTGGAGGGTTAATGCTTCGAGTTAGCGCAGGGGGTTATTCGCAAGGCCGTGCGGATAGCTGACGTGCCGCATCGGGGACAACGGGATGAGGGCGCGGCTTTTCAGTGTGAGGATTGCGGATGGGGAGATGAAGCTTTGGCTGAGCCAAAACGATTTCTGCGATACTCGCGTTTCTGATAGACCTGCGTCCTTCGACAAGTAACTATTCGTACTTTCTGATGATAGTTGTACTCTGTAAGGTGGCGGGGGCTTGGAAAAGCGCAAGACCCAAAGACAAAAGCAACAATATCGGAACGTCATTTCACAACCTCTCGTCCAGGGGGTGGTTCCGGACCGTATGGATTGCAACTGATGTTTTCTGTGGTTCCCCAGACTTGCTACGCAATTCTCGGCGACAAGAATTGCGTACCGGGAGCCAGTCAATGGTCTCACTCTTCTTTCCTCCCATTTTCCCTTTCCCTGGCATTTCTCATTTTCCAATTTTTTTTCCCTGTGGCTTGCTGACGCTGCAATCTCTCGGTTGGGAAGGTGCAGCTTTGCAGTTGCAGCCACATTGACCCACCGCTCCATCGCTCCCTCCCCAAGCCGCTGAGGCCGCACGCCAGGAACGACCCGCGTGGAGCTAGTTAGCACCGCCCTGCTGCGTGCACCTCACTGCTTCAATCTTTTCCAAGTTTCTTCCGGTTTGAACGGTACAGACAGTTCGAAGGAACACTTGGGATCCCACATCGATGCATCGCAGTCTCGTCATTGCCCCGGCGAGGATGGAGAAATGGTCTGGAACCTCGTATGCACAGTGTCGCTTGTGGCACGCATTCATCCACCCCACACCATCCACAGTACACTATCGGCAGCGCCATCTCCGACCCGAACGTCGACCATGACGCAGAATGTTTGGAGAAGCCACTGTCCTGTGCTACCCACCCTCCTGCGAACTTTCCGTCAAGTCCTCTCCACCTCATCAACTTGCGGCCAGGTAATTTGCTCGACCCGTCACCCCGGGCGGGAGGTTCCCACCCATCTTTCCAAGTCGTACGACCCTGTCGAGCCTGTGCAACTGGCCGCCCGTTGATCCTGGCCTGTCAACGCCCAGCGCCGGCCTCATGTGCCGCTCCCTTGCGTGTCGGATCTGGACCCTCGCCGAAGGTCCTGCTCGGCATAGGCGGATTGGGCAATGGGGCCGTCTCATCATTTGAGAGGCCTCTCGCTCCTGAACATGATACTCACCGGCCGGGCCGTCGCCCGCCAACTCTATTATCAAACATGCAGCGGCGGGACCTGAGTGAGAGTCACAGCGCGGGGTCCAGGAAGCTATGGCCCCTTACGGACACAGTCCACCCACCCCTATCAGCCCTACGGGGCATCGACATTCTTTGGTTGTGGTCATCTGCGCTATGCGCGGTTGCTAGTGTACTCGCGCAATTGGCGGTTCACACTGGGGCCCCTTTCGGCGAGTCCCAAGCAGGCGATCTCTGCAGGCATGTCGCATTCCCCAGAGGCGGAAATCACACAGTCGTGTCGTTTGGATGTGGGTGCGGGAAGGATTGATGCTCGCAGTTGCGTTGTTCAGCCCTAAATGGCGCCAAGACTGATTGGCACACGCCCCAGCCGGCCGGGTCGGCCATGCCGTCTCACCTCTCGACCGGGAAATCACTCACAAAGGTGTGGTCGACAACGGGACACGCAAGTCGTCGTCGGGTTTTGTGTGTCTCCCCAGCCGGCCGGGAGCCGGAGGGCGATTGCGCCGTCGGGGTAACTCACTGAAACTTGATTCCTAAAACGATTTGCTCGCTTCCCTCGATCGAGAAAACGGGCGGCGCGGATCATGCCGCTGGGGCGCCGTGGGACCGGCAGGCAAGGACCAACAAGCAAACAAGCCACGGTTTGCGGACGTGGATCGTGATCCGGACAAGACCCGCAACTCACGTCCATGGACGGACGGTCGTTGCGGCTGCCCGTCACGACCACGGCGGCCTCTGTTTCTAGAACCCTCAAATGGGCTGCGCCACGATTCGATATGGGGAATCGGCATTGTTCCAATGGGAATAACTACTACATGTGCCGGAGAGAGGGAGAAGCGGTGAGAGCAGAGCTCTGGAAAACAGGCTCGAAAAGAGTGCGCCACGGCCGCTAACCAGGACAGGCTAGAAATATGTGGGGGCTTGTACATAGTACGGCGGTGTTTCGTAGCGGCTGTCCAAAACACTTTGATGATGCTCAGTTTGACCCTCAATTCTAGAATATTTCTAGACAGTTACCATTAAAAACCACCGTATCCTAGCGCAAAGAACGTTTCTCGCACGCACAACTTCGAACCCCCAACACGTGCAGTCAACTCAATTGATGCCAATTGAGACTTACAACATTTGAAAATTCCCCGCGTCGAATAAGTTATGCAGCAATAACAGATCAAATCGACAAATACCCCGTGTTATCCCACTAAGAGTATTCTGTCCTTTTTTTTTTTCTGAGCACATGATCTCCAACCAACGACGACATTCAGAATGTGGGGTTAAACTTTGCTGCAGCGTGGCTGTGCCGTCGTAGTTCCAACTTTCGTCACGTCCATCCAAGCAACTATCTCGACTTCTCTAACGAGAGTCTCGGCACCACTCGGGGTCCCCGAGCCGAGAAAGAGTCGATTGCAGGCATTGCCCACATTCCCCATTTGTTCCGGCACACATTCAACGAGAATTGGTAACGAGAATTACATCTCATAACTTTGCTCGACTACCTCGATTCAGAAACACCGCGGGGAACGGATATCGGCATTGGGAAGCTCACTGTTTACACAGCGCCGAGTTGCTCACACGATATGCATGCACCTCAAACGCAGGAAGCTGTGACATGATGCCACTTTAACCGTCCTCCAAAAGTCTCTGGCATATAACAGCCACAGATCCCCACCTTCCAACCCACAAGAAAGACCGGGGGAGGCTTGGTTTCTTCCTCACCGGTAGCCAAGCAGATTAGAGCACTAGCACAAGCGGTCGGCAGTGAGATCTTAGCGCGGGGGTTTTTTGTTATGGGCGGGCCGAATTTGTGTGACGCCGGATGGAGACCGCGGTAGGTACTTTACAAGGCTGACTGCGGATTTTACCCAGAATGGGCGGGAGATGCCTCGGAATGTGGGAGGGTGGACACCCACCTCACTTGCGAGATCTGTGAAGTTCTTGTTTCCGGACGGGGCACTGTGAGTTGGACTGTGGAGGTCTTTTTGTGCAAGACGACGTCCCGGGCACTGATTCCGGGTCTTCCGTTCGCGGCGTTGACTGATCTCGAGAGTCTCCCGTCTAGTTACCTAATTTGCCAAGTTATGCAACTCCACTCCAAAATAACATTCGTCTGACGAGAAGCTGCCCAAGAGAACGGAAGGAAATAATGAACCCCCCAAAACAGACACCGAGAATCAAGCAAAGACAACAAACACCCCTTTCTCAGAGCGTAGTACACGTGGACGAAGCTTTCCCTAGAGAGTTCTCTTGTGATTGACAGCCCTCAAACAAATTAGCATCCTCTTTTCTCTTTCGGGGTCACTTCAAGAACGCCATTGGCCGGTCCCTCGGTCCCCGTTCATTTCGGATGTCGGCGGGCTGGCTCCCGGGCCGGGCCTGGCGCTGCAAGTCATCCACCTGCCCTCCAGCCTTATGAGGAAAATCGGTGAAATCCCCACTAAAAGTTTAGCGCCCGAGCCGCCCAACCACAGCGGGCTTCAACCCCCAATTGGGAACCTCCAACTTTTCACGCTGAACCCTTTTCACACAGCAGTTACACGTACGCACCACATTCGACCTCCCTCCACGCCTAGTGTAGGTCAAACGCGCCGCAGAGAGACCCCATCCTAGCCTAGCCTAGCCCAGCCTAGTCCAGGAAGGATTCAGGATCTACCCCACGAATTCACACATTTTCCTCCCTACCCGCCCGTTCCGCTCAAGGTACATACACGTACATCCGGCGAGGCCTCCGGAACCACCTAACCTATGGCATCCCCGGACCCAACCCCGGCCCCAGCTCCGGCCCGGGCACCAACCCTCGACCAAATCATCTTCTCGTCCCCACAGGCCAACCACAACTTCTCGCGCATTCTGGGCTCGCTGAAACGCGCCAGTTTGTCTGTTACCAACCGGTTGTGGTCTATCCAGCAGGACGCGGCGTTTGTGGAGGGGGTGGCTGGTATTTTGAGGGGCGCTGGGGCGGGTGGTTGTGGGGGCGGTTTGGGGGCTTCTTCTGATGATGATGACTCTGAGTCTGCTTCTTCTGGGTTGGGGTTAGGGTCTGGTGAAGAGTTGGGTGAAGGTGATGGTGAAGGTGGTGGAAAGTTGGGACCAGGACTACCGCTGGTTGCGAACGAGCGATGCGGGAGCTGGTATATCGATCCAAAACGGAAGGCTGGGTCGGCGTACTTTAAGAGTACGGACGGGCATACCGGGCAGTGGAAGTTTAGTTTGAGGAGACTGAATTTGCATTTATTGGAGTTGATTGGGGAGAGGGGTGGGTGGGTTATTTTCTTTATTTTCTTCTTTTCCTCTGTCCCTTTTCCTTGTCTTTTGATGTTCCAGAAATTCGACGCGTATTACCCTCCTTCACTCCGCTCTACCCCCTCTTGTTCTGCCATGTACCCCTGAAGATATAAACCCCCAACTAACACCTCACTCTCCCACTCTCAGATGCATCATCGTCGACTCAACCCGCCGAGGCAAGCGTACGTCCCCTCAACCCCCCCCCCCCCCCCTTTTTTTTTTTTTTTTTTTCCAAACCTCACCAGCCCTAACACTCCCTCCCTCTCCCCAGGCATGCCCGACGCGCTAAGCAAAACCCTCCCCATCTGGTGCGCCGTCCTCAACCGCGCACTCTTCCCCTCGTTATCATCCTCTACCACCATGCACCACAACCTCCACACCCCACCGAACGTAGTCTCCCCCTCGGAATCCGCCCAAATCACCGCCCTCCTCCCCTCCTTCCTCGCCTCTTTCCTCTCCCTATCCCCCGACCTCGACACCCTCCGCGCGCAGCTCCGCGGCAAACCGCTGCGTCCGGTCTTTCTGACTCCCAATAACGACGGGGATATTTCTGGGTGTGATGATAGTTTGAACTGTGTAGCTGAGATGTTATCCCTTGCTGGTCATGCCGGCCAGGTTGATGACCATGACCAGGAAGCGGGGGGAGGCAGGGGGGGGTTTCATCCTATTATATGTCTCACTGCCTCGCGGCAACTCAAACCCCACAACACCGATAATAGTTGGGATGACGATAACGGTACAGAAATCGGCCCCTCAGCAGGGGGTTACGTCCAAGGAGCAGGAGACGACACAGAGAACTGGGCGCATGGGCTGACAGCGGATCTGTTTTGGCGGAATAAAGATCTGTTGCTTGCGGCGCGGGGGGAGGGGGAGGTGGTGGGTGTTATTGAGGATATTGTGAGGAGGGAGGAGGAAGGGCGGGTACGGAGGATGAGGATGGGGCCGCTGAGAGGAGGAGATGATGAAAAGGGGGGTGGTGGGGATCGGAGTGGGTGTTTGGGGGAGGAAGTGAAGGAGGCTGTGAAGGGGAATGGGAGGTTGTTTGTGGGGGTGTTGGGGGCGGATGTTGGGGGTGGTGAGGAGGAGAAGATGGCGTGTGTAGTGAAGTTGATACCTAAGGTCACGCCCAAAGAGGGATGGAGAAAAGGGAAGCGGTGTTTGGAGGTTGGCATTGGGAAAGGAAGGGCCGCGGGCCGGATACTGCGGGATGCGCTGCCGGAGATCTGCGAGTTTGTGCTGGCATACCTTCGGCAGACACCCGACCAGGCCGAGGTCACTCCCTCTTCCGTTGATTCCGTCGACAACGACAAGAAAAAGGTGGCGGTGCTGTGCGAGTCGGGCAAGGATCTGTCGGTGGGTGTGGTCCTGGCCGTGTACTGCTGGTGTTTTGACGACGATGGGAAGATCCGGCCGGATGATGGCAAGGAGGTGTCGTTTAACAAGGCGGCTATCCGGGTCCGGTTGAGTCGGATTGTCACTACGCGGCCCGAGGCGAATCCTAGCCGGGCGACATTGCAGAGCGTCAACAGTTTCCTCATGGACTGGAGGAAATAGCAGAGAGTAAGCAGACTGAAAAAACAAATGAAGAAATTCAATCCCATTAAACCCCCAACTCGTCGCTAAGTCTATATCATGATGCTTGTAACCAATGCCTTCTTCTGTATCAGAGTTGACCCCACCCAAACTAAGCCAAAAATGCCTCTCCCTCTCAAACCAGGTCTAGATCTCACCACGGTCAATCTTGGCCAGGGCCTCCTCGAACTTGCTCCAGTCATCAATGACGATAACAGCACCCGCCTCGGTGAGCACCTTGACCATCTTCTCGCGCTCCGCCTCCTTGTAAGGGCCGACATAGCCAATGACCTTAAGGCCGGCGCGGGTACCACTAAGGGTCCCGCTCTTGCTGTCTTCCACAGCGACACACTCCTCCGCCTTCTTGCCCAGCTTCTCCATAGCATGCAGGTAAATAGCCGGGTCGGGCTTGCTAGTAGGCTTAGGCAGACTAGTAGCAGCAGAAAAGATGTCCTTGCCAAAGTACTTGGCCTGGCCGACCTTGTCCACACTCGCCTGCACACGGCGCAGAGCCGACGAGCTAACAACAGCAAGCTTGTACTGGCCGGAGGCAGCCAGCTTCTCCAGCACGCCGTCAACGTTGGGCACCGACACGAGCTTGGCCTTGAGCTTGGCGATGACGACGTCCTCTTCGCGGCGCACGTAGTCGTTGAGCTCGTCGTCGGTCATCGAGAAGCCGTAGCGCTGCTGCAGCGAGACCATCATGCCGCGGAAGTTTTGCCCGACGAACTCGACGATCAGCGACTCGCCTGTGAAGGGCTTCTCGAGGGCCACATTCTTGGACGCCGCGATCTCGTTGATCAGGTCGGCGCAGCCTTCGAAGGCGAGGTCCTCGGACAGGACGAGGGTGTTGTCGCAGTCGAGGAGGAGGGTGTTGATCTAAGTAAAAGGTTTTGTTAGTTGGGATAATAAAATGGATTGGCGACAATTACACAAGTAACTGTTTGGAGGGGTCCTGGCGACGACTAACCTTGCCCATTGTGACGGTTGGAGGAAGTTTGTTGATTATGAGGTTTGGTGCAGTTTCGAAACGGTAGTTCCGACAATGGGTTTTCTGGACGTTTTGGGAATTACAAGTGTTGTTTGTCTGGGGAAGATAGTCACAAAAAGGAGAAAAAGAAGAAGAAGAAGGAGAGAAAATCAAGTCCTTCCCCAGTCCGAGACAACACCCATAAAATAAATACCTCTCTTCCCGGCTCCTCCTCCCATCGTAACCGACGGGGATACACTACAAACTTACCAGGTGGCCTTCACCCGGGATGGAAAGGACCCCTCTCTCTTCGGCTGTGCCTGGAAGGCAACGCATGCGAAACCAACAAAAAAACCCGAACTGCCCCGCGGCGGGCAGGTAACCTGGAACTCCCTAGCCGTTCACCTCAAACCCCTCTGCCCCTCCATCATCATCATCCACAGAGCCCGTCTGAAAACTGTCGCCCAATAGGGAGCCGCCGTCGTTGAGGCAATGTCGTCATGGTGGGGCGGGTCCCCTGGAGAAACCTTGAAACGGGCCGCATGGCAGGCCCTGGCTTCGGTGCTTTGCAGCTGTGGGTTGCTGTGCCAAGGCGCCGCCCGGTTTTAGCGATTGAAGTGCTGCTAGACGTTCGCCTGTGTGCCGTGTGAGCCGATGATCTTTTTTTTCATGTGTCTATTCTCGGTTGAGAATAAAAGGCGCAAACAGAGGGAGTGAAGAGGAAAAGGAAAGAATCGGCAAATTGATATTGTTGGCCATGCACGACTCCCGAATTGGTCGTGGAATGGACCTTGAATCTGACATGAAAAACAGGGGCATTGTCCGCTCGGCGAGAGTGGGGTCCAAACGGTTTGGTGTTGGTGTTGGTGTTGGTCCCTCGAAACATCCAACAGGAACATCATCCACGCCGCAAATCCCGACTGCGCACCGGGTACGGCCAGGCAAGCCAGGGTCTGAGTGGCTTCCATGGCGGTGGAAAAGATCTAGATCGTACGATCAGTCTGGGGCTGGGGGCGATCATCTATGTTTATCTTGACTCGGGATTGGGAATAATTGCATTTCAAAAATGTGGAGGAAATCCTGGAGGGACGGACATACGGAGAAAACAGGTGAAAGTCTTCCACCTTTATGTATCGTAAATGAGAAACAGTGATTTGTGGTGGCAATCGAGGCTCCTTCGTACTATGATGATAAATTCCAAGTTTATTACTCACATTTTAAACGACTTACAGCGGATTCCCATCGACTAAGGGCTGGACGATGGGACACAAGGTTGACATGGCAAACACACTGCTCGTAGGTTTTAGCTTTTTGTGAACAATGGTTATAATAGGAAATTTCCAGTACAAACAATTATATCATTAGTTATCCGCTATCAAGCAATCGAATCCCACAAGCCTTGGCTCCCAAGATGCAGAATGCCTGTAAGAGCATACTTGCATCCCAGCCATTCCATGTAGACCCCCCCTCACAAAGGCGGCAACTCCTCCCTACAAATCGGACACTGCAATTTATACCGAAACCAGCCCTCCAAACACTTAGTATGAAAGATATGCCGGCACGGCGTGACCATATACGCCCGACGCGCCAGCACACCGACCAGCCCGCCCGCAGCCGCAGGGTCTTTGGCATTGGCCCTTACCACCGGAACCTCCAGCACCTCGGTGCAGATGGCACAGTCGACTTCGCGGACAACCATGCCGTGACGGCTGAGCTCCTTCTCCCGTTCTCTCTTGCCCGTGCCTGTGAGGCCGGCGGTACTGGAGGTGTTGGACCAGCTTCTGGCGCGGTGCTTGCCGCCGCTGGCATGGTCATGGCCATGGTCGTCGTTGTCGTCGTCAGTATCGTCGTCATCGTCCCCAACAGCCGACATACTCGTCAACGACGACACCAACCCAATCGGCAACCCCCCCGCCTCCACATCCCCCTCCCTCAACACAGGATGATACTCCCACACATCCGGCATCCACCGCGACGGCAAACCAAACCGCGGTCCCAACACATCCTGCACAGCCAGCACCACCAGCTGACACCACACCCACGCGACCAACACCAAAAACGCAACTGGGTCGGTGTCAACAAACAGGACGTTATCCGTGTCCAGATAGAAATACGCAAAGGGGACGAGTCTCAAAACAGACTGGCCGACCATGAAGCGCCAGGCGAAGGCACGACGGCTGTTGCGCCAGACGTTGCGGCGGATTTGGGGCGTCCAGAGGGAGAGGTAGGTGAAGGCGAGGAGGTGGAAGAAGAGGGAGCGGGCGTGGGGTGGCCAGGAGAGGGACATGGTTGTTAGGAGGAGGATGCCGATGCCGAGGAGGACGAAGGTGCCTGTCATGGAGGCGAAGGTGCCGACGCGCGGGGCGTTGGTCATGGCGGTGTTGGGGTTGGGTGTGGTGATCGGGAGGGGAAGGGCGGCTGCGCCCGCGGCGATGTTGTTGTTGACGTTGATGTTGTTGTTGATGTTGCTGTTTGCGGTGTTCTCGGCGATCTCAGCGTCTATGTCTTGGTCGGAAGGGATGATGATGGGTGGAGTAGGGGGCCGAGCGGGAGTGGTGGTGATTGTAGGAACCGGTGGGTTACCCGGGGGAGTGGCCGTGGTTGAGGTAGGTACGGATGCTGTAACAGCAGCAGTTGCACTAGCAGCTGGAGGACTCGGGGCGTTTCGGGAGGGCGCAGTAGCGTTGTTGCGCGTCTGTTCGCGCCGTCGTTCTGGTTCTTGATGTTTATAAATCTCAGACAAGAACCCCGCGCCGATCGCCATGGACATGAACGCGGCGAATGTCAAGATGAGCGCGGGCAGAAACGTGTTGGTCGCCGAGAGACTCCACGCCGACGAGCACGCAAAGACCAGACCATCCGCTAGCAACATCATACCCGCTGTCTGGAAGCTGATACGCCCAAGCGTCGAGGGGGTGTTCGACTCCTTCATCTGCCCCTTGAGCAGCCAAAGCTGCGCCATCAAGACGGCCGCGAACGCAAACATCCACGATTTCGTGCGTGAGAGCAGCACCTCCGATTTGACACCCACCAAGTGGTGGCCCTCCACCCAGGGGAACAGCGGCGGGCCCTTGGACTCGAGGTAGTATCCGCAGTCGGGAGACCAAGCGACAAGGGACATGCGCAAATCCGGGTTGCCTCGTAGCGGTGCGCCCGTGGGAAAGCGGAGTTCCTCCTCGAGCTGGTCAACAACCGGCACTAACTGATCGCCCAAGCCATCCTCCCCAATGATAAGCGGATCCAGCGGGTGTAACTGCAGGTACATGATGTACTCGCAGCGCGGGAACGGGACCGAAACCTCCTCCTCGACCACCGGCGTCCAGGGGTTGCTAGCGTCCGCAAACCTGCTCCGTTCCTTCTTGTCCAGTACCTCACCCACGGTCTTGTTAAGCAACCGCTGGCCGGACTGGTAGAACTCCACGCTCGGAACCAAGTGCGGCAGTCCAAAGATGCCCGCAAACTTTTCCGTCGTCGTCGTCAACAAAATCGACCCCTGCGCCGGCCAATGCACACCATGAAGTCGCACAGCAAAGCTCGACACCGCGTGGTCCTCATCCTGGATATTCGCCACAGCCGAGATCTCTCTCGCCGTATCACCCGCCGACGGCTGCAAACCCTCCGCAGGCTCCTCCTCGTAGACCTCATCCCCCGCGTCCTCCGTAAGCCGCAACAAAACCGTCCCATGCAACCCCGTCACATTCCACCCCCAATCCACATTCTCGTCCACCACCCAATGCACACCAGGCGCAATCGCACTCAAATTATACCCCCCGGCATGCTTCGTCCCAGACCCTTCCCTCCGCACCCACTTCCCATGCACCGTGCCCGTGGCATTCTGCCACGTCTTCCGCACCGGCCCATGTTCCCAATCCGCAGCCCCTTTCGGCGACGGCGGATACGCATGCCGACTCCACTGCCGCGACCGGTCCTTAAAATACGCCAGGTCGTCCCAGCCGTACCCGTCCGCCTCGCGGAACCCGGTCAGGTTCAGGTACCGCGGCGCCTGCCAGGGCGGGAGACCGTCCTTGGCCGTGCCGGGGGCAAAGTCCCCCCATTTGGTGCTGTTGAGGACGCCGTGGGCGGCGCGGAATCGGCTGAGGCGGTTGGAGCTGAAGAAGGGGGCTGTGATGAGGCCTGTGGCGTCGTTGCGGGAGAGGATGGTCATGAGGAGGATGAAGAGGAGGAGCCATATTCGCGCGTTTTCGCGGGTTATGGATGGCATGGTGGTAGTAGGTGGTTGGAGGGTGATTGCATTACTGATTAGTTAGATGGAGGTGGTGAGGATTAGTTATGGGCGGAATGGGTTGGTCATGTCGAGATATCGATGTGGCCGCAATATGGCTCCCAAATCGGGGAATTTAGGCCCCACGACTACCTCATCGATTTTTGCCTCTGGCACTTCGCTTCAGCCGGTGTTTATTGAAGATATGATAGATTTTAGATCAGTAGGTGGTGCGATTTTTGTTTAGGCCATAGGTGGTTTGTAAAACAAGCTTCGCTGTTGGGTTTTCGATGCCGAGAAAAGAAGTGCTTCGTGTCTTTGAAATTGTCGCCTGGAGGTTTGAGTGAAGCTCACGTCACTTACATGTACCGTGCGAACTGTGCGTGGTTGTGAACTCTGCACGGTACGATGTTTTAGCGCCAACCCCAAGCGCTATGGTCTCCCCTGGACTTGGGGTCTCTTCATCACCAAAGGCATCCAGCTATCAAAAAAAACATCTGCAACTAGCCAAACTCAGTACATTCCCGCTTCAAGGTTTATGTGATCCAGAAATTTTCAACAATGTCTTCCAAAGACGACTCTTCGTCGCAGACAGCCGTAAGTTAAAACCATCCTTGCTCGCTTTCAACCCGGAAATGAACACCCGCACTAACCCTCGAAACTAGGCTCACAACGATGCTCGTGGAGAGCTGACGGCCCAGGTCGAGGACCTCCTGGGCACCCTTTCTAATAAGTTTGCTACTGTGTCCAGCGAGATCTTCGCGAAGAGTAGGTTCCCTTGCTTACTTCTGTTTCCAAACTCCTTCGTTGTTGGGCGCAACTGACAGCAGCAGTGGATGAAATGTCTCGACGACTGGATAACCTGGAGGCCCAGTTGATTGCAAATAAAGATAAGGGCTCCGGGTCCAAGTAACTTGAGTTGATGGTCTCATTCTATGAAGAAAGCGGGGGTTTTGCTGGAGTACGGAGTTGAGCATGCATAGGTTCTAGGCGATATCCAAACCATCACAGCTCAAGTTTAGCCTGGAGGGTGTCATGGGTTATACCACTCATCACTCATTGATTGATCCATAATAAACTATATCCCCAGATACATCATCATGTTCTATGAACAGGCGTTGTCCATGCATTGCTGGTTCTACCAACATAATTCTTCTACCAACACCCCGCTGCATTAACATCCCTGTTTATCTCCGTGGGTTGCTTAGTTTACAGCTCCTCCTTCTGCTCCTCCACCTTGAACTTGCGAAGCACGTTGGTCTTGACAATCAGCTCATCCAGCTTAGTCGGCGCCAACCCACCCTTCTTGATGATGCCCTCCAGGCGCGAGAGCTCCTTAGCAACAAACTCCTCGCTCTTGCTAAGCTTGTCAAACACGCGCAAGTAGTACTCCGCATACTTGGCTTGCACCTTATCCGTAAGGGCCGCAGCGGCCTTCTTAGCCTCAGCCGCGACCTCGGCCAGCGCGGTGCCGCCAACCAGCTGGGACACGATGGTGTCTAGCGACTCGACAGTACCGGCCGTGGCATCGAGACCACCGCCCGCGGCACGGTGGGTGCCGGTCTTTTCGTTGAGGAAGGTAACGAAGGCATCCTCGGACCGGCCGCCGCTGTAGTCCTCCGGGTCGGTGGTGCCGGCGGGGAAGAACTTGATGGTCGGGTATCCCGTGACGCCGTATTCGGCCGCGGTGGCCTTGCCGTTCGCGGCATCGGCATCAACCTTGGCGATCACCACGTTGTCCTCGGTGGAGAAGGTGTCCGCGAGCGACTCCCAGATGGGCGCAAGGTTCTTGCAGTCTACAGGAGATCCATGTTAGTATTAACCAATAATAAGGCTCTCCAAAAACAGGGAGCAGGAGAGGGGGAGGGAGAACGACGTACGTCCACACCACGGAGCGGTGAATGCCACGAGAACGCTCTTGTCGCCGCCAATCTCGTTCTTGAAAGTCGAGTCCGTCAGCATAACCACGCTGCTGGGCTTCTCCGCCTTCTTCCTGGGCCGGATGCCCGTCTTATCGGTGATGAAGCTGGACAGCGCCTCCAGGTCCCGTCCGCCACTGTAATCCGTCGGGGTATCGCTCTTGCCATCGAAAAACTTCAACGTCGGGAAGCCCTGCACGCCAAACCGCTTGCCGAGATCCCGCTCGGCGTCGGCGTCGACCTTGGCGATCTGGACCTTGTCGCTGAACTCGAAGGCCGTGGCGAGCTCCTCGTACACGGGGGCCAGGTTCTTGCAGTGGCCGCACCACGGGGCGAAGAACTCGACGAGCGTCGGCTTGCCGGACTTGAGGACTACTTTGTCAAAGTTGTCGGGGATGAGGTCGAGGACGGCTGACTTGGCGGCGGCTGCGGCCGCGAGGCTGGCGAGCACGAAGCTCTTAAGGAGCACCATGGTGATGTAGTTATCTAACCACGGTCGAAGTCTGTGGTTATGTGGGCAAGAAGTTGGAAGTAGTTGAGGTCAAGAAGGGTCAATGCGTCTTCTTGAAGGAAAGAGGGGAAAACTGAACAAAAAAGCAACGAAAAGAGAAACCCCTGTTTCGTCTGGATGGAACAGACGGTGTGGCAAAGGCAGGATGATGCTTTGAAATCGCCGCCAAAGATGCCAGTTTGCGCCCTTGTGTTGGCTGACCGTTCAGAGCTACCCCTGTTGCGGCGCTGCAGCATGTTGTCACCGTGCAACCAGCGTTCCATCGACACTGTCTCCAGCTGGAACTCGAGCCCCACATCCCGACGACGAGGCCGCACCAGCCACACTAGGGCGCCACACTTTACCAGATCAGCCACCAACCGGCAAACCCTTCCGCACACAAAAAAGTCTCCGCCAAAATCGGCCCCAGCTCCATTTGGGGAATTTGAAATTTCGACCGACCACTTCCCGCGACGACCAGCCGAACCTCCGCCCAACGCCCTCACCGGATTCACTCCCGACCGCTTCTTTTCGTAAAGCACGAAACCTTTTTCTCAAGAAAAAAAGAAACCGTCAACATGGCTCACGAATCTGTCTGGAACTCGCGCCCGCGCACCTATGGCAAGGGCTCCCGCTCTTGGTAGGCCATCACCGAATCTCCACTGCAGTTTTGGGAAGAGGGGAAGGGAGAAGGGAGAAGCATGTTGGAGGGATATTCATGGAAGAAAGAGGGGGGATTTCATCAATGGGGTTGTGATGATGTTGTTTTTATAAGAAGGACAGAATTGCTGACGGATTTTTCTCCCAACAGCCGCGTCTGCACCCACCAGGCCGGTCTCATCCGCAAGTACGGCCTCAACATCTGCCGTCAATGCTTCCGTGAGAAGGCTGCCGACATCGGTTTCGTCAAGGTATGCCGCACGACTCCATACGCTGCAGTACTAGGGGAAATATCCCCTGTTCCACGCCCGCGATACCCATCCTCGCCTCGAAGTCTCACCATCTAACCACAATCTCTCTATAGTACCGGTAAACGCATCACCACAGCCAGGAAGTCGAGTTGGGATGGGCTGGAAGTAGTGGGTTAGGCAGGGTGGCGGTGGATGGATGAGAGGAAGCCGGATGGTCGTTTTGGACGGATGGACCGGGCGGTGTTTTAACTTGGTTTGTTCTTTTACAACAAAACGAGAGAGAGAAAGACCAAATTTCCGAACCGAACAACGAAACCACGGCATTGGCGCATGGGATAAACGGGTTAGGGAGCCAAATGGAATTGGGGAAAGACAAAAAATCCCAAATGTTCACTCAACTTTGGGAAACTACCTTTCCACAGATGGGAGTTGCCCTTTCAAAGGGTAGTGTGGCTTTTTGGGCGGGTGAAGTTCATTCATGGAGCCGGGGACAAGTACTTTTCCCGTACTTGTTTTCGGCCTTTGATTTGCGTGCCTCGAGGCAAAAGGGGCAATGCAACAGCGAATCCGCAAATCCATCCACTATACACTCACTCTCCCTATCTCTAGGCCCTTTATACGTCTCATCTGTCCCGTTGGTATGGGTATCTCAGAACCCTGCAGGGCAGATTGTAATGGATTGAACCCCCGGCCAAACTTCCAGTCTCTCGTCAGGTTGTCATCCCATGATATTAGTAGATGACAAACAAGCGTAAGTCCATGTAAATGTAAGCGAAGGATTATCCACATCCACCCAATGTAAACCACAGGTTCAAAACATCGTCATGCATCATTATATTGCCGTGTAAATCTCTATTCTACAGGGTTCAACAAAAAAGACAACTCTCGAAGCGGAAGAGGGGAGATCAGCGTGTCCAGAGCGGGTCGAGTCAAGCACCAGCACCATCAACCAGTACCACCACACCAGCAGCAGCACCAGAACGGGTACCATGAAGCAGTCACCTGCTCTATCCCAAGGCGCCTTGCAAAAAAGAAAAAATACAACATAAATGATTGTACAGTGAAGTTTTTGTTGGCTTCTCGACTCCGCAGCGCCGGCCCGCCCCGCAAAAATGAGGGGGTGTTTTTTGGTTGTTGTTTTTTTGTTTCCTTAAAACCGCCCGCCTCTTCTCGCTCCGGTCTGGTCTATATCCATCATCCTGTGTGCAATGCCGCCGCCCCGTTTCCGCCCTCCCACCCCCACCGCGCCGCTTTTTTGACCCCCCGTCATCACAATCGTACAGTAACTGTCGTAGCAGCAAAACCTTTTATTTTCCTCCCACTCATCGGGTTTGGGTGGCTAAGCCGGCTGGGTTGGTTGGCTGGTTGGCTGGCCGGTTTCAGATGGCTAGCTTGAGGGTTTGTTTACTCGATGATACGGGTAACCAGCCCAGTGCCAACGGTGCGGCCACCCTCGCGGATGGTGATGCGCATACCCGCCTCGATGGCGATGGGGTGGTGGATCTCGGCGACCATCTCGACGTTGTCGCCGGGCATGACCATCTTGTCGTGGGCATCGGCGGTGCCCTCGGGGAAAGTGAGCGTGCAGGCCTCGTCGGCGGAGCGGATGAACATCTGGGGGCGGTAGTTTTGCTGGAAGCCGGTGTGGCGGCCGCCTTCCTCCTTGGTCAGCGCGTAGAGCGAAACAAGGAACTTCTTGTGGGCCTTGACGGTGCCGGGGGCGGCAACGACCATGCCACGGCGGACATCCTCGCGGCGGATACCACGGAGGAGGAGACCCGAGTTGTCACCAGCGCGCGACTCCTCGCACGACTTCTTGAAGGTCTCGATATCGGTGACCTTGGTCTTGATGACCTCGGTGGCCTTGCCGATAATCTCGACGTCGGCATCCCGCTTCAGGGTACCACGCTCGACACGGCCCGACACGACGGTACCACGGCCACCGATCGAGAAGACGTCCTCGACGGAGAGAAGGAAGGGCTTGTCGGTCTCACGCTCGGGGGTGGGGATCCACTCGTCGACGGCCTTCATCAGCTCGTCGATCTTCTCCACACCGATTTCGGGGCGCTTGTTCTCGAGGGCGCACAAGGCGGAACCAAGGACGACAGGGGTGTTGTCACCGTCGAAGCCGTACGAAGTGAGCAGCTCACGCATCTCCATCTCGACAAGTTCCAACATCTCGGCATCCTCGAGGGCGTCGACCTTGTTGACGAACACGACGATCTTCTGGACACCGACCTGGCGGGCCAGGAGCAAGTGCTCACGGGTCTGGGGCATCTGACCATCGGAGGCGGCGACGACAATGATCGCACCGTCCATGGAGGCGGCACCAGTAATCATGTTCTTGATGTAATCGGCGTGACCGGGGCAGTCGACGTGGGAGTAGTGCCTGTTCTCGGTGGCGTACTCGATGTGGGAAGTCGAGATGGTGATACCACGCTTGCGCTCCTCGGGAGCCTTGTCGATAGAGCCATAGTCGAGGTAGTTAGCAAGGCCTTTGTCGGCTTGCCTCTTGGTGATGGCGGCGGAAAGGGTTGTCTGCAATGGCCAAAGTTAGTTCCCTGCATCGAGGCATGGGTCGTCTCAAGGTAATATCTTTTTCGGTTTGCGGACCTTTCCGTGATCGACGTGACCAATTGTGCCTGAAAATCCATGTCAGCGGTCGAATACCGGCGGGAGAGCCCACAATGGCGTACCGATGTTGACGTGAGGCTTGTTGCGCTCGAAGACGGCGGCGTATGTGCGGGCGAAGTTGAGCACCGGGGTCCTTGTCTCGCGCTGGAGCGACACCAGCGGGCTCTGGGTCTGGCGGAGTGAAAGGCGCGCCGTCCGCAGAAGCGGTGCAAAAGTCCGCAGCGAAGCAGGCATCTTGAATATCGCTCGCAGAAACACTGAACGAGTGAAAGGGGCGGAGATGCGGGAATCAACAGTCAAAGAGCTGCTGTTGGACGAACTCGGCACAACTTGGAGCGGAAAATTTGGCTCTCCAAAAGTCGGGTGTGGCCGCACGGACCATAATGCGTCTTGTGCGGGCCAAGCTCGATGGAGGGGTTGTGCAGTGAGCTCACGTGCTTGCGCGCTTGGTGGGGGAATAGAAATCATTTATCGCGTTCCTCCATCAATCATAACCAATTCTCAAAAACCCAGCCGAATCGTTGATTTCTTTGTGAACCTATGGGAACATGCACTCGTTCTAACTGCCCATGTTATCCGGTACTGCCAAAATCGCAAACGTTCCAAACACAAGACCTACAGCATTGTTGAGACAAACAGTGCCAATCGACTTGCGTTTTCATCTCGCCTTACCCTCAGATGATGTATCGGCTCCGAGGGGCCAAAAATAACTTTTGCAGGATGAATTTACCCGATAGCATAGGGTTCTTTTGACGACAAGATTACTCGGCGACTTCTACCCCGGCTAAGACTACCTGCTACGGGACGATCTTGAGGATCGTGTTGGCGGCCGTTGGGCAGGGCATCCTAGGACTCGGTCCAAGTTCAAATATCTCAGCTGGGGAGCTGTCTAGCTTGCGAGTTTATAAAAAATGCTCCTCGACTTGAACTAGGGAATAGACTCGAAGCGCCATTCGACCACAACCCTGAGACCAAAAGCTTAACATATGCCGAGGCCTCGTGGGCGTGCGCAGACTCATAACCGCCCCCCTGTCGTTGTTTCGACAAGGGGCTTGAGCTTGAGGGTAGGATTCGGCACATGTAGGTCTGGACCTCTACCATTTTCACAAACGACCGCCCGCAACCTCTTCTGTGGATAGTAGAGGCTCTCACTACCCAGCAAGCGACAAGACGGACACTTATTGTCGGCTTCTTAGCTCTTTTCAAGGGATAAGATCCAGCCTTGGGGTGGACTGTCCGTGAAACCAACCACACCGAACTGAAGGAGACCCCTTAACCTCGTCACCCTTATCTGCTCGGTCACATCAAATCTCACGACTGCGATTTTGAGCTCGATCCATTCCGTCGTAGTTGAGTCGGAGCTCAAACGACAACGGAGCCCGAGATCTGCGGCTCGTGCTGAGACGAAGCCTTGTTGTGTGCAGGGCATAGATACACTTGGCGGAGCACTTGGCGGATGGCGATAAACGTCGCTCAGACCAGTGCTTCATACCCTTGCCTGCACGCGACCTGCGTCCGTACCGTGTAAACAACCGATTCTCGGAATCTCGTTGGCCAAGGAAGCTTGGGAAGCTTGACGAAGAGATCTCTCAATCAAGCCGGCGCCTGAGCGCAGTCCAGATCCAGGAAGTCGGGCGGGTTGTCCTCTTCTTGGCTCGACCACTTGGAACGGCCAATCGGCTTGGCAGAGTCTCATGTACGATTGAGCCGCGATCGACCGTCTTCAACCCTCCCCCTTTTGGGACTCCTGTGGAAGCGCCAGGGCATGTTTACGCGTGACGGGACGGCACACTCTATTGCCGGGGGTCGTTGCATTTTCGTCGTGTTCTCGTCTGAACTTTCCCGACATGGGGTTCGCTCACACATTCCACCCCACGACGCACTACCCACCACCCCGACGACGACCCCGGAAAGGCGAGGACGCAGACACTTGGTCGCGCAGTTGCCGGCACCTATTATTGGCCCGCACCGGGCAGTGTCACGTCCGTTTCAACACCTTAAAGTTCATCGTCTGCCCTTCTCCTGCCAAGGCGAGCCTGACTTCTCCGTGAAGCAGGCATAGGCTTGGCGACTTGGGGAAGTGAAGGAGATGAGAGAAGACGAGAAGAAGGGAGGCTGGGCGTGGACGGACGGTATGGGGGTTGAAGGTCAACGCCATGGACCCAGTCTAGGTATATAGATCTATGGGTGCAAGTTTCCGTCTTGTTTTACTTCTCCCTTCCTTTCCCTCCCATGAGCTGTGCTCTCTAGTATTCGTCCGACGTTGCGGTTTCGTTTCTCTTTTTTTATTATTTTCTTTCGTTGTTCACTTCCCCCGCTGGTCGTCGTCGCTGGTCGCTTTTACTGGTTGTATTATTTAATATACCCTCTCTTTTACGAACCCCCCTTACGAAACCCACGGGCAAGCCCAGCTCTATCCAAGATGGTCCGGTACGCCATTGTAGCCTTTGCCGGTCTGGCCGCGGCGTTGCCGCTCAATATCAACCTCGGCGCCTACTCGCCGGCCCTAGTTGTTGGTACGTCATAGTCCCCCCCCCTCACCTACCAACACATACACACACACGAGTCCAGATCACTGACAAGCCCACAGGTGATGGTGAAATCAGCTTTGGAGGTAGGCAGGACGTGTCGAACTTGATCACCGCGCTCGAAGGCGCTGCGGTTAACGCTGCCGCAGGCGCGGCCAACAACAACAATAACGCCGCTGCCGCTGGTGCCAATGCTGCTGCTGCCGCTGCCGACACGAATGCGGGTGCTGGGACTGGCGCGGGCCAGGGAGCCCCAACGATTGTTGATACCAACAACAATGGAGTAGCGGCGCCCACGCCTGTCATTGAGGGCGCAGCCACCAACGCGGCTGCGGATCCAGCTCTTGCTGAGCAGGTCAGTCTCCTTACCTAGCTTCCATGACCTCAGCTATCCCCAGCTTTGATATCGACCATAAGCTAACCTCAGCCCATCCCTTCATCGCCCATCACAGGCCCAACAAATAGCCGGTCTCCAAGGCCTAGGCAAAGCCATCGCGCCACGCATCGACAACACCGCCGGGACCGAGGCCGCAGCGAAGCAAAAGCGCGACCTAGCCGGCTTCGACCGGGCCCTCACATTCGCCGAGGCAGCGCTTGTCAAGGGCCCCAAGGTCGAGCTCGGCACCGGCGCCGAAGGCTCCGGCGTGGGCATCATTGTCGATCACTCGACGGGTATGTCCGGTCCATCTTCCCGCGGCGGCTCCGGATAAAACCTCCCTCCGACCTGACCTACCTGACTTTGATCGTGTGTTTTGTGTGATACCAGCGGCAGCGGAGGCCCGGCAGCTTTTCGCTTTCTCTCTCTCTCTCTCTCTCTCTATCTTCCCCATTCAGCCCCTACCCCCCTTCCCACAACGATACATACAAACAGACAGTGACATCCCCCACGAATCCTATTATGAGAAACTAACACACCGATTTCACAGCCGGTGAAGGCGCCCGCGTCGCCAAACGCTCCACCACCACCGCCACTACCACCCCCCGGCGTCGTGCCAAGGTCACCACCATGTTTGTCCGCCGCGGCGTTCCCGCTTGTGTGTCCCTCACCCCCCTCAGATTATTTCAAGAAAAAGGTTCTAACAAAAACCAGCCCTAAACAGCCACTCCGAAGCCGCTGCCGCCGCAGCAGCAGCAGCCGTCCTAGCCGCTCGCTCGCCCTCCTCCTCTCCCGAGGATAATAACGCCCCCTTTGTTACCAGGTCCACTCCTGCTACTGCTACCACTATGGAGAAGGCCAAGGCCAAGCGTGATGTAGCCAGTGGCAGTGCTGGCGGTGCGTTTGACGAGGTGAACCTTAATGTGGACGGTGACGCGGGCGTTACCATGACTTTTGTGGAGAGTTTCGAGGATGATAACCAAGGGGATCAAGCTGACGGGGTTGATGAGGTTGATGTGGAGGAGTAAGGAGGCAATGGGTTAATGGGTTATGAAGGGGTGTTTGATATGAAACTACGATACAGTGCGGGAGGTATGGATGAGACCAGCAACGTGGAATTGAGTCGGCGTTTGGCGTTGTTGTCTCTGAGTGGCTTATTTTTTGTATTAGTCGATCGATCGAGAGCGGAATATAAAATTCAGAAAATCATAAGGGGCGTCTTTCCGTGGATTTGAGAAAGGGTTGGTTTTGTCTTATCTTTTTGAGGGAGATATTCACACTATAGCTCCCAAATGAATAATCTCAAATTGACTGTACCTTCAAATCAATGGCGATGTTAACGGCCAAGCTCAGGACGATGCCAGCAACGCTTCGCAGTATCAGTACATACACATAGTTACAGCCCTCTTCCCAGAGATTTCCCCCGATGGGACCTACTACTTCCACTCCTTATAAGCCTTCTGCCTCTGCCTCGAATTCCACGCCAACTTCGCACTAATACTATTAATCCAATCCTCACTCCTCCTCCCACTCGGCTGCACACACGCAAACGGATACCGACTCGCGCTCACCGTGACATAATCCCCCGGCCGCAACTCCACCCTCTCCCGCCCATCAAAACTCGCCCACGAACTGGCGCGGGCATCGTAGGGTACGCCGATGCGCAGAACGATGGTGTCGGGCAGGATGACGGGGCGGAAGGATAATGTGTGCGCGCAGATGGCGGCGACCAGCATGACGGGGTTTTCCGGGTGGCAGAGGGAACCGCCTGCGGCGAGGTTGTAGGCGGTTGAGCCCGTGGGGGTGCTGACGCAGACGCCGTCGGCCGAGACGGAGGTGAAGTGCTCGTCGTCGCCGAAGATGTCGACGTTGCTCATTGCTATACATGTAAGTTGGGGTTGATGTTGGGGTTAGGGGTAATTTAGAGATAGGTATGGGAGTGACTTACTCGGATTCGGCCCACGATCAACAACAACCTCATTAAGCACCTCATACGTCCCATCCGGCCGATGGGTATGCTCATCATCCTTCTCCTCGCCAATCAACTCCTCCACCAAATCCCGCACCGGCGACGTCTCCTCCTCCTCCCCCTTCCCCCCTTCAACAACCTTCCTCTCCTGACTCCTCATAACAGTCGCTTCAAACCTCAACCTCAAACTAACCGTCACTCCATCCTGAAACGCCCCCGTGAGTGTCTTCTGATAATCCTCAAAATCAAACTTGGTCAAAAACCCCAGACTACCCAGCGCAAAACTCAGCACGGGCGGCACGATACGCTGGAATAGCCAGCTGGCGTATAGCACGGTGCCGTCGCCGCCGAGGGTGATGACGAAGTCGAAGGTGTGTGGGCGGGACCGGCAGATGGCTTCGTCCCAGTAGCGGAGGCGTTTGGGGAGGTTGTCGGCTTCTTCCTGTGCCTGCGCCTTTTCCTGCTCGCTGAGCTCGCTGGGCTCGGCGGAAGAGAGATAATCCCGACGAAGCTCCTCAATCAAACCCGGTGCGTCAAACTTCTTGTTATCCCGCAGTTCACGATCAACATAGATAGTATACCGCACATCACGATGGCGATCAAGCAACCATCGGGATAACTCGCGGGTCTTGGTGATAAGGGTCGGGTCGTAGATTTTGGTCAGCAGGAAAATGGTCTTGACGCGGAAGCGCAGCCGCATGGAGCCCAGGCGACGGCTGAGCTCGCGCACGCCCCAGGCCATCTCGCTTAGTTGCTGTTTGGTGAGGAGTCGCGAGTTGGGGGCGTCGACGGAGGCGGAGCGCCGGTCGAGTTGGGAAGGTGTGCGGGAGAGCGTGCCGACCATGGAGCGTCGCCATTGTTTTTCGTCGAGCTGGCCGGGGCCGGGGGTTGAGGTGTTGCTGTGGGTATTGTTTGCTGCGGTGCTTGGGCTGACATGGTTGTCGTCGTTAGGGGTGTAGTCCTCCTCGCCTTCAAGTTCATACCCATCACTGCCAACGCGCGAGTCTCGGATCACAGTCGCGTAGGGTTGCAATCCATCATCAGAATCCTCCCGGCCCAGGTCTTTGGCCTTCCCGGCCTTGGGATCAAGAGGCCGATCTGACCCGGCCTCACCGGACACATCCTCAGCCTCGCAAGCAGCAAACCCGACCTTGGGTTGGTGTACCTGGGTGGTTCCACCATGGTGGCCCTCCAGGTCTCCATCCTGCTCTGCCTCATTCCCACCATGCAAATGCGACTTGATCTTCCGCTGGTTGGCCAAGAACTGGTGGACCAGACACTCTGTCCTGCGGCGTCCCGGCGGTGGTGCACGACGGAGATGCGGGGGGACGGCGTCCTCAGAGACCAGGGAGCTCTTGCGGCGGTAGGGGTTGGAGTCGTCAAAGACAACCTGTGCAGCAAGCAAATATCCTAGGATTAGTAACCCAGTCTCGGAGTCTCGGAGTGAAGAAACGTGTTATGAGGAAGTAAGGCAGTGCTATGCTGCTGTGTAACAAACATACCTCAACGGCGTTCCGGTCCTCGTCACTGACGGACGAGCGGCGGTCGTCAAAGGAGACACGCTTGGGCGAGGCTGATTCGGACATGGCTGTCTGTCGGAGGTCTATTTCCTCCGAGATATCGAAAAGAAAGGTGAGTTGAGATACAACGACCTGTCACCAAATGGTACTGTAATTGTAATGTAACGGCCAATGGTTATGGTATGGTTACGCAATTCAGTCACCCAACGCCTTCGTAGCTGTGCAACGTCTTAGGCGTGGGCAAGACAGCAGGACAATGCATTCCGAGCATCCGAGGTGTTGTGCCGCTGCTGCTGGTCCGGTAAAAGAAGGCCCGGTGTCCATTACTCATTTCATGCATTCCCTGTGACATTGAGATGCATGGGTGATGTTTGGGGTGTACCTTTGGGGTCGCGTTCACTGCGTCATAGCGGGGTAGCTACAGTTGGACTGAGCCCCGCACTCCCTTACCTGTGTTTTTTACCTGTCACTTCACGGCCTGCTGTCTTGGATTGACTTTTGGAAGAGAAAGGGGTGAAACAATGGAAGATATATTGAAGTTCTTTGGGGTAAAGTGGTTCATGCACAATAACTCATCCTTATTGTCTCTTATCTACAATTGAGGTGGTGTCGTGAGATGTTGAGCTATGTGAAGTTTATCATTAAGAACTTAATAGTTCTTTTTCTTTGAGATAAAATAGAATAAACAAGCAACCTATGTAACCACCCCAAAGCTAAGTCAAAGAGGTGGAGGTAAAGACGAGAAAAAGAACAAAACTACGAAGTAAGAAATATAAAATTAGAAGAGAAAACAAGTACAGCCCCTTTTCCTAGCCCTCCTCTTCAACCACACAAGACAAATATCTCATCTGAATCAACTTCTCCTCTCAGCAGTAGACAAACCGGTATGTACTTAGTACTACAACCTCGGAGTCCGGAACTGAATCCTCTTTCCCCCACGAAACACAATTCCATACACAGCCAGGCTGACTGCATATCCAGGTTTCATCCACGGAACTATCTGTCTCCCTCACTCAACCAAGTCGAAAGCTTGATACCGTGGCCATTACTCCCCCCAAGGCCCTTACCTTAGTTAGGCCTGCCCACCACCTATCTATCTGTCTCACCCACACTTCACACACGGCTTCACACACGCCACAAATGCAAGTAAGCAAGGACCTCAGACCGGACGGGAGACGAAATATTGAACGACTAGGCATCCCTTGGGCTGCACATATGCCGTAACCAACCTGTCCCAGCCCAGCCAGCCACTAACCCCTCCCCAGAGACGCTGAACCACCAAACCATCAAGTTAAGTTACTCCTTGATTCACCGATCCCCCGATCCACCGATCGATTCACAGAACGAACCGATAGAACAGCTCCACAGAGCAGAAACCACAACGAACCACGAACCACGAAACATCCGACCCAACCACGGCTCCGATCCCGACGAGTCCGCAGCAGCAGCATCCTTCAATCGTTCGTTCCCCGACTCGGTATCTACCCGGTATCAGCCAGGCCACACAGCAGCCTGCATACCTAGGTACTCTACATAACGTGTAAGCGACCAAACAAGCAGACGGCAGACGGTAGACGGCAGGCCATTCCGACTCCGACTCAACCTGTAAGAGTATGTACGGTGTTCTTTAGTCTGCCCTTGTTTCACTTTTATCGTCTCCTAGGCACTGGGCGGTGTAAGCGGTGTATAAGCAAGCGCATAACCACACATCTGGTTACTCGACACTGCCGGGCAGCCGGGCAGCCGGGCACCGACAGGTGACAGCACAGCACAGCACAGCGCAAAGTGCAGCAGCGTACATGTAACAGAAGCTGAGCCGGTCTGCAAGTGTCTGCAAGTGTCTGTCGCTCGAGGTACATGCATACATCCTGTACATACCTATCTAGCTGCAGACAGACAGACCGACCCGGCCTGCGGAGAAGACAGACACGGCACGACAGACGAGACCACAGCAGCCACCCACCGCCTCAGTCTCTTCTGTTCTGTCTGACCCCTTTACTGCAGACTTGCAGATTCCCAATGACACACTAACGCAGTGCAAAGCAAAGCAAAGCAACGCAAAGCAAACGCAGCGTAACGCGACATATCTCAGATCGGGACCACACACACCCGCGTCCGTCCCTATCTACCCACCGCCCACTGATTACGGCCAATATCAGCCCGCATCATCAACTGGCAGACATACGCATAGGCGCCCTGGTACAGAGACAGAGAGCAACACAGCCCAACTCAAACCAACCGGCTTGTTTCTCGAGCAAGCAAGGAGATAGGTGTTCGAGCACACTAGAAGCAGCAAGCCTCAAACAGCAAGCCCCAGGAAGCAAACCTCAAGAAGCAAGCAGCCGTTAACCACCAGCCACCCTACTGTAGTAGCAGAAAGGCGGAAAACTAGCAGCCATGAAACACCTCATTCTCGTCGGCGCGTGCTACCTCGACACCATCCTGACGTGAGTTTGGCCGGTCTCACACACTCATGCATACTGTGCTATGGTAGACACACACACACACATTCTCTCTCTGCCTCCTTCACGCACATTTTTTCTCTCACCCAAGTTTCCTCTCTCACACTTACACGTCCACACACCTACACATTCCTCACTTACGGTGTATAAACGAGCCCCACGTACACACCCTTCCTTACCTTCCCCCCCTTTCCAGAATACAACATTTGTACGACCCACCATCAGGTCACTTACACCATAATCCTCCCGCAATATGCACTCCCAGACTTACACCATACCTACTCACACCGCACACACACTCACGCACCTATTTTACACTTCAACGCCTCCACGCTTACATTGTACATCTTACACACACTCACACAGCACACACATACACCGTCCACGTACACTTACCTACACTATACACCCACGCACATACACCCACAGCATACCCTTACACAGCACATACCGCACACAGCATAAACTTACACTTTCCACAACCCCCACCTTTACCACCACCTTCGCCCCCACCCTTACACAGCACGCACTTTCACCGCACACATACCTTCACACACACTTACACAGCACACACTTACACTCACCCTAGGATCCCCCACTTCCCCACAGAGGACTCCAAGCTGCGCGCCACCGCCCTCCAGGTGCGTCGCGGGGGCAACTGTCCCAACTCGCTCGAGGTGCTGGCCCAGTTGCTGGCTGCCTCGTCTGCTGGTCTTGTGGACGCCGATGGTACTGATGGTACCGATGGTGCTGATGGTACCAGTCTCACTGGTCTTACTGGTCTCACTGATCCCATCGAGTCAGTCCGGGGTGGTGGTGATGAGAGAGCTGGTAAGGCGGGGGAAGTCGATGGGGTAGTCGAAGGAGGTGAGGGCCGAGGTGAAGGCCGAGGTGATGCTAGAGGTCGGTATGGTAAGGCTGGTGGTGGACATCAAGGCAGTAGTGGTGGCAGTAGCAGCAAGGGTCCAAGTCGAGAAAAATCAGACCCAGACCCAGTACACCACTTACCGCCTACCAAACTGCACCTCATCACCTGCCTCCCCGACGCCTCATCTGCCGCAACCCGCCAGATCCTCTCCTCGTTCGGCACCACCACCATCCCCTCTCCTACCACCACCGCTAGCAGCAGCACCACTAGCAGTGATCAAACCACCACAATCGACCTCTCCCACTCTTTCTTCCGCACCGGACATGACACGCCGGCCAGCTGTTATATCCTGCGCACGTCCGGGAGTGGCCCCGATGGCGGCGGCGGCAGAGGTGGCAGCAGCGATGGTAGCCGGACGATTGTCAACTACAGCGATCTGCCGGATATGACGGCCAACGAGCTGGAGGGTGTGGTCGATGCTTTTGTTGAGGAGATACGCCGGGAGGGCGATAATGGGGTCGGCGAGGACAGTGACAAGGGCGGCGGCGGCGGATGCTGGTGGCACTTCGAGGTGAGCGAAACCCAAATATCCCCCCTCCTGTCTTCGCATCTTCTTTAGTCCCTCAGTCTTCCCGTCTCCAGCTCCTAACATATCCCGCGGCAGGGCCGCATCCCAGAAACAACCCTCCACTGCATCCAGCACCTCCGCCGCGCCATGCCGCGCTGCACCATCAGCGTCGAGATCGAAAAGCCCGGCCGGGCAGGCCTAGCCGAGCTGGCCGCAGCGGCCGACGTTGTGTTTTACTCGCGCAGCTGGGCCGAGGTGAGTTTGTAATCATCTGGCAGCGTCACCAGCCAGAAGAAGAGAGAGAGCGACGACCGGTCTGACATATCTCTGACAGAGCCGAGGATACGTCTCACCAGAAGCCTGTCTCAGGGGTGAAGCGCCGTCGACAAAAGCGTGAGTGATTTCTTTTCCGTCGGTCGTTGCTTTCCGCTTCGGAACCTTCCTTGCCTTGCCTCCCTATCCTGCCCATTAGAGCGAGTTGCAGCCAGCAGCGACATTTCGCTCCGCTTCGCCGCGGCGGTCTGTGCTGTTGCGAGTCCTCACGGACAGCACGTCGTGTCGTTCTCGTCGAAAATTGGCATCAACTGACAGGAGAAACCGGGAGGGGGTTTATCCCCGAAACCGAAAAAACAAAACAGTTCCCTCATGTTCTGCACGTGGGGAGAACAAGGTGCGGGGGCTCTCAGCCTGCCCGAGGGTGAATACATCCACCAGCCTGCGACGAAGCCCGGAGAAGAAAGTATACCCGTGGTCGAGTAAGTCATCCCCCCAAATTACCCCCCATCTTAACCGTTGATCGTGTCGGTGAGCGAGGAACAGAACGGGTTGACGGGGGAGGGAAAAGCGGGTAAAGCAAAAGAGAGAAAAAAAAGCAAAAACAAAACAAGGGAAAGAGAGAACGCTCCGGCGCTTGCGGGGGAGAGAGTGTGTGCGTGCGTGCACTGTCGTGGCCGCTTGCTGCTGCTAGTGCTGCAAAAGGCTGCAAGTGTGAGACCGAAAAAGAAGAAGACAGCAAACAGCCGACCCGGTCTGCAAACAAACTCGGTCGGAGCGGGGGGGAAGGAGGAAGGGGGAAGATGGCGTCGGTGGCGGCGGGGTTTGCCCTCCTCCACAGCCATCCTGCTTGCCTACACACAGGAGTGTATGTATTCTCCCCCATCGGTCGGGCTGGGTTGCGCTGGGCTGTCTTGCAGTCCGCAGGATGCAGAAAACGTTTTGCTCGGCGGGCCTCTTTTCGGCCATGCCACTCACGACCGCACGCCTTCTCTCTCTCTCTTGCTCCCCGCACCCCTCTTTCCCACCCCCCGTCAACTTCAGGTCTCCAAACTGCCGAGGCTCGGAGGCGTTCCTCCAAATTGAATCTGTCCGGATGTACGAGAATACCATGGACTGGGCTAACGGTCTGCTGTGTGTGCGTGTGCCTGTGCACACGCGCGGGTTGTGTTGCGTCGTTTCAGCACTATCGGCGCGGGTGACACCTTCATCGGCGCGATGCTGTATGGCCTGCATGCTCATGCTCATGCTCATGCTGCTGATGCTGCTGCGACTTTTCCCGGTGCTAGTCCTGGTCTTGCTGGCCGTGCTGTGCGTGAGACACAAACACAGACACAAATACAGACACGATCACAGACACGGTCACAGTTGCAGTCACAGTCACAGTCGCAGCTCCTGGCCTTTGCTGTCGGACTCGCTACCAAAAAGGTCCAGAGGGAAGGTTTTGCAGGTCTTGCCGAGGGTGGCGCCTTTGTGGTGGGTGCAGGCGGGCTGCAGTTCGGCCGTTCTTCTCTTCGGAACACGGGTCCTGGTCCGGGTCCGGGTACGGCACGGGTGCAAAGTGATTGATTGACCCGCGGTGGTGCCGCTGCCGGGCCGGTGACTTGCGTTTTTTCGTCGAAGTCGGGTTTTAGTGCAGATTCGTTAGTTTGAATTGAGTGTCCTCGTGACAACGCGGAAGACACCCCAGGGGGGGGAAGAAAACACCAGAACCCTTGTTCGTGACTGGTCGTGTACAAAAAAAAAAGGCGTCGTCGGAATCGGGCAGGTGGCGGGTGCGGCAGGGGGTTGGATGGATGGGGTGAGGAAAGATGTGCGCTGTGCTGCGGCTTGTTGTTGCTGCTGTGGATGCTGCTGTGGGTGAAAGGGAGGCCGGAAAAGGGGGCAAAAACAAGAGTATGCGCTGCTGCTGCTGACGGGCTTGTGATCAACCGCAACCGTCCCCTGATGCGCCCAAGCGAAGCCCCCCCACTGCGTGTGGCTGGAGGGGACCGACTGCTAAGGAACTAGCGGAAGTACAAAGTACCACAATCCATGAGTCGGTGGGAAGAAATAGTGTAGTAACTGTACGTAGTTTGGCGCCAAGGCGGACGTTCAATCTCGTCCCATGTCCGCGATCACGGACGGAGGTGACGGCTAAGCAAGCACCCGCCGAAGGAGGAACTCCAGTCTCCAGGGAGGAGCCACAAGCACAGCCAGCACGGAGGCAAGCTCGCTGCATGTTTGAGAGAACGGGATCAAGGGATGCGAAACGGGCGTTGTGCGGCGGTGGACGGAAAAGGCGGTGAAATGAGCTGGTGAGCTTGCAAGCTTGGTAACCCTAAGTTAGTCTCGGTCTCTCTGTTGCTTGCTCGCCGACGTTGGAAGTTGGACCAAACAGAAACTCTGGTCCGCAGCAACTCCTTTTCACTCTCCCCACTATGCATGAAGCAGACGATTGCCGGTTCCGGGCACAGTCGATGGTCGATGTGAACCACACCCACACTTGTCACTTGAGTTCCAAACAGACAAGGAAGCGGCTGGCTCGCTGACCGGCTGACTGACTGATGGACCATGGCCGGATGATGGAATGACAGACCAACGAAAACCGGGCGTTGTCGGGTCACCGCCCAGACAGTCCATCAATCATCAACCACCAACCAAGCCAGTCCAACCCGTCTGTCCCACCCCTACAGATTGGCAGTTTGGCAGATGGGCAGATTGGCGGCCAAACAACTCTTAACTAGTTAGTTGCTTTCGCCTGCCTGTGGTTCCAGACAGCAGGCGAACCCATGCCCGCAGCACAGCGCTTCTCACCCAGACAGATACACGAGACGGACCGAGAGACGCACACGGACGGTGACCGCCGGCCGTCATCATTGTTGATCAATCCATGGAATGGGCCGTTGGGCCGGCCGGTCGCTTGCTCCATTTGCGTGAGTGTGAGATGATGAATGACCTGACGTCTTGGCCGAATGGCTGTTACCCCAGCAAGGCGCGACAACCTTCGCAGCCCAACCCTCGCCATCAAAGCCAATGTGACAACAGAGGCAGAAAAGAGGGGTGGTGGTTGTGACCCGGATGAAGAGGCGCGGCCAGAAATTACTAGTATTTGATCCGACATGTCGCATGAGACGAAAAAGGGGACAGGCCCGTACCCGTCGCGAGGCTTTTGCCGGAAAAATGTTGTTGTCGTGGCATGAAACGGAACACACTAAGAGCAGCCCACCGCAGCCCTCAGCGTAGCGCTAATTTAGGAGGTTGAGTGAGGGGTGACGGTTACAAGCGAGTCGTCCCCTTTTTTTTTTTTTCTTGTCTCTCGACACAACCCCACAATATCCTACCACTGCTGCGCTGCTGAACGAGGGGAAACCTCGCGAGAAAGCGGAGACAGCGGGCGGTACGAACTTCGAAGTCGCTTCGAAGTGAAAGTGATGACAGCGAGCGAAAATGGAGGGGCGGACGGAGAGGGGGGCGCAGGACAAGGCATTTCCGGATCGGCAACGCAAAGTCATCAATCCCATCATCTCTCGGTGTGTGAAATTGAAAAACGACGCTCAGTCGACGATGGAGCGAGCGACAAACCTCGGGACGGGATAGCCTGACGCGTCCCGGATCACCACATGTCCCTTTGCTAGGTGCCTTGCTGTCTCGTTGGCGTTTTCTCGGCATGCTGCTTCCTTTTTCCTCTCCCCCCGCGTGCCCACCCGCCCCTGTGCCACTCACACTTGCTTGCTTATGGAGAGATCGTGTTGATGAAGCTGTCTGTCACTTGCGTTCCGTGGACAAGATGCATGGGGGCACCCACACACGAGTTCCAGGTTGACGATGGAATGGGAGAGCGAGAGTGGCTGCGGTGGATCATGGACTGTTCTGGCATGGGGACCGAAGGAACGAAGGCACGAAAGGTACCGTCGTGTGTGGCGCTCATCAATTCCCTCTTCCCAAGCGACATCAAGGGGCGAAAAAGGGCTGGTACGGATTACGGATCCTCTGCAAGAGCTTGCTGACTCTCCAAAGTCCCACCGAGCAGGGAGCGACCGGCCAGCCGTGGCACCGTCCTTCGTCGTTGCATTCCGGATACGCAGAAGGGCGAGTGGGAAGTGGGAATGTCTCGCAGGCTCAGGGTTGTGTGGGCGACGAGCTGATTGACTCCGACGAGTCGCGCCCGCAGGGCTCGGGGTCAGGTAAGATCCAGGGACCAGTCGGAGCCACAGGGGCTAACAAGTGAGCTGTGAACCGATGGGACAGGAGAAGTCGGTTCCAAACTGTCGCCCTCCGCCAGCTGCTCGGCTACCCTTGCCTGCCTTGCGACGGTGCCACGGTGCGTGCGTTGGGCTCTCCTCGTGTACTAAGTTATGTACAGACTGTACGAAGTAGTTAGCTCGGGGCGAATAGGCCCGTTGGCACTGCTGGTTTGAGGCCCTGGGAAGGGATACACTCGAGTGGGTTACAGTGCCGTCAGCGCCCCCTAGCGCCCGTCAATCAACGGAGCAAAGGGCTTGACGCAGGCTGCTGAGTTGGCGATTTGGTGACTCTTTTCCTCCCAGGCAGACCAGGGTAAAGGCCCATTTGAGACGCAAAGCACCTGGCTTTTTTGGCGCTCTCTCGGATTTCCATCTTGAGGCGTGCCAGGTCCCACATGCAAAGAACGATGCACGCCGCTTGGCGCCGAAGTGCCTGGCAGGGTGTCTCGGTCGCTCCTTTTCTTGCTGATCCTACACATTCCAGGCGAGGTGGAAGAACGGCCGGCCGGAGTGGACAGCCCAGGCATGCAACAAATCCCCGATTGATGAGACGACCGAGGAGCGCAAAAGGTGTTTTGAGGCAAAGCGTCCAGATGCGGAAAAAGCCGCAGGCTTGGCAGGGTAGTCGATGATCCATTCTCGACCATTGATCCATTGGATCCATTGATCCATCTTGCAGCTCGGAGTGAAAAGCTGACGAGAATGTTATTTAGTGTCGTGACTTGCATCGATGGGGGTCCTCCCGAGTCGCGAGCGCCCGACCCCAAAGCCGACAAGATCGACTTTGGCCTGCCAGGCGCTCGCCTGATGGCCTGGTGACCTGATGAAGCCTCATTCATCATCCTCACATTCCCACCCCCCTCCTCATGCACTTATTAGACGCTCCTGTTGTCCTTCTCGATACTGAACAACGTTGCAGTAGTGTACACAGTAGGTGCTCTCTAGGCGGACTACATAGGAACTCAACCGCTCACGTTCCCCCACATGCGCGCGAGGTGCGGCTCGAGGAAAGCAAGACAAGCGACAAGCCGTCGTACGGGGGGCGTGGCGTTTGTCATGCTGCTCCCCAGCCGAAGGGTGTGAAATCTGCGATTGGGGGGGTGGCCGTCATCGAAATCCATTTGCCTTTTTCCCATTTCCCCGTTGGCATCTCGTCGACGTTCCCACGCCGTCATCACATGGAACTCTGGGGCCAGGGGGGTTGGAGTTCCGCTGTGGTCGGTTGGGTCCATGATTCTATTGGGCCCATTTCTCGGATGCTTTCATGCACAGGGCTGTTTCGTCTGCCCCTTCGGCGGCTTCCATGAGATTCGCGTTCTCATTTTGCGCCCCGTTTGGGAAGGTCTTGGCGGTGAGCTGCAGGGGAGCCGCTCATCAGGAATGTCTTTTGTGGGGGTGAGAAACAGCTGTGAAAAGAAGACCGACTTCTGGCCCACGCCAAGTGCCCAAAGCGCGGGCCTCGCACGACGGTTCCGCACGACACTCATGACTCGGCTTCAACTCCTTGCCTAGTCGTCTGTGGCGGCGTTGAAGTCCACTGGTGTAGTGATCCAGTATCAGTCCACATCTTCCGTACATTCCGTGCATGACTTGTCCAGATCCGCAACGCATGGTGACGGGGAATCGTCGGCACATTAATTTTTTTTTGATGGAGGAGCCGGGCAGCCCACCTGCGAAACGAGCGAGCGCCATTTGTGACCACCGATGAGACCTTGGAGAATTGTTGATTGATGAAAATCCGCTTTTTGCTTCGCTCGGGTACGACGGACTTTTTGCACGACCCTAAATCCCATTTCGACGATCCCTGGACTAGCCCGTCTGGCGGACGGTGAACGATCACCAACAACCTGGTAGGTTAGCTCGTTAACTCGAAAGAGCGGCGAATGTACGACGTCGAAACAACGCACAAGCCGCCCGTGGCCGGATCCGCTATCGACGTCAAAACGGCTCGCTTCTCCGTCATTCAGGGAGCCGCGGCCGGCCGGTCGGTTTAAAAAAAAAATCACGAAAAGGTTGTCAAGGCATCGGGCTTACCGTATCGGTGTCAGCAGTAATTGAAGGCCCGTCCGCATGTGCGTGGCACACCTCTTTGTGAAACTCCATACTAGTAGTATCTGATTCCGAGTGGCCGCGACCAAGCGGGAGGTCAGAAAGCACCTTGCCAGAGAGGGATGAGGGAGGGGTGAATGAAGGAAGGTTTCGCGGGCGTGAGGGTAAAGGAGGCTGACGCTTGGCCGGGTGTTGTGTTCGAATGTCGCAACCTGGCTCGCCTGGGAAACGCATCCACGATCCCCGCTGATGAAAATAGTTCCAGGCCGCAGGTGGATGCTGGGATGGAAGCTTGGCGGGTCCTGCTGAAAAAAAGGGAAGGCAAAGAAAAAAGAGGAACTCAGAACTCCGGCGTCAACCCCACCCCTCATCAGCCAATGATTTTGCGGAATGAGATTTGAGAAGGCGTGGGGAAGGTGCGATCTGATCAAGGATCTGTGGGTCTCTTGCGGACGCGTGCATGGTTCAACAAACTGTGCTGGCCCGCAAAGACCAAGAAGGAGGGACGGGTGTACTTGCCCACTGCAACCTCCGTTGTGACCGAAGCAGGTGGGACCAGCGCCCCAAAATAATGCCGGAGCAATGCACTCAACACAGTCGAAACCCACCCTTTTTTCCTTCTCGATTTTTTCATTTTTTGAAAATTTGCGCAGGGCTTGGCCGCACCAAGGTCCCCTCTGTTCACAAAATCCCGAAGTCCCGACGGGATTGGTCGGGGCAGCCGCCGCACCACAGGAGCGACTTTGTCCTCGCCTCAACAGCCCGGCATTTCGCAGAGGCAGGCATTCACTTTGTTCCGATCTCATCAGATCACTAGGCATGCATCATTTTCGCAAAACAAGCACAGCACCCGATCCACTTGCTGTTTCTTGCGCGTGCTTGGCTCGCGGCTGGCTGCCCTCCGGCAACCCCCAGTCTCAATCCTCTTTCTGACAGACGAAACACAGAACAAGGCCGAGACCAGCCAACCAGCATACCATGCCTCGACAACAAAACCGACAACGTCAAGCCCTGCCAACTGAGGCCAAGTTCATGAACGTCCGGACATCGAAATGACTTGCCGGGTGGCCACCAGCCGGCCAGGTTCGTCGCTCACCCACCCAAGCCGCCGTCGCCTGGTCGCCCACCCTTGTGCTGCTCCTGCAAGATGCCTCTTCGCCCATGGAGCCGATCGGGGCCCAACAAGGGTGGCGCGGGGTGTGCAAGTTCCTCTGTGATCGTGAGCGACCACAAAGTCGTGATCGCCGGCGAACGGGGTTTCGCGGCACAGATGTCTGATATCTGGGCGTCCGCAAGATTCGACGCCAACAGGGAATGTGCCGTTTGAGGCCGACCCGAGCCCGAGCCAGGCTAGGCCGTTGATAGTGCACCGAACCGTCGAACGGGATTTCAGCCATTCCGAAACAAGTATCCCGTACCTTCATTTGTGAGAAAGAGACACCGAGTTTCGTCCGCCGGCCAGGTACTCCGTACTTGGGTAATGACCCCACCGTACGGGAGGGACCTGCTCCGCAACCGCCTTCGCTGATCCTTGGAGCTATAACTTTCATCCGGGCACGCCTCACACTCAGGCCTTAGATGATACACCCCCTTACTTTCGCTTCATTTTCTGCGTGTGGGGTTTCGAGAACCCCGGCTCATTTACCGCTTACACCCCTCCATTCTTCCTCATGATACACCCGACAAGCAGCTCTCCATTCTGCAGGCCGTCAAAAAAAAGGGAGTCGAGCGTTCGCCTCTCGCGTGCGCCAAACCAGAACCCTTGCTCCCCCACCCCCTTGTTTCCCAACTTCTCGCCCATCCACACGGGGGCCATCAATCAATCAGAGGGCCGCGACGCAGGAGGTCGCACCGGTACATCCCTCGCGGTACCTCCGTCCCTGCTTGGTCACACAGCCGCCAGGAGGTGGGAGCCGGTCTGGGGGGGAGACAATTTGACGTGCCAGCCAAATGCCAGACCGGGCTGCCACGCCAGCCCATGCTGCGACCATGACCACAGGCAACGGCATGACTTCCAAACAACCCTTGCAGAACCAAGCCGCCGTCTTCCATCCACCTGCCTCTTGACCGCCCGCCCGCGAGCCCGCGAGCCCGCCAACCCACCCACTCGAGCCCCTTCCCACCAACCCCCAGCACAATCCTCCAGGTATCGCGCTATCCGGAACAAGCCACGGGCAGCCCACAGCGAGGAAAATCGGTTTGGCCTCTCTCTGGCCCCTGCAACCCTGTACCGGAACGCCCCCTTTCAGCGATGATGAACTCCACGCATCCCTGTCCGCCTCTTTCTGTGGCCTTGCCTTGCGGTGCAGCGGCAGGGCTCCAGGGCCAAGCTTGCCAAGGTCGAACTGGTTCACGACCCTCCTTGCCTCCGGGCGCTGGGCCGCTGGCACGCACACACAAGCGCACTCTCAGTCTCTCACACACCATGGTCCACACCACACACAGACAGCGGTGCTGGCGCGAGGCCCGAAACGACTTCACACCAGACGGTCCGCGTCCCCAGTCCCCAGGGTCGGGCAGGCTAAACAATCCCTGCAAGCGCAGATGACGCAGGCTTTTTGAGAGAGCCCCAGAGTCATGGAACAAGCTCCGTTGACACGACATCCAGTCTCTCGCTCCATCCTCCCGGCACGCCAAAGCGGCAATAGGAGCCTCCCCCATGGGCCCAGATGCCCAGATGGGCATGTAATATTTGTGTCGTTCTCCACGCCGTCCCATCGCCAGGGACGCTACCAGCTCCGAACCAGGTTTGTGACTTTCAAAAGTCTCTCTCCTTATTACGCACTTAACCCACCCTCCCGTGCGCAACCAAGCGTCTTCCGCACCTCTCATATCAAGACCCGTTTCCGTCTTGATATTCCATCACCACCCACCCAGCAACAAACTCCTCGGCCCGTTTCCCACACCACACTTCACCACAACCATATCCTACACTCTCAACAGTCCGTGACAACAGGAGGGCAGTCTCTCGTCGTTTCTAGTTATTCATCACCATCAAGATGATGCCATCATCACTCGCCGCTACCAACGTAGCCGGCGGTATGTCTTACCACCACCAGTCTGCCGGGGCCCACACCGTCGACGAGCTCTTGAGCGAACTCTCAAGACAGCTCATCGGGAACACGAGGAGGTACTCGAGGGCCTCGGCCAGCCAGCAAAGAGCGGGGAACGCCATGAGAATATCCAAACCCAGCAGCGCCAGCAACAGCCCAAGATCATCAGCACTGCAAGCACGGAGGAAAACGTTGATCGGGGATGGCTTTCGGGGCGGCTTTCAGACTCTGTCTCCCGCCATGGATGTCGATCGACCGCATCTCCCTACCCCAGGGTCCGAGGTTTCGAACGAGTCCTTTTATCGTCAGCCAACTTCGCGGTCTGCTCGACCCGTCAGCTGGCACCCATCCTCGCAACATGCCCAGCCTTCGTACTACACTCAACAAGATGCGATGCTTCACGCCTTCCCGACGTATAACGATGCTGAGGCGCTGGCCAGCCTGCAGCAGTTCCCGCCCACGCCTACGGTTTATTCGGGGTACACGTCTCCAGCAGACCCCTTCTCGCCGCTCACGCTCCCGTATTCCGGCTTCAGTTCGCAGCAGCAGCAGCAGCAGCAGCAGATGTACTCTCCTTTGAACCAGCCCATGCCAGTATCACAGCAAGTCCCGATGTACCCGCCGACGAGCTGTGCCTCGGGTTACTCCCCGGCCACTACACTCTCAGAGATGCCACAGTTGCGCCACGAGGGCGCACTCCCATCCTGGGAGGTTCAGCCGACCGCCACCTTCAACCAGCATACGACCCCACCCACGCCAGAAGACTTTGTCTGCAATCTCAACCCAACTCTGCCCCTCGGACAACAGCAACAGCAGCAACAATCACAGCCAGACCCTGCCCCGCAATCGTACCAAACAGTCATCATCCATGACGATGAAGCCGGGGACGACTCCGAGGAAGGCGAGATTCTCTACGGCATGGGCCTGTACGATGCACCGGACCACAGCAAGCAGCACGAGTCCACGGCCACGACACTGCATCAGTCAGTGGTCTTCTCGTTATTGGGTAGCGGACGGAGCGAGGAAGAGGAAGAGGTGGACAGCGGCAAGGGCCTGGGCCTGAAATTAGAGGATGCCTGGGAGCCGCCTGCGAGTGACGATGAGGATGATGAGGAGGAGGAAGGAGAGGGTGAGGAAGATGGGGAGGGGCAGGACGACTGAGTGTTGAGCGTTTGCACGCAGGTTACGTGCGATTCGCCCCAGGCGCTTCTTTTCTCCCGGCTATTCTGTTCTGTTTTCTCTCTACCACTTTTTGATGACTAATTCTTTACTTTCCATTCTTGTACACTGAATCTCTTTTTCTTTTTTTTCTTTTTTGAGTCTTTTTTGTCTATTGCATCATAGCGAGGTGTTTACGGGATACGGTTATTGGGACGAACATGGGAACATGGTCTGCGGCTTATCAAGAGAAACGGGCACGGATATACAACAAACACACATCCTCATCGGAAAGATTAGAAGTACCTAACGGATACCGACGCAAAGTCACGGAGTGAGACCCCAAGAACGGGGCAAAAACGGGATGACCCGGGAACGCGGGCTTGGAGAGTGGGAAATAGGCATGGCTGGGTGACCGGCCGGCCGATCAGAAGGCAGTTGGCGTTGCTGAGACAAAGATTTGCCTTGTCGTGGGTTTAGTTACCTATCTTAGTTAGCAAAGCAAACTGGAGCAGAGAGTAACTAAAGAAAGAAGAAAAACAATAGCCAACGCCTGTGGGTTTCACAGCCCGGCAGGAGGCGCCCCAAATGTACCGGACTTTGGTCCAAACCGGTTCCTATCTCCCAATAGTTTCCAAGTGTGTGAGGTACTTTCCATGTTATTAATGCATGAATGGCCGGAATTAGCCCAGAATCTGTATCGGGGACGGTACATTTCACAATTTTAAACCAATTTATTTCTTCATAAAACACGTACGTTACGTTGAGCTTACTTAAATAAGACAAGCGACTTTTGCATGCCTGTGGTGTGTGTGTCTGTGTGTATGTGTCCATGGGTGTGGGTGTGCCTCGTGTGTGCCTGTTGTGACGTTGGTGATATCGTTTCGCGAGCTGAATACGGATGTCACCTGCCGTTTGGCTAGTGACTGAGACGGAGGTCCCTTCGAGAACGAGATTGGCTGGGGTGCGGTATGCTAACATCCAATCTTTTTCTGTCTACAATACATGAGTTAGTTGTTCCGAATGATTTACCCACCACCTGTGGCCGTGACCGTGACTGTGATTTTGGCCACATACATACATGCATGCATGCATCGGGTTCCGTTTGATTGATGGTGGATCAATAAATGGATGGTTTGTTGGTTGGGTGGGTGGACAGGTCGTCGGTCGGAAGGGGGGCGGGTGGATGGGCCGCGGCCTGTCCGATCTCATAACGGCTGGTTGTTATTGTTGTTACCTTGGGTCAAGCATATTTTGTGGTTTTAAGATTGCGCAACCCGCTGCACAGGGTAAGCAGGCGGCAGCCGCCGGGTGTTGTTGGTTTGAGGTTGGTAACCGAGTGTTGAGGTTGTCACTTTGTAACCTTGTAACTTTGTACCTGACCACTCTGACCTCGCAAAGCTCAGGCTAAGGTCGGCTCGGCGGGACCCTGCCGACCCGCAGCGTGCCGAGCTTGCCCCCAACAACCCCTCGCAGAGCGGCGCCTTCCCTCGCAGCTGTTAACTACCCCGCCATCACCCGCCCGCTACCCCTCACTAACGTTAGGTCATTGAAAATTTGTTGCTGAGCTGCGGGTAGGGAGCAGAAAAAAAAAATCACAGGCCGTTATCGGAACAGAACTCCAGCAGGCGGAAAAGATGGAGACGACGTAGCAAGTGGGGGAAGGGCGGCGTGACTCAATCAGGTCCACGGAGAGAAACAACTACGACAAACAAAACAAAGTCGTCACAATTTGGATGTTGACAAGACTTTGCCAGGCGCGGAGAGCAGGAATCCCCCGGCAATTTCGAAGCTCCCAAAGACCACTATTCCACCCCGTTATCATCCAGTCGTATAGTCTCGTACTGTCATACGGCACAACCAAAATGGCTTCGCAACAGTAAACACGCCCCACCTTCCTTTTGTTGTTGCCTTTTATCGTCTGTCCTTTTTTCCTGCTGCCTCTCGCATCCAACCCCACTGTACCACCGATGATGCATGGCCCAATTCGAGGGTATGAGGACGTCATCTTCAAGATGGGCCGCTGACATGTAGACTTTTGACGCCTCTAGAAAGGTGCTCATGCTCGGCGCGGGCTTCGTGACCCGGCCGACGCTCGATATTCTCAGCGACTCGGGCATTCCCGTGACTGTTGGTAGGGTTACCTTATCCCCCCTTTTTTGGGTCTTGATGCCTTTAGGTCTCTCTTACTGACCCCGTTGTCGCATACAGCCTGCCGCACCCTGGCCTCGGCCCAGCAGCTCTCCGAGGGCGTCAAGAACGCGCACCCCATCTCGCTCGACGTGACCGACGACAAGGCGCTGGACGCCGAGGTGGCCAAGCACGACCTCGTCATCAGCCTGATCCCCTACACCTTCCACGCCGTTGTCATCAAGTCGGCCATCCGTAACAAGAAGCATGTCGTCACGACTAGCTATGTCTCGCCCGCCATGCTGGAGCTGGATGCCGAGGCGAAGGCCGCTGGTATTACGGTCATGAACGAGATTGGCCTGGACCCGGGTAGGTTTCTTACCCCGGTTGTTTCTTTCTCGTTGTCGCTGGTTCGTTGGGGTTCCGTTTTCTGACCTCACGTCCTAGGTATCGACCACCTGTACGCCATCAAGACGATCGACGAGGTCCACCAGGCCGGCGGTAAGATTCTGGGCTTTGTGTCCTACTGTGGTGGTCTGCCGGCCCCGGAGGACTCGGACAACCCACTCGGCTACAAGTTCTCATGGTCGTCGCGCGGCGTGCTGCTGGCCCTGCGCAACGCCGGCAAGTGGTGGCAGGACGGCTCCATCGTCGAGGTCGCCGGCAAGGACCTCATGAACACGGCCAAGCCGTACTTCATCTACCCGGGCTTCGCGTTCGTCGCCTACCCGAACCGCGACTCAACCCCGTACAAGGAGCGCTACGCCATCCCCGAGGCCCAGACCATCGTCCGCGGCACCCTCCGCTACCAGGGCTTCCCCCAGTTCATCAAGGTGCTCGTCGACATCGGCTTCCTCGAGGACACCCCGCTCGACGTGCTGTCGAAGCCGGTGCCGTGGAAGGAGGCCACCAAGGCGGTCATCGGCGCGTCGTCGCTGTCGGCCTCCGACCTCGAGTCCACCGTGCTCTCCAAGGCGACCTTCGAGTCAGACGAGGACAAGAAGCGGATTCTCTCCGGCCTCCGCTGGATCGGCCTGTTCTCCGACGAGCCCATCACCCCCAAGGGCAACCCGCTCGACACGCTGTGCGCGACGCTGGAGCGCAAGATGCAGTACGAGGAGAACGAGCGTGACCTGGTCATGCTGCAGCACAAGTTCGAGATTGAGCACAAGGACGGCTCGCGGGAGACCCGCACCTCGACGCTTGTCGAGTACGGCGACCCCAAGGGCTACTCCGCCATGGCCAAGCTCGTGGGTGTGCCCTGCGCCGTTGCTGTCAAGCAGGTTCTTAGCGGCCAGCTGACCGACAAGGGCGTGCTGGCGCCTATGAATGCGCGTATCAATGAGCCGCTGATGCGCGAGCTCAAGGAGAAGTATGGTATCACCATGGTGGAGAAGACCATTTCGTAAATGGGTGGCTTCTGGGGGTAAGGTAAAAAAAGGAAAATTAGATAAATGAGGATAGAAAAAAGGTTCTCATGTTCCCACTGCGCTGGTTTCTCATGTCCTGTGTATGCACCCTGGTTTTCAAATCGGGCGTTTACTGTACCGCCTCTCTCGGCCTCAAATCCGCAACACCCTGACGCCACCCATTACCTTCTTTCCCTCCCTCAACCGCCCTTTATAACCTCGACTCGCACAGTTCCTTCCAACCGCCCCCCATTCCTTGACCCCTCGGGTGTTGAGATGATGGGGCGGCGAGCTTTTTGATGTTTTTTTTTTTTTTTTTTTTTTTTTTTTTTTTGGTTTGGGGTAATTAAGGTAAAGCTCGGTTTTATTTTCAAGATTGAGGAAGACGGCGATTTAGTAGGTTTATATCCTGGAATTGAGGCAGAAATAAATACCTAATTAATCGATGTTAAGCATATGTATTGAAATGAAGATGAGGAATGTGAAAATACAATATGTCTTTTGTAACTATAGCGGGCCACTAACTAATTTGCCCGAAGGAGCCACCTGGTTTCATTAGTACATTAACAAGTGTATACCTTGAAACCAAAATTTCGTCATAACATATTTCACACAGTGGTAATTAATGTTAGAGCTTCAACACCATCAACTCAGCCCATCTCATCTCAAATCACACAACGAATTTCGAACACCTACACACCCTCGCTTTATCGCTCACCAATCACAGAACGACCACCGAGGAAAGCCAAAACCCAAACCCTGGCATGGTCCAGTACGTCTTCACCCCCTGGCGCAACCGCGCCGAACTCCTCACCGTACGCGCCCAGTTCTACCCTCAGCATAACGCGCAGCAGTCCCAGCTACAATCACCACAGCGCCAACAACAACCTGCAAAAGGACGGCAAGGAAATGGGGGGGAAGAAGGAGGAAGCAGGGACGGAAAACGCCACGCCGTCGCACGCGTGTCAATGTGGATGCAGCGCGGCGGGTGTCCGCATATGGTTGAGTCGACGGCGTTGTTGGTTGCGGCGGGGTTGAGTGATGAGGGGGTTGGGGGCGGGTATGAAAGGAGGGATGGGAGGAGGAGGAAGAGGGGGGATCGTGGTGGTGATGGTGGATGGCATGGGGGTGAGGATGATGGGCTGGCGAGGGCTTCGGGGGGGTATGCAGTGCGCGCGGCATACTCGGCTGCTTTTAGTCGGTGAGTTTGAGGTCTCATCTTCCATTACTTCCCTTCCTCTCTATCACTACCCTCTTCTTACCCGCCCTCGGTACGAGATGTGAATGCTAAGATATCGCCAGCTTCGTAACAGGCCTCCTAGACTCCCACCAAGACAAGCAACGCAAGATGTCCATGTACGACGTCGCCAAGAGTGTCGGACTGCCGGCGACGTTTGTTGAGCTCCGCCACCAGGCGACGCACGAGCAGCTGCCGTCGTTGACTCGGCTGCGTGCGGCCGCGGCGAAAGCGCTGGAGTGGATTTGGGAGTATTATTGGAGGGGGTTGGAGGGGGAAGTGAGGGTGGAATCGGCAGAACCGCTGAAGGTAGCGTCTTCTGCGGCGATTGGGGTTGCGGTGGTGGTTAGTGGAGAGGCGGAGGCGGAAGGGGTGAGTGTGGAAAGGGTTGGCGATGAAGGGGGGGAAGAGATGGGGGAGGATGAGGAAGGGGTGAGGGGGGTGGTGAAGGGGTATCTTGAAGGGGATGATGGTCTAAAGGAGGAGGTGTTGGGATTTGATGGGGAGCTGGTGCTGGCCGTGTTGGACACCATTTCGGGGGCTACGAGGGACCCCAAAGTCCTGCGACGCACACTCACGTTGGAGAGGGAGATTTTGGACCGAGCGCCGGAGGTTGGCCAAATGGAGGTGGATGAAGAGGGTGAGGGAGTTGGTGGGATTTCAGACAAGGATGATGGGGTAGTCACGGCTGAAGAGACACGGGAGAAAGCGGATGAGACGGGGCCAGAAAGAACGGAGAGCGAGGGAAAAGAGACTGAGGTTGACATGTCTGAAGAACAACCCGGCTGGATACTGTACGATGATGATGACTGGGTGCCGAAGCCGATAGGGGTGGTCTAAATTTAACGCTATTTAATCCCATTTTGGCCCCCAAACAAGACTGTTTATAAACTGGTGATGAAAAGGGTGGTCATGTGACCCCCTCGCCGAACACAACTCCAGTTACCACGTTGTGGATAGGCCCCTCTTCGTGAAGCTCAGCGTCCAATGAATAACGTCATTCCCGCGCGACCTGCATTCCCGTCGTTTCCCGACCGTCCGCTCCGTTTCCTCCGCGGCGTCGGGGGGAATCATTGTCCGGATTCGTTAGAAATCCGTGTTTAATAATAAACTGCCCGCTTACTTGATGTTGCGCTGACTTCGGAGCTCAGTGCTCAAGCCCAGCGTCACAGTGGACTCCGCCTCCACAAACTGCACTAGAGCATGTTCACCCTCAACACTGTTGCAAGGCGTCTTTTTCAGCCCAGACTCACTTCTTTTGCCTCTGCTGTAAGCTTTGCATTTCCGGTCGAGTTTCATACTTATTGTCAAACATACTTTCTGTCAAACATTAACAGCTATTTCTCAGCCAATCAACATCCGCAAAATGCATATCCAATCGATTCCTATGTGTGAGTGGCTTTATAATCGCTAATATGGCAACAACCCGTTCAGGTGAGAGCTGATGCGGAGTTTTAGGGGTGGGGAAAAGCGACAACTACGCCTACCTAGTAGTTGACGACAAGTCCAAGGAAGCCGTGATCATCGACCCGGCTCATCCGGCGGAGTGGGTGTTCCTCCTAGAGAATCTAAGAAGGGGCGGAAATCTAATGCTATGCTAGAGTTGCCCCGGTGTTGAAGAAGGCCATTCAGGACGGGTCGATCAAGCTCACAGCAATTGTCAACACCCACCAGTAAGCCCTCGTTACTATCTATCGATGTGACCTGTGAACCCTAACTAACCCTCTCAGTCACTGGGACCACGCCGGCGGAAACGAGGAACTCGTGAGTCCTTCCCCCCCAAAACATCCCCCTCCAACCTACCATTACCTAACTTAACACCCCCCTTCTAGCTCACCGAGCTCGACCAGCAGCAGCTCCCCATCATCGGCGGCAAGGACTGCAAGAAAGTGACGCGGACGCCGCAGCACAACGAGAGCTTCAACATTGGCAGCATTGCTGTCAAGGCCCTGCATACGCCGTGCCACACCCAGGATAGCATCTGTTTTTTTATGCAGGACGGTGACGACAAGGTGGTGTTTACGGGTGATACGCTGTTTCATGGTGGTGGGTTTGCATGCATACTGACTAATTTGGGTTTCTCTTGAGGGGTTGATCTGACGATGAGGTGCACATAGGCTGCGGCAGGTTCTTCGAAGGTAACGGCGAGGAGATGCACAAGGCGCTGAATGAGGTTTTGGGGTCGCTGCCGGATGACACGCGCGTTTTTGTGAGTTTGGCCTTTTTTCTTTGGAAGGCCCCAATCCCTTCACGCAACCAACAAATGCTAACCTGACCCAGCCCGGCCACGAGTACACCGGATCCAACGCCAAGTTCGGCCTCTCGGTCCTCCCCAGCGGGCCGGTCAAGGCCTTGGAGGCGTTTGCCAAAGAGAACAAGGAGACGCAGGGCAAGTTTACCATTGCTGACGAGAAGGCGCACAATGTGTTCATGCGGCCTCAGGTAAGAAGCACCCAGAGTTGGTCGGTGGTATTTGGGACTTTTAGTGAGCTGACTGACATGCGACAGGACCCCGAGATTCAGAAAGCCACCGGCGAGACGGACCCGATTGCTATCATGACCAAGCTGCGCGAGCTGAAGAATAACTTTAAGTGAGTTTGGTTGTTTCCGGGGTAGGTTGAGAAGCAGATGAGTTGCCGGGCAGAGGTTGATACAGTTCGGTTTGGTCAGGGAGGTGGTTGTAACCAAGTCCAGTTTGTAGTCTGCCACAGGAAGACATAAACATAAGTACAAACTGCCACATCACGGCCAGCCGTAAACAATATCACATCACTGGCAACGAACACTGGCAAGTACGCAAGTACAAGGGTGAATGTCTCCGAAAGCCCATACCGCCTAGACCCGAGGGGATCCAGACGTCGTGAACTTGCGGACGCGTCTTACGGAGACACGTGGTGTTTCAATTTTGCTTCACTGTCCACACTTGCTCGCCCTGGGGTTGTATGAAGGCGGCAAGCTCTAGCAATTTTTGAAGCGGCGACTCGAATTGGTCGGGGGTTGGTGCACAATCGAAAAAAAAAGTGAGGAATCACCGAGATGGAGCATCAACATCGGTCGACCTACCTTGGGGCGTGTCTCTTGAAAACTGATTTACTCGTGTGTGGTAAAGCAGAGTTGAGAAATGAGATGTAGCAGCCCGTTTCGCGAGTGTTGCTCGGTTGTGTTTTACAGCTCTGGGTGAGGAAATGTTCCCAGGAATTTTGTGTTGGAAGAGAGGAAATTTCTCAGATTTGGGATGGATATTTTCTTTGATGCATACTGCGATCACGTGAGTAGGCGCTCACTTGGCGACCGGCCCCACCTTGGCCCGGCCCGATCCACCCTCTCTCCACTTCCCCAGAGCATCGCATCGCAAAGACATCTCTATCAAGCCATTATTTCGGACAAAACCCAGCAAAATGGTCAGTTCCCGTTTAAATTTAACCTCGGACATACTGTACTAACATGTTTCCCAACAGCCACCCCGCCGCCGACCCCCAGCATCCTCCTCCACCGCGGCGGCGGCCCCGTCCAAATCCGGCGCGCGCCCGTCCAAACTCGCGAAAGAACACAAGATCACGGCGGAAGAGGAGTCTGAGATCCGCGAGGCCTTTTCGCTGTTTGCTGAGCCCATGGCTGGCGAAAAGGAGGGGATCATGCCCATTGGCGATGTCCGGCGCGCTCTGATGTGAGTTCCTCCTCCCTTGTGTCCCCTGCCGAACCAACCCACCAACCAACCCCTCTCCCCTCATTCATTCAACCAAACCATCCCTCGAATAATTCTAACGTTATATATGAGAAAAAGAGCCCTCAACCTCCCCCCCTCCTCCCCCGCACAACTCTCAACCTTCACCACCGCCCTCGACCCCGACGACGAAGGTTTCGCGACCTATCCCGCCTTTGTCGGCATCTGTGCGCTACAGATCCACACCCGTCGGCACCACCAGGGTGAGGCGGAATACGAAGAGGAACATCGGAGGGAGGTGGATGAGGCGTATCAGTTGTTTACTGAGGTTGGGAGGCAGAACAGGCGTGAGCAACGACGGCGGGGGATGGGAGGTCATGATGTAGATGAGGAGGAGGAGGATGATTATACGGGTGGTGGTGGGTTTGAAGAGGATGGGGATGGGGAAGGAGAGGAGGTGGTGATAACGATAGCGGATTTGAGGAGGGTAGCGGCGTTATTGCGGCTGGACGAAAAGAGTCGGGCGGAAGATGCGGGTGGGAGTGGGAATACTGCAAGAGGGGGCGGAAATGCTGGGTTTGGGGGGAAGATGGGGAAGGGGGGGAAGGATGGGGAACTGGTGGTGACGGAGGAGTTGTTAAGGGATATGATTCTGGAGGCGAATGGTGGGGCGGGGGTTGGGAGGGGGGTTAGGAAGGCGGAGTTTGATGAGGTGATGCGGCGGGCGGGGGTTTGGCGGTGACATTGGGGTTGGTATGGGGTAAGAGAAGGGAACGGGATGGTGAGATTATATATGCTGGGTTGGCCGTACGTGCTCAGGCTCCGGGAGGGTACGAAGTAAGGTGTCCAGGAGCTCACTTGCAACGTGCTGAGCAGCGCCGTTTCACGCGCCAGTGGAATGCTGGCTGGTATGCTCTGGCAACACAAACTGAGCAGCACGCCGATACCGCGGGGAGATCCCTTCGCGGATGGAGCACTGAGAGATGCTCCTTGATGGGAACCAATGGATGATGCACATCACACCCTTAGTCGGTGTATTCGGGGAATAGTAGCTGCGCGATTTCAAAGGAGGTAGCAACAGGGAACAGAACGGGACAGCAAAATGGGAGAGAACAGGACAGCTGTTTATTCATAGCTTTTTCCCCACAGAGCGGGTGGACAGACGATACGCTTCAATCTATCCACCACGGCCACACGGCTAACATGACGCTACGCAGCGACGCTATATATGCGAATCACTTATCTCTCAGACCTTGACAACATTCAGCCGTCCGTCCGTCCGTACATGTCTGTGGTGCAGAACAATCATTTGCTCATTCCTCATTCCCGGCCTCTGGGTTACTCTCACTCATATCCCATTCAATCATTCAGTCATTGCCCCTCCGTAGCCTCGCTTCCCTCCTCAGCAGAAGCAGCAGCTTCCTGCTGAGCCTTACCCTCAGCTTCCGCCTTCGCGGCAGCAGCAGCCTCGCGCGCCCGCTGCGAGTTAATCACAGCCTGCAGCTCCGGCGGGGGATTAAACCCGGCGTGCTCGGCGTGGCGCTTGTAGAAGTAGTTATCCGACTTAGGGCGGAGATTCGGCGGCAAAGTGTCGAGCACACACTGCAGGAGGTTGTCGACGGAGGCTTTGGAGGAGGCGTCGCGGTGCCAGATGGAGATGAGGTGGGCGTTGAATCGGACGGAGAGGCCAACGCCGCAGAGGGTGTCTTCTGTAAACAGGGGGTTTTGGGTTAGTTTAGTGTTTAGGACGATTTGGACAAAGCTAGGGAATACGGTACAGGATAGTAAGGGATGGAGGGTAAAAGGAAATGAATGCAACATACCTTTACCGACAATTGCGCCCTGCAATTGCTCACCAATAGCCATCAGCTGGACATGTTTCCAGACCTCGGGCCCACTGCTCTTCGGCACGCGGAAGGTCCAGCTGCCGCCCAGAACATTACGGCGGTCCTCCCAGATGGGGCGGAACCCCCGCTTGAACAGGTAGATGCTCTCACGCATCTTGATGCGGTCTACGGGGGTGTTGTTCTGGTACCGCCAAAAGTCCTGTACGCTCTCGATCTCCTCCCCGAGTTGTTCCAGCTGCGCCTGGTATTCACCACCGCCCCCTGCTGCTGCTCCTCCTTGTTGCTGTTGCTGTTGCTGCTGTTGCTGTTGCGGTTGGCCCTGGGCGGGCTGGCGGTCGAACCATACAGCCCAGACGTGCTGCGTGGGTAGCGCCCGCATGGAGCGGAAGAGGTTTTGTTTGGCATCGCTGCGTTGCTCGGCTGGGGAGGAGATGGAGCTGAGGGGGGAGTTGGGGTCCGACGACTGTGATAGCCCTGACAGGCCGCGTGTGGCGAGAGGAGGCGCCGTGGGACGTTCCATGTTGGTGGTGTGGTGTGGTGGTGGTGTACGGTGTATGTACGGGACGTTTTCGTGGGCGAGAGGGCGCGTGAGCGGCTGCGGCACCTTCTTGGCTCTTCCGGGGGAAAGGGGGGAAGGGACAGGCGTGTGGGAGAGGCGCAGGGGCGGGGGGTGAAAGGCGGCGAAGGGGGGAAGGTAACGCAAACGCAGGTCGGAGGCGGGGGATATCTACCGGGACGCAGGTACGCGAGAGGGCGTCTGCGGCGAGGTGCGGGACGTCGGGATTCGGAAAGAGAGTCTCGGATGGGGAGGTATCACACGGCCAACGTCAGGCTGTTGGCGTCAGCGGCCGGGCGCGCTGGCGGCTTCAGAGAGAGGGCAAAAGAGAGAGAGAGGTGGGGAGAGAGAGAAAGAGAGCGCAGAATGGGTTGGTGGGTAAGAATGGCCCGCAAGGCTGTAGCAGGTGAGGAATCGGCCGGGCTTGTCTTTGGTTTGTTTCAACCCAGCCAGTCGTAACAAAGAGCCGGACGGGGAAAGATGGGACGATGACGGAGCGCCGCAAGACCGAACGCCCCCAAACAATGGATCCAAGCTCCAACCTTAGCTCCGAGGCTCCGAGGCTCCAAGGCAAGCGAGGGAAATGGGAATTTAGCGAGATGCCCACGGGTCTATACAGTAAGTCCACGGCGATTGTGGATGCGTACTGTACTGTACGTGTGCGTGTGAGTTGGCTTGGTAAGGCGGAAGAAAAGAATGGATAGCAGGATAAACACAGAACACTCGAGGTTGGCGTTTTGGCCTGTCCAGGGGGGTTGTGACGCTGCGATGGAACGTCGGCCGTCAGGTGAGAAGCAGCGGGACGACCTCAGGCGGGGCCGGTTGTGTGGTGCCGTGGCTGCCCAGATGCGTGAGATGCGTGGGGGCTTTGGAGGTCACCTGGAGTGGTCACTCGTCGTCATACAGAAAACAGAAGAGAAGAGACGGGCGGCAATACGAGAGTGAATCTTCCGGTTTACGACAGATGGGAGGGCTGGAGCTGGGAGAGACAAATGCACAACCAACCGCGCTGGCCTGTCCTAACATGGAGGAGTGAGGTGATGAAAGACGGGGATAGAATCCATGGGCACTCCCTGAGACACTCGAGTTGACGCCCCGCTGGCCAGTGGAATTGCAGCGGTTTGTTCCCGTCTCTGCAGGCCCAGAAGCTGAAACGGAGATGGTGGGGCTGTTGGGCTGTTTCAAGCTGGGGGCCGGGCTGCGGCAGCTGAGAAACGGGTGGGGCGAGTCGCCAAGCGGGTTCGGCCGCCCGGCACCTGGCGGCACTCCATCTGCCAGTATCCCTACACTACTGTGCATTGTGCATTGTACGGATTTTCTTCCGTTCGATGCCAAAGAGCCGCCAACGGGAGAGCTGCAACGTGCGTGCCGGGCGCATCGACGGATCGCGCGGCAGATCGCTCTCAAGTGTCGCAGCCGCCCTGATACGCGCGCACACAAAAGGGGTTTGTGTCTGTTGGAGCATGTGTAACTACACTCAGTCTCGGTACCTACGGCGGATGGTGGGGTGTCTTGGGGCCTCTTCTTGGCGCTATTAACTGCTTGGGCGTTCTCGCCTGGGGATGGGAACTCGGAATTGAAGGTTGACAGTTTTACTCCCTATATCCATGTCCTTTTCCCCCTGCTGCGACGTGGTCCAGCCGCCCGCCAGAGGTTCGCTTATCACGGTTGTGAGTATCTCTCCAAGGTTGTCCAGGGCGTATGACAACGGCCTGCCAGCAATGCCCACATGCTGCCCGCGCGGGGCAACGTCACATCAGTTGCGTCCGTCTGTCAAGCCTGTCCAGCGAGTCGGTCAGTCCTCCAGATAAGGTAGGCAAGGTAGGGTGCCTGAGAAACAAGGTCAGGTGCCTGCTCCGTCCAGTCGGCCCCGGCCCGGCGGTCGGGCTGCCTTGGCCCTCCTTCCCAGGGTTCCATCGCCGTTTCGTGTCGGTCTTTGTTGGCGTGGCTTGGATGACTCGCATTGTTGGGCTTTGTTTTTCTTTGGGCGTCCTAGTGTGTCTAATGTGGCCCTCCATTCGTGTCATCGAATCCGACAGGCTAGAAGACCTCCCGGCCGGCTAGGGCAAGTCCTCCGCTCACGCAACCTATCGATGACTGTTCTGCGGTGAAAGACAGAGAAGTTCTGTCCCCCCACTTCAAAACCTCAAGGTGACTGGCGGGGACCACCTAAAAAAAGGTACAATGCAAGTGGGGTCTTGGCACTTGCGCTCCTTCAGGGCAGGTGCAGGGCTTGACCGACAACGACCAGGTGGGGCCGCTCACTGCAAATTGGGGGGTCCACGGGTCTTATTCAGGGCCGCTGCCCCTCTCTGACCTCGGTGGGTTGGGCTGGTCACACCGACCACCTTGACGCCCGGCACTGAATCAACAACGGCCTTGGAAGGGCAGCAAAAGGTGGCCGACCGGCGGAATGTGGCCCAGAAAATCTGGGAAAGCGAACGTCTCGTCGCAAGAGGCCAAGACATAATCAAGGCACACCTGACCGACCGTTTTGGCTGGACGAGAGTAGTGGGGTTCTTTGTCGTTTTTCGGGCTCATCTGAAGTTGGCCGGGTGCTGGGCCTACAGCAGGCATTTGGAGCAGTGGTGAAGCACCGAGTTACTGGGTCCTAGGTGAGCTGCAGTTACAGCAGCAGCACACAGAGCGGGTCCACCTCACTGCAGGAGGTACTGAGCGAGCAGCCTCCCATTTTGTAATTTCGACTTCAATCTTGAGTCTTCAATTTCATCTCGACGTTTCCGCTCCGCATCTTTTCGTCAGGCCACGTACGTTTGATTGATTCTATCAGTTGCAGAAAGCCAAAGCCACTATCTCGGCGCCCCCTCATCTTTTTTGCAGCACCATAGGCCACGCACGTTGACGCAACAGCACCACGTCGCTCTCCGCCTCGCCTCGCCTTGAAAAACCGCTTGCAACCTTCCCGTCACTCCCATCTCGCACGCACCCCGGCTTCCAGATCACCTGCCAGCTGGCATTGGGCACCACAACAACAATCTACCTCACATCTCAGCCTGCACTATTCAATCCTCGAAACCTTATTGTCCCCACGTGGACAATAGCCCCTCCACCACTCACAGGTATGCCCTGACCTTGGCCTCGTTTCCTTATTTCCTATCTCTTCGCGCCGTACCTTCATCTCTCCTACCACACTTTGTCCATGAACTCCTGCTTCGTCTCTTTAGCAAGCAGTGTCAACTCGTTTCTGCCTCAGTGAAATTCCAATTTTGCTCGACAATTTTGTCGAACACTCTCACTTTTCCCTCTCTCTCTCCTCCACCCAAATCCAAACCCTCTACTCTACCACTTCGCCTTCTTCTTCCCCCCTCTGCTCTCGCCATGACTCCCCAGATCAGGATCGTGGTCAAGGACAGGGGGCTCCTCCCCGCGGCGATGCCCTTCAAGCCGCAACCGCAGAACCCCCCTCGCTCGAAACGCGGGGACTTGGCTCTGCTCCGGCTGGGCGTGGACATCGCCCTCGAATACTTCAACAATGCCGACGGCAGCGTGCCCATGTCCACGCTGACAACCAAGGCCAGACTCTGGGCAGACCGGTACTTCAAAGGGTACCCTTACGCGGCCAAGCGGCCTACTGCTCTCCTGAGGACATTCCCCAACCTCTTCAACTTGGGCATTGAGCGTACGAACCTTGTGATTTTTAATATTGGATTTACTCGGAACAGTGTGATCACTGACATGATTTACAGCACACCTCAGACTGACCCCTCAGGTCATGTCCCCGCCGTCTTCGCCCGAGCCCGAGGGCGCCAGCCCACGAGAGCTCCGCCGCATTGAGCGGCACGCCATGAACTCGGAGGCATTCCCAGAGTTCGCCGAGCCCACGCTCGCCTCAGACGCCGACCTAGACCGGATCATCGAGCTGCCCAACCGTCGTACCGCGCCCGCTACTAAGCCCAACATGCGGGTCGACGCCTCAATGCTCCGCGGCTCTGGCCTCATGGGCACACTGCCCGAGTTCCTCGGCCAGCTAGCGCGCGCTAACCTCGAGACCGAGACCGCCCTGGCCAACAACCCGTCCGCGGTCCGCTTCGAGCTCGACGACGACCAGGCCGCCTCCCAGCAGCACGTCGAGATGAACCTGTTCGCCGGCCTGGTCCAGGGCCAGGGCCAACGCCGTCGTCAGCAGCGGCCGATCGTTCTCCCCGGCGACTTGGCTGTCAAGCCTTTCGGCTTTGCCCAGCAAAGTAGCAACAGCAGCGAGGACGACAGCGGCGACGAGACGGACGCCTCGACGTCCACCACCGCCAGCCTGCGCGCCAACCTCAAGAAGCGCAAGAACTCGGAGCGCGATGACGAGGACAGCGACGATGGCAGCTCAAACTCCGCTGCCGACGGCCCGCCCAACAAGATCCGCCTCCATTACCACCACCCGACCCCTAAGATCCGCCACTTTGACATGAAGCGCCGCAAGCTCGTTAGCCGCCCGAACCCGGATGCCGGCACCAACGACCCGTTCGAGGCCTTGTCCAAGCTCAACACTCAGAAGAGCACCCCTACTGTCGTCGAGGCCAGCGACAAGTGCATTACCATGGCAACTGACGAGCGGCCCAACACCAGCTCCAGCAGCAACAGCAGCAACAGCAGCACTCGCAGCAGCCCCGTGCCCATCAGCCGCATCCGCGTCCGCAGCCGCAGCCCCGACGGCTCCCGCTCGATGTCCCCAGACCGCATCATCGTCCTCAAGCACCCCGTAATGCCATCCTCGTCGCGCGACCCTAGCGAGGGTCCCGATTCTTCCGCTTCGTCCACCTCATCGTCATCCCCTGCGCCTGAGAGGCGCCGGACTAAAATCAGGGTCGTCCAGCGAGATGCGAAGGCCGCCGATCTTGGGTCGAGGAAACGGGTGTTGATTGAGGAGGTTGCGTAAATCTTCGCTCGTTCCTTTTCCATTTCATTTGTTGAATCCGAGGATGGGTGGTCTCTTTTGTCGTTACATCATTCTGAGCATCGGCCGGCGTTCATATCGGGTCTTGCATTGCATTGCATTGCATCGCATTACATCGGGACTGCATACAGGAGGGTGGTTGTTTCCTTTGCCATGGAACAGTCATGGTTACGGTCATGGTTACGGTCATCAGACACAAGCAGGCACAGCACAGCACAGACTTGTGCAGACAGGCGTTTTGAGAAGACGGGCTAGACGGTCCTTTTTCCTTTTTCTCTGTCTCTTTTCTTTTGTTATTTCATTTTTCTCTGGCGTTTTCCTGGCGTTTTCTTTTTCTCCCCATCAGAACAGATGAGATGGGAGTTGGCGAAGCACGGCGTAATACGGTTACGGCGTCTGAAATGGCAGGCGGATTCAATCGGGTAACATGGACACGGGCAGGGTCAAGGTCAACAGGGCACACTGGACCTGTTCTGCATTTGCATTGTTTTCCTTGCTTTTTAGTTTAATCGGTTCATTTGGTTTGGCTTGATCGGGTTTATTTGATTTGGGATGGGATAGTTTAGTTTGGGGGAAATACCCTGCCTAGTTACAGCAACTCCTTGATTTACGCACCTTTCGTTCCTTTCTCTGTGATAAACTGCACTCATCCTACCCATCATCCTGATCATTTATGACTGGCATTTCCCGTGAGTGGTATTATTAACATCTTTGTAAACATCGATTAAGCTGATCACACCTGGTCACACTGGCGTGACTGACAACGTACATACCTATCTACAATATTGACCGTTATGTTACAGATACGTACACATTAGCCCACACTTGCTTGCTCGTCTGTCACACTGAAACATCGAAACGAACAAGCTTTCACTAGTACTACATACTGCATCGCTCCGTTCGTATCCGCACCATCTGCGTGCGTGGCTTATCTCACCATGGACAGTCATGTCCAGCTCTCCTTCTCCAGAATGGTAAACCCCAAGCAAACATGAAAACCAAGCCGGCGAACGGAGAAATAGCATACAGTATACAAAACCCATCATCCCACACAGCCGTTAAAAACAATTGCTGCTTGCTTGTTTGCTTGTTTGCTTATCACTGCCTACAAATATCATTCCCATCCACCCCTCCATTCATCCATCATGTTTACAATACACAATAATAACCCATACGTTACCACAACTCCGCGCAAAAAAAAGAAAGAAAAAATCGAATAAGACCCCCGTAACACAGACACACAAACCGACACAACCCCAAAAGGAGATAAAACATATGAGTCGTCATCACGACGTCCTCATCCCCGTCCTCATCCCCATCCTTATCCCCATACACCCATGTTTCCCCTAACGCATATCCCCATCCACCCACGCATATCCCCAGCCTTTAGTATTCCCGCCGTAACTAAATAATATTCCCACTCCTCTCCCACCGTCTCGGACTAAACTCCAACCCCCCCAACGCCGGCAACACCAGCCCCTCGCCTTCCTCCCCCCCTAAACCACCCCCACTACCCCGTCCAAACCGTCCAAACCCAAACCCACCCCCAGTAACACCATTCTCGTCTTCCTCCCCGTCCTCCCCAGCAACAACAAACCGTGTCTTATCATCCCCAATTTTGCGCCTGAACAGCCCCAGATCCCGCAGCAGCCCACTCATGTGCTCGTGCATGTCATCGGCGTGTTTTTCGTAGCCGGCGGGTTCGGAGTCGGGGATACTTTCTATTTCGTTGTCATGGTCAGGCCCAGTGGCTGAGGCGTAGCCGTCGTCATCTGACACGCCGTTCGTGGTCCTCCTCTTCTTTTCGCCGTCATGATCACCCTCTTCAAGGGTGTCGGGATCCAGGCCGTCATCGGTAAAAGGCCCCGGCACAGCCACCTCAGGAATGGGATTCCTCAGACTCTCCAACGCCAACTTCAAATGCAACCTCAACGCCTCATTCTCCGTCTGCAACGACCTAATCTTCCCCTCCGCCACCAACGACCTCTGCTCCATCGCCTGCTGCAACCCGCGCACTCTCGCCTGGTACTCCTCCAGCCTCTCCTCCGCCTCGCGCGCATCGTCCCGTTCCCGCCGGCGGGAATCACCGACCACCAGCTGCAAAGCGCGGATCTCGGCTTCCATGGAGGCGATTTGCGCGTCGCGCTCGGCGGCGGTGACAGAGTCGATTTGGTTGACGACGGCGCGGGTGCGGATGCGTTTGGCTTGGTCGGCGTAGCGGAGCGTGGAGAGGGTTTCTTCGTAGTCGGCCGGGGCGATGCAGGCGATCATGGCCGTTTTGGAGTTGCCGCCGAGGGAGTCTTTGAGCAGCCAGGTGAGGATGCTGTCGCGGTAGGGGACGACTGCTGCTGCAGCATCCTTTTTGGATCCGGATCCGGATCCATTAGTATTGCCAGCACCACCCCGCGGACGCTGCTGCTTAGGATCCGCCAACGCCGCAATCACCCTCCCCAGCGTAGTCAGCGACTTATTGATATTACTACCCTCACGCAGACGCTGACCCGTAGCCTCGGTCGACTTGGCGCGTTCGGACCCAGCGAGATCGACCAAGCGGATACGGCTGGACCGCTCGGTGGTCTCGTCGGTCTCGAGGTCGTGGTGGATCTGCTTCAGCATGATGGTGAACACGGCGTGGCTGCGGGAGGAGGTGTCGTTCATCTTGGTGCTGGCCGTCGTGCGGTTGTTGTCGCCGACGCGCATGTACCGCAGGATCTCGTGCAGGCTGCGCACGGGGACTTCGGTGAGGTCTTTGACGTAGGGTCCTTCGGTGGGGGATTCGCGGATTTTGAGGTAGTAGGGTGGTTGGTTGGGGATGACAGGGACGAGCAAGTCGCGGACGTGTTCGTTGTAGACTTCAAAGTACGACACCCGCACGTTGTAGCTGGTGTTGGGGGTTTCGTCCTGGGCGGCTGCGATGCGCTCGAATAGGTCCTCGCAGGTGCGTGGGATCAGGCCCGGTTGGTCCGGGGTGCCCATCATGGTGTATGATTTGCCGGAACCGGTCTGGCCGTAGGCGAAGATGCATGTGTGGTAGCCCTCGAAGTTGTGGTCGAGGAACTCTTCGCCCAAACTGTCGTAGACGTCCTCCTGCTCGGCGTAGTGCTCGTCTGTCAGGTCGTGGCTCCAGAAGCTGTTGTCGAAGGTGAAGTTCTTTTCCTCCGTTGCCTTGCGCGCGCGCGCCTTGGCGTTGGCCGGGTCGTGGCTGTTGGGGACGAGTAGTGTGGTCTGCTGCGAGACGGGGTCCATGCGGATGAGGCATTCTGCGTGTCGTTGAATCTCTGTTGGCGCAGCCCGTCAGTAACTATTTCATTTTACCTCCACACCCAGAACATAAGTAGAAACTACAAGAAAACAACATACCCCTCGGCAAAAACGCCCTCACCCTTACGACAACCCTCACATTCCCTCCCGGATCCGCCCTCGCATGCGGCGGTACCGTCCCATCCCTCGACCTCAACGACGGCGTACTCGCATACGACCGTACCGCTCTCTGTGATTGTTGATGATAGTGGCCAGCTGCTGAGCCAGGCGACAAATGCCCAGCAGCAGGGCTGTACTGGTGTCCAGCAGAATTCGGCATGAGGCGCGGATGCGGTGCGATACCGATTAGTGTCTCGTTGATGTCGGTGACGACGTCTCGGAAGCGCTGTTCGAGGTTGCTGTACATTTATTTACTTTTGTTTTCTTCCAGCTGGAAAGACAAGTCCGTCCGGGGGGTGTTTTTCGACTAGCAAGTTATTGGTTCGACCTTTCTCTGTTTGTCGGGGTTCGCACGCAGCAATGTGGATCGCCAGCTGGCAGCGGTTGCGGTTTGCGGAGATGTGGTTGGGTGGTGACTTTTTGTCCCTTCGTCCCTCGTCGCGATTGTTTACAATGAACTAGGGGGGCTTGCAGTTGCCGGGGTGAGCGATGCAAGTCGCTGCGCTGCACTGCGGTGTTGCAGGGGTTGTTTGGAGGGGCAGCGGAGTCTTGGCGCCAGCAGCGCTGGCGGACTGGTGGAAAGTGGGGCTGTTCACCGCTGCCCCTGGCGTGATGTGCTGGCGGCTGCTGAATCGATCACTGTCCCACATTATCGGTTGATAGCACACGAGAAGGAAGAATCGAGACTGGGCGGATAGCGAGAAGATGGAAGTGAACCAATGCATTTCTTCTAAGGATATCTTAGCCGGCAAAAAAGCGAAAAAAAGACACAGAAAAGAAAAGCAAGCAAAAGACATAAGAGAACAAAACACCATAACCACTCCCTCAAAACCATCATTTAATCCGCTTCGGCACTCACCCCTCCAATCCCCTCCCCAACAGCACCTCCCCGACCTCTTTCACCAACCCCATCCCCCTACCCACTCCCTTCTCTCCCCCCTTCCCCAACACCGTCCCCCCAGCATCCAACACCCTCAATAAATCCACCAACTCCCCTTCCACCGGCGCACAATACACCAGCCACCCCAGCGCCCGCAACATCCCTTCCAACGCCTCAACCGACTGCTCCTCCTGCGCAATCGCCTCCAGCACCGATGCCGCGAGTTCAACTTGGTCTTCCTCCGGTAAGCCGTCTCCTCCTGTTAGAGCGGGATCTGGTGTGGTGAGGCCTAGACGGACTCGGTTGTTGGCTAGCGCGAGGTTGTACAGCAGACTGGCGGCTGCTACGCGCGTGTTGGTGTGGGTGACGTCGAGGAAACTGGAGGATATCAACTGGGTGAGGCGGGAGCGGACGCTAGCAGCGCTCTCGGGGGACGAAGAGGAAAGCAGCTGTGGCGGATATAACGGGGAGGTAAACAGGTTGCACGCCATCTGCAGGGTAACTAGCCGCAGAGCGTAGGGGCAGGTCGTCGGTGGCAAGGTGGTGGTAACGTGCATGAGGATGGCGGTGATTGTGGTTTGGTGTTGCTCCTCTGCTAGGAACCCGCTAACACGGGGGTCAATAAGCGCACAGCGGAGGAGGTCGACAATGGTGAAAAGAACGTCGGTCGGGAGGGCGGTTAGAGTAGACCGGACGAACGCGGCAAACGCCGCAAGATCGGGCAGTGTTGCCTCGGCTGGCCCGGAGGAGGCCCGGGTCTCGAGGAAGGTCTTGACGCTCTGTACTATGGGGTGATCCGCGAGCGGGCCCATCTTGGCGAGCAATTTGGGGAGTGGTGGGATCTTGGTAAAGGTCACGAACTCCGCGTTGGGGTTGGAAAAACTGGGGAGGTTGAGACTCTGGTGCGGGTGTGGCGGCCATGCCATTTGGACCAGGAGCTGAATGTTGCCTCGCAGAGCGCCTGGGTCGGCACCGCTCCATCGGTTCTCCTGCTGGCCCTTCAGAAAGGTAATGAACGTGGGTGTAGCTGAGATCGAGTATTTGTTTCCCACTCCAAACGCGCGTGAACTGTCGACCTTGATCAACACCCCTTTGCCCCCAACCTCGGCAGCGAGTTCGTCGTAAAGGGGGTAAAGCGTCTTGCAAGGAGGGCAGGTGGCCGAGGTAAAGAAGACGACGGCACAGGATCGATCATATCTTGACAATAGTGCATCGAGTTGTGTTAGGCTGTCAACGACTTGGACCTTTCCCAGTGGATGATGTAGCTGCGACGTAGGCTTGACCGAGCTGCCCGGCGTCTGCTGCTCGATCCCGAGGATTCCGCCGCGGCTTTTGTTGACGTTGATTTGCTGTGCCAACGCGGGCATTATCATCCGCCCGAAAGGTGAGTCTCTAGGGATTATTAGCATCCACCAAGAAGTCTAGAGCTCAGGGCGGAACTTACAGTACGGCCTGAGGCATGTTAGTGATATGACTGGGGATGCCCTTTCCGAGGAGAAAGGTGGCAAAGTCATTGGAAAAGTTGTTGCAATTGTGTTTCCACAGATCGTATGCCTGGTTTGTTAGTTTTTGTTGAATCTTGATAGGCTGAACGAAAGGCTTACCTCGACGGTGTAAATCTCACGCAACGAGTCCAAATACTCCTCAATCACATCCATAGGCACTGGAGATAGGAGTGTCAGTGAGGTCTCGGCATTAATCAATATTCGAGGAGACACAAAAACTCACACTCCGTCCTCCCCAAATGCAACTTCTCCAACGGCTGCCCAAGATGCGACGACCCCGGCTGGATAGCCACCACATTCCCGTCGTACACGTACTCGCGCCCGTTGAGTTGGATCGATGTGTGGTAGATGGCGTCGAGCTGGAATCCCAACAGGCCCTGGGACATTTGCCGGGCGAGACCCTGAGAAAGATCGTAAACGAGGAGGTGTACGTCCATGGTGTGGGTGTTGTACTTCGCAATAGCAAAACAGATGAAACGGTAAAACGGCGAAACTGTGAACCCAACTTAAGAATGCAACTAAAAGTGACGGGAAACAAAAAACAAATCGATTCCAGGATTATTGAGAGAAGGTTCGGATTCGAGTTGCTAATCCAGCCTAGACGTAAAAAAGAGCGGCAGCGGCTGGTAGTATCCGAGCAGACGAAAGGCAGCAGGAGGTGACGAAGAGAGGCTGAGACGTCGAGTTGCCGCTTCTGGAAGGCTGGAGAACCCAACCGACTGATCCGTCAGGGGTCTTGGCGGGGTATCCTAAGTATGTTACAGTACAATACAATACATTGACCTTGGAGGTGTGTAATCTTACACACAGGTCATCTCCAACACCAGGCTGGCGGTTGCTGACATGCCTTTTCGTCTTCGTCGCGGGTAGCCTCGAGGGCAGCTGGCCCTCTTAAGCTTTCGTCCGGACTACGCAACCCCATAGTTCCGTCGGCCGCAGCAGGGACCCTGAAGGCGAACCAGGGCCGCGGTACCCCACGACGTGCAATTTCGGGGACGGAACGGGGAACAACCGCAGGAGGGCCTCCCGATAGTCGTCGTCTTGTATCTTTTCGATGTCCGTGATTGGTCCCGGATCCTGCGACAGGCGGGCGTAGAGCGCCGCCATGCTGGGTGGGAGTGGCTCTTGAGTGGTAGCCGAGCTGGCGTCCACCCGTCCGACAATGAGCGTCTCCAGCGCCTTGCATGTAGGGGCCAACTCGGCGCATACGTCGAAGAGACTCGTAAGGTCGTTAAAAGCTGGAAAATACCAGTCTAACGCGACATGCAGGAACTTTGCGGCGTCTTCCGCGTGGAAATTTCTCAGCCGGTCAATCGCGGGGGAGCATGCGCCGAGAAACACCACCGTCGTCGCCGGGCAGATCCAGGCAAGCAGTCGATCTGTGTTGGCACCATGGCCGATCTAGCCCATGATTGGTATACACCACTTCTCCAGTATGTCCCAGGCTTCTTGACAGGACAACCCAACGCGGTAGGGTACCGGACCGATGAATTTGCTCCCGAGACACGGGGGATTGGGGTTCGGCGGGCCGTCGAGGGGCAGAGGATCCAGCTGAATGCTCCAGACGGTGGGACTGGTTATCGCTTGCTCCCAGATCATGATCCGTAGTTCGGGGGGTAGTTCCCTGAATCGTGGAAAGGCCTCGGTCGCCTCGGTCACCATGATGAATGCTGGTGCTACCGTGGCGAGGGGGTCTCTAGTGCGGGTGCTTGACGAATGGGGCGAGTGTGCGTTGCGTTGGAGTGTACTACGCGGTTATACAAGTCTACTGGCCGTAACTGTCGGGTGTCACTTGGCCAAATTGGGAGTCGTTATCTTTTTCAGGTTTCTTCCGTCGAGTTGTTTGAGACGATTCGGCGGTCCTCGAGCTGCACAGGGAAACTCGGAGATTGATACGTATGTCCCACGACTTTCTATCCGATGAAACTAAAAGCGGTAAAAGAAGAGGAAATAGTTACGATTAGCAGAATGTTCCGTAGAGACTACACGTGTATGTTGATCGAAGGTATTCTGCTGCTGCTCGTCAATGTCTTGTTCAATGCTGGATGGTTGTTTGATGGATGCAACCTACCGAGTGTGGATGTGGGGGGATGTGTGGCAGCTGCGGGACGCTGTAAATTGCCTTGGCATTGCATCCCTGGACTAACGGCAGGGGTCTCCTGTCGATTGCAGCGTCATTCCTTGCAAGGCCGTTGCATTGCTCGAGAATCGAGACCCACCCGAGCCAAAGCCATCGATTCTTGGGATCCAGTTGCTGCAAAAGGCCAATTCTTGGAAAGTCAGCCCCTATCCAAGTGCAAGCCATTTCTTCTCCCTCGTGCTATTTCTCGACAAGCCGTTTCTTTGCGAGGACTACGAGAGATAGATTGTGTTCCGCGTCTTCTTCCTTTGCATTTGCTTGCTGCATTTGCCTACGACATCCTTCATGTCTCTCATTTAACGTCCCTTTTTTTTTCCAACCGATTCTCGAATCGCCACCTGGCGGTACCTGGTCTGGTAGCCACTTTTTCGATCCGACCTTGTCAAACTTCGAAAAGAACATTTTGCCTTCTTCCCTTTCGAGGGATCCCCGGCTTCGTCCCGCACCTATGCGACGCACGTCGGTATCGCTGCCGACAAAACACATCGCCTTTGATCCGCACGAGAAACCCGATCGATACGAGAACCCGCGCGAGCAGAGCTTCATCATGAAAATGCAGTCTGCCTGGGTTTCGCAGTCGCAGCGGTCGCGCTACATTAAGACTGGCGCTATCATCTTTGCCGTGTTCTGTCTCTTTTACGTCTTCTCGCCTTCGGGCGTGGATATCTATCGTGGAGGTATGTATGCTTGTTGGGCGACAGATCTGGGAACCGTGGCTTGTGGCTCCTAGCGGATCGTTGCTAACCAACCAACCAACCTCATCAGGCAAACCGTCGTCCCAAGGCCAGACGCCGTCCGATTCGTCCTACGGCACCGACCGATGCACCAAGTCCTCCGGGGGCAAGCCAATTGTACAATATGTGTCCATGGTGGACGCCGGCAGCACGGGCTCGCGCATCCACGTCTACAAGTTCAACAACTGCGGCGCTGCCCCCGAGCTCGAGGGCGAGATTCTGTTCAAGGAGACCGAAAAAATTGACGGCAAGAGCAGCGGACTGAGCGCGTATAAGGACGACCCCGAGGCCGCCGCCAAGAGCCTTGACCCGCTCCTCGACGCTGCCCTCAAGGTCATTCCCGATGCCCTCAAGGGCTGCAGCCCGATCGCCGTGAAGGCGACGGCCGGTCTGCGCTTGATCGGCCCCGAGCGTAGCGGCAAGATCCTCGAGTCCGTCCGGAACCGTCTGCACACCAAGTACCCGTTCCCCATCGTCTCCAAGGAAGAGAATGGCGTGGCCATCATGGACGGCTCGGACGAGGGCGTCTACGCCTGGGTCACGGTCAACTACCTCCTCGGCAAGATTGGCGGCCCAGATCATAGCGAGACGGCGGCGGTTTTCGACCTCGGCGGCGGCTCGACCCAAATCGTCTTCCAGCCCAGCTTCGAGGGCCTCACCTCGGGCGGCATGCCGGACAAGCTGGCCGACGGTGATCACAAGTACGAGCTCAGCTTCGGCGGCCAGCACTTCGACCTTTACCAGCACTCCCACCTGGGCTACGGCCTGATGTCGGCGCGCGAAGCCATCCACAGCACCCTCGTCAACGACATCCACGAACAAAACAAGGCCGACACCACCTGGACCAAACAGCCCATCATCAACCCTTGCTTCGCCGTCGGCATGTCCAAGACCATCACCGTCAAGCTCGACGACAAGCACCCTCTCGGCGCCACCATCGACCTCAACATGACCGCCCCCTCCACCCCAGCCCCGGCCCAATGCCGCCGCCTCGCCGAGCGCATCCTCAAAAAGGAAGCCGAATGCAAGCTCGCCCCCTGCTCCTTCAACGGCGTGCACCAGCCCTCCATCGCCAAAACCTTCGCCCGCGAGGACATGTACTTCCTCTCGTACTTTGCCGACCGCACCACCCCGCTAGGCATGCCCGACTCCTTCACCCTGCGCGAGCTGTCCGATCTCGCCCGCGCCGTGTGCGGTGGCGAGCGCCGCTGGGATGTGTTTGCCAGCGTGCCCGGTGCGTTGGAGGAGCTGCGCGATCGGCCTGAGCACTGCTTGGATCTGAACTTTATGCTGGCGCTGACGCATACCGGGTATGAGATGCCGCTGGATCGGGAGGTGCGGATTGCGAAGAAGATTAAGGATAAGGAGCTTGGGTGGTGTTTGGGTGCTAGGTACGTTTCCTTCTGTTACCTCAATTATATGCGAACCCCCTTTAGATGACACTGACTAACCTTGACTACTCTAGCCTGCCGCTGCTGTCCAAGGGCTCAGGCTGGGAATGCCGGATTACCGAGACGCATTAGGAAAAAGTCGAGGCCAGACTCGGCAGCGAAGAGCAAAGTGAGAAGAAAATAGAGCTAGAAGAAGACCCAGAGGAAGAAGAGAAAGAAGAAGAAGAAGAACAGGTACATGATGAACTCTTGCTAGCGGTATGACAACGACGACAAAAAAACAACGGGCAGGCTTGCCTCTAGCTAGAGCTGGAGCTGGCTGGCTGGCTGGCTGACGTATGATACGATACATACGGATCATTGTACTGGGCGTACTTGATTATGACTGGACTGAACTGAACTGGCTTGATGGATGAGTTGGGTGGGTGGTGGATTCGACTCGACTCGGCGTTATGATATGATACATACCAAATAAAGGGAGTCTAATGTTTCGGTGGGGTGGGTGGATTGCCTAAATCATGTGATATACGAAGGGAGGCGCGGCAGGTAGCCGACGTCGCGGCCCTGGTTTAATCGAGAAACTGGATATTGAGACGACTTTGGAAGCTTGTGAACTGTGCCTTGGTGGACTGTGTTGAATGTGCTGTGCTAAGGGCGGCCCTGTGCTCCTTGAAAAGGGGTTGTCCCGTGTTTGTTTTATCTATATTCCGTTTTGATCTAATGCTTCATCGTAACCCGTCGTAACTATCTGCTGGTGCATTGTTTATACCTCTAATTACTTTTCCCCGTTTATTCATCTTAACTACCCAACACCAAACTATTTGAACGTCCGCTCTTTGAATCCCTACAAAGGCACCTTCACCATCCCCAGCACCTCCTCCAACACCTCCTCCGGCCCAATCATCCCCCCCTCTCCCACCTCACCGTCGCCCCCCAACAACGCCGCAACAGCACCGACCTCACTGCCCCACTGCACGCTCCTCTCCCTTATCGGATCCCTCACCAGTTCCAGCCGATGCGCATACACCTTCCGCGCCGCCAACCCCACAATCGAGGGCGTGACGTAGTCGAGTCCGTGTAGACAGGCCAGGGAGCGGGATAAGTCGGCGAGATGCCGCGAGGCGGCGGGTGAGACGGAACCGGGGAGGGCGACGGCGCGGTGGCTGCGGAGGAAGGAGATGAAGTTGGATTGGTAGCGGGTTATGGAGATGGTGGTGTGGATGGTGGTGTGGGCGAGGTGGGAGAGGTGGGCGAGTTCGGGTTCGGTTAGGAGGGGGGTTGTAGGGGGGGATGTTTGGTCGGGTTTGTTGTTGGGGTGGTGGTGGTTCTGGTTGTGTGTGCTGCTGCTGGTGACACTGCGGGGACTGCTGAGGCCGAGGGCTGGGCTGGGGGAGGGGTGGCGGCTGATCCGGATTACGCTGTTGCTTGATGTTGTTGAGACGGCGTCGGTATTGTCGTCGTCGTCGTCTTCTCTGCCGTTCTGGCGGTCGAGTTCCTCGTCGAGATAGGGGAAGCCGTGGTCGTCTGGGTCGTGCCAGTGGCTGATGTAGAAGAAATCGTTTAGATGGGGGGTGACCCGTGCTTGGCCACCGCTGCTTGCGCCGACGAGAGCGATAAAGAGGAACTGTTTCGGGGCAGTCTGGACGCTGGTCCGGGTGAAGATGCGTCGTGTCCGGAGTAGCTCGAGGGCTTGGATCTGGACTGCCCGGGGAGCACGGTCCAGATCCTTGGCTAGGATCACATTCGCAATCCGAGCTTGCGGAATCTGGGAATGGCTTCTTCCGACGGACGGCAACACCGGGCTTCTCGTCCCGCCGAGACGTGGAGATGGAGTTACCGGAAAATACGATCCATGATGACCCGCAGCGCCGACGGGCGAAAGTTGCGACTGCTGCTCATGGCGCGAATGGTACGGGGACACAGAGCGAGCATTTCCTGGTGATGGCGGAGGTTGGGGGTTGGGCTGGACGAACAGGCCGTTGGCGAACTCGTCAAGAGTGGTGTGGGCGCGGCAACTGACGATGGTGGAGGTGAGGTTGAAGGTCCGGGCGGCGACCAGACGCAGCTCCTCGGCGAGTTCGTCAATGCTATCAGGCTCGGTACTGATCAAGCAATGCTCGCGGGCGATGAGGCAGAGGAGGGCGGCTAGTTCGAGGTCGCTGAGCGTGTGGATCTTGTCGAGGAGCTGCTCGCTGGCCATTGCCTTGGTTGGTTCCAATTTGTCCTGGTTTCCTCCACGTACCCAATCCTGGACCGGAACTCGAGTTGCTCTTTAACACAATCTTCCTTCTTTTCTTTGTCTCTTTCTCCCCCCTTCCTTTAGCTGCGCTCACACCTCGTCACAACCGGTGTCGCAGCTAGTCTGTCGCAATTCCATCCCGGTTTCTTCTCCCTGAAGTTAGGGCTCGGCGGCTCAGTTCGAGTGACGATTGTGTATACCGGAATGAATTTTTTTGTTGCTGCAGGCAGAGGTCGCGACAAGCGGTCGATGATGGTCTGCAGGAAGCCGAAGCCGATGCGGGTGTGGGGCGGGTTGTCAAGGCAGACCAAGCCTAAAGTGGCTTGGTTTCATCAGCGGACCAACATCACGCAAAGGCGGTGATTGGCCCTGGCCCTTTTGTCAGGTGCCTGCCTGCCACGGCCTTGCAGCGAGCCGTCAGTGACTCTGCCGGGTGTTGTGCCAGCAGTCACTTGGTCGCTCCAACACCCGCCACTCATTTGTGAAGTGCAGTGCAGCTCTGATTCCCCAACAACCTGGAACCCCATAACAGCCCCGTCCATTTGTTATCGTTCCCAGCCTCGGTGCGATAACTCCCCGTTCTCCGTTGTTTGCTTGCACCTTTCACATTAAATCAACAACGAACAATCGAGTTCCTTGCGCTTTACCTCGGCCAGTCACGAACTACACTAGAGGCTGTTTTAATCTGATTTCAAGCGCCCTGCACCCACTCGAAGCGCCGGTCGTCCTTGCTCTTCTCCTTCCCCGCGACGTCGACCGATACAAACAGCAGCGTCATGGCTTCCCGGAAGAAGGTCCTTTTGAAGGTTGGACTTGGCCAGTACAGACAAAAACCTTTGCGTGCAACATTGCTGATGCGCTGTGGATTGCAGGTCATTATCTTGGGCGACAGCGGTGTCGGCAAGACAAGTCTGATGAACCAATATGTACGCTCCCGACACCCTTTGTCCCAAGCCGCTATCCGACACATACATACATGGACGCACAGAGAGAGAGCCGATTTCTAACATATCATGGGACCATAGGTCAACAAGAAGTTCAGCGCCAGCTACAAGGCCACGATCGGGGCTGATTTCTTGACGCGGGAGGTGCTGGTGGATGACCGCCAGGTGACAATGCAGGTGCGCACGCCCGACTGAGCCTTGGGGGACCCTCTCTCTGCAGACATTGTTGGGAGAACGACCGCTAATACAGATTTTGGGTCTCAGCTCTGGGATACAGCAGGCCAAGAACGGTTCCAGTCGCTCGGTGTGGCATTCTACCGGGGGGCGGATTGCTGCGTGTTGGTGTATGATGTCAATAACTCCAAGAGCTTTGATGCGCTCGACAGCTGGCGAGATGAGTTTCTGATCCAGGCATCGCCACGGGATCCGGACAATTTTCCGTTTGTGGTGCTGGGCAACAAGATTGATGTGGAGGAGAGCAAGCGGGTGGTAAGTTTCACCGTTTGGGTCGGTCAAGAAGGTGGAATGTTTGGCTGACGTCTTGACAGATCTCGACAAAGCGGGCCATGACCTTTTGCCAGTCTAAAGGAGGCATCCCCTATTTTGAGACGAGTGCGAAGGAGGCTATTAACGTGGAGCAGGCGTTTGAGGGTATGTATTTGTTATAGTATATGACCGCAAGAGAACTGCCGCTGACCGCCCACAGTGATCGCGAGGAACGCACTCCTCCAAGAAGAGTCAGAGGAGTTCAGTGGCGATTTCCAGGACCCCATCAACATTCACATCGAGAACGACCGAGATGGGTGCGCATGCTAGAGGGTAGAGGAAGCAAATGGATTGATTGATTGGGATTTCACTTAGGTTTTATGCTTGTATGATATCATGCTTGGTTGTCTGGCGTGTTTGGGCTCGAACTGGGGAAGGGAAAGTCGGGTAGTCGTTTGGAGTCCCGAGTGGGCCGTCTTATTCAGGATGCCGTAGGGGTGCATTGGGGGTGTATATGAGGGTAATCAGATTGTTGTTGCTCGCTTGACTTGGTGTTTGATCCGAATGTTTGTCAGCGGCCCGGAGTGTGATAGGAGCCAAAGAGGAAGGTTACTGTGAACCTGGAAGCCTGGACATCTCGCCTAACTCGGCCGCGCGGGGGGTCGTCATGCCGCGTCTTCCCTTTAACGTTGCTTTTCCATTATTGTTTCCATTTCCTCATAACTTTCACTGAGCCCTATTCAACTCATCTTTAGTTCCCCTTCCTCAAACACTCACATCGACAACTCACGCGATCAATAAGCGGTCTGCTGCAACCCTAACCCCGCATCACGAATTCGCGCCATTTCTGGTTGGTCTGCACGACCTGAGTGGCAGCGGTCAGGGGTTGGTTTTGGGCGGCTCGGGCGGGCTTCGGGGCTCGGTCTTGGCAACAACGCCCACTGCATCTCTTAGCCCCTTGGGTCGCGTGCATGGAGTGTACCGGGCGCATCGGAAACATCGACTTTCTCTGAAGTTCACTCCGACTCGCCGACCGACTCATCTTTTGACACCACCGTGATCCAGGTTGATACGGCGGTCTGGGGCGGTCACTTTCTCTGCCCTACTTTGCCATCCTTTGGCTTTTTACTGTTTGGGTTTTGTTGTTTCTGTCTTTGCTTTTTCTGTTCGGTTTCGCACCAGTCGATTGTTTGGACAATACCGTACCCTAGATGGTTGGTTGTTCCATGCTTTGCTAGCCCCTCCTTCGAAGACACAACACGCCCTTGAATTCAAGTTGCAAAGTAGTGCGCCCGATGCGGCACCTCTTTGTTCCATCTTCGTCAACCGACCCATCGTCGCCTTTCATTCCCCCGTGGGGTTGAATCCCGCAGTCCTCTCATGTGGCTACTTGGGAGATAATAGTCGGGCTATTTCGGTATCTCACAATTCGGAATCGAGCAGACCAAACACAAAGAAAACAAACATCACCATGGCGCCCTCTGAGCCACTGCTCCCGGGGGACATTGCGCCAGACCACAAAGACGCCGACCTCCCCGGCCAGCACGACGCACACACACATCACATCAACAACCACACCACATCCTCTTCTTCCAGGCGCAGGTCGCAATCCGTCGCAGCGGGGACAGGTGTAGCGATATCCGATTTTGGGCGCCCACCATCTCGGGCACCGTCTGTGGCTATGACGACTGGGTCGAGGGCGACGACGACGACGGGTGGTGGTGGGAAGGGGGCGGGGAGTATACGGGAGAAGCTTGGGCTGGGGGGTCTGGCGCGCCGCACGCTGGGGATTGCTTTGCTGTTGATTGTGGTGTTTTTGTGGACTTTGTCGAATTTTTTGGCGAGTGTGAGTGTTTTCCTCCGGGTGTTGACTATGTTTTGCATTCCTTGGGGTCTTGATAAGCAGGTCAGACGAGAGGTACTAATGGACATTGGGTAATGCTAGGATATCTTCTCCGACGGGACATTCAGCAACCCCTTCTTCGTGGTCTACGTCAACACGGCGTGCCTCACAATCTCCCTCATCCCGCTCTCGATACGCTACATCGCGCAGCACGGTATCAACGCGGCAATGGCCGCCCTATTAGAGGCATGGAAAGGGCGGAAACCACACCCAACGCGGCCGCGGGACGGGCACAGTGACGACGACGACGACAACGACCACGACCACGACCACGACGGAGCAGCAGAACGCCTACTAGTCGACGACGAAGGCAGCCTGGAAGCGCTGGACCTGCTCCCGGCGAGCAGCAAAGAAGACAACCTCAGCCTAGGCGAGACGGCACGGCTAAGCCTCGAGTTCTCGATGCTGTGGTTCGCAGCCAACTACTTCGCGTCGGCGTGCCTGGAGTACACCAGCGTGGGGAGCGTGACGATCCTGACGTCGACCAGCAGTATCTGGACGCTTATCTTTTGCGCGCTGACGCGCATTGAGGGGTTCACCATGCGCAAGCTTGTGGGCGTGCTGGCGTCGCTGGTTGGGGTTGTGCTTATTTCCTCGGTGGATTTGTCCGGGGCGAATGATGATAACCGGGGCAGTTTCCCGCATAAGACGACGGCGCAGATTGCGATTGGGGACGCCATGGCGTTTTTTAGCGCCATTATTTATGGGGTGTACGTTACGGTTATGAAGAGCAGGGTGGGGAATGAGGATAGGGTCAACATGCCGTTGTTCTTTGGCCTGGTTGGCTTGTTCAACGTGCTGTTTCTGTGGCCGGGGTTTTTCTTGCTGCATTATACCGGCATCGAGCCGTTTGAGCTGCCGCCCTCTGGGAGGGTCTGGATGATTATCATGGTAAGTCCACTCTTGTTTTCTTTTTTAAAATATAGCAAGAAGAAGAGCACCCTAATTTAGTAACACATCCTCCAGATCAACTCCGCCTCCTCCTTCTTCAGCGACATCCTCTGGGCCTACGCCATGCTACTCACCACCCCCTTGGTCGTCACCGTCGGCCTGTCCCTGACCATCCCGCTGTCGTTGATCGGCGAGATGTTCCAGTACTCGCAGTACTCGAGCTGGCTGTACTGGGTCGGGGCGGGTGTGGTGTTCATCTCGTTCTTGTTTGTCAACAATGAGAGTCATGATGATGAGGATGGCGGGAAGGAGAGCGGGAGTGGGGATGAGGGAGTGCGGGGTGGTGTGGAGAGGTCGGCTGTGTAGGATGATTGCGTTGGGGTGTTGAACGTTTCTGGTTCTTTTTTGGAGGACAGGACAAGATGTGGTTTTGTCCCTCTTGGTGTTTGTTTGGTTAGATCGCACTAGCATGTAGAGCATAGACGACCACAATCCATGATACCCACCCACCTTGCGCAGGTTTTGTCTCTCTCACAATATATTCCCAAGTGAAAGTGACGCCCGCCAAGTATTTTATGATGTCCTGATCGTATTTCCCTACACTAGACAAGCGAAAAGCGAAAAGCGTCAAAGCCAACGCCAATGCCATGCTACCTACTCAAACAAAAACAAATGTCCATGCTCTAACTAACTAACCCCCATGCGCCTTAGCCCCTTATGCTCCGTGTGCTATGATGGTATAGTGCCTAATGTATGGCGTGTAAAAGCCAGAATAGGTGTGGGGAAAAATCAACCCACTGAAAGACAAAGACAATCCCGAACCCCAAGCGCCAAGCTGTTTGCTTTCATGAAGCCAAATGGAGGGAATCCTGAACGCCGTGCGGACTGTAAAAGCAAAGAGACCTCTTCCCCCCTTCTTCGTAGTCCGTACTCCCACTCCCCTTCTTTTGACTCTGCAGCCCTACTCGCTCATCCATATTCCTTACTCCTTATTCCATTCACCTCCAAACCGACATATCCCACCCCCAGCTCCCCCATAAAACCACTTCACCACTCCAACTCACATCCATCAAAAGATAACCTACCAATCATCCCCATCCCCCTCCCACCGATCCCCCACATCCGCCCACCCACACCCCCACCGTCTGCCCTCCGTCTCGCCCCCCAACCGCAAATCCGCCGCACCCGCCCGGTCTTCACTCCAGCACCGCACCAGAAAATCATCCCCCACCGTCACCAGCTTGCCGTCGGCTGTCCAGGCCACCGCGCCGACTTCTTTCCCGTGGCCTCGGACTAGCGGGGTACCGCGTCGGCTGAGGGGGCCCGGGCCTGGGCCGGGGTTGGAGCCCGAGTGGGAAGGGGGGTCGGTGAAACTGGTTGTGCGTCTCAGGGGGGGGAGGTTGGTTGAATTGGAAGTGGGGTTGTTGGTGTTTGAGGAGGAAGAAGAGCGTAGACCGGAACGAGGTCGGGCAAGGAGCACGGCGCTATCGGTCTCGGTGCCGACGTAGTACGTCTCGTTCTGGTATGCCGCCGACGATGACCAGGCATCGCGCAGGTAGCGTTCATCGGTAGGGAACAGCACGGCTGCGCCGTCAGAGCTGCCCACAGCCAAAAGCTCGGAGCGGCCGTCGGACGCCGGGCGGATGGCCGCCTTGACGTAGAAGCTGGTCGCGTGGAAGAGCGGGTGGCGGAAGCCGTAGAGCGGGCCGAGACCCTCGTGGGCGCTGCCGTGCGGGTGGTGGCGACGGCGCGGGGGTTCGGTGCCGGGGGGCGCGGGGGTGAGTTCGGGGGCGTGGCCGAGGACCAGGTGGGCCGTGCTGTAGGCGTAGACGGTGTTGTCTTTGCAGAGGGCGTAGAGGCGCGTGCCGTCGCCGCCGAGGGCCATGGAGCAGACGCCGAAGGGGCGGAAGGAGACGTGGCTGGCTGGGGGCGCGGTGTAGGATACGGGCGTGGCGGCTTTGTGGTGCCGGCTGGTGTGGACGGCGCGGATGTCCCAGAGCTTGACGCTCGCGTCGGCTTCGCAGGCGGTGAGGAGGAGGTGTTCTCGGCCGGGAGGGAGGAACTGAAGGGCTGTGACGGAGACTTCGCCGAGACGGCCGGGGACTTCACCTATACGGGCGATGTCACCGCCGGCGCCGGATGCCGAGATCTGCCCCTTGGCCTGTCGCGTGGTGCGAGTGTGGGCGTCGTAGATGCTGTTGACCACACAGCCCGGGTTAGGCGGCTTGGGAAGGCGGTGGTGCAGGCCGGTTTCTGATTCGATCGGGATGTTCTGGATCGGTCCTCCTCGGCATCGCAGGTCCCAGATCTGGACGCTGCCGTCGCGGCCGGACGTGGCGAGAACACACCCGGAGCCTCGGCCGGGTTGGAATCGGACTTGCTTCAGGGCTGCGGTGTGGTGTCCGAGGACGGAAATAGGGTTCTGGGTCATCATGTCAATCACTCTGCCGGTTTGGTCCCCCGATGCAGTGGCCAGAAGACGGTCGTCCTCGGAAAAAGCCATGTCGATGATGGCATTCCCGTGGGCCTTGAAGGACAGGTGGATCTTGGAGAAGTCCTTGTTCGAGTCCAGCAGGCGGACATAGCCCTCTTCATCTCCCACAGCGACCAAGCTGTTGTCTAGGCCTAGTTAGCCTAATGAGTTCTAAGCAATGGGCTAACCTATAACCTATAACTTACTGTGGCAAGCAGTCGTGCAGAAAGGGATCGCCCGAGCAGCCTCTTCATGGCTAGACGAATAGTGAACATCCTGCGGCCGGCTCTGGAAATCGGCCGTCTCAGTCCTCCAGTCTACGCACGGTGGTTAGAAACGAAGAGCCCAACTGAAACAGATAGATGAGTAAAACTCGGGTGCTTACCGGCAACGGGACACTCCAGTGCCCTCTCACTAGCAAAGCGCATAGCACCCGTCATTCTCTGAACCAGCTGAGCACCCAATCCCCGATGATGCAGCGGTACAGGGGCCGTCAATGGCACCGGCGCCTTCACCAATTCCTCATCCGCCTCACCCTCCTCCTCCTCCTCATCCTCAGACACGTCCTCATCCCGGTACACACCACCACCACCATCCTGCAAAGCCCGACGCGACTGCAGCGAACGAAGGGGACTACTACCCCAACCGGGGTGCAAATCCGGAGTCGGAAGCAAAGGCGACGACTGCAGAGGAGACGGAAAATACGCCGTAGTCTGCTTCTCAGGCGTGGTCGTCAGATGGTTGAACTTGCGCCGCTTGCCGCGGTGCTCGTGGTGGCCGCTGTCCTGGAGCTCCTCCTCCGAGATGGGCTTGAGCGGGCTGGACGGCGTCTGGTAGCGGTTCAGGGCCGGGGCGGTGAGATCGCAGAGGGCTTTGCGGGCCGCGGTGGGCTGGGCGGAGATGCGGGATCGGGGCGTGAAGAAGCGTCGGAACTTCCTAGGTGTGATTGACGGGTTTCTTCGCTCCTTGCCGCGGCTGACTGGTCGGGGGGGAGATAGGAGGTTGGGGTTGGAGTTAGAGTTGACGCTGGTGGTGGCCGACTTCCTGGTGGGAGACGAAGGGGGTAGGTTGTCGGCCATGGTGTCGACGTTTTTCGAGAGGGGGAAGTCAAGCAGTTTTTAGGACACCAATGGCTGGAAAAATGCTGTTGATGAAGAAAAAAGCACGAAGTAGACGCTCGAAGAATGCCGAATCCGCCCAAAAGGAAAAAAGAAAACAGAAAACGTATCGATGAAGTTTAAATACCCTCGAAACAGTGGCCCTCCGCAGCCCTGTGAACAATAGTAATGAACCACAGTACAGCTGGGTCGGGCGGGACGATGGAGGTGCTGAGAAGTTCAAATTCAAGCGCAGGTCGGTTTCTCGGTTCGAAGCACGCGAGAAGATGGCGGGCAGGCGGGGGTTGATAGATGGCCCCAGCCCCGGCCAGCACCGGGGGCCACCGGGAATTTCCTCCAAGAACGCGCTTCGCGGTATCCGGACCTGCACGACTTTGACGCGCCGACAGGGATTTAGAGTGGTTTGAGAGCTTGGACGCCCTATCAGCTCGTCCCTCAGCCTCGGCGACGTGTCGACCAATCAGAGTGTTCAATTCCCCTGGCTTGAGCCGCAGCTTATTCAGACCCCACTTCTTCTCCTTTCAACGGCACGGAGCAGCAACTCCACCTTATCAGCTTATCGCTCCGAAGTCTCCGCCAAAAATTTCGAGTTGCGAAACAGCAGCGTCCGCAGCCAGCGCAACAAGGCCTTTCTTTGTCGAAGCCGAGTTCGAGTTTTCCGCACCCAGAACAGCAGCACTCTGGGGCGGCATTGCCCACGACAATACGGCCGGCACCACACCATGGCGATCCAGAAAAAGCACGGCAAGGGCCGTCTCGACAAGTGGTACAAGCTCGCCAAGGAGAAGGGGTATCGCGCGCGTGCCGCCTTCAAGCTGATCCAGCTCAACAAGAAATATGGCTTCCTCGAGAAGAGCAAGGTCGTGCTCGATTTGTGCGCGGCGCCAGGGGTGCGTTTACCGAATGGGATGGGATGGGATGCGAGATCGAATGAAATATGGCCGTTGCTAACTAACAGACGTACATAGTCATGGTGTCAAGTATGCGCCGAGACGATGCCCAAAGACAGCATCATCATCGGTGTTGATCTCGCCCCGATCAAGCCGATTCCCAAGGTCATCACCTTCCAGAGCGATATCACCACCGAAAAGTGCCGCGCCACCATCCGCACGCACATCAAGACCTGGAAGGCCGACTGCGTGCTCCACGACGGTGCCCCCAACGTCGGTACCGCCTGGGTTCAGGATTCGTATAACCAGGCTGAACTGGCCCTGCACTCGTTGAAATTGGCCACTGAGTTTTTGATTGAGGGCGGGACTTTTGTGGTATGTCGACATCCGGGCGGGGTTTGGGGGAGATGGGAAGGGGGAGGATGGAAAGAGAATGGGCAGTGCTGATCTTGTGATTCCTACGACAGACCAAAGTCTTCCGATCCAAGGACTACAACTCTCTGCTTTGGGTGCTCAACCAGCTCTTCACAAAAGTCGATGCGACCAAGCCGCCTTCGTCCCGTAATGTCTCGGCTGAAATCTTCGTCGTCTGCCGCGGCTTCAAAGCCCCCAAGCGCATCGACCCCCGCCTGCTCGATCCCCGGTCCGTCTTCGAAGATCTTGCCGACCCCACGCCGAACAATGAGGCGAAGGTGTACAATCCAGAGATCAAGAAGCGGAAGAGAGACGGTTATGAAGAGGGAGACTGTACGTTTCTCCTTACCTACCCATGCTTTCTCAGATCGTGATGCTAACATTGGACAGACACACAATACAAGGAGATTGCCGCGAGCGAATTCATCCAAACGACAGACCCCATCGCCATCCTCGGACAGTACAACCGGCTTACCTTTGAGCAACCAAAAAACGGCGACGTAGCCCTGGCCGCCCTCGACAAGCTACCCGAAACAACCGAAGAAATCCGCCTCTGCTGTGCCGATCTGAAAGTGCTGGGGAGGAAAGAGTTCAAGCTGCTCCTAAAATGGCGTCTGAGAGTCCGGGAGATCTTCGGGTTCCCAACCAAGAAGGCTTCCAAGACCCCGCTAGTGGAAGAGGTGGCCCAGGTCGAGAACATGGACGAAGAACTCAGGATCCAGGAAGAGCTTCAAAAGATCAAGGACAAGGAATCGTCCAAGAAAAAGAAGGAGCGCCGGAAAGACAACGAGAAGAAGCAAAAGGAAATCGTGCGCATGCAAATGAACATGACGGCGCCCATGGACATCGGTATGGAGCAAGAAGGGCCCCGCGGCGGAGACTCCATGTTCCGGCTCAAAGCCATCGACCAGACCGATGCGCTGCGCAAGATAGCCAAGGGCAAGATGACCAAGGTCCTCGAAGCGGACGCCGCCAAGAAAGACCGCGACTCCGGCATCGGCTCGTCCGGCGAAACCGACGATGAAAGCGACGAGGAGGCTGACCAGCTCGAGCGTGAGCTGGATAACCTGTATGACGATTACCGGGAACGGAAAGCCGCCTCCGACGCTAAGTACCGCGCGAAGAAGGCTAGGAAAGAGCATGGGGATGATGAATGGGAGGGCGTGTCGGGGGATGAGAAGGGGGGTAGTGATGACGATGACGATGATGATGAGGATGCGCTGGAAGTAGAGAGCGGAGATGAGGATTCGGATTCGGAGGATGGTGATGGGGCTGTTAATAAGCTCCTTCGGGATCTTGACAATACGCCTTCGGATGAACCGGGTCTTTCGAAGCGCGCTCGGGGGTTCTTTAGCCAGGACATTTTCCAGACTATTCCTGGGCTGCTGGATGTTCCAGATGAAGAGGAAGAGGAGAGTGAGCCTGATGCGATGGATGTTGATGAGGAGTCTGAGGTTGAAGTCGAAGCTGAGGCTGAGGCTGAGATTGAGGAGTCTGATGACGAACTCCCAAGTATTGAGGAACAGAAGAGGATGCGCAAGGAGAAGAAGTCCACGCAGAAAGAAAAGAAGAATGGGTTTGAAGTGGTGAAGCGCGCGGAAGAGGAGGAAGATGACTGGGAGGAAACAGAGAAGAAGACCAAAGACAGTCGGCCGAGTACGTTTCTCCCACCCCCTTAAACCAACCATCACCATCATTTCCCAACCCACTAACACCTTTCCAGACATCGACATCATCACCGCCGAAGCCATGACACTAGCCCACCAACTAGCGCGCGGCGAAAAGACAACCCACGACATCATCGACGAAGGGTACAACAAACACGCCTTCAAAGACCGCGACGGCCTGCCGGACTGGTTCCTCGACGACGAGGGCCGGCACGACAAGCCGCACAAGCCCATCACCAAGGAGGCCGCCTTGGCCATCAAGGAGAAGCTGCGGGCCTACAACGCCCGGCCCATCAAGAAGGTTGCCGAGGCGCGCGCGCGCAAGAAGTTCAAGCAGGCGCAGAAGCTGGAGAAGCTCAAGAAGAAGGCTGATTTGCTAGCTGGTGACGAGGTTTGTTCTACATTTTCCATCTATCCGATCTACTACCCACCATGGAGTTTTATTTGTGTACTGACCAAAACGTACAGGGCATGTCGGAGAAGGAAAAGGCGACCAGCATCGCCAAGCTCATGTCCGCGGCGGGACGCAAGAAGAGAAAGGCGCCTGTCAAGGTGGTCAAGGCTCAGGGTCTGAACCGTGGGCTCTCGGGCCGTCCCAAGGGTGTTAAGGGGCGGTACAAGATGGTGGACCCGCGCATGAAGAAGGAAATGCGCGCGCTCAAGAGGGTGGCGAAGAAGAAGTAGGGTAATGAGATGGGCAGCGAACAAGTGTTTATAATTACGAGAATTGCATGCCAGACGGGAGGTCACGTCGAATTTACCCGTGTTTATTATTGGTTACTTGAAAACCGGCCTCAAGATGGCGGGTTTGGTATCGGTGTTACTCTTCGTTTGTTGCTCTCTAGCTTCGTCTCGTCGGGTTCTTCCGTTATTCCCGCTGACCGGGAAAATGTGGTCAACCGTTCTTTGTGTGCTATTGACCTGGCAAATTCCGCCAATGGGTACAGTGATCCGTGATACTCCATATCATACCTACTCAGTCCAAGATATTAGGCCCTTGTGTGTTAAAAATAGGAGGCAAAACGGCAAGAAAGAGGTATCCTCACCAGTAATTGACAGCAATGCACACCCCCTCAGGTGAGCAGCTCTGTGAGACCTTATGGTACCTATCGTGTAACCCAACCCATCGTCAGTTCACCCCGGGCTCTTTCAACCCCGAAACATCAACAGCGGGAATAGCGGAATAGCGGAATTTACTTACCACAACGCAGGCAGATACAACATATCCCCCGGTTCGAGCGTCACCCGCATAGGCTCAACCAGCGACGAATACGCCGTAGCATTCTCCATCGGCCGGTCCGGGTCCCAGATCGCCCAGGGCACACTCGTCGATACCCCCCCACGATCCTCATCCCGATCAATAACCAACTCAAACCCACCCCCTTCCCCTTCCTTCCTAACATATGTCGCCAGCGGCAACATCTGCTCATTCACGCCCGCCACACACGCCGGCGGCAGCAGAACAAAGTGCTTGCGCCCAGCGATCTGCGCGTAGATGTTCTCGTAGTTGTCGTGGTGCAGCGCAGTCACAGAGTGGGAGTTGCCGATCCACAGGTTGGTGGCGTCTGGTTTGCGGAGTTGGAGGGCGATGCGCGCCCAGGGGATGTCTGGTGGGACGCCGCCGGAGAGGAGGACGTATTCGTGTTGGAGGTTGTTGTCTTGGGTTTGGGCGTAGCGGATTTCCGTGGGTGGTGGTCGCGGTGGTTGGGTGGGATCTGTTGTTTGTTGGTGTTCTTGGGCGATGAGGTAGTCGATGAAGGTGCTGAAGGGCTGGGGTTCTTCGTGGGGTTTGGCGAGGACGAGAGAGGTGGTGCCGTCGGGGTGGGTGTATGAGGTTGGGGCGTCGGCGTTGCTGTGAGGGTTAGTATTGGATATGGACCTGAGGTAAGGTGGGTAAAAGGGGGGTATTAAGTTTCTTGGGGGAATCTTTGACCACCAAAAATAAAATAAAAATAAAAATAATCTACCCTGCTGCTGTGACGGCAATATTCACCGGCTGGTCGCCCAAACTCTCCTTCAGCTTGTCAACCGACCATGACCGAGTGGCGTACCAACTTCGTGCACCCCCTCTTAAGACGAAGGGCACGTTCCTGGCGACATATCTCATAAACTGGAGCGGGCTTGGCTCCTCTCTAAGCTCCTCGATTTCATTGCCAGTGAGGTCATGATACCTTGTAATGAGCTCTGCAATGGGATCTGTACTTTTGGGCTCATCCATTCTCTCGACGCGGCGATAAATGATCTTCCGAGCTGGTGGTTGATATGTCGTGCTCATCAGCACATGAAAATGTCTACTTGAGATTTCGTACTTACTGTAATTACTTGGTTTACTAACTGCATGTAGTGTAGCCGTGAAAATGCGTGCCCGGTTGTGGGGGTGAAATGCTGTGGCACGGGCCATAATTCTGGTTCACTCAGCGCATCATCAAGGCACATCCGTTTCGCCCCCTGTTTTTCACTAGCCAAAGCGCCCATCGCTCTTGCCTCAAAAGTTTTCTAACGGTGCCCAGCTGAAATCCGCGTTTACGGTGTTCGATCCCATGTCCACTGCGAAAAATCCTATACATTTTTCCTCGTCTCTTCGCCGTCCTTCCTCAAATCTTTGAAGTTTCCCGATCCCCCATGAGAACGCCGATCTGAAGCCCCCCAGGCGGCCAAAGCATCCTTGAAACAGCCGTCCCCACAAGGCTCTGGGCCTTCTAGCCAAGCTCTGCCTGCCATTGTGCCACTGCAGTTGCTTCGATTTGGGCTCCTGGCCTTTGGGGAGTTTCCTCATCAGGATCTTAGAGGCAGTTGCCCTCACAGGCTCCGCTAACTCGGCGTACACATTCAACTCTCACACGGACAGGCAGAATCCAAATCGACAACCAACCTTTGCATCCAGCCCCTTGTGTCAAGTATCGAACTCGAGGCTCAACCATCCTGTCAACCTACGTCACGAATCCGGAGCAACCCGTCCTAGTAGCTCGGCCTTCTCAGGATCATTCAACCCAGGCGAATTCCAACTCGGTCGATTGATGGGAGTTTAGTGGGCGGCTCTGGATCTTCTGCGCTATTCCCTTATCTCGGACGCACGACATTTAAACATACCCAGGTCTGGCTCATGTCGGACCGGTCCATCATCCAGCAACCGGAGTCCGGCCTTTACATCGCCAAGTATAGACAAAATACACGCGACACGCCGCATCTGAGTGAGCGCTGCGTGAATTCTCGACCAACAACTGTCTTGTATCATTTATATTTTTAACTTTTAATGTTTATTCGTGCTCAAAGACAAACACTGCCCTGCTCGTGGGTGAACACCTATTTACAATATCAGCGATAATACTCGACACAACAATACCCGGCACGAACGCCGTCGACGATTTACACAATGCGCCGATTCACATAACTCCTTTTTACCCCCTTTTTTTCTCCCTCAAGCCGGCACCACGAATCTTAACTACTACTACCTGCTGACTCGGATGTGCCCGTCCGAGATTATCGGAGAATTACGAGTCCAACGGTGTACACTTTCTTTCGCCACCAGTGCGTCTCTTAGGGCTCGTAAGAAAATAGCTTCACGGGGTTACACGCGGTAGCCCGCGGCGCCCAGCTATCATGCTGTGGTATATTCTTTATCCGCTTAGAGGGTGCGTGGCGTGTTGTTGAATTGTGCTTATCCGGCCTTTCTTTTTCGTACTGTGTTTCTACATTATCGGGCTGGGGTTAACTCATTGTAGCACGACCGAGGCTCCTGTCCTTTCTCCTTCACATCCTCTTCGGAAGCTATTCTCACGCTACGGCATTTGGGCTACCCATCATGTCAAGATTGTGTTGCCCTTGTCGGGCGCAGTCATGTTTTTCTTTCTCTATATGTTTCCGTTTCTCTACACCACCGACGCCACCAATATCACGAACGGTGTTTCACATCTCCCCCACCATGTCTGGACGGACGCCCAACCACTGAGGGACGGGGCCAATGTTGAACCCGATGTGATCATGCGCTCGATCTGGGTGCATGGGAGCTACATGAAAGCGCTCGAGCCGGACGTCCTCCAGGGTGCTCTAGAATTGCAGGATGAAATACTAGGGCCTACAACCAACTTTAGGCCCCGTGAAAACTTCCATGGTTGGCCGACAGACCTCGAACCGAACGTCAACCTCGATCGCGAACAACGAGACGCATTCCACATCACCAATGGACTAACAAGTCAGTCCTGGTTCTTCCACTCCGCCTTGCAGTACTGGGACGGGTCCGCCGCAAAGATTGCAGCCGACCCTAGCCTTGTCGCTACCGTCAACGAACGCAAGGCCCAGTCAACTCTTGTCAATACCACTCTGCGCCACTCGATCGTGTTCAGCGGGAAGCGATTCGAAGAGCGCCGACTTGTTGCTGCGGATGCCGTCGTCATTACCTTACTGCACCTCGCAGACTCTCCCGTGGGGAGGCAGTGGACAAGGAAGGTTGAGGCTCAAGCTAGAAGCAAAAGGCCGGACGCCAAATGGGACACCATCCCACCCGGGGGAGAGAGCGCCTCGAATCAGCTCTATCTCTTCCGGTTTCAGCCCATGTCATCATATGACTGGGTGATGCTGACGCTGGCCTATTCCTTGACCCTATCCCACTTGGCCTTGCGCCTATCCAAGTTGCGCGCCATCAAGTCGAGAGTCGGCCTGACCATCACCATCATCGCTCAGATCGTGGGCTCGATCCTCTCCAGTTTTACCGTCTGCGCCATCCTCGAGATCGATTTGTCCCGCGTTCCCCACTATGCCTACCCTCTCGTGGTCCTTGCCATCAGCCTAGAGAATTCGTTCCGCTTGATCAACGCTGTTATTATCACATCGTCCACCATCAACCTCAGCGACAGGATAGGTGATGCCTTTGGCGCAACGGCCCATATTGCCATCGCTAACCGTGTTCAAAATATACTTGTTCTGTATGGTCTATCCAAGGTCACGGCCGACGGCGTCTCAGCCTTCTGCACCTTCGCCGCCATTGCCACATTTTTCGATTTCTTCTATCTGTCCACCTTCTTCCTTACCGTCATCAGCGTCGATGTCCGGCAAAGAGAACTCATTGAACTAGAAAAGGCGTCGTTGCAGAAGAAGAAGAAACACACATACGGCGATCCACCCAAACAGTCCTGGCTCAGCCGCATGTACCCCATTCGTTGGGGCGATACGACTATGTCGACTAGGATTGCGAGCACAATTGTTGCCGTCGGCTTCGTCTTCATTGCGCAAGCCCACTACGCCCCGGAGGGCAGCCGCCCGTGGCTGAACCAGCTCCTCACCCTCTCGTGGAGAGCAGGCACTCACGCCTCGGGTTCGTCACTCTTGGTCGACATTCATCAGGCCAGGAGCCCGCCCTCCTGGCTTCGTCTGCAGGACCACGAGACGGCCCGGGAGGTCATCAAGGTCATTAAGCCGGCCACCGCCCATAGCTACGTGGCTCGCGTCTACGATCCTGTGGTGTTTGTCATGAAGGGAGCTAACCGCAACCCGGACACAAAAGAACCTTTGTTTCTGCCTGCCATCTACGACTTTATTCACCACCAAATTCCCCTGTTCATGGTATCACTGATCACTGTGCTGTTAGCACTACGCCTCTTTACCCATTTTCTGATCAAAGGCCGATTCGGAGGAGACGAGGATCCCAATCATCCCGATGACGAGCCCTTACTGTCTGTCCGGTCTTTGGTAAAAGGGCATACCCTCGACGTCGCTATGCTGACGGCATCGCCCAATGGCCACCTGGTCTCCGCCGGTCTCGACCGCAATATTCAGATCTGGGATGTGCCGTCTAGTTCCCGAACCCGGGTCCTGTCTGACGCCGACGTACCACTGGCAAATCCGTTCCCCGTGCTGAGCATGGCCCTCGATGACAGCGCCAGGTGGCTGGCGTTGATCTCGTGGCAGAAGGTTTTCGTGTGGGATATCGAGCACCAGCAGTGGGTCGGGAACCAAAACGTCGAACTGGGCGGCCACAGGCCAGAAACCGCGTTCTTTACCGCGAGAAACCAAGGTTCAACACCCTCACTAGTCCTAGTCAAGAAGAATGGCTTGGCTGTGGAGATACAACTGGATGGAATGGCGGCTCGGGGCTTTGTGATTTGCAAAACACCTCTAGTCTGGGCGGTGTCTTTTGCAGAAAAGTGTAAGCTATTAGACCTGAGCATCATAACAGCCCATGGTTCTGTATTCCGCTAACAGCTAAAATGATAGATAACCCACAACAGAAACAGACCGCCCCAGTCTCCATCCTTACGGCTTCTCGTAGAGGCTGCATACACATTGTCCGATACCAGAGCGGCGAATGGATCTCCTCGGAGATGAAACTCCACGGAGAGTCGGGGGCCAAAGATGTCCATTGTCTAGTCCCGATTCCTACTTTGTCCCAGTTCCTGATCGGCCGATCCCAAAGTGTTGACCTCGTCGACCTGCCCTCGTCAACAGTCATCCACACATTTCAGACAGAAACGATGCAACCGCGGTCGCTGAAGCAAATCTCATTAAACCGGGGACATCAATCGGGGTCGCCAGCACTCACACTGTGCTATAATAGCGCTGAGGATGGCGACCTAATCGTTCACAGCTGCCTCACCGAAGACGCCAAAAACAACAGTACATCTCCCAACACACCAACCGAAGACCCGTCTGCCCAAACCTGGAAGGAGACAACTCGGCGCATTCCCAACCCGGGTGTCTGGGAAGCCCTCCCGCTGGGCAGCATCGTCGGGGTCCATAAAAAGCGAAGCCCCTGCACTCCCCGCGCCTCAACCCCATCCCCGGCCAGCGGACTCCGCAAACGATCCCCCAGCTCTTCAGCCTCTGCCTCAACAAACGGTGCCCTCGCGAACCAACCGCTCCCCACGCCCAGCTGGGAAGCGTGGGTCTTCAACCTCCGCCCCAACACCAAATTCGAGTTCGAGTCCCGGTCGCTTGACAACGACGACCGAGACACCACAGGCTTGCACTCACATCTAATGATCTCTGAGCTGGGGCCCATGGCCCGTCTTGGCGCGACGAGTGTGGCCGTCGGCCTAGGAGATGTCGTCAAGGTGGTGAGCGTGGGACATGAGTATTTTGATGGTGGCGGGTCGGATGCGCTAGCGAGCGAGGGTCTGCAGGTGCCGCTGCAGCAGGTCATGGGGGTCGGGGCAAGGCGGAAGAAGGGGAGTGGTGGTTCGGCTGGGTTAATAGCGAGTCGGAGTCCCGTTCCGGGGATTAGAGGGAGTGGGAGTAGTCCCGTTCCGGGGATTAGAGGGAGTGGGAGTAGTGGGAGTAGTAGTGTTATTAGTAGTGGGAGTAGTGAGAGGAAGGAGAGTAGTCCGGCTTTACGAGTGTCGGGGAATGGTGTGTAAAAACATGGGCAGGCGCTGGGGGAGTTTGCGGTGCTTTTTTGGGTTGATATCAAGATCTCTAGTTGGATGTATAATGACGATGATGACCGGACCGGGTCGGGGTTTTTATACTGTGTAGACGGACCGGTTGGGTTTATACAATGGGGGGAGTAAAGGGGGTTCGGGGCACATGGGAGGTCGAACATGTCAGATTCAGCACAGGATGCAAGTCCAGTCGGTATTGTTGCTACAGCTGACGTTAATTCAACCCTTGTTAAATGTTCCGAGTCGTGAGATGATAGTCTAAGCTTAATAATAATGAGACCCTACCCTACTGAATACAGAACATGACGGCCTGGGAAAAAGTAATTAAACCCCCATGCCCGATACAAATAGAACCTTGAACCCAATACCCGTAGCCACCCCCCTCATAACAACCTTTAACATAACCGACCGTAACCTATGACCAACGACTTGCCCCCCCAACCATCAGATAATACAGACAAAGGAAAGGTACATGCCAACTAACCCTAACACCATTCCCCATTCTATAGCATAACCAGAAACTTCATAACCCCTAATGATCCTTTCTCCATGATCCGACCCCCAACCAATCCAAGGTCCACAACCCCATCGGCAGTACCGTACCAGATACCCATCACTCACCCCTTCCAGCCCCTAGCCTCATGCCTTCCAACTCACCCCTATTAACCCATTTCACCCTCCCCTATCCCACTAAGTACCCAACCCCTCAGTATTTATATCTCCCCTGCCCATAACTGCTAGGAACAACAACAACAGCCCGACAATCCTCACACGCCTCCGAGAGCGTGATAGTCTGCCAAATCTCACGCTCGCCACACGGGTTTTGGATTAAGGAAGCTGGCCCGCAGAGGGCGGCTAAGGCGAGCACGGTATGCCGGCAGGCGTGTTGGTGGGCGTAGTAGCGGCACATTTCTTCTTCCCCTCACTTATTATTTTTCTTTCCCTCGGGTTGTTGGGTGTTGGGTGTTGGGTGGTTGGGTTGTCGGGTGTTGGGTGGTCGGGTGGGTTGGGTTGTCGGGGGTTCTTTGGCCCTTGGTTGTGGTTTAGAGATGGGTTGGTATTGGAATTGGGGTTGTTTCGGGAAGGTGTCTCAAAAGGCCTAGAGTGGAGAGAAAGGTGTGAGGGTTGTTGAAGTTGAGTTTGTTGAGTTGATTGAAGGCTCTATGGCTAGCTTGTTTGTTGGAGTTGTTCGCTGTGGTGGTTGAAGCAAGTTGAATCGCTGGTGAAATGAAACAGGCAGGGCAACGACGAGAGTCAACGTTATGCGGAAGACACAGCTGTTAAAAGAGCAAGATAGAAAACTGAATAGGACTCGATTTGACTCAAGATAAGTCCTCGGTCGGCGGACCAGGCTGCGCAAAACCTATCTCGTGCTGACCTTGAGGCTCACGGGCGAGGCTGACTGTTATACCACGGGGCAACAACCGATTACTCACAATCCACAAGCCATGGCGCAACAAGACGTTTTTCGATACAAAACTAGCTGTTTGCTCAGAAAATAGAATAGCAACAAAAAAGGGAGATAAATTGCGACAGATGGTGAACAAGCTGGAAAGCTGAACTTGAACGGCAGCGGAGGTTTTGCCTCACTCGCGCAGCGCTGATCCTCCGTATAACCAAGTTGCTAGTTCGTGCGTTCACTCGCTCATTTACTCGTTCGTGGCTCAGGTCTAAAATCTGACATCGTTCCTTGGATCCTAGGCTCAGCTGTCAAAAGTGCGTTGCGTTTGCCCTACTGCAGGTGTTTCCGTTCCTGTAGGTACGGCGCATACCTCGTGCGGCTACGTTCATACCCACCATCTCGGAAGGGCAAGTGGGGGGTGGGACACAACGAGAGACCTGATGGGCCGGGCTGACCTAAACTTAGTTGCTCAGTTATCACAACCCCATCACTGAAATGATTGTGCCCGGTGACACAGGAGCGTAGGCAACACCTTCAGGTGAGCTCGAGTCCTTGGTGTACGCTATCGGTTTCTCTTCCAGGTCCGTTTACGAGAGCGCCCGCATGCTTAGGGGGTGACCACGTAACCTACCACAAGACGGGCGGCGAACATCGGTGGTGCGGCCACGAGGTGTAATAGGCCCGGCGCACATGGCAACGGAACACAGCCTCGAGATAGACGGAATAGCCCCGAGCAGGCAACTTCGGTGGCGGCTTGGCAGGCACCATGCCCAGGAAACATGAAGACGAGGTCTTGATTTCGGTCAGGTCAATGACGAGCACGCAACAGCTTTGTTCAAGCTGATCGTGTGAAATTCCTGATCTACGTGGAGTGTAGGTAGGTGTACCTAGGAATGCGGCAGCGCAGATCAAATTTTGAGTCGTTGTGCAACCAGACAAGGTCCAGCTCAAGCGGAATTGCTGACGGCAGAAATGGACTCCTCAAAAGATGCCGAGACTTTCGACTTATGAGACAGTGCCGTCTTTTAATAGGGCTGCAGCCCCGATGAGAAGCAGATGACGCTGTGAAACGGGTCATTCCAACCCTCCTGTGATCGTTCTCAGTCCGAAGTACCGCGTGGACTCGACAATCGGGTTAGTGGCATTTCTTCTTTTGGACGGCCGGTTCAACGACAAGCGACAGTCCCGTCGGACAAACGTCCGTTTTCTGGGAGCGAGTGAAAGCACATACTGCCAAGAAAGAGACTTTGGACGAGGCTGTTTGTGCTCCGCGATGTGTCGAGCGGTTGATATGGGGAATCTCGGGCCCCTTTCCCTCAGGTTTTCTCTTCTTCGGTCGATCTGCCTAGTCCGGACAGTGGCGAGCTTTCAGGCGGGAGCTGGGCAGGGAATCTCGGACTCCCGCTCACCGCCAGTTCATGTTCTGTTTGTTTTTCGCGGGGCACGGGAAACGGCAGCCCACGCCGCGCGCTGTCCGATTCTGTTGTGGACGAGGAGATTCTGACGCGCTGCTGCGTGGGATGTTGTGGGAGGGTGGCCGCATTGTCGACGGCCATGCGTGTTGAAGTCGACGGGTGGATAAGTTGGAGAGAAGCAGCTCGAGCAGATGGGCCGGTGCAGGGCGGCCATGGCTCTTGTGGATTTGTGGTTGATGCTGGCACCAATTGGGAGCTGCTGAAGGTTCTTGTTTGTGAAAATACGATGGCTGGGAGTGGCCCTGGAGGCCCGGAAAACAATGGCCAGGCGCTCCCGGGCCTCAGGGCCCAGCACTGCACGGCAGGCATTTCCAGGGTTCAGCGATCTCGGGGTCTTGGCACGTGGCACAAGAAGGCCCGTGTTGCCTTACTTAAGCAGAAATACCTCCAGCATGGAAAGCTCCTTCCGCTCGAAACTGGTGTGTTTTGTGCCTGCCTCGCTACCGGTAAACCCCGGCAGATTCCGTGGGAGCGGGCGCTTTCCTTTCTTTCGCTCTCGTCATCCCTCGAGTTGTCTCGAGTCCGCTCATTTTGGCCTGTTTCCTGCGTAGTTCTCGCATATTATTGGCTTCGTCGAGAACAAGGAACAGCGGCTACCGGCACGTGCAGGGTCCCGAGTCGCAAACGCCATGCATCGCGCCTGAAGCGTCTCGCGCGCCTCCATCGTCGTCTTGACCTGGTCTTCCCCGGGTTCCCACGGATTTGCCAGGATTCTTCGTTCCGCGGCGTTGCAACCAAGGGCTACATCCTGTTCCAGCCGGTCCCCGTTTGCCCCTCGCTGAATGGCGCCGTGGGGCTTGTCAGGAGCCCAGTGAGATTTGATAAGGGTGATGGACAAGTTGACAACTCACCTTGCAGCGCGCCATCTGCAAGCCCTCCAACGGCCACCCTTTGTTTTTCATCAAGCCGAGACCAACCCCATTGTTCGATGACATCGTTGCTCGTTTCCCGGCTCCCCTCCTCGAATCTCTCGGACAACCCGAACCCCTCGACTCCGCCCTTGTCGACGGCGAGCTGCGCTTCTTGCTCGCCTTGCGTTGCCTTGCATTGTGCGTCTGCATCTGCGTCCGCTTCTGCGTCATCTGGTGCGCTAGCCCGGGCCGCCGAGTCGGGTCGTTCGTGATTTGCTCCACGCCCGCGCGAGCCTCTTCGAAGACGTCTCCTCGACCTTGCCCCGAGGGTCCATGGGCCCACCGTCCTCGCTCGTTCATGCATGAGACCCTCACTGTGCCCTGCTTCTGCTGCTGCTGCGCGTCCCCATCCATAAGAACGTCTCGGGACCCCCCCCAGCCGTCGAACGCATCTGCCGCTCCCGACGCTGCACCCACCTCCGCGGCTGTCTGTCTCGGCCCTCCATCCCTTGCTCTCGTGTTTACTTTCCCTCATCGGCACGGCATCAACGGTGCTCTACCCCGTACGAAGTATCACTCGACGTCTCAACCCGAACCCGGCTCCGGGCATGACCCGCTCCGCCAATTGACCCACTCGCGGCTTCGAATCGGCCCTAGGCCTGTTGTCAGACGCTGTCGCAACTGGCCCCCAGCTCGAGAGCTCCACCAGAGCGCACATCTCCCAGCCCCCAGGGAAGCATAACGTTAGCTTGGCTTCACCGAATCCACCGGCCTTGCTCGCCTCAGCTCCGATCTGCTGCTCTCTTGCTCCCAAAAAGAAGCGCACCACCCCCGGTCGAGCAATCAATCTCCTTTGGCCTGGTTCCGCACCTCGCGCCTCGCCGGCGGCCATTCCAGATTCCAGAACCTCTTGTGTTCAGAGTTGTCTGAGCTGCGGAGGTCCAGAAAGAGACGGTGTTTGTTTCATCTCAACTCAATTCAGGGGGGAAGAAAACACGCCAACGCCAGCACCGCTCATTTGCCCACTCCTCGAGGTCGCCGCCATGCCCTGCATCGTCGTCCACACGGTCACCACCCTCAAATCCTAGCCTCAATTCTCTTCTGGTCCGTCTTCCTACTGACGGCTCTCTCTCTCGCTCTCTCTCTCTCGCTCTCTCTCTCTCGCTCTCTCTCTCGCTCTCTCTCACACTCTCTGCGCGCCCACTCATTTGCCGCTGTCGATCCATAACGCTACTGGGCCCTGTACAAAACTCCGTCTCACGCAAAAAAAGTCGCTTCGTCTTCGCTGTAGTATATTGGCCAGTCTTCCTCCAATGGCCTGAGTTGTCCCCCTCCAGCTTGAAATTCCGATATCCGCGACGTCAGCCCTGTCATTCGAGGCCACACAGTCATTCACTGCCCTGGGGAAGTTGCCCTGATTCGGCGTGCCAGATATCTTGGGCGCCAACCTGCCTCACCCATCAGGCGACCATCTTTTTGGGACCACCTCACAACCCTCATGCACAAAAAGAAGCCGACCCACAGTCACTCGTTTAAATCTTTGTTATTTGGGAGGAATTGGACTTGTTCACGCCGAGTGAAGTCGGGTTAATTGGGGTCAACCATTTTCATCCGTCTCGATCCTTTCATCATCATCCATCGATCTTCAATCGTCTCATTCGAAAACAAAGGCTCTCTTTTTTTTTCACCGCCGCCCTCCCGATAATCACCAGGACGCCTCAGGCGCCACACCACGCTTCTCATGGCCTCCTCCGAAATCGACCAGAAGTTTCTTGGGAAGCTCGCCAAAGCAGTCGAAAATGACAACCCGCTGCTCGCGTCCGTCTTGTTCCGGATCCTCGGACTCTCTATCAACCTCTCGAACCAACTCATCAAAGCCCGTAAACAGCGACGTCAAGATGCCTCTCAAGCTGCAGCCGCCCTTGACCTCACCTGCCACATCGTGTGGCTCTCGCGCGAGGGGCTAGTCCTCCTCCAGCAGTACGTTCTGCCCATGGTTGGGAATTACGTCGAGCTCAAGGTCCTGGCGTACAAACTCCGCGCTTCCTTCTACCACATATTTGTCCTCTTTCACAACACCCCAGCCGTCTCCACCATGGGCGTCAACACCCCCGAGAGCCAGTCCACATCAACAGTCCCCGGCCTCCCATCACGTGTCGACAAGGGCAAAGGGGTCGCCAGGGATGACGACGACGAAAACACCCCCAAAGGCGGACCAGTAGGACCGCCACCGGGCTTCGGCCCAACACCACCGACGGCCTTCCTCCTCAAGCCGGGCGACTACCTCCCCGAAGCCCACCAATACTTCCGCGAAGCCGTGCACCTCGCCGACGAGCTGCTCTGGGGCTCCCACTCCCTCCGGCTCTCGGTCAAGACCGAGTACGCCGCCTTCCTGTACGAGTGCGTCCACGACGCCGACGGCAGCCGCAAGATTGCCAAGGACACCATTGCCGAGGTGTACGAGGCCACTGAGGGCATCGACAACGACATGTTCAACGATGCCTGCGAGCTCGTCACCGTGCTCGGCAAGATGATGAAGCGCGGGTTGGGCTCGTCCAACAACACCCCGCGCAGCAAGGCCCAAGGGTCGAGCTCGGGGACAGGGACGGGGACGGGGACGACGCAGGGGACGCAGGGGGCCACTGGGACTCCGGCCGAGGGGGGGAATGCCCCGGCCGGGATGATATAATTCCGGCCGGGCGGGTGGGTAGCACGGGGCGGGGATGGTCGAGGTACGCTGTGCCCGGCCCGGCCGCGGGACGACACGACCCTCGGCCGTTAATTTTATTTTTTATTTTTTCGAACCGCCCTGCCCCTTCGGGGGCACCACTTGGTCAAAAAAAGACCAGGGGTCGACCAATATATTTTGAGCGTGTAAATACGATCCCCACGTTCTTCACACCATTCCCATTATTACGCCCCTTCTCGGCGCTTCTCGGCGTCACCCAGAGTTTTCTTTGGGAACTTGTTAATGTCTGCATCATGTTCCCGTTCTGTTGAGGGACCATTATATTTTGTTTTGTGCAACAAAATTTCTTCCCTTTTCTTGTCCGTATCATTAGCGGGACTCCTTTCATGCCTTTTTTTCTTCCTGTTCCTTTCCCGTGGGTTCTTCTTTTTTTGGGGTTCTTTTGTTCAGTTTTTTTTTTTTTTCGAATCGATGATACCCGGAACGTCCATAGCAAGGCGACGGTGTCTTTTCCTGGCTGGTTTATATTCTAAGGGGGGTGGGGGATGAGGTGGAGGGGGGATGAACATATGGCTATTTGTGTTTGCGGCCGCTGGGGGTTTAGTGGAGGAGGACTTCATGTGATCATGGGACTTTGAGAGATGGGGGATATTATATGGATGAGGGATCTGGGATGTGGGATGTTTGTGAAAATGTGACTTTATATTCTCGTGGCTTTTAATACATGAGCCGGCCCGGTTTCTCCTTGTTTGGATGCTGGGCCGTGGCTGTTGTGGTTCAAGAAATTGCTTGGGAAATACGTGATTTGGTTTGAGATGTTTGTGAATAGCTTCCTACTTGCCGTCGTTACAGGCTGTACCATGAACAGAGGAAAATATATAGAACATGGGACCACAAAATGGGATCAAGTGAGTTAACATACTTGTACCTCTATTCTGCCACTGAAAAGCCGCCCGAAAAGTCGCCTATGGAAGTTGCCCGAGGAAGTCATCCAAACAAACCTGAGGCAGTCACCAAAGCTCGCCCTCACAACACTTCCTTCCTTCCCTCCCTCAACCACCCTTTATAACCCCCCCTCGCTCAGTTCCTTCCAACCGCCCCCCCAAACCGACTACGGTCGAATGGCGCAATGGGGAGGCCGTGGGCGTCAACTGGTACACCACGGAATCTCAGCCCCTGGGTTCGATCCCCGGATGATGCACCGACGAGTAAAATCTTTCGGGATTTTCGTAACCGCCCCCCATTCCTCGGCCCCCTCGGGGTGTTGAGATGATGGGGCGGTGAGCTTTTTGACTTTTTTTCTCTTATTCTTTTTTCTCCCACAGAAAACGAAATAGACATTTGTTCGTTGTTCGGTGTTCGTTCATTATCCACTTCTCCCTATAGTGAGAAAGTCATTCTCCGATATCGTAAAAAGAAGAAGAAGAAAAAACCCCCAAGAAACAGGCCAGCCTATAACTTCACCTTGAAATTACAGTCCCCCTTATACCAACCAGCCCAACCACCCTCAAACCTCCCCCTCCAAAACCTTCCCAATCAACCCAGTCGCCCGTTCACTCAACTCCATCCCCAACGCCAACTGCCGTCCCTTCCCACTCATCTTCCCCCACGTCTTTTTCAAAATCCCCACCACTTTATCCTCACTGATCTCGCTCCGACTCTCAAACTCATCAAACTGGTCGTCGAGAAACACCAGACACGCCACGTCCTCGAGCGCTTGCGTTTCCTCGTCGCTCTCTTTCGTCTTCGTCGGCTCGCCGCTGCTTTCTTTACCCACAGCGGCGGCGGTGGCGGTAGTGGAAAGGACGAGACCTTCCTTGCGGACCAGCGCGGCGATGCGGGCGATGTCGTCTGGGGGGATGGGCGGCTGGATTTGGGGGGAGGTGGAGAGGAGGGTGGTGAGTTCGGCGGCGGCGAGGGATTTTTGTTTCGCGCGCCAGGTGAGGTAGCCGGCGCGGGTTTGGGGGTAGGAGGAGCGGGGGAGTTGCCACCTGAAGTGTATGTTAGAGGGGGTTGTTACGATGTGGCCAGGAGAAGTGTGATATCGTAACGGAACCATGATGGAAAGGGGTTAGATGGAGGGCCATTTATGGATGTATATCCTCCACGAAGTGACCGAATAGCTGGGGAGCTGATAAATCAGGGAAGAGGGGACAATATACACACCGGCGAAAATGCTGCGCCCGACAAGCAACTTGCAACGCAGGCGACGCTTCAGGCTCGCGCAGCGCCAACCACCGTGTCATCTTGCGGGCATAGTGCAGCTCATAAGGGACCGGGAAGATCGCAGGCCCCGGAGCCGGCCGTGGGTCCGCCTCATGGGCGGCATCGATGAGCTCGATGGCGGCTGCGTAGTTAGGTGGGAGTTGGGGGAGCGCTTCCATTTTGGGCGGGGGGGAACGCTTTTCCTGCTCGTGAAACGGTGGGTTTGGTTTCGTTTGTTTATATTGGAAAAGGGGGTCTGTGGTTAAGCGAGTTGGCATGAATGGCTGGTTGCTGAGTGAGTGAGTTCTTTGTCCTGAGTGCGTGAGTGAGACAAAGTGGGAGTGAGTCGTCTGTCTGTATTGTTAGGTATTCTGTATCGAGAATGGAAAGATAAGGAAAGATTGTAACAATTGATGATGAGTCAGCATTTGATACGGAGTCACTAACACTGAATTGGCGTGATGTCCCGAGTCTTGGGAATGTCGCCATTTTATGAGGAGTACAGTTAATGTGACACAGGTGTTAAAAAGAATAAAGTTGGTGCATTTGGCTTTATTGTATTGCACTGAAGATACGCCTTCACGATGAATCTCGGGTTCGAACTAACTGGCTCAAACGGAGCTGGGAGGGAAAAGTAATGCTTCGCCATGTTTTTGAACCTTTACCGCTTGAAACATTCATGGTCTTTCTGGCGTGATGGCCTGAAAAACTTGCCCTTCTCTAGGACCGCTCCATTGGGACGCTGAGGGAACTACCGTGTAACAACGTCTAAAGCAAGCATTTACTTACACAAGCGAAGGCAGCAAAGTTAAATGGTGAAGGGAGGAATGCAAAGGAAAGAAAACCTTGGATAGATAAACAATGCCTGAAAAGCTGACCATTCACCTGTACTTTGGCATGAGACTAACACCAAGGGCTAAGAAAAATATGCCCCCCCCGCTATCCAGACGGGTGTAGTTTCCGAGCCTGTGTTTCACTTACCCAAAATTTCCCGCTAGCCACGACTCAAAAACAAAATAAAAATAGAGCGAAACAGTTTTCAGCGTCCTCGCCCCTGAGACACACATCGAGCCTATCAGCTGCCGCAAATCTCAGGCGAGCTGAACAACAACTAAACAAACTTTTGCCGGATACTATGTATATTGAACATGCCCCAGCCCGTCTACTATGGAGTGCTTAACTACCCCCCTACCCTCAGCTCTACATACCATGGGATGTCTAGGACATACATAAATACTGCGGTATGCGGGAAATAGTTGAGGTGGCACAAACATACTGAGACATGGCCCCATGGCTCGGAAGGGCACAGCAACGTATATACAATTGTTTTCAATACCCCTAAAACTGTCTTATGCGGGATGGCGATATATCATGCTTTTTATCTGTTTGGCCACATTTAGCTCGGGAGGTACACCTGATAAAAAAGATGCTCCTCCCAAGGTTATCCATGCCGTCTACCTTCCAAGTGCTATGCCGTGCTGGCTTGGTTCCGTCCTCGACACGCAGATTACGTACGAGTGAGCATGATGCCCTCCCAGACCTCGAAACGCAGCAGCAAAAACTCTATGCACGCTCCAGGTTGGAGTTGCTGCAAGTGTTTGTCCCTCAACCCCAGCAGCCGCCATGTTTGCCGTGGCGCCATCTTTCTTGAGGACCTTCGCGACGAGGCTTGTCGACATTGGCATTGTCCTAGTTGTCGGGGGGTTGATGAGCGTGAGTTCTACCTTTGCTAAGCCAGATGGAAAACTTGACCATATCAACTAACTGTCCTACTCAGACAACTTGACCCACAACACAAGCAACATAACCCTCCCCAACGCCAACCGACGACCACCACCACCATCACTATACCCCCATCACCACCTCTCATCGTCCCACCCGTTCCCCCCTCACCCAGCAACCACCCACCCCCCATCCCCTCCAGACCTCCCAACGCATAACACCAACCCAATCTATGACAACCCCATCACCAACAACAACATCGGAAACAGCAACAAAAACCCCCCCTCCCACGCAACAACAACCTACCTCAAACACGCCGCCCGTCCCACAACAATAACCTTTGCCCAAGCCTTTCCCGCTCCAACTTCCCTGCCCTATTTGGACCCTGTCCCTTCGTTGGAAGGGCTATGTTTGGATTATTCGGCTCCGGGTTCGGCTCCTTATTCTGGTCCGGGAGATGGAGGGAGGAAGGACGTCGGCGTGGGGAGGAAGAAGGATTTGTTGGGGACGAGTCTGCAGATGGGATGGTATGATGGTGAAAGGGGGGGTTATGAAGATGATGGTGGTGATGATGGTGGTGAGGAGGAGGGGGAGGATGAGGATGGGGATGGTGGATTAGGGACAGGAAATCATGGGCATTGTCGACATGATTCGGGTTATGGGCATGGGCATGAGCTTTGGTTTGGCGATAGAGGCCACGAGGGACAGGGTGACACTATGAATCAAGGCGAGGAAAACGAGGGAGGTTGGGATTTCAATGACAGAGGTCAAAACAGGGCGTCGAGGCTGGTGGACAACGACACCGCCTCAGAGAACAGATATCAGGAACGGGAGGGAAGAAAACGAAAAGCGGTGGGGTTGGAGAAAGACGAGGTCAGTTTTGGGCACTGCAAAAAGCTTAACATGGGGGAAACTCAAGGACAGCACAGCGCATCGCAAACAGTTTGGAAAGGAAAAGGGAAGGAGGAGGTGTTTCGTGTGCCGAGGTTTTTTCCGCACAATTATCACCCGGCTACTGTGGAGGATGCGTATGATGAGGATTGTGGCGGTAGGTTTGGTCATGGATTTGAGTACGCAAACAGGAGTGAATTCGAGGGGGAGTGGTCGATGGGCGGTTAGGAGTGTTTGTTGACATTTGTTCAGAGGTTGAGGTATATTTACCGTGATGTAGTATGATTTGATGATATCGAATATAAATCCAACAATACAACCCAACCCAGTGAAGTCTCTGTTCCTTGGTGCAGGACAGTCATCAATATAGTAAACATGAGGATGCCTCAGTGGGAATTAGTGTAAACTGGTAGGGCAGAGTACTTACCCTCTCCCAGCGTATACTAATAAATTAAAAAAAGACAAAACCAACTATTAGAAGCAAATTGCCCTGGAAGAAAAAAAGTCAAAAAGCTCACCGCCCCATCATCTCAATCCCCCGGAGGGGTCAAGGAATGGGGGGGCGGTTACGAAAATCCCGAAAGATTTTACTCGTCGGTGCATCATCATCCGGGGATCGAACCCGGGGGCTGAGATTCCGTGGTGTACCAGTTGACGCCCACGGCCCTCCCATTGCGCCATTCGACCGTAGTCGATTTGGGACGGCGGTTGGAAGGAACAGCAGGCGGGTGGATTATAAAGGGTCGGCATTGAGGAAGGGAAGGAGAGCAATGGGTTTGTGCGTGCAACTGTCTCAGGCTCGCTCCACGGCCATGCCACTTAGAGGGGGCCGATTGAGCTCGTCTTATCTTGGCAGATTTGCATTAGGAGAACAGAGGACGAAAAAGCTCGAGAAAGGTCTGAAAAGGCGACCTGTCCACAGTCTAAACCAAAAACACAGCTCGTTCTTTCCTCGTTAGTGCTGAATCGTACAACATGCGGGTATTTGTCGGATCTTTTCTTGAGCCCAGAACGCTCTTTCCTCTCGGTTGACAAATGTCTCTCGATTACTTTCACCACGCCTAAATTTCAATTTGCGCCAGACTTAAGTTAGGCCTACTTCCATTCCTGGATACCATCATTGCGGCATCCAAATGCAGCCTCGGTCATGTGCCCGGGCTCGGTATAATCACCACCGAAATGCCCCACACCGGCCCGCTCCGAGATCTCGGACAAGAACCCGGGATTGAGGAGAAAGACCGGATGAGCGTCAGGCTAGAATATTTAACCGGCTAACCCATTTTCAAGTCTACTATGTATTTCCACATTGTTTACCGTTGAACTATCCTCAACCATCAAAACATGTCTCGCTCAATACCCCCTTCCGAGTTAGCCAACCACAACAACATCGACTCCCTGTGGCTCGCCATCGACGGCGTGGTCTACGATCTGACCGAGTTTGCCCCGACACATCCCGGCGGACTCTCGGTCCTCTTGGACCACGCAGGCGGCGATGGTACCGAGGCATACAACGCCGTCCATTCGCCATCACTCCTCCTCTCTACGCTCCCAGCATCAAAGCAACTTGGCCGGCTCTCCTCATCTGTTCCCGTCCTGGCTGCTTCCTCATCCCAACCAACCCCAAAACCCAAGCAAAAACCCCCCTTATCCAGTCTACTATCCGTCAACGACTTCCGCCTCGTCGCCCACGATTTCCTCCCCCCCAAAACCCTCGCCTTCGTCTCCTCAGCCGCCACAGACTGCCACACCCACCGCCGCAACAGCACCACCTACTCGCAAATCACCCTCCGCCCGCGTGTCCTGATCGACGTGTCCGCGCCCGTGTCCCTAAAAACCACCATCCTCGGCCAGCCGGTCTCCTCCCCGATCTTTGTCTCCCCCACCTCCCTCGGCAAGACAGTCCACCCGGAGGGTGAGCGCGAGATCGCGCGTGCGTGTAAGGAAATGGGAGGTGTAGCCCAGATTGTTAGTACCAGCGCGAGCTTTGCCGTGGCGGATGTCATCCAAGCCGCTCTGGACCACCCTATACCATCATCTCCCGATGGCTCACAGCAGCAAAACAACACCAACGACGACATCCCCGTCTTCCTCCAACTCTACGTCGACAAACACGCCCCCAACACCTCAGCCCTCCTGCACTCCCTCACCTCCCCCAACGGGCCCAGCAAGATCAAAGGCGTCTTCCTAACGGTCGACGCCCCCGTCCCGGGCAAACGCGAAGCCGACGAGCGCATCCAAACCACTCCCACTTCCTCCTCCCCCACCATCAACACAACAACCCCCATGGCCACCCAACTCACCCCCCGACCCGACACCAACGGCTCCGCCCTAGGCCGCCTAATGGCATCCTACATCTCCCCCTCCCTAACCTGGTCTCACACCCTCCCCTTCCTCCGCGCCCACCTCCCCCCCGGGGTCCCCATCGTCCTCAAAGGCATCCAAACCGCCTCTGATGCCCTCTGCGCCTTCCACGCCGGCGTCTCCGGCATCCTCATCTCCAACCACGGCGGTCGGTCGCTGGATACATCGCCTGCGTCGATATTAGTGTTGCTGGAGATACAGCGGTGTTGTCCGGAGGTGTTGGAGGGGATGGAGGTTTTTGTGGATGGGGGGGTTGGGAGGGGGAGTGATGTGTTGAAGGCTTTGTGTTTGGGGGCGAGGGGGGTTGGAGTGGGGAGGGGGGTGTTGTGGGGGTTGGGGGGCTATGGGGGGGAGGGGGTGAGGAGGGTTTTGGAGAGTAAGTCCCCTGTTTTCACTATCGTTACTTAGCCTGGAGTTGGGGGGTGCTCGACGGGAGTGTGCTCGACTCAGTAGGAGACACAGAAAAAGCTGACGACAGAACAGTCCTCAACGACGAACTAGTAACAAGCATGAAAATGTGCGGCGTCACAAGCCTGGATGAACTGCACCCGGGGATGGTCAATACCCGGGCCATCGACCATCTTGTTCCGGATACTTTGAGCGAGGAGCATCCGTATGCTAAGTGGAGGCGGAGTAAGCTTTAGGGTCAAGCCTACTGCACATGTACATACATGTACAGTACTGTACCGATTCACATGTACATCAAACGCACCGTTCACAAGTCAACGAGAGAGCTCTTATTCATTGAGAGTGAAATAAAAAAAAATGCATTCTTGACCGTACGGACAAAGAGGGAATCCCGAGGTAAATCGAACCAACCGACCTCCATAACACCCATATATCATGACAAGTAAATCTTGCGTATGGCGTTTTCCATAAATACGAGACTCCCGTCCTTGTTCCATCAAATCCCATTTCCGCCTCGTTCATCCTGTCTCGCCCTGGATATATGAAAGAAAAAAAAACCCCCCCAAAAAGCCCCCCGAAAATTACCATCTAACCCAACTACCCCTGCAACTCCCTCACCTCACCATCCCCCCTCTCCGCCGGCAACTCCGCCGTATACCCCTGCTGTCCCGGCGCCGGCGCATGCTGCTGCCCAGGGTGCTGTGCATACCCAAACCCACCCTGCTGCTGCTGCTGCTGCTGCTGACCATACTGCGGGTACCCCCCTTGCCCCGGAGGAGGAGGCGACGGCGTGCCCTGGTACCCCGTGTGCAGCGGGGGAGATCCCGGTGCGGGGCTGCCGGCGAGGGTGCTGTGGTCGCCGTTGACGCTGGGGGGGATGTACGCGCCCGTCATGGGGTCGTAGCTGCCGCCTGGAGGAGTTTGGCCGACGGGAGGTTTGGCGAGGCTGGCGCGTGGGTCGAAAGCGGCCGCGCCGCCGGTGTAGTAGGGGGGTTGGGACATGCCGTTGTTGTCGTAGGGGCTGACTGGGCTGGCGGGGCCGTTGGGTCCGTTGGGTCCGTTCGGGGGGATATTCCCGGCTGCGGCTGCGGCGGCGGCTGGGTCGGGGTTGACTTGCTTGCTCTTCTTGGAGTGCCGCCTGATGGCCCAGATGCCGGCGCCGATGAGGGCGAGAACGGCGACTCCGCCTACAACACCACCGACGATGGGCCCGACGGGGGTCGAGGAGCCGCCGTTCGGAGCGGGGCCTGGCGTGGGGCTTGGTGTGGAAGAAGAGGTTTCGGTAGCAGAGGTGGACGTGGACGTGCTGGTGGTGGATGTCGATTCTGCGCTGGTAGTGGAGGAAGAGCTAGTCGACGACGGCTTGTCTAGGGCTTGATACCAGATCTTGTCGGTAGCGGCAGCGACGCCGCATCCGAAGAGGGTGTATCCGGCCCAGGATTCTTGGTAGACATGGGTCATGCAATGGGGGTAGTCCGAGGAACCGCTGTGGGTTGTTAGTCCGTGAGAGGGACCCGATAACTTGAGAAAAACGACGAGACATACCACCACATCGTGTACCCGTTATTGGTCGAGAAGCTACTCCGCTCCGTCGAGTCGTAGCACGTGGTCCAAATCGGGCACTTGGTCTCGCCGTCGTCGCAGCATCCAATGTGCGAGTTGATCGAGTTGTACACACACCGCGCCGTGGACGCGCACCAGAGTGAGGACGCTGGTTCTCGTCAGTCCCTGTCCTGCTACACAACAATCCCATCCTCACTCAGAGTCTAAAATCAAGAATCCCAGGGCGACTTACTGAAACTCCCGCTGACATAGCCGCAGGTGTTGTCGGTGGAATCACGCGCCACCAACGCGTGGGCCACAGTCCTCGGCTCTGGCGGCGAGGTCGGCTGTGGCCCGGCTGCGAAGTTGTTCATGCCCAGCGAGGGCAGGAAGCCGAGCTGGGTCTCGGCCGCGGGCACCCATCGCGGCTCGTTCTCGTCGGCGCTCCACTTGAGGGCTTTGGCGTCGGCCAGCCGGAGGAGAGCAGAGCAGCACACGGCTGCGCGCCCGAGGGAGGTCCTCATGTCGGGGGCGTGTGTATTAAGCTAAGCCCCGGCGCAGGGAGCTCTTCGTGTGTGGTATCTAAGATATGTTGTTCGACGTCGATGTGGTGACGACAGCTGGCTGCTGCGGCCCGTGGATGAGAAACAACGGGCTGCCAAGAGAGAGAGAGAGCAGGGAGCGAGCGGGTCAGTGAAGAAGCGAGCGTGAGTTTTGTTTCTCCTCGACGCCCAATGACGACAACCCCAGACAGGCGAGCGAAGCTTCTTTTCCTTCTCTGGCGCGAAAAGAAAAGAAAAGGAAAAAACAAGACAACAAACGAGGGAAGGGAGCCCAGGACTAGGGAGCCCAGGACTAGGGAGCCGGGACACCACACACCACAAGGCTCGCACAGCCAGGACCAGGAACTGCAAGCGGGAAACGGTCGGTGTCCCGCTTTTGTGACTACTGCTGAGGCTCTTTGGCTCTTTGGCAAGGGAGCGCGCTGTCTGGGGTGACTTCACTCTCAGAAAGTTCTCTTAGCCCATCGCCCAAAGAGGATGGGACCTTCAGCTGAACACCGGGCCCCAATAATTCGTGGGACGCGACCGGCGTCATTGGTGGACGCGCAGTCTGCCCAGACGGCCAGGGTCGTTTTCCAGGGCCCAGAGAAGCAAACCAAAGCGAGACGAACGAAGGCTGAGTCGGAGTTCACAGAAGTGGTTACTGTTGCGGTGATTGTTGTCGTCCTCATCATCGTCGATGCCAGGCGGCGGACAGCATGTCATGACCACAACGGCCAGCAAGCCCTCTCGTCATGTTCACCACGATCCAAATGTTCTCATCAGATCAACCGTTGAACCAAAAGAAAAACTTGGACCCCAAACTTCCTCGACGCCGTTTCTCGGGGCTTCCTTCCTTCTGGGCTCGCTGCAACCCCACAACCGGCAAAGAACCTGCGCCGAAACAGGTTAGCCTCGTAAAGCTTGCCAGCCCGGGCGAGATCACCGCCGATCGCAAAATCCTCCAGCCCACGCGAGCCACGCACAGGTTGCCAGCGACGAAAAGAGCAGCAAATCGAGCTTCTCAAAGGGAAAATGATATTCTTGCTGCGTCGTTACACAAGTCGGGTATAAACAAGAAGGAGGATGCCGACGCTGACGTTGGAACTTTGAACTTTGCCGTTTCTTCAATCCCCCGCATTCCGCCCGCAAAAAGTGGCACAGTTCTGCGAGTGTTAGGACTCTGAAGTAAAGCCCACAACGTGATCTTGAACAGCGTCAAAGGTTAAACCCAATTTAGACGCCGGTGGAGTCGAGGTTCTCTGGGCGTTTCCTGGGCGTGCGGGTCCAGGACGAAACGACCCAGGGCGGGCAGGCAAGGCAGGGTACTTTAGGTGGGTCGTCTCGTCTGGCTTCAGAGATGCAGCGTGGCAACCACAAGGCATTTTCCTGCTGCTGCTGCCATGCGGCAAGTGCGCAAGATGCAACATTGTTCGATATTGCATGCGTTGGTGTGCCGAAGAAGGCTGAAAGCCGGCTACAAATACTGAACAGCAACTTGTGAATGGGGGGGTCAGAACAGGGCTGGGCTGATGATGCTTTTGTGATGTGCTTTTGTGATGTGCTCTTGTGGGTGGCTATTGTACGGAAATGAAAAGTGATACAACACGTCAGTGCGAAATAAAAATAGAAAATACCATGATACACTAAATCCCGCGCTAGGAAAGTTGACCGTTTGTCTGGACAACGGCATTGGTTAACTGGCTCATCACGCCCTTTTACACTAAGTCTCCGGTATGCAGACGCCGGTGGTTGCCGTGCCATTGGGTCTGCTGTGTAGCCCCTCTAGCTTCGATTTCTGATAAAAGAGTAACTCTAGGTTACTGTCCCACTGCCAAATCTTATTCTCCGCTATAGCGCAGCCCTCAGCGCCTTCGAAACCCACCGAACGAGCTGAAAACCACCGGCCCCGAAGACGACGACACGTTTAACATTGACGTCCCTCATAACCCTGTTCCGCTCGTCTTGTTCCCACGTGTTTTCCTACCCGTTCCTATGGAGAGATATATAAACTGAACATGTCAAAAAGCACCAAGATTTCCAGCTTCTGCCGTGTGACAAATGTGTGAGGAGTGAGCAGTAAGTACTAGGACTGCAGTGTCGAACACAGAAAAGACACATGCACCGTTCCTGAAAAGTCCCGTGTTGTGCTGTGCAACATCGCCCCCCTGACCTAACCATATCCCACATGGCTGTTGCCCCTGAGGCCCAGGTTTACCACTCCTAGTCACACTCACTCACTCACACAACACATGGTGTAAGTAGTGCAACAAAGAGCATAATCCAACAGCACAACAACACAACAATTCAGCAACACTCCATCACCTCACTCCAATCTAGTAGGAATCATAACCACGCAATACAATACAATAATACAAAAAATACAACGCTGGATTGCTAAACTCTTGATCAAACCCCCCTTCCAAAAAAAAGGGGTACATACAATAACCCACAATCTATACTCTCGCTTCTATCCCCAAAAACACCATCACCAAACACTCCCCGTACAAACGTCCACACCCACTTACACACACCCATAGCCCCCATATATCCATCTATCTCCCTCAAGGCTCAAGAAACTTAAGAAAGATCCATATCCCACCCCCCAAAATCCGCCCCAAAATCGCTCCCAGCACCCAAACTCCCAAACAACCCATCCCCTCCCAACTCCGTCCCACCAGCACCACTATTGCTACCAAGATCCCCAGCACTACCCCCCAACAAATCCGTCCCATCCAACCCCGCCGCAGCAGCAGCCGCATCCAAAACCATCGAATCCTGCAACAGATCCCCCGTAGCACTACCGCCCATCGCATCCCCCAACACATCGCCCGACCCCAGCGCGCCAGCAAGTTCGACGCCGACAGGTTGCCCATGACCATGCAACATAGCAGCCGCGGCATTAATAGCAATCGCCGCCTCCGCCGCATCAGCATCCGCAGCATCAGAGGGTTGGAGGGTAGGGAGAGGAGCTACTAGAGCGAGAGGGGGAGGCGCGGGGGTGAGTTGGGCTTCGACGCGGCGGTGGAGACGGACGATGGTTTCGGCGGTGAGGGGGTCGTTGGATCCGGATTTTTGTTGGGTTTGGGTTTGGGTTTGTTTCCAGGTGGTGGCTTTCAGGTGGAGGGCAGTGCGGAGGGTGGTGCGGCGTTGGATGTTTGAGGGGTGTTGGCTTTTCTGTTGTTGTTGTTGGGCTGTTGTGGTGGTTCCGTCTGGGTTTGTCCCGGTTGGGTTGGAGGTGTTCGGGTCGGTAGGAGAAGGGGGAGGAGGGAGGGAAGCGTCGTTGGTGACGTCGGGGGCGCAGATGAGGGCGGTGGCTACGTCGTAGGCGATGCTGGCTTGCGGGGTGTCGGCTGCGGCGCGCAGTTCGTCGAGGAGGACGGCGAGGACCCGTTTCGCGCCGAGCATCTTGACGGCTGCGAGGGTCTGTCGGTGGGTGTAGGTCGCTGGCGTGCCGTTGAGAGATGGCGGGTGCTGGGCCCATTGGATGAGGCTTTGGACTGTGTGTCGGACGGCGGCGGTGAGGCCGCTGTGGGGGTAGGTGGTGGTCGTTCCGCTGGCGCCGTTGTTGTTGTTGTTTGTAGTGTTGTTGTTGCTGCTGTTGGTAAGGGTATTGTTATTGTTGGTGGCATTGCTGGTGCTACTGCTGTTAGCGTGCGTGCTGCACCACGACTCGAGCTCGGTGTGGTCGGCACCGCCGGTGCGCCGGGAGAGCGCGAGGTTCTCCTGGATGGCCCGGAGCAGCGGCTCGATCTCCTGGCACTTGGGGTCTTGCCGCTGGTACGAGCGGAGGGCGTGCTCCAGCGGCTTGGCCACGATGTTGAGCACGGACGAGAGCATGGTCATGGCCTCGTTGGAGATGCCGCTGGGCCGGATGATGACCTGCAGGATCTTGATAATGGCCGACTGCATCTGGGGGCCGCCGACCCAGAGCTGGTTCGACAGGTAGAGGATCGCGGGGACGAGGGAGGGTAGTAGCAGGACGCCGACCAAGTCTACTCATCTGTTAGCCTGATCTGGAGAAAGAAAAGAGAAAAAGAAAAGAAAACCCACACTCAAGACCCCCCTTAAGCACGTCATCCGCCAAATACCCAGCACTCAACGCCACGACAATCTGCTGAAACAGCGTCGGAATAAGCAAGTAAAAGTCCTGCGGCGGGCACGACGCCATAAGATCGTCGCCCAAGCCGCCGGCGGTATCAAACAGCCCGTGGATCCAACCATTCAGGTGCGCCTTCTCCTGCTCGTCCAACTCCTCCAGTGGCCGGTATTTATTCCCGCCGCCCAGCAGCTTCGCGAGGAACAAGTCCGGCGAGCGCAGACCTAGGTCCGCCGGCGAGAGGTTGTACCGGTAGACAAAGGCCAGCAGTAGGAGCAGGATGGACCCGAATTCTTCGTACACGGGCTGGTACTCGCCTTGGTCTTCTTCGTATCCGGCCCAGTTGTCGAGTAGCTCGCACAGCGGCTGCAGGATCTTTTGCGGCTTGTCGAATAGGAGTAACACGTCCAGGGACAGCGGCTTGGCCGCGAGCTGGCTGCACAGCTGCTTCAGGGTCATGGTTTCCTTGTTCCGGCAGAGACTGCCGATGACCTGATCTCTGTCAATAACATGCTCGGACTGTAAACTCAGTAGGTGGTAGTAGTATTTACCTCAATAATGGCCTGCGCAGCGGCCCCAACATTCCCATTCATATTATCCAGCTCTCCAATGAGCTTCTGCGTGCGGTCCACATCCTGCAGACACGCCTGCACCAAGCTCTCCTTGACATACCGCCCCTCGTCCGGCAGCGACTGGTACGTGATATCCCCCAGCAGGCTCTCTATCGCCTGCTGCGAGAGCAGGCCGTGCAGCTGGCACGAGAAGCAAAAGTCCTGCCGGACCGAGTCATGGAACGAGCTGTTGGCGTTGTTGTGGTGCGCGTTGTTGGTCGTCATCTCGAACATGCCCGACAGCGTGGGGAACACGTTGGTGTCGACCTGCCCGAGGGCTTCCTTGATGCACGACTCTGGGTCGAATGGGTACATGTTGGCTGTTCTGGCCAGCGAGACGAGGATGAGGGGCACTTTGTTGACGACGTAGGATTTGAGCAGGTGGCCTGTCTTGGGGCCTTCGTTGCGGAAGACGGCGTTGGCGAGGAGGTCGAAGGAAGCGAGGATCAGTTGGACTGCCGTGGATTGTATGTCTCCCTGATATCTGTTGTGCAAGTATGTAAACAAGGCGGTGTCGTCAAGCATGGGTCGGCCCACGAGCTACTATTGTCAGCACGATGCGCCCAAAAGTTTGAACGAGGGACGACAAAAACCTACCGCAGCGCTGAGGTAGATGTAGAGCCCAGCCCGAGAGTTGACCACGGGCAGCTCGGGGACCTGGAAGCTGTCCATGTCGATAAAGCTGTCCACGTAGCTGTCGACATCTTCCACGTCCTTCTTTTTCCGCGGGAGGTGCTTGCCCAGCACGTCGGTCCTGAAGATCTCCAACCGCGTGGCCATCGCAGGCAGCCCTTGCATGATACACGGCACGAAAACCCGCAGAGCTTCAGAAAGCCATTTGCAAACCCCTACAGCACAAAGTCAACACCACGTCTACTTTGTAACCCACTTGATAATTCCCTCCGAGGGAAATACACCCCCACTCACCTCGAAAAGCCACCCGCTCCAGCGCCGCCAGCACAGTCGGACTCTCACTAAACGCAATAAGCAACAGCACAAACGCGGCCCGCGCATCCTCCATATCGTCGCGCGCCTGCATCAGCGCAGCAGGGTGGTGGTGCATTGCCGACGGGCCAAACACGTCGCGCGCCGCGAACAGCCGCATCCACGCCGCCAGCACCTGGGCGACCTGGGCGACCTCGCGCGCCGTCTTGACCGCGGTACCCTCGTGGATCGCCCGCGCTAGCCGCCAGAGGATCACTTCTTCGTCGTCGTAGGAGTTTTGCCAGCGTCGGGGTTTGCGGGGGCGTTTTGTTGTTGTTGTGTTCTTCTTCCCGGTATCGTTCTTATTGTGTGCTTCGACCCCGGCTTGGATTCCCCCTCCCTCCTCTTCCACCTCCATCTTCACATCCACATCACCCCCATCCCCTGATATCCCTCCTCCCTCTCCAGCCCCCTCACCATTATCCCCCTCTTCCCCCTCTTCCCCACCAACCCTCCTCTGCGCCGAACTATACACAAACAACCCCCTCAGCACCCCCGCCACATCCACCCACCTCTGCCTCAACAACGCCTGCAAATACAACAACACCCTCGGATCCAGCCGATAACACCCCCGCGGCGCCGGCGGCGGCCGCAACAGGACATCAGCCACCAACGCCGGTGGTAAAGGGTGTGCGCTAAAGTGGATCGGCAGGAAGGCCGCGAAGCGCGCTGGGTCGAGACGGTTGAGAAGGGCGCGGTCGAGGAAGTGCTGCCAGGCGGTTAGGGAGGTGGTTAGGGTGTTGTGGGCGTGGGCGTGGTGGGGGTCCATTTTGGGGGCATTGATGGCCTAGCTCTCGAGGGGAGTGAATTCGGTCGGTGGAGGTTGGAATTAACGGCGTTCGTTCGTTCGCGAGGGTGTAAGTGGTTCGTGGGCGCGTGCGCTTGTGTGCTTGAACTTAGGGACCTAGGTTACAGAAGGTATTTATATCCAAAAAAAAATAATGTGTGTGAGGAATCACATGTTGCGGGTATTGGTGGGGCGTGAAAGGTTCAAAGGAATTAACCTTGAAGATGGGCGGATCTGGGAGAAATGTTCGAGGACGTGGGTTCGGCAAGAATAATGAAAGAATGGTGTTTCGAGGCTGCGACGCGCTGCAGTCGGCTGCAGCCGAGCTGGGACCGCGTAACAAAGAAGTGTGGGTGGGGCCGCGCAGGGTGCTGATTACGCCGAATTACACCCGGCTTTCAATATTACGTACGTATCTGATGTGGAAGGCATGTCACACAACCGACCACAAAGAACTGCAAATTACCAAATTAGCATGAGAACCGAGCAGAGAGTCGAGCTCACTTAGTGTATTGGATACTTGTTATTAACTGTTAAATAGGACCTCCCCCGAAGCACGAAAGGGAATACGGGCGTACCTTGGAGGTGTTGAACTAGGTTCAAAACACAACATCACACAAGAAGGATGCTGATATGCAGCTGTGTTACCATGTAAGTTTGGTAGGTTACAAGTTTGTGGAAGGTCACGGCAAACATTAGGGGGTACCTGAGTTGAACTTGTTGGTCCAGCAATCTAAATGTTCTAATACAATCTGTTTACCTTGTGTCCAGCAGGAAATTTCCATACCACAACATCAACGCAGCTGTCCAGCAGGATGCCTGTTAGGAAAGACATCTCGCTCGAGCTCTTCTACCAGAGCTCCCAAGAATCACTCCCCGTAAAGCCTAGCCATTATGCCGCCTCCCTCTCACTCTTGACTATCACGTCCTCTTCGGTGATCCTTAAACATCTAGGGTCAGCACATCTTCCTTGAGCTAGGAGGAAAAATCCAAAGGAAATCCTCACAAATTCTGCATATTCGCCCACCGATCCCGTGCCCTTCTTAGCGCCTCGATGTCAGGCGCCTCAAGCTCCTTCAAAAATGGTACACTCTGGGCTGGGCCAAAATCATAAGCCTGTTTCACCCCAAACCAGCTGGTGCTCATGGCCGCCAACATATAATTGAGGCGCTCCTGCTGCAATACCCTCCCAACCCCGCCTTTCCAGTCCGCGCCGAACCACAGAGATAGTACTTCCTCTGTGTCGTAGCCCGTTACGATGAGTCGTCGGATGTATGGGCGGAGCTTGACTTGGTTCCTCGCTACTCGGGTTGAGTGTGGGAGCTGGATGTTGAGAAATTCGGCCAAGGCGATCACAGCCTCGCTGTACTGGGTGTAGTCGAAAAAGTATGTTCTGCAGAGGTTGTATCTCGCGTACCATGCCGTAATCTCAGACATTGGTTCTCTGGGGTTCTGTACAAAGTATCCGTGTCAATAAACCATTGTGTGGGGTCGGGGACCGAAATACCATGGTCAAGTCATGAGCGCGAGACGTACCATCTCCAGGTAGGGAGCTCGAGGGTCATCCCAGATTGCGGCCATGGTAGCGATGTGAGAGAAAGACGGCTTAATAACTGAGGTGTTCTGAAGCAGATTGCAAAGTTGGAAAAGGCGATGGCAAAAGCTAGAACCGGATTCCTGGAGTCCGATCGATACCCTATATATACAAGATGGCTGCCATTATTATCGCTCGTTTCTTCGTTGTGCGCCGGTCATTCCAATCCACGTTTGTCTAACACTCCTAATCATCCGCTGAAAACATTACGAGTTGATTGTGTCTACTTATGTGCTAAATGAACAAATCCAACAGCATTTTGCATCATATCAGACAAGGAACAGGCTTAAACCAGTTAGATGAGTCCTCACCACTGAAGTTTGGTAGACTTAAACCGCGTGTTGACCCGTAGCAAAAGAAAACGCTATGTATGACTTGCAAGATTAAAGCCTAGAGAAGCCAGGCACGGCAAACCGTAGAAGCACCTAACTACTTGGCGAAAGGAGGAGACAACCGTCAACTCGATGTACCTAGTAAGAAATAACCAGGAGAAAGATAGACATCAGGTGAGTGATTGAGCAGCAGGCAGGCCCAGGGTTTACCTGGAATCATAGCCACTCACTCATGCCAGGTGCAGGCTCTGCGTAGTTTGCTGAGAAAACTGAGGTGGTTATCTTTGCAACCCGTGATCCAGCACGGGGCTTCCATGAAAACATCAAACATGATAGCGTGATACACATCGAGAAGGCCGCCATGCTCGCCATGCCCAAACAAAGAAAAGAAAGACGGAATTCGACGAGCCTCCCATAAACGTTCCTCCCGCAACACAGCCAACCACGACTACACCCTTCCCCGCAATCATACAATCACTGTACCGTATCGAACCACGGTCACATACGCCAACCAGCCCAGGGTGGCCGGTCATCAATCTTCCTCTTCCCTCTTAATCCTCACTCCACCAGCCCCTGACCTTGAGCCTCCCGCGGTATCACCCCTGACTTCCATCGACCTCGGCCCTAGCATCCTACACAATAACAGTTAGCACTCGCTCTTCACTTGTTTTCTGGTACTTCAGGGGCAGACGACTTTCTCCTCCCCCAAAAGAGGTAATCGAATAAAAGAGCCAAAATAAAACAAATAACCAGAAAAGAAAAAAACAGACTCACCAATCCTGCATAGCCAACCACTCACTCCACCCGCCCTCCCCGGCCCTAATCTCCTGCTCACTCGCATTCCTCAACGGTTTCAAAAACGGCACCGTCTCATCCGTGCCCATATCATACGCCCTCTTCACCTCCAACCAGCTACTACTCTTCGCCGCAAACAAGAAATTCCGCCTCTCCTGCTCATGCAGCGGCCGCACCCCCAATTCCCAGTCATCCCCAAAGAACCCGTGCAAAACCGCGGGGAAGTCAAATCCCGTCGCAATCAGCCGGCGGATGTATGGGTGTAGGGAGACGTGGTATGTGACGGGTTGAGGTGGTTGCCCGGCGGCGGCGGCTGCTGCGGGAGAGAGACGGCCGGGGCCGCCTGGGGGGTGGGATGGTCCGCCGGGATGGGAAGGGGAGCGGCGGAGGAGGGTGGGGTTTTGTTGGGCTTTTTGGAAGGGGAGTTGGATGTTGATGAAGGCTGCTAGGGCTTGGACGGGGCCTTCGAATTGGGCGTGTTCGATGAAGTAGCGGACGCAGGATTGGAAATAGGGGTGCCAGTCGATTATGTCGAATTGGCCGCCGCCGAAGGGCTGAGGAGATGAAGGGAAGCGTTAGTGGGAGGTGTTAGGGGTTGGTTTTGGTGTTTGGCTTTTTGCGTAGTTGGAAGGAGGTACGCTTGCACATGTACAAACAAGGGGGGATAGTTAGGTACAGTACCTGTTCCTCTTGAAAGGGGTTGTCTCCTGCCCAAGGCGCCGCCATAATGTCCAAGCCGGGTGAGGGAAAGGCGACTTGGTTGATTAGGGGTCTGTATTCCACACAGCAGCTCGTGGTATGTGCCGCTCGTCTTCTTTGTGGGTAGTGTGGCCACTAGAGGCAAGGCTGGCCCCTCGGGATGGTTGTGAGCCTCGTTTCGGGGAAATTTAAGACAACACACAGCTGCTATAGTTGACTCTCTCGTCGGGAATTCGGGATCCCGGAGACATATGGCAGAATCCCTCGGCCACTAACACAATAAATGACAGAATAAACAAGGAAAGCAAGAACCCCACTCCGAGGTGAAGACAACAACAAGAAGAATCGATGTTGAGCCGGGGGGTAAGAGGGCCGTGGTCAAAGGGCCTTGGAATACATGCGAGGGAGAAGCGTTTATGTATGTATGCCCTGTGCGTATTTTCCCAGTTGCCCAGTGCACATAAGCTACGGCGCTCTCCCGGGCCCGGCAGTTCGGAGCAATAGTTAGGTTATCTCCAGCATGCTACAGCCAGGGATGCGCAGACGTCGTCCCCCATGCTTGCTTGCCCTTAAGGAGGGCCAAGGAGGGCCCAACCGGGACCCGATCCGAGCCCGGCAAGGTAGGTGAGGAAGCGGCACTAATAGCCCAGCTGAGCCCCGTCTGCTGGGCATGCAAATGGCATGGCGAATCTGCGGTCCCTGGCTGCGGGGGGCGGCGATCAACAAGGGCTGGATGGTGCTGCCGCCCGCCCACGCGAGACTTTTAGTGTGCAGGGAGCGAAGAGCAAGGGACCTGCGACCGGGAGGGAGGAACACAAAACGGGCGGCATATCGGTCCCAGCAGGCCACTTCTCGTCCGAATACGGTTGGAGTACATACTCGACAAAGCTGAGGTTATTACACTACTGTATAGGGTGTAGTGCTGAGACTCGAGCTACTGCTTTACAGAAGCACGGAAGGTGAGGAGGCCCACGGTGCGTGTGAGAAGATGGGCAACACGTGGACAGGACAGGCGGACAAGGCGATGCTGCCACTGTTTCTCTTGACCCTGGAGAAGAAGGGCCAAGAGACAAGAAGATCTGGCCACCCCCGTCTGCCCAGCAAAACATTCCGGTAGCCGGCTTCAAGACCTCTCCGCGGGCCCTTGCGGATCGCTGCCGAGCCGAGGTGGGGTGTAGCGGACAATGGTTGAGGAGGAAGAGGAAGTTTTTGATGCATGTGGCATGCTGGGCCGGCTCTGAACGTGGCGGATTCCAGGGTTCCATTTCCAGGAACCAGGGTCGAGGTCAGGGCTGCAAATCAAGATCTCGCAAGCTTTCTCAGTCGATCGGTACCGACAGGGGGGGCTGGTTCACCTCGCAGGGTCAGCGCGGACACCATGGTGAACATGGTCCGCGAATGTCAAAATCGTGCCAGATGAAGACTGGTGTGCAATCGGGTATGTCAAAAGACTGGTACCGAGGCTGAAGATTCAGCTTCCCAGGGCCGTGACTGCTCTTCAAAGAGGGAGGGGGATTAGCATGTACATACACTACACTTCGAGCACGAGGTTGTTGGCGTTGTCAGTCTCCGTGGCCCATATCCGTCCCGGTGTTTAAGCGACTGGCGTGGGGGGATGCGAGCTCAGGTAAACACATGTCTTATCCTATCTTGTGATGCCGCGCTTGTGTATGTACAGTACAAAAGGCACCATGGACTGCGGATAGGCCTCGACGTTTACCCACCGAGGATGTTGATGCGGATGACGACACATATGGAGATGAGAACGCATCCGATGTCCCAATACAAGAGACACCGTCCTCGACACACTGCGCCCCAAGCATGCCTGCCGTCCGGCAGACGCAGCCTGCAGCCTTCCGGGAATGGATTGAGAGGCAGCCTTTCTGCGACCTCTTGCGGTGTGGCCACAGCCGAGCTATCCCCGATTAGCAGGAAACGTAAGTGTATGTCTTAGTTTGCAAAGATTTTCGTCAGCCCCAGCACTCGGGGGCGAAAGAAAAAGAAGAGAAAAGAGAAAAGAGAAGACACGGGAAGGCTCATCCTCGTGGCGGTTGACGGTGTCCGTATCCTTGTCGTCCCGCACCGTCCAGGGTGACCCGTGCTTCTCGCATAGTGGACGCGCCGGCCAGGGACAGAGTTCCCCTGGTGGCAATCAATTGCCGGGACCCCCTCGATGGGATCTCGGGATGTCGTACAACAGCGACTTGCAGGGGTCAAATAAATTCTTGTGTGTGCAGCTTTTCCAGAGGGTTTTGAGGCCGAAAGGTGAGGTTCTCGTCGAGGAAGTGACGACCCCTGCCGTCCTCCCCGCGTGGTTGCGTGTGGCCCTCCGAAGAAAGTGGCGTGAGTGGCTGTTGCACTCCGCAGCGTCGCTTCCTGCCACAGTTAATCTTTGTCTTAGCCAAGCCTGTCGGCCCTGAATGAACTAGGCAATGAGGGCGATCTATTCAGCTTGACAGGCCTTCCTCTGGATCGAAGTTTCTGCTTCCATCGGTGTAGTGTACTGTGTGAATCCGACTTTGTGCAGGGCATCCAAGTTTTCTTAAAATACCATACGACTTTCTTGCTCGGGTTCCCGAAAGCGAGAGAGAGAGAGAGAAAAAAATCAGCCCACTGTCCGAACTCCACGCGGCCGTACATGAAAACTCAGGTCAGTCCCAACCTCCGACGCTCCGGCCGGTCACGAAATAGCCAACAGATGTTCTTTTCAAGCTGCCCAACTTGGTAGATGCATAGCATGAGTGTTTTCGCGATACGATGCCTTGATATCCACGTGGTCTCGGAGCTGCACAGACGTTGTCGTTGCAGCTAGCTAGCTCCACGACGTCAGCTCTGGCTTTCTCCTAGACCCCAGCTTGCCCTGCAGGTCAACGGTCTTTCCATTGGTCATCTCGAATGCTCGAGTCGGAGTCTCGGCACTGAATATCCGATCTGCCAAGCAGCGTGAGGTCAACGGCCTAAGACTCGAGCACTTCATTCCTATCCGCTTCAGACTGTCCTAAAACCGCAGGATCTGTACCTACTCAACTCTGATCGTTCCTTCAGGGTCCGAATTTTTACTCTGCCATTTTAACGTTGATTTTCGAATTTTCATCCGTTACCATGCTGCCCGTGGTTCAATGTATTATACATAACTATCGCTCAATGGAAGTTCAAGTTGTTCGACACGCGCTGTCTGCTTGTGTGATGGCAGGGCCAACAAACCTTTCTAACCCCTCATTTTTTGTTTGTCACAGTGCAATGATGGCAAGGCAAGATTTCCCGCCTCGCTCCTCCCCGGAAAGGCGTTGCTCTTCTCTGGGAAGGAGCAATAGATCCCAGCAGAGTCAAAATCCGTTGCGCGGACTTCCAATGCTGCTTCTCGGCGACAACTTGAGCACGACTTCCCATCGGCAACTATCTACGACTAACAGTGATGTTCGTGCCAGCAAAACTGTGGTCGCTGACCGCCACCGAGGTCCAGAGCTTGATTGAGCGAGACCTGCTCACTGTTGAGGCCTACGCGACTGCGCTGTTGAGCCGCATCAAGTCGAGGGATGGCATAGTCAAAGCGTGGCAGCACTTGGGCGTGCTTCCTTCGCATTCTACTGCCGAGCATATTAAACTGACCTTGATTCAGATCCAGATCTTGTCTTGAGCCAGGCTCGTGATCTGGACAAAGTTCCATGCGGACAAAGGGGCCGGCTTCATGGGGTAGCCATCGGGATCAAGGACATAATGAACACCAAAGGTGAGCTTGCCTCTCCAGCTCCTAGCCACGGTGCTCATATGATTCAGATATGCCGACGGAATATGGTTCTGCTCTGTACAAGGGCAACCAGCCCAATGCGGATGCGTCCGTTGTCGACATCGTCCGAAGAGCCGGAGCTCTGATAATGGGTATGTCTTGCTTAGTTTACGATGTAAGCCGTTCTGAGTCGCTGCAGGCAAGACAACCACGACAGAATTCACAGTCCTCAACCCAGGTCCCGCCACTACCAACCCGCACGACCCAAACCGGACACCGGGTGGATCTTCGGCTGGGTCTGCGGCTGCCGTGGCTGACTTCCACGTCCCACTCAGCTTCGGAACCCAAACTGGAGGTAGCGTCATTCGCCCTGCGTCTTACACGGGCACATACGCCATGAAGCCAACCTTTAACACGATCTCTGGTGGGGGGATCAAAGTTGCCTCTCTCGAGTTCGATACCATCGGGTACTCCGCTCGTAGTCTGGAGGATCTCAAACTTCTTACCGAAATTCTCAGCATCTCGGTGGAAGAACCCCCTGAGGAAACAGCATTGGAAACCATGAGAGTAGGGTTCGTGAAGTCACCGTTTTGGTCATCTGCCGGGTCTGGCACTCTCACGGCTATGGAGAAGGCCGCCGAGATCCTCAACAAACACGGTGTCCAGGTCGATTACGTCGAATTCCCGGATGGTTTTACTGATGCCGACGCATTGAATCGGATGTTCAAGGTTATCTTTGTAGCCAATGGCGGTGTGGCATTCTACAACGACTATCTCATGGACGCTACGAAGACCAAGCTGGATCCGGAGGTCCGCGCATCCGTTGACGAAGCGCGTAAACTCTCCCGCGACGAGGTACGGCAGGCATTCGATTACTACGCCGCTCTTCGACCTGTGCTCGACAAGATCGCCACCAAGTACTCCGCACTCATCACCCCCAGCGCGACCGATGAAGCACCCGTAAGTCTGGGCGATATGGGCAGTCCCATTTTCAATTCGGTATGGACGGTGAGTACATAGTAGCCCTCCATTCTTCAGTGTTGGCGTGGACTCACCTGTTCCGCCTGGCCAGGCAGCACACATGCCAGTGATCCACATTCCTGCCTTTGCAGGACCTAGGGGCATGCCGGTCGGCTTGTCACTCATAGCCTGCCGCAATGATGATCAACATCTGCTGAGTGTGGCCAAGATCCTAAGTGAACCTCTTATGGGCGAGGGGGGGTGGCAGGAGACGTTGGTGTGCTCTGAAGCTGGTCTAGCACCCGAACCTTGAGCATCAACGACATGCTCCGGTCCATCTACACTATGAAACCTATCCCACCACTCCACGGTGAGATTACTATCAAATCTGCCTCAGGATCTTTTCCTCCCTGCCTCCCACCGTGCGGGAAAAAAAAGAAAAAAAAAAAGAAAAAAAGAAAAAGGGTAACCCTCGGGATGTTCCGGATTGGTTCCTAGCACTGGCCCTACTAGTGAGTCATATCAATGCAAACCACAGTAATGAAACCAAAGGTCCAAATTCGGCACTCATGCCACAGAGCCTTGCGCTGGCTGATTATATGTACTTGTTCTGCATTGCCGTCTACACACACGTATGCACGGTAACAACCCCTGCCACATCACTCCACACTCACATTGCCCTCTCTGCATGCTCAGCCTTATCAATGATTGGCCATCCTAAGGGTTTGTGCCGTGTGGCGGATGTCAGATGATGACTGCCTCGCCGTACCACAGGCTCGAAAAGCCCCTCGTTTCTGTCCCAGCCCGATGATAGCCCAAACAGTCAACGACTCAACAAGCGACCTGTTGAACATGACGCGAAGGCTTTATTGATTTCTTCATCACCGAGCCCAGCCTGCTCACCCCTCTTTCCCCCACCTCTTCATCCATAATCAACGACAACCATGAGTCACTCAAATCTTGATATTGTCAAGACTGTCGATTCGTTCCCGTGTCCCGGGGACCAGCCCGAGACGCCCAACTCCTACGTGCACTTCCGTATAGCTTCACACCCGGGCGTCACGTTTGGATATGTTCTCCCGTCTGTCGCCCTGGCCCTAGCCAGCTTGCCGAACTGGATTTTCGACCGGCACTGCAGCCCGAGGACTCTCACACTGGTTGGTGGCCACGACGATGCTACACGAACGGCCATTATGATGGAAACGACACTGGGCATGCGATCGTCGGGCCGTTTCAAGAACCTCGAAAAGTGGCGAGACGAATTGCTGCCGGTCTACGGCCCAGACGCGGAGTTGCTCTTCAGCATTGAACGCAGCGCCTGCCCGCTATTCGGAGTTGTCACATATGGTGTGCACATGACCGCCTATCGCTGGAACGCCGATAAGGACCGTGAGGATTCAATGGAGATTTGGGTACCGCGGCGGTCCAGGGACAGGGCAAAATATCCCGGGATGCTCGACACATCGGTCGGTGGAGCACTTGCTACCGGGGAGACTCCGTGGTCGTGCTTGATCCGGGAGAGCGAGGAGGAAGCATCGTTAGGAGAGGAAACCGTCAAAAGAGCCACAGCAGCCGGGGATATAACATTCTTCAACCTTTCCGACGAGGGATCTGGAGGCGAGGAGGGGTTGGCCCAACCCGAGCGCATGTACATATTTGATCTGGACCTGACAGGTTCGCCACTGGACACCCTGGCGCAAAATGATGGCTCGGTCGAGGCTTTTGAGCTGCTGACGGTACCCAAGGTCAAGCGGGCGTTGTCCCTGAAGGAGTTCAAACCAAACAGTGCCTTGGTGTTGATAGATTTCTTAATTCGCCATCGACAAATTACGCCCGAGGACGAGCCGGATTATCAAGACATTTTGTTACGGTTGCACAGAAACCTGGAATTCCCTGTCCGTTGAGGATCGGATCGAATAGAATAGAAGGCTCAGATAGTTGGCATTTAGATGCCTGTCCCGTGTCCAATAAAAAAGTGAGGGAACAGGTTCCTCAACTCCACCAAGCGGGCAATGCGATATTTGCAAACATCAGCCTCCAGTGGCTGGGCATCATCTTCGAGTAGATGAACGGCGGTCCATCCAAACTTTTCGGCCGAAAAACAGTGCCCGGCTGAATCATCTGAACTGGATCATAAGTATCTCCCCATGAGGTAGGCCGGGGTCGGATAACGGCACCTACCAACAAAATGGCATGCTTTCACATCTCCCACACCAGCCTCCCGCATCGCTTTGTTGAACATTTCGACATGAGGCTTGCAGTGTATGGGTTCAGCTGCATAGTCACAATAGGTGAGGCCTTCGAAGTGATCCTCAATGCCTAGCAAACGGACAACCCGTCTGCCATGGTTGACATATGCATTGGTAAGTAGCCAGAGCTTTACCTTGGTCTTGTCTATGTCTCGAAGCATTTGGCAGAGCTCGGGATCTGGCACTAGGAGCTCCTCGAGTGGCAACGCGTCTTCGACGTGGCTGTTTTACACGAGAGGATCGATGCCGTGGTTCTGTACGAGGCCTTGGAGGATTAAGCTACATTCCTTCCTGTATTTCTGGTGCAGCTCCCTCGTGGCATCATCGTCAAGCGACAGGGCGTTCTTAATGAAGGTGTGGTTAAGCATCGTCGTTATTTCGTGCACCTTTCTGCCTTGGGCAGTGTTTCAGTACGGTCATATTATTAGAGAGAAGTTGAAAATTTCCGACTGACTTCTTGAATATAGCTGTGTGGATGAGGTTAGCCTTTTGCCCACGGTATCGCGTCCGAGAACATCACCAACACAGTTGTCAATGTCGAAAGAAAAGACAGGTCTTGAATCCGACATCGTGCTTCTGGCTTGATAAGCCAGCTTCAATGAGCCCAATAGCTGAGAGCCAAGATGCGTGATCCAAAGAATGGAGAGTATCAGTTGCTAGCTACCAATAATAGAATAAAAAGGGTGCGGTAATTCATCGTCGGGGGTTGTTTGTTATGTACCGTGTGGTGCGGCTCGTTGAAGCAGGGAAGTGCTCCTGCGCTCAGGGGAATCTCCAACCGTGATAGTTATATGGTTGCGTTCCTGCAGTCCTGCTCAGAGCCCATTGGTACAGAACATCTCCTTTATCCGAGAGCCGCCAGAAAATGAATTCGCAACTCGCCTTCCTTGGCTTACGAGCCCTTCCGCCTCAGACTATGGTAAGCACCCTGTGCTCTTTGACGAGATCGGTCCTCCATCTAAGGCATCTGAAATGATTAGATGCAATCCTTTCTCTAGTGATATTCTGTATTGGGCTGCCGTTCCAAGAGGGGGACCCAAGTTGGTGTGAAAAAGGTCATGAAATTTAATAAACAGGTTCGAACAGCTCAACAACTTTCTGGGGTCACCCAAATGGTGAAGACATACGTCACGGCCGTTAATCGGGATCTCGGGAAATGTAATCTAACAATTCTAGCCACAATCATTCGATGCATGTACCGTTGGTGGCAGCTGTTTTCTTCACAGCCCCCCGGGTCTCGCCGCTGCTGCAGTCGAATGGTCTACATAGTACATTAGCTCCGTTTCGTAGTCCCGTTCACTTTTCACTCGAAAAGTTCCGCATTAGCTTGGGACGTGAGACACACATTGCCTTTGTCTTAGGTTCTTTGTCTCTCGTCGACGGCGGCAAGATAACTAAACCTCCTTTGCATCGGACAAACCAAGGATGTGCTTACTACGTAAGAACTTTTCTAAACGGTCGCCGCGCAGCTAACCGGTCACACACATGATGCGACTGTTGGGGATGAACTGGCTCACTTACTGGTCAAGCCTGGGGTCTTGAATAGAGAAGGGGGTTGCGCCCATCCACCCAGTGAGACAGGCAACAGCCGTTTGTGGACTTGTCCATGACGAAAAAAAGGCCGCCGTTGCTGGCATCGGAAGAGAATCTCCTCCAGAGGGTGGTTGGTGTGAGAATATGCCAGGAGCTGCTGTCAGGGACAAAACCAGACCGAGTGAAACTGAACTTCCGGCCCTCCATTCCTTCCTTCCATCCCAAGGAGGTTGAGCTCCCCGTCCTCCACAGGTCGGGCCTTTTATAACCCACCCTTCCGCCGCACTCTCTCAATGACCCCTCCCATCCGGCGAATGCTTGACCTTGCGGATGGCGCATTTGGGGGGGGGCGAAGGCATGCCGCCCATGCCCGCAATACCGCGTGCCGGGAGTTCGACTCCCGGTACGGTCACTGAAGCAAAACCCTCCCGTAGGTTTTCGTAGCTGCTTACTGAATCTTCGTGATGGAAGAGGAAGTGGGCGGTGAGCTTTTTGGGTTATTTTATCTTTTTATTTCTCATTTAATTGCATCGTATTTTTGGCCCTATTTCGGCCAGCGGGGCTGTTTGAAGCAAGGAACTGTCCCTTAGTTCGAATACTAGTAAGCTTGATCGTGCCATTGGATCGGCCGAGTGAGGCACGGGAGCTGGGTGAAGCATTGTCTGTGGCGGTATATTGTTTTGTTGCAGGTAGTGGCTTCTGACAAGACCCGGATTTTGAGTGAACAAACTAGGGGAAAAGGGGAAGGAGAATTGAAGGAAAAAAGAAACAAAGCCACAAACCACAGGGTCGCTCCAAACCAAGTTCTATTGTAGACCAATGTTCTTAGTCCATGGTGTGTGCAACTGAATGCTTCTGTTTGTTCACAAGCAAGGACGAACCTTTGGTGCGTCGTTGAGATGTTGAATGAATGCCAAGCCTGACCCTTCACCTCACCCCGACATATGCATATTTGGGGTAAGCCACGATTCGCTTGGCTGGAGCACGAACCACGCGAGCTCCAGGGGCGCTCGGGGGCGCTAGTGACAGTTGCCAGATTGCACACACGACGTTTTTACGACCGATTCCTCCGAGCTTCAGCTGGGATTCGAACTTCCTTTCTCGATCTCCTATCGTTTCTCCCTTTTCTCTTCTTCATCGTCACCCTTCTTTCTGTTCTTGGAATTCGGCACAATGGTCAACTTCAAGTGGTCTTCAATTGCCCTGCTCGCTCTGCGCGTCGCGACGGCCTTCGCCACCGAAGAGGTACGTTTTTTCAGGTGTTGTTGCTGCGTCATCGCGTGGCCGGCTCATCCCCATCCCCCTTTTTATTCTCACCTTTCGCATAACGCGACACCGGAAAGAAACCCCCAATTGCTAACAAAACCCTTTCCGTAGCCCGATGCCGAGTCCTTCACCACGGTCCCGGTCGAGCAACCCGAGCTCAAGGCCGACATCGAGACCACCTTCCCCGATGCTGACATCTTTGGCGTGAAGATCGTCAACGGCCGCGTGACCAAGGCCCTGATCGAGATCACCAACCATGAAGACTCGCCAATCGACGTTGCCTTCATTGGTGGCAAGCTTTCGACCACCAAGCCACTGCCCGAGGACGCTCCCGCGTCTGCCGCGACCATCCGCAACTTGACCGCCGTCCGGTACGACGTGACCATCCCGCCTGGCGAGAAGCACCAATTGCCCTACCAATTCGTCCTCGACATGATGCCGCAGGATGTGCAGGTTGATCTGGTTGCCATTGTTACGAGCGAGGCCACGAGCCAGATCTTCCAGGTCCAGGCCCACAGTGGTCCTGCCAGCATTGTCGAGCCGCCCACCAGCCTGTTTGATCCCCAAATGTGAGCATCCCTTTTTCCTCTAACAGCTTACCACTCTCCGCCTTGCAGCCCCCGCAACAGTTCTTTTGTAAAACATCATCTAACCCGATCGTTCAACAGCATCTTCCTCTACCTCTTCCTCACCGGCGTTTTCGGCGCAACCCTCTACTTCGTCTACAAGACCTGGATCGAGGCTCTCTTCCCCCAAGCCAAGCCCACCGGCAAGGGCGGTTCCTCGCAAGCCGGCGGTGGCAAGAAGGCCGCGCGCCGCGCCGCGGCCGCCGTTGAGGCCGAGGCCGCTTCTGCCGACGCTCTCTCGGGCAACGAGTCCGCTGGGTTCACAAGCGGCGGTGACGGGAACAAGAGCTACGACGAAAGCTGGATCCCGAGCCACCATATCAACCGCCCTACGGCGCGCCGTGTGAAGAGCAGTGCGAGTGGCAAGGCGAAATAAATGCAGTAGCCATTCTCTGGTCCTGCTTTCATTATTTCCTTGTCTTCCTTTAATCTTACATCGACCGGTTTTGGGGTTGAAGGATGATGGGTGTGTGGAAGGGTACACACGGACCTTGGAGGATAGGAAAGAGACAAGGGAAGTGGGGACCTAGTACCTAGTTGGTTGGTTACGCTGAGAGCGAGTGATAGCTGTGAAAGGCTGTTAGGAAAAGAAGAGATGAAAGGGAGTGTCCTCGATGAAGATATTTCACCGCTTGTGTTACCAACATAGCCCATTCGATAATGTTTCCTTTGCTCTCTGTAACATCTAAAGTGTTGGAGTTTAAATGGATAAAGGGACTGGGGAACATGGAATCGGTTTGATAGAAGAACTTTGTCAATTCAAGGCGTCTCTTTTTGCTCATCGTTCGTTCCTCTATCATGCATGGACTTGGATGAAAGCTACAGCGGATGCTTTTTTTGTTATTTTGATGTGGATGGAGTTGGAAGGGAGATGGAGATGAAGAATATTCACAACAACGTATTTACCTTCCATCAATGTTTTAGTTAATAACCGGCCAACCAATTCAACCAACAGCTTTTAATCATTCACACACAAAATAGTGAGGAAAAAAGATGGAATGGGGAATCGCTCTATCCGTGGGAACAAGGGAGTGTTGTGTGTGTGTCTGTGTATCTGGGAGAGAGAGTGAGAGAGAGAGTTTAACCCAAAAGAACCGCTAAAAACCGCCACCCCAACACCCATTCTCGTAAGGTCATTTCATCCTGTGAAAAAGAAAAAGAAAGAACATAACGAACGCAAACGCCATGGTCCCCCTCCGCCGCAAAGAGAAAATGTTATGCAAATCCTCCACCCTCCATCCCATCCATCCGCCCTGCTTCCTTCATTCTACCCCCCACCTACATCAAGTCCCATGTCAAAACATCCATCACAAGGTCACCGCCAACTTTTTTAAAAGAACCGACCCCTCCGCCTCTTCCCTTCCAACTCCCGCCCACTCCCCAACTTCCCCGCACCACTCCCACCACCCAACCGATGCAAGTCCTCAATCTTGGTCAAGACCAACTCCAACAACTCCTTACGATGGATCAAGTCCAAGTGCCTGCGCACCTTGGGGTCCTCACGAGCGAAGCGCTCCAGCCCGCCGCTGACCATGTGCTCGTGCAGCTTGGCCTCGACTTCGCGAGGGAAACGGGAGTAGAAGTCGTTGAGCATCTCGACGTTGAGGAAGAGCACGGCGTTTTGGGAGAGCTTGGTGGCGACGGCGTCGAGGAAGATTTCGGGGCAGTAGTACTTGTTTTCGAGAGACTTGCACTTGCGGGACTTGGAGGCGGTGATGCGGAGGTTGATGATGTCGGCGCGGTCGCGGAGGAAGACGGCTTCACGGCCTGGAGAGGGAGGAAGAATCAAGATCAGTATTCGTCAGAATCGGTGTTGAGGCGGGAAAGGGATAACATACCTCTGGCGAGAAGGGCAGCGCTGAAACCGCCAGCGCCGCTGGGGTGGTCACCCTCAACAATGATATCGCCCCGGCGCGCCTTGTCGACGAAGGTCATGACCTCCTTCAGCTTCTTTCGCCCACCGACGGAGTTCTCGAGGCTCTTCATGGCAGCCTGGCACTGGTCCAGCTCGCCCTGCAGTACGCCCACGACGTGCTCCTTGCCCTGAGCCCATTCATGGGGCTGGATATCGGGGTCAAACTTGTACGGCTTGAGAGAAATCTCGATGCCGTCGCTTGTGGCATAGGAACGGTCAGCGAGCACGGTGGATGCGGCCTCGCTGATGACCTTGCGAGCGGAGGGGTGCTTGGCGAAGGAAGACTTGTCAAGGAGCTTGTCAATGTTTCCTTGAACGGCTGTGGCGGCCACTGTAGCGGCGATGCGGCCCACGCCAAGCCTTGTGAGACCGGTAGAGGCCGTGTCGAGTTGCCTATGCCAGTAGGGGGACTTGGGGTCGGCGTTGGGCAGGTCGGCGATGTTATCCGGTTCGGGCAGAGCCACAGAAAGATCCTCAACTGGCCGGTTCCAGTATCTGGCCGCCAGCTGGTCTAGGACCTTTTGGTCCAGCGCATCCTTGAGGAGCTCTTGGAGCTGGGGCCGGCCAAAGGACGAGGTGAAGGCGTGGAACTGGTGCTTGAAATCATCCAAACTGGCAGCCAGGTACGCCTCGGCGCTCATGGGCTGCTCGTTGTACTGGACCTTGAACTGGTATGTGGTCTCCTCAAGCTCCCGCTGAATGGACTCGGTCGTCTCATGCAGCCTAGAGGACATTGTGTGCTCCAAGACCTGCATTAGCTTCTTCCGCAGAGTGATGGTGCCGGTGTTAACCTTCGCTTCGGGCCCGAACTGGGAGGGGTGGTTGCTGAAGAAGGCCTTCTCGTTCCTTGTGATACCAGCCAGGAGATCACCAGTTTCTCTCCTGAACAGACCAGTTTGCGTGGGCAGCTTGGAAATGACACCAACGTAGCCCAACCGGAGCGGGTACTGCCTGTCAGACAAGACAGAAACACCCTTGTCTGGGTCAACTAGATCCATCTTGGTGATGACACCAATTGTCCTCTCGCCCCTTGGGTCCACCCGACGGCTAGCTTGGAGGGCCGTCGAGTTGGCCAGATCGGTGTCGGCAGCAGAGATGGCAAGAATGATGTTAGGCCCGCGGATGTATTTGTCGCACAGCTCCGAGATCTTACGCTTGAGTTCCCGGGGCTGGTTCTCGGCAGCGACCTGGATGTAGCCGGGGAGGTCGATCAAGGAGAGGTCGGGTATCCTCGGCGAGTGGATGGTGAGCCGGATCGGGTCATCCGTGACACACAGCGACTCCGGGACGGACTGGTTCAGCTCGGTGAGTGTCTTTTGGATCAGGGAGAAGTCGGTGACTCTGTTAAGGCCGAGGTCTGGGAATTCGCCGTAGTCGGTCCGCGCCTCGGGATCGTTCACGAGTGTGAGTTCGATCGGCCTTCGGGTGATCATGTTGCTCCCCTTGGGTAGAAACTCATGCCCAACGATCGATTCCAACACGGAGCTCTTGCCCGACGACTGCGACCCAATCACCACGATCGACGGCAGGGTGACGGTGTTGGACTGGCCGACCCGTTGAAGGAGGTTCCGGATCTCGATCATCCGCTTGGTGATGTACATCATCTGGTCGTCCTTGAGTATCTCCTCAGGGGTTCGGTTGTCGCTCTCGTCAGATTGTTCGTATCCATACGCAGCAGCTGAGGCACCGACTACCGCTGCTGCTCCTGCTTTGCTCTGCTTGGGTGGTTCCGGCCCACCTTGTTCGCCCTGCCCACCCGATCCGCCTTTCCCTAAGGCAGCTATGCCCTCCCCGCGTATGATCTTGTCCATCCATTCTGGCATCTGTGGCATTTCCGGCATTTCAAACTGGTCCTTCGTGTTGACCCAACCCTGTTTCGTCTGCTCGGCGATGTCCTTGGCGCCACCCCAAAGGGTAGTGGCCGTCGTAGTCACCGTGTTCTTCATGTTGCCGTACATCTCGGCAGCGGAATTGCTAACCTCTACAGTCGTTCTTCTGTCAGCGAAGCTCACTCCCTGAACCAAACCAAGCTCTGAACAGCTTTGGGAACCGCCTTACGAATAGCTTGATACTGTATCCATCCTACGGTCCCAATCATCAAGCCGCCAAACAGGGCGGGAATCCTAATGAATTTCACCGCGAGCCTCGGCAGCAGGCGGGCGAAGGAAGCGTTGCGGACGATGACGGCATTGTTGTGGTAGGCGTTCGAGGGGAACTTCAACGACCTCCTAACGCCGCGGGAGACTAGATCTGCACGCTGGATACCGCCGGTAGGGAGCTGGTGAAAGTGGCGGACAGCGCGGAACATGCTCCGTCGGGCAACGGGGGCTATTGCCCCAACCGCACGGAGCTGCGCGCTCATCGTGGTGAACCGGGCTGCGGGGTGCTAGGCGTCATGCGGCAGCATAGAAAGGCCCGGCGAGGATGTTGGGGGCAAGCTAGGTAGCTCGTGGCGGGGGGAGCTGGCGAGCTAGCAACGATGGCACGCAAATGTGGTCGTTGGGTCGATGATGCTAGATCGGGAGCGGCGTGCAAATGAAACTGAGCTTCCGGGTTGCTCGTGGAATTTCGATCGGGCTCAGCCCCACCTTTGATGCAAGCAGCGTGGGCCGAGAGAATATCTCGGGTACACATCATTCATGAGACCTTGAATACTGTACTACACGGGTTAGTTGCATTTATGAGATACGCGGCGGTACGAGCATGGCCCAATCATGCACACCAGTCTCCGCTTGCTTCATCCAACCCGAGAAGCTCCATTCGAGACTACATACACTATGGGAAGCCCCCTGACACTCCCTAAATATAGGGTCTAGTGTACACAGTCTTGCATTGCTGGTCTCAACCCGCATCGGAGGTTGCAGGTGCGAGCACTATAACTTAAAGATAGCCTAATTAACTAACAACGTGGACCAAAACTGCGCCGTCCGTTGTGTGACAAGCGAAATAACGTTAGTTAGACTTGCAACGTAGTCACCCGTAAGACAACGCATACAGAGTAAGACCTCTTTGTTGGCGGATAGGGCTCTCGCCGCCAAGAACAACATGACATAAACCTCTCTCCCTCGGTGACGAAGCTTCAAACGGACTTTGGCCAATTCCCCTTGTCGTCCGAAACAGTGGTCTTGGAAGCGGTGGGTCTCTCCCCACGAGATCCCGCTGTTGCGTCTGCCCCCGGGCCCGGTCTCGGCCGCAGGGCTCAGTGACCGGTACGCAGGTACCGTTTGACGCAGGCAAACTGCGAAAATTTTTGTTTGTATCTGAGATTTTCGGTAGAGATAAACAAAGCACGGAGTGAGAACGCCGGCAATGGAACCCAATCACGAGTTTTAGATTGCTCTTATCTTCTCTTTTAGGGGCTTGCAGCCCAATGCAGCTCGGTTTGTTGGAAGTCGTGCACTAACCTTTCCGCCATCCCGCTAGCCGATTTCGTCAGCCCTGTTGTCCGGGGTGTTGCCTCGAGGCCGGCCCTTGTCCGTTGACTGATTCCTAGTTGCAACCCTTCCGTCACTGGACAACCAACAACCCAAAACCGCTTCACTGCAGCTCTTCCACGCGCTGCTGGTCACACAACCGCAACCCGCCGGGAACGAGACTCTGATTTCATTGGCGATTCTTTGGGAGCGCACCGTTTTTTCTATTTATTTCCCTGCGAAGTCGTCTCCAAACTCCCGGGACATCGAAAACCAATTCGCCCGGCACCGCTCCTTTCCCGGCCCCGTCACTGTCCGTCTTAGGCACTCATCGCCAAAGATGTGCCGGTTTCTGGTGAGACCAACGTGCCAATACCCCGCCACGGGGGAGTTTTGTTACTGACAAGACGGTTTGCTCTCTAGGTGTACAAGGGCAGCGACGAGATTCTCCTCTCGAAGCTCGTCCTGGATCCCGCGCATTCGATACTGAAGCAATCGTTTGACTCGCGTCTCCGGTTGGTAAGTTGCACAACTCCAGACTTGACCTTCGAGGGGAATCAATGGGCAATGACTCACCACATTACTTCACTCGTAACAGGACACGCGCCGCGGACAGAACAATGCAGACGGCTTCGGAATTGGCTTCTACACCGACTCGAAACTGGGCGCTGCGCCGTGCCTCTTCACCTCGACCACGCCGGCCTGGAACTGCGTGAACCTCCAGCGCCTCGCCTCCAAGACCGCTTCGAGACTCATCTTTGCCCACGTCCGCGCGACCACCGAGGGCTCACTCAGCGAAGACAACTGCCACCCGTTCTGCCATGGTAGTCTGATGTGGATGCACAATGGCGGTCTGGGCGGTTGGAAACAGATCAAGAGGAGGCTCGGCGAACGATTGGCAGACAAGTGGTACTTGAACGTGGTCGGTGGGACCGACAGCGAATGGGCGTTTGCCTTGTTCCTGGACACGCTCGAGCGAATGGGCCACGACCCCAGCTCGCAGCCGGAGAATGGCTTCGGACCGACAGTGCTGAGGAAGGCGATGTTGAGGACGATTGACCTAATCAATGAGCTCATCGACAACATCCCAGAGAGCGTTGTTCACGCCGAGAATGTCGACACGCGGAGCTTGCTGAACTTCTGCGTCTCGGACGGCCACAGCATCATCTGCACTCGCTATATTGGCAGTTCGTCGGACGAGGCTGCTAGCCTGTACTATTCGTCTGGCACGCTTTGGGAAACGAGGGCGCCGACGCCCGATAGCCGGGACTACCAGATGGAGAGGAGCGATAAGGGCGCAGATGTCGTGTTGGTGGCCAGCGAGCCTCTGACCTTTGAAAGGGGTGAGTAAGCCGGGTACTAGGGATACAGTGGGAAGAACGCCGTCACTAACCACATGCTAGAAAACTGGGTAAACGTCCCGACCAACTCGATCCTCACAATCCACAACCAAACGGTCATGGTGCACCCGATCAAGGACCAATACTACGACCGCAACCCGCAACACCGCCGATCCACCGCCTTCGTCCGCACCAAGGGTCTCACCGCCAACGAGAAGGGCGCTTCCAGGGCCGGCACACCGTTCAACCTCTCCAATGGCATTGCGTCCCCCCCAACAAGTCTGCCGCACCTCGCCGACCACGCCGAATCAAGCAAACAGGGGCGCTTCCGCGGCCCAACCATCCCGACCATTCCTACCTCGACCCTCCCGCGCACCCACACCCCTCTCTCCCACATCGAAACCATCACCTCAGACCCGTCATCAACTTCATCCATCCAGTCGCCAACCAGCGCTTCTGCCGGAGGCAGCGCTACCAGCAACCTCAACACCGACGTTCGAAACCTGACCTCGCCGCCGTTAGTGCGTGGCTCATCGCAACAGCCGCCAGCGCAGGGCAACATCAAGAAGAAGCGGGCATCGCTCAGCGTGGCAGAGGCCGTAAACGGCGGGATTGGTGTGGGTGGGGGCGGGCTGATGCAGTACTTTGACACGAGCCCGGTTACACCGGAGCCGGTGCGGACTGAGTTTGGGAACCCGGACAAGATTGCGAGGATGTTTCCTGAGTTGGCGTTGCAGTGAGTATGGCACTGACGGCATTGGGGGTGGAGATAGGAGAGAAGGGGATATTTTCGTTTTGGTGTTACCGCGGTATCGGGTATGGTACGCGGTATTTATGTATCCAACACCAGGTATCTCGCTTCGCTTGATGCCTCGGTACTTTTTTTTCCTTTTTTGCTTTCGCTTCTTTCTGGGCGGGCGTCAAGGCGACTAATGAAATGGATGGATGGATGGATCGGATCCGACATAGCGGGCGTGCGTGTCTTGGTATTTGTTGTTGTTGTCGATGAATTGTATCTTTGGTTCGGTCAAGAATTGTGGGCGTATTGTTCTGTTCCTTCCTGTTCTAGGTGGTCTATTTCTACGAGTATGAGTTTCGGTATGATACTCCTAGCTTGCTTACATTACATTTAGCTTGGTAGCCTGCTGTTGGTGGACGTTGTCCATGGTTTTAGGGGGGAATAGTGAGCATTGAACTTTTTTTTTTGCCATGTGTGGATGGTGAGGGCTGAGACTGGTGAATAAGTACCTGGCGTTGTGTCTCTGATTATGTACTGTGTTCAACTCGGGAGTGGTCCGTAAAAAGCAAGAGCGGCGCTGGATAAGCCAACTGAGCGGGTAGACTCGGTATCGACACACCGCATCTTCGAGACGGAATCGTGACGAAGATTCTTGGTTAGATATTATCTTCGGCAGGGCATAAATAAACTACTTCTGAGCGTATTCATCATGAAATCCGTATGCGTACATGATGATGCACGTATTGTATGTGTGCTATGTACAACAACCCCCGACGATCTATATACAATTATATCACGTTTCACCGAACATTTATTTATTTTCGCTTATTCCCCTAGTTACCCAACTCCAACCCGAACATCAAATCATCCCAAAACCAAGATCGTATACCCATCCTATCCATCACAACTCATCTGCACAGTAACCTCCCACCTCAAACTCCCCCCCCGTCCATACCCCTCCCCCAACCGATTCTGCACCACCCTCGCCAATCGCGCCCGCACCTGACTCCGCGCCGTATCATCCGCTGCACTCCCTGTTGTCCCACTACTACTGCTAACCATCCCCGTCCCCATCCCGATACCACCACCACTGCTGGCACCACTACTGGTGATGGTACCGCTGGTGGAACTGGAACTGGGACTGGCCAACCGCACTTTGAGGTTGGCCATGCCCAGGCCGTAGTGGACCTGCCAGAACTGGGCTTCTTCGACGCGGGCGATGTGGGGGTCGGATTCGATTTCGTGGAGGACGGAGGAGACGGTTGTGTTTGGGGGGGTGGTGGGGAGGGATAAGGAAGAGAGGGGTGATTTTTCTGCGGTCGTGGTGGTGAGGGAGTGTTTGGTGGATGTGGATGATGGGTGGGAGGAGGAGGAGGAGGAGGAGCTAAGGGGGGCGGCGGTTGTTAACGGTGTGGATGATGGTGACGAGGAGGATAACGACGAGGCTGGTAGTTCGTTGTAGCTCATCAGCAGCATCAAGCCCTGCGCTACGGCGAGCCGTGTGCCGAGGATGAACATGCTTGCGGCGATGGCGGCGCACATCATGCGGTCGAGCCAGACGAGATGGGGCACGCTGAGGAGCGGGAGGATGAGCATCAGGAAGGAGAAGCAGAGCGTGAGGAAGTGGAAAGGGTTGGCGAGTAAACCCGCGCCGGGGAGGAGTCGCGCGAGGTATGGGAAGGGTACGCGCATTACGCGCCGGATGCGGTTGTGGTTGCGCAGGCCGTAGGCGCTGACGAGCGTGCTGATGATGGCTGCGAGGCTGGTGAGGTCGACGGTGCCTGGGGTGATGTAACGCACGGCGTGGTGGTGGCTGTGGTGGGTGTCGCCGTGGTTGTGAGTGTGGGTATGTTGGCCGTCGACATGGGCTTCGGCTGTATCGGTTGTTGATACTAAGGGGTGGTGTGCGGTATGGCTGCCGACTGTTTCGAGGAAGTGCTTGAGGTTGTGCGAGATGAGATCGAACCCGCCAAAGACGAGGAAGACGGACATGGCAAACCCGGCTAGGACCTCGGCGCGCTGCAGGCCGAACGGATGGCGGATGCTGGAACGACGCCAGACCTCAAAGTTGCCCAGCACGTCGACCACGACACACACCGCAGCCGAGCCGACGTCGAAGAAGACAAGGTGGGATAGAGCCGTCATGGCCAACGATCCTTCGGCACTAAAGAAGATGTACATGGCCACAGCCGCGTGGCAGCAACACCACCACAACCGGGCGCGTTGGTCGCGCTGCATGCTGGCCCAGGCCTCCTTGAAGGTGGGTATGGGGAGAGACGCGGGGAGGACGGGCGGCGGTCGTGGTGGTGGTTCTTGGAAGATTTGATGTTGTGCGCTGATGGAGCTGTGTTTGTAGCGATGGCCACGGCGTTGGCCAATGTTCTGGAGGTGAACGGGGTTAGCCAGTCAGGTCAAGACAGTCGATCAGCAGCGGGAGACAATTCACATACCGACTTAACAGGGCCCGTCGATATGAATTGGGTCTGGAAGTTGAAGGGGTTATTCGGCGCGGGGCCATTGGAGCCCGTTCCCCCATTCGCAAGCCCGTCGTCTGTCGCCATGGTAAAGAGCAGCTCGGGTGATGGAGGGCGCAACGAGGCCGGGCGGTGGTCGGGATGGAGAAAAGCGCCCGGTGCGCTCCGCGGTGATGCCGACAACAAGTTCTGCTGCGGTTGATTCTGTTGGTGTTGTGGAGGTTGCAGTTGTTTACGCTCTGGGGAACTAGCAAAGGGGGAATCTGCCGCTTGTTCCTCCTTTCGGCCGTTCTCGTCTCGATCCCGATCCCGATCCCGATCCCGATCGCCGTCGTAGTCGTCGCAGGTGAACTGGAACAAGGGCCCGCTGTCGTCGTTGTCGTTATCGTCGTTGCGCACTGCAAAGGCCGGCGTGGGCGGTGTCCCTGGCGGCCGGTTGTTGCTGGAAGCCATGTGCTTGTCCCATCCAGGTTCAAGACCCAGCCCCAGCCGTTAACGTTCCGTTCGCTCGCAGTGGTTGTTGCTGTCCGCCCTCCACCCCTGTGCGGGCCGTTGTCCGGGTAGGGGGTTTCGGGGGGGGTTGCTCAGGGGAGCGGAGCCTGTTCGTGGGCCTTGCAGAAAAGAGAAGCTGGGGGGTTTCCTCTTTTCACCTAGCGCCGGCTGGCAAACACATGCAATTTTAGGATGGCAGAACAGACAAATGCACGGTGTGTGGTTGACGACGAATAAATGCGTGTTTGTTTCTTACCCTGTGGTTTGAGCAAGACATTCAATTGTACCTTTAAATTTTTGTTATATTTTTCAATTTCAGAATTGAATTTGCGCATAGAACCAGCAAAACTTCGCATTCTCAAAAGCGGTCCAGTTGTCGTTGGCCTGAATCGCGAGCAATCTTGTGGGGGGCACTGCAGCAGCGGGGCTCAGGCAGGGGGGTCCCTGCCTGCCGGCCGAAGACAAGTTAGACAACCAGTCCGCCCGCTTAAATGGACGGTGCAGTCCACTAGATTGACAATACAAATTTGAACACAGCTAACGTCACTTCTTCCTGCTAAAGTTATAACAGAGAGCTGTTAGGTTGGCGCATTGTCTCTACTATGTACGCAACATTATAGCGTAGACTACCCTGGAATGGTTAGTTAGCTCTGAACTAGAACTTTCTCAGTTGATCGTTAGAAGAATCGGAAAATATGAAAATATATCTGTCAAGGGAGATGGAATTACTACCCGGGTGCTGCGGACTGTATCTGTTCACGACTACTTGACGTTGACAGACCTGCCCTTCCTTTGGAGAGGATTGACCCTGGCATTTAAACGTCATCTGTTCACTATGCACTCGGCCTCCGGTACCAGTCCTCAACCCATGTAACCCAAAAGGTCAGATCAAATCTGTACATATTCGACTCGCTTACAAAGCACTGCAAACGGGACATATCATCTCACAATATTGTTTGTAGTCTCCCTGTCCTTCCACCGGCCCTCCTCAAATGAAAGCGGTATTGTTTCAGTTCCGTATACTCCTACTCTACACCCCCCTAAGCAATCAACATCTTCCTCATCTTCTCGTCCTTCGTCATCCCTAACGGCTTCATGCCCCTGTCCGCGACTAGATTCACATCCGCCCAGTACACCAGCAACAGCTCCGCTACCTCTTAGTGCCCGTTCACCACCGCCCAGTGCAGCGACGCCCACCCGTACCTAGTACACATATCCGCGCCCGCCTCAAGCAGCCTCTTCACCTCCTTGAGATTACTGCCGGCCACCTGGCTGTACAGTAGGAACCCGCCGCCCCCGTCCTAGCTGTCAAACTCCAGGTTGGACAAAGGGCGCGGGTTGATGCGCTCCCCACGCTTGGCCATGGAGCGCTGCGGGGAGGAGGGGGCTAGGCCGTGGCACCTTTCTCCTGTAACAACTTCACTATTGCTTGGTGTCCCTCCCGTCTAGCGCACGACAGTGGTGTAATACCATGAATGTTCTTCGAGTTTAAGTCGGCGCCCCTTTCGAGCAATAGCTTGACTAACGTCCCCTGGCCGCATGCGACGGCCCATAGGAGTGGGGTATCGCCTGCGACATTCCTTGAGTGCAGAAACGCACCTTTCTCTAGCAACAACTTCGCTATTTCTTCGTGCCCCATTCCCACTGCCCTCGCCAGTGGTGTATTACCGTGATTGTCACTCAACTCTAGGTCGGCGCCCCTTTTGAGCAATAACTTGGTTACCGCCTTATGCCCACGCAAAGCGGCATTGAAGAGTGGGGTACTGCCGTTGTTGTTTTTCGAGTCTAGAGCTGCACCTTTCTCCAGCAACAACTTTACTATTGCTTCGTGCCCCGATATTACCGCACAATTTAGCGATGTATCGCCATCTTTATCACGACACTCTAGGTCGGCGCCCCTTTTAAGCAACAATTTCACCACTGCTTCATGCCCCTGCGTTGCAGCCCATGTCAGCGGTGTATCGCCATGGGAGTTACTTGAATCTGGGTTGGCGCCCCTTTCGAGCAACAGCTCGACTACCGCCCTATGCCCGCTTTTGGCGGCTAGTAGCAGTGGTGTTCCTTGACCACCAACCGGTAGCTCGGTGCTGGCGCCTATGTCGAGTAGAATTCGCACAATATTTGCATGCCCCTTCTCGGCGGCGTATGCTAGCATCGCCACCATTTTGCCATTGATCGAGTCGATGTTTTCCCCGGTATCTGGTAGTGACTTCGAAACAGCTTCATTCCCGTTCTCCGTTGCCCATGACTCCAGTGTCCTCACGTCTTCCAGCAGAGTTGGCAGCACAAGATGCGCCAGGTCGGGATTGGCCCCCTCGGCAACCAGCAGCCACACGGTGGCAACGTGTTTGCCCGCTGCGGCCCGCAAAAGCGGTGTCCATCCCTCTTCGTCCATCGAGTCAGCCTTAGCGCCCTTGTCCAGCAGCAAACGCACAACGGCCTTATGCCCATTCGCAGCAGCCCACGATAGCGGCGTTCGCCCCTGGTCATCTGCCGACTCGGCCGGCGCACCCTGCTCCAACAGCAACTCCACAACTTCCTCGTGGCCGTTTCCGGCTGCCAAGGAAAGCAGTGTCCGGCCTCGATCGTCAGCCGACCCGGCTTCGGCGCCCGTGTCGAGCAGCTGCCGCACAACGGCCAGGTGTCCCCCTGCAGCAGCCCATAGCAGCGGAGTCTGGCGCGGGGCCCGGTTGGAACCCTGGCAGGAGAGTAGTAGCCGTACGGCGGCGTCGCTGCCGCGCGGAGCCTGCTGTACAAGGGCTGTCTGCCCTTGGCTATCCATTAGATTGGTGCGGACGTCCTTGTCGATCAGGAGCCGTACGGTGGCCTCGCCGGCCGGGAGGGCCGGCGTCTGCGACGAATCCGGGGTGGCCGGCAACACTTTCTTGTCGTCCACGCTTGGCGACAAGGCACTAGTGTCCTCGCTGCGCAGAAGCTCCTCGACAGCCCTGTGGCCGCGCTGGGCAGCCCAGTATAAAGGGGTCCAGCCCGAGCGGTCCGCTCGCTGGCGATCCGCGTCGAGGTGAAGTAGCCGCCTCACGACGGCTAAGCGGCCGTTCTCCGCGGCCCACGACAACGGCGTCCGTCCGTGGCTATCTTCTGGGTCCCGGCCATATATGCCGAGTAGATCGGGCACAGCACTATCGACCCCGAAATACGCTGCCAAGTGAAGCCCGGTGACGCGTGTGGTGCGCTGTGACCCACCCGTGCCCTCAACAGCCAGGAGTGCTTGGCTCGACGCTTCAGACAGGGGCGTGGATTGTAGAAGATCTAATACCGAGGTATCTAGGCTCAGTGCGTCGCGGGCGTGATGGCCCCAGTACTTGGCGGCGTAGTCGTACAGCGGATAGGTGCGCAGCCGTTCTCCAAGCTCGGCGTCCGTCGGACAGGGCCCGGACCTGAAGACGTTGAACGAGAGATAGGTGGCGCAAGCCCGGGCAATGTCGTCATCGGCGGTAGGAAACCAGCGCGCCCGCGTCCGCGCAAAGTATTCCCGTGTGGTGTTGTGAAACAGGCGGACGAGCCCACTTTGCTCGTCGGAAATAACCAATCCGGCACATACCGAGACCAGATCTCGGGGCTCCGGGACGTTTTCCAGGTCGATCCCGGAGTCGCCAGCATCGAAAGCAAGCGCATGGCAGAGCTCCGGCAAGGTCAATTGCCGTCTGGCACAGACGATCCACAAAAGGACCGCTTTGGCGACCTTGGCATACGCCGGGCGTTGGTGCTCTATCCTCTTCATGGCGTTCTCGTAAGCGCCGGAGTACGCTTTCGAGCCCGTGGGGAGGGTCTTTAGGGCGGCTCTGACTCCCTTAGGCAGTTTCTCATCCAAGAGCGAATCCAAGTCGAGCTTTGCCAGCAGGAATCTGTTTGGTGTTGGTTAGCCCCGAAAAATCACTCCACTTGGTCCAGTTGCTGCTTACATTCCTCCAGCAGCTTTTACAATCTCAGCTGTGGCTTCCTCTCGCACCTTCTTCAAAAAATCAGACCCCGCTCGCGAAATTTGCGCGCCCACAAATCCGGCCACGTCCGCATCGCTAACGCGGATTTCCAACCAGTTGTCCTTGTCGAACATGTCTGTGACGTCTGGAATGAACCTCGAGGTGGCAAATGTGTTCACGCCGAGGCCCCCAAGGTCCAGGAGCCCTTCCACAAACGTTGTCCGACATTGGTCGGTTTCTGGGCATTCGTCGATGGCGTCGACGGCGATAAACACCCTTGAGCGCGTGCGAATCACCGAATGGAGGACCTCCAGAATCTCGCCCCGCGACGGCCGCGTCCGAGTCCCCTTGTGATGGTCAAAGAGACGCCGTAGGCCCTCCGGCAGAGGAGATTCGTGTTGGGCTAGCTGTCGCAGCAGGCTTGCGAATAGCTCCTCCGCCGTCGTCTCTCCTTGCTGCAAAAAGTTAAAGTAGATGTAGGCGATCCCGACAGAGGGGTCGTGCGCAAAGCGGGAAGCGAGGCTGTCAATAACGACGGCCGTGAGTATCGTCTTTCCGGTCCCGGGCATCCCCGGGCAGAACAGCGTCTGCTGGCTGGTTTCGACCCATTCCTTGAACTTGGCAGAGTCGAGGAGCCACTGGCCGGTCCCCTCTTGACGGGTTTTCATGTGCTTGGCTTGCTGGAGGCCGTAGTTGGCTGGCGAAAGCCATTCTAGGATTTTCTGTTCGTCATCCAGCTCCATTCTCGACTTCATCTCTGTGACATCGGCGCCGACTGCGCCGACCTTGGATCCGAGAGCGCGAACTGCAGGAGCAAACGCGCATTGATTATTAGACACGGCGCTACATAGGGAAGCTGGGTAACTAACGAACCTTCACTAATCAGGTCTTTGATGGCGGGCTCCTTCTCCACAACATCGGCCGAGAGATATTGCAGAAGCTCCTTGGCCGTGGCCGCCGCCACGGTTGCTGCGTACTCCTGCCAAGCATCGTTCTTGTGCGAGTCGGCATAGTCACAGATCCCTCGGATGACGACACGGAAAATTGTTCATCAGCCCAGCGGCTTCCATCTCGACACAGAGCACATCACCGCCAAGATCCTTGTTCAGCTTGTCCCGGAAGACCGCGTCCTTGATGACCTGGTTGCCCGACGCGACCAAGCCGTAGTGCATCTGGGCGCCTTGGGCACCCCGGGCATCCCTCTTCTCCACCATAGTCTTGTCGCAGCGTCGGCAGTTCTTCTCCTTATCGTTGCCGTCAACGGCGCTCGTCTTGACGTGGGCGTAGCTTGCCTTGAACAAGACATCCTCGAGCGAGTCAGACCAGAAGTACTTGGAGTCCATATTTGGCCACTTCCCCTTCAGGCCAGCGAGGTATTCAAATATCTTGGGCCCTTCCAGCGGGCGCGCGCTCTCCATGGCCGACAGGGCCGACAGGAGCGCGGTGGGCGGAATGTTCAAGGCCCGGGTCCGCTCAAAGCTGCCACCCTCCTTGGCTTTGCCCATATCCCACTGGACCACGCGCGTGCCGATAACCACGTCGCCGAGTCGTACTTCGCGAGACACGCCGCCGCCGATCCCGACCATCAAGCCGAGCTTGATGCGCGGAAAGGTCGACGCCATCCGCGCGGCAACGATGGCGGCGGGGATGGTGCCTGTCTGGTCTATGGGCAGGCAAGTGATGGCAATATTGTGCTCGCCTATGGACCCCAGAATATACTTGTTATTGTCGCCCGGCGGCTTTCCGAGGGTGGGATGGTACGCGTCTAGCATGGCCTTCGCCGCCGCCTGCTCCTTAGGCAGCGCGCACACCCATCCGATGGTGTAGTCGTTGTGGGATCGAGGCCCGACAATCGATCCCATGGTGCCTTGGTTGGGGTTGAGGGGCTAAGAATACTATCCGGGCGTTGATGATTGTGGCAAGGGTTTGCATCGCAGAAGCTGCCATGACTTCACACTGCAAAGGCTGGGGAACTTGAAACATTTAAAGCTTGGAACGCTCTTCTTTGGCAGCGGTCCATGTTCACCCGGAAAACCGGTTGCTTGCAAGACCCGCAGCCTTCCACAGCCGAAGGTCGAGCCATCCGTTGGGCTGGGTTGTGAAGCAAACCTGCCCAACCTGTCGAGGCTGTTGACTTCCTAAATTATTTGATAGGTGGCCATACCGCCGCTCAGCAGTGACGGCAGCTGAATCTAGCTATTGTTAGCCGGGCCTGTTCTCTAACGATGGGAAGTCGTCAGCCCTGTTTATATGATCAAATTAAGAGGCTAGTGCATGCTCCCATGTGATAGTGATGCCACCGGACATGTACTTTTCTTTGGAGGTCTCCGCACATCGCCTTCAGCCATTTTCGCAGTCATTGTGCCTTTGAGATACCATGTAGCACATTTGGATTGATGGAACTGTAGGTAGGATTGAAACGGATCGGGTAGATTGATATCCATTGTGCTGGCTGGCCTCGCTCGATTATAGGTGCCCAACCCCTACCCCTCATCCCTTGCCCAAACGATTGGCTCTTTGGGCTTTCTCGCGTTAACCTGAGTTTTATCATGTTTCTGGGCGAATCGGAGTAATATGTTGCAATTGTGATTGCGATACTGGGAGCCGCGTGAATCAATGTATTGGCCTTGTACGTTGGTTGCGACGGCCGCGGTATGTGTTGATTTGGTATAATTCGGCAGGTTGGTCGTTGTGGAGAGTAGGGGGAGGGGGATTTTGAAGAGCGAGTGTGGGGGTTGTGTTTACCTACTGTGGATTTGCACCGTCAATCTAGTGGGCTGCACCTTCCATTTAGGCCGGTCGTTCGAGGAAGGTTGCATGGGCTTCTGGGCCACTTTGCGGCATCACAAATGCAGGGGGGATGGAATCTTCCGCCCAGGCGCACGTCATGCTCCTTCCTCCAACAAACATCACGATCCACCCGTCAAACCGCCAATCGACACAAGTTGGGATGATACCGGGCAACAGCTAATTCGGGTAGTCCAAAGAACGCACAGAGACGAGATAACGACCCGCATTGAGCAATGGCAACCCGCTGATTGTAGTGCATTTGCCGGACTCAGGGGTCACACAGGCCGCAAGTGTTTTGAAGCGCCTGGAGGTCCACCTGGAACATTTGCGGGCGACGGAGAAACGGGCGTAAAGTAGAGAAAGCGCTCGGCCGCCTGACGGGATCTGGCACCTGGAACCACGTGGAGAAAATGGAGCAGCCAACGTCACAATCGGGCTCAGGCCCCGATGCGCCTTCCGCCTCGGTCCGCCCGCCAGCACCGGGCAGAAAGCGCAGCTCGTCTGGGGCCGGCGGGCTCCTGTCCAAGTTTCCCTTCATGCGCTCCGCCGGCGAACACCGGCCGCGATCCCGACGTAATACTCTCGAGTCCGACCCGGCCGCCGCTGTCTCGGCCCCGAGCCTGCCGACGCCATCCTTCATCACAATTCCTGCCGACGCATCGCAAACACATACTCAAACACAGACACAGGAAGACTCTCAGGCACGGCCACACGTATTACAGAACTCGATTTTACAGCAGGCTGCACAGCACAAGACACGGCGGCGAAGGGGGTCACTGCGGAAAGTTGCCTTGCTCGGACGGGGGGCTCAACGAGAACGACGCGAGGCACGAGGGGGATTGACCATCGACACTTCGCTAGGCGACAGCAGCAACGGGACGCCCTACCGAATTGTATCTTCGGAAGGGGTACCACTCGCTTCAAGCCCTGGGGAAATTAGCGGGTATACCCAGAATTCATCAACAGGGAAACAGGACCCGACTTCCCCGGCATACGGACTAGGCATTTCCGACCTGACGCCACGGCCCGGCATGGAGAATGGCATCCCGCGCTCCGAAGCAGCCCCCAGTATCAGACTTCCCGGCTCCCTCAAGCCTCACACCGAAACAAGCCCGATAATAAGCTACAGCACCACCGACGACGAAGACGCCCTCCACATGGCCCGCTCCAATAGCAACAACAGCAACAACCACATGTCCCTCCCCATCCCACGCACATCCGCACCTTCTCTCTCGCTCTCCTCCGGCTCCGAATCTTATCTGCCAACTCGTCTCGTGCCGGGGGCACACACTACCAGCCCCACGATCAACGGGTCCGGCTCCAGCCCCATCACCACCGCCCTCCCACCAAACATTTCCCGCCGACGCAATGGCACAATACAACAACACCAGCGCGCAACCTCCCCCCTGGCCCTCGCCGCGCCCATCTCGCAACAATCCCCCGACCCCGCCGACTGGGACTACGCAGAAACAGAATGGTGGGGCTGGATTATCCTAGTCGTGACCTGGACAGTCTTTGTCATCGGGATGGGTTCGTGTCTGGGCGTGTGGAGCTGGGCGTGGGATGTCGGAACGACGCCGTATGCGCCGCCCGAGTTGGAGGACGATCCGACGCTGCCGATTGTGGGGTACTACCCCGCGTTGATGATCTTGACGGGCGTGATGGCGTGGGTGTGGGTGGTGGTCGCGTGGGTGGGGATGAAGTATTTTAGGCATGCGCAGGTTAGCGCGGATTGATGTATATGTCCTACCTTGCCCTATGTTAGGGATATTATTCTAATGTCTATTTATGTTTTGGGTTGAAAAGGATATGGGATACTCGGGATAGGTTGTGTGTTGGTGTATTGCAAGATACCCGTGGGCTACGACTATCATATGACATGATAATGGACAGATAGAATAGGTAGACTAATCATCGTAGACTCGTTTCTCCGTTGTCCTATTCTCCTGGTCGAGATGTGCTCAAAGCCAGGCTCGATCCCTAGACTACCTAGTAAACATACATTCCGTTCCGTCGTTTAACACAGCTACTCATGCTTCCACCGAGCTGGAAACCACCGTTTTCCTTGACCCAACCCCAACGGTGGTACTTCCAAGTCCCAGGACTTCACTCTACAACTCCGCGGGCTTTCGGCCCCCGTGTTGATACACTCGCGCGTGTTTCATAAAGCGCCAGAACGCAAAACTCACCAACCCGAGACCAAAGAAAAATAAGTATGAAATAAGTATATAAAATAAGAATAAGCCATCGACTTTGACCCAATCCCCTTGCAGTTCTCACTGGACAAGGGGCGCCACTGGCGCCTCTTCAAGCTGGAGGTCTGCTGTGATTGGACCTCGACGCGCCGCCGCGTTGGACGGAGACCAACGGGTCCAACCCCCGGCGTGCCCAACAGCCAAGCCGCTCAAGCTCCCGTCGTTCCAAGAGTGTGTGAAACAAGCACCGGCGCGCTTGTTAACTTGGCTGGCTTGTCGGTTTCGGTTTGACTAGTGTAGTCACTGTAGTGTATGTAGTGTCGTGGAGGAAACCCCTACTCATGAAATTGTTATGGATTGTGTTCCTTGCGCGGACTAAACCTTGCTAAACCTTGATAGATTGTCATCTCGGATATGGGTTTCAGCCTGGGTTTCCTCGGAAATGATACAAACTCGTTCACAAAAAAAAGCCTGTTCAAGGTCTTGGTGCACAGACTCTTCCCCCTGCAAGGCGACCAACGATCGATCGCGATCATATCTATTGTCGCAGTTTTATTTCCAATAACATGGAAGTAAACACAGAAAAAGTGTCAAAGTCCCGTCCGAGCACATGCAGTCGGTCGGCCCGGCAAGGTTGGGAAGCTGGCAAGTTGGCTTGGCGGAAGTCGGAGGAGTCGATGATACAAATAAATGGGGCGTGATGCAAGCGAGGTGATCAGTGTGGAGAGCTCGAAGTCGACCTATTGGTATTTCGCAGGAGGCGAGAATTCGCCATCACGAACGTTCAAGGACAAAACACGATTATCATCAACGATAGCGGGGTCGCGCAAAGAAAAGAGTGTGACCGTGGCGACATGGAACATATGATTCCTCCAATGTGCACATGGATGCGCAGATGTGCGACCGGCATCAACTTCATCATCAACATGGCGCCCCGTTTAAAATCTCAAACAGACCGCCTATTGGGGTGTCGTGGGTGTAAAGGTGAGTTGATTTAAGCGCTGCGGGGGTCACGCACCGGACATGGAGAGGATTTGGGGTTTCGTTCCGTCCCATGCAGGGGCTTTGTCAGTGCATATGTTGGTGGGGGGGCGCCCGGGGCATCGTTGGAATTTGAGTTTCATTGCATTGACTTGAGGCAAGGTAAAGGAAACCCACGGACGGAGGGGACAGGATATGGATGTTTATTTTTCTTTTGACGAGTTTGACAGGAACGTCAAAACATAGATATCTCATTATGAGCCGGGGTGTCTTGTGGATGAGCTGCTTGGTATCAGTGCTCACATAAAGACCGTTGTCCGTCGAAACGGGACAAACCCTCAGCCTTGAGAGGACGGAGAGATAGCCGAGTATCCGTATGAGTTACAGAACGCTGAGGTCGGCGGGCATTTGAGGCGCGCGTTTACTGTTATGTTTAGCTTTTTGACGCTTCTTTTTTTTCGAAACTCAGGCGGGGGATTGTTTGTTCACGAGACTGCACATGCATACAGCCCAGCTCGTACGGCAATGGCGGTTGTGGCTGGCTACGTCATCGCCCGATACCAATTCAAGTTCCGAGTTGAGTATCGGGATAATGGGCATTGTGTTCTTCTTTATCAATCTTCCATCTCGAAATTCCATCAGCATTGACGCTGAAGGGTTAGCATATGAGCCAGGGTGGCGGGTATTGATCATCGCCGTTGGTAGAGGGCTGAAGAAGGAAAAGGTTATTCGGTCGAATCGCTCCGGATCTTCGGCCCTCGCCTTGGCCGTGATCTGCAACGGGGTGGCCGAGTCTTTCGTGGTGGGCAACATGTGCCTTTGTGTCTCAGCTCAGCCATCGTAGGCTGATTGAACGCTCACGTTAGGCGCTCCTGAAATAACTGAAATAATTTGTTGTCACCGCGACAATTTCGTCTTCGCGAGAGTTGATTTGGGCAATTTGCTTGTTGGGTGCATTGCATGAGATGGAAAAGGGGGGCATGAACTCCCGCAGTCGCACAATACCTGGGATGAACCTTTTCCCACTTCCAGGGGCAACTGATTGGGGAGCCGCGAGATCCCACAGTGGGATGGCGACAAAAGGTGAGAAAAGGTGGGGGGCAGCCTTTTCAGATGACTTGAAGGCTCGGCGACAAGGAGGCCCCTCGGGCATTCAGGCCAGGGCATGATGCGCACGACCCCATGGGCAAACTTTTGGTGGAGACAAGTTCCAGAGCGAAAGATCGGCTGCAGATGGATTTGGGCATCAGACGGCCGTTGGCTTGGGGGCCGGCTATGCGAATTGGTGGACAATCTGGAGGCTCAGAGCACAGTGACCATCAAGGTAACGGGCGGTCAACTCGGATGACGAGCGGCATTGGTGCTTGAGAAACTGGGCTGCATCGACCATCGCACAAATGTCACAATGTCGGGCTTTTTCCATGGCTCGGTTGATTAGGAATCGCGCCACTCGGGAAAAGGGAATCGTGTTTGGGTAACAACAACGAAGGGCATACCCGAGACTCGCTGAAGAATCTCTTTGTTTGACTTTGCCAAAGACTTTGTTTCGTCCCAAAACAGCACTGGCGAAACGATGATACAAAGTTCTAGAAGATGGATGACCGAAAAGGCCGACGTGGAGATGCTGTCGTGGGCGGTTTCTCAATGCTCTCGCAGCGTTACATGGGCTTGTCCGCGCGCTGCCGTCTCGCAGCGGCCCTCGGCGGCGTGATGTGTGGCCAGTGGCCACTTACAGACGATCTCGGCTGACGACCTAGGAGAGACGTGCCCAGAAAGGTGGCCGTCGAGGGAACCGGTTTCGGCACAAAGGCGTGGGAAGGAAAGGACTAAACAAAACAGTCTGGAATCATGGGTCTCTCGAGTATGCAACCGGATAGTGGTGCCTTCTATCAAAAGTGAAGCCACTGATAAACGGCGTCTTTTCATAGACGAAGCTCTGGCTGTGCCTCGTTCACCGCCTGCTCCGGTCTTGCAAGTAACAACTGGAGACAATCTTAGCTCGGAACGATGGCGCGACCCTGTGATCACCCCGCAGCTGTGAATTTGCCCCTTCCGATGCTTTGTCGATGAATTTGAGCCCAACCTCAAACTCGACGACTCCGCTCTTGCCTCACGGGGCAACCTCATCTACCAATGCCCAATCTCCGGGTTCTCTCTCCATCGTGTGGTACAAGCAGTTGAAAGTTGCCAGTTTTTGCCAGTTGCCAGTGCCCGAACAATGCACGACGGGGCGCTTCAAAAGAGTCCACTTTCAAACTGAGCCCACGCCATGCAGTAACCACGAGTCTCGTGCATCGCGTCGAACCGCTGCAGGGCTCTCAAAATCCTTTGCATTTTATTTAACGAGCGACAGTCCAAGTTGCAGCAGCCGCTCGGGACTGGCCGAAAGCTGCGAGACAGTAGACCCCTGCAGCCTCAGGCAACAATTTGGGGGGGAGCTTGACCCACTGTGGTGGCCAGGTCCTGGCTGCGACGCAAAAAACCCAGCTGCATCCGCCTGCCTGTCCGAAACCCGTCTACCCAGCCTCTCAGACCTCCTACCCCCAAGTTCCATTACCATCAGGCACCGCGAGCGAGCCGTCATTTCTTCCCCCTCGCATCACAACAGCAACAACAACAACACCGACCCATCACCTCCGGTTCTCGCGGCCGCCACCGTTTAGTCTCGGGGATCGTGCCGAACGCACGAACGGCACTTCATTCGCTTTCCTAATCCTCTCGCAGCCTGCCGCGTCTGTACCCACGGCCTGCGGTATTTGGCGAGGATTGACTCGATCGCCGGCCATCAATCGAAACCCCCCTCGAGGCCCACGCTCGGCCGGCTTGCGGACTCTCTCAAAAGCAACCGGCCTCGCGTCTCGTTCGACTCCCCACTAACTACCGCCCATCTTTCACTATCTTCACTCGGGGTATGTTGTTTTGGAGCTTCAAGCGTGCACGCTTTCTTTTCTTCTCTTTCCTCTCCTCCCTGGCGGTTCCCGGCCTTGACGCATTTTAGCGGGTTTCGCCCTTCCGCGCAAGTCCGCTGGGGCAACAGGGCAGTCGGGTGCAAGCCAACCCCATCCTCCACAGGGCGCATAAATTTTGGTAATCCGTTTCATTTCTAACCTTTCTCCCCCAACAATAGGCCGGCAATTAAACTATCTCATTTCGAACCATCCCATCCCATCTTTCGATAGCGACGCGACTCGACCAAACCGATATTATACATACGACCGCCATTCCGCACTTGCACTCTCTCCCCCCTCTCTCCCTATCTGGTGCCGGCCCCGTATTCCATCGAGGCGAGCCAAGATGAGGGAAGCCAACTTCAGCATACCTAATGTCAACAAGGCATCCGTGGGCATCACCACGGCCTTGTATGACCGCCGGGCTCTCGACTGCACATCGACACTACCGCTGATTAATTCATTGAACCATCTTGCTTATCTCACCACATCTTCCGCACGCATCCGCGACATTCTAACTGTCGATGGCGGCATCGAGCGGCTAGTCTGCATTTTGAAGGAGGGGCGAAGCAAAGACATGATGGACATGTGGAAGTGGAATCTCGCCTTCCAATGCGTGGTCAACATAGGCGTTAGAGGCACAGAGGGCGTTCGGACCCGGGTCGTCGAGGCCGACATGGTTCCGGTGATTGCCACCATTCTCGACAACTACATCAAGGTGATCGAGAAGGTCCGTGAAAAGGCGGAGGAAGCTAAGAAGTCGGACCGCCATCGCATCGGCGGGAGCAGCCGTGTGCATAAGTCATCGAGTTTCTCGTCCCGCTCGGGCACTTTAGATGTGGACCAGCGGACTTTCCGGAGACAAGCACCGCCTCCCTCAATTGATGTGTCGGCAGCTCTCGCCGGGCCGTCCACCTCGGTGGTTCATTCCAACGCCGACCCGACACCCATAGCACCGCATTTCCAGGTCACTCCGCCACCCGATCGGGCTCCTTTGACGGCTACTGCACATCGCCCTCATCATCATCACCACCATCACCATAACCACCGCTCTGTCCCTTCGCCGGGGCCACACACGGCACCCCTCGCGCCGGTAGTCCCTTCTATGGATGCCGCCGATGGGGTCACCAGGCCCCCCGTCCGTGACGCCGACCGTCTCGGCAACATGCTCCCCTTCTCCCGCTCCGCCATCGTTTCGCAGCCGGCTTCACCAACAACTCCCCTGCCGCCCCCACAACTACGGTCCCCTACCGTGCGACCCACTTCCATGCTAGCCGCGGCAGCCCGGTCCCGAAGACGACCATCTATCCGTCACCAGCACTCGACCTCCGCCGAAAACGACGATCTGAACGCTGAAAGTATCACGTCTGACGACTCGCCCGACGCAGAGATGTCCGGTACCAATGACATTCAACCCGAAGTCAACATCCCAGAAGTCACGGTTGAAGACGGGGATAGCATGATGACCGGCGGGGCCATTGACTTGAACACGCCGACGGCATCGGAGACACAGGACACCGGCACCTTTAACATCACTCACGAGACTCCAGTGGATGGCAGCGTTCCCACCAACAACACGCCGGCGCCCGTGCCGGCTATGGGCTTGTCTCCGACACGGCCAACACTGGTCAGCCCGCCGCAACCAGCCATGCCCAACGCGAGCGTGCCGCGCTACCTTCTCGACCGCCAAGTCAGCCCGAACCCGCAAGTGCTCGCCGCCATGCCTCGGGAAGAAGATGTCTTGATGTCGCTCCAGCTTCTCGCATACGTGTCCAAGTACTGTAACTTGAGGAAATATTTCCAACGGAGCCATCTGGTTCCCAGGCTTAAGATCGGCAAGGAAATTCAGGTTCTAGATGGCGCCAGCCCGACTGACCTGGAAGCCGAACTGGAGCAAGAGGACGAGGAATTGGAGGAGGAATACTGCCTGCCCAACGACCTGAACATCTTCCCGCTCGTGGAGAAGTTCACGGTTAGGTACCACAGCACCGACATGCAGTACTGGGCCGGAGTCGTTATGAGGAACCTGTGCCGGAAGGACGACACGCGAGGAGGGATTCGACAGTGTGCCTACTACCAGTGCGGCAAGTGGGAAGAGTTCACCCGGCAATTTGCCAAGTGCCGCCGCTGCCGGCGTACCAAGTACTGCAGCAAGGAGTGTCAAAAGAGTGCCTGGGCTTTCCACCGCCACTGGTGTATCGCCGCCACGCAATGATACGAAGAGAGAAGAACGCATTGTGGGAATTTATGGTCCTTCCTATTGATACCCCCGCCTGGTTTTTTATCTATTTATTCGTTCGCACGTCTCTTTCTCAGCGTCGTCTTCGGAACCGGGACATACACACCCCAGGCGCACAAATCCACAACCCGCACACACAAATCTTTTTTTTCTTCTGTTCTTTTTCTCTCATCTGTCTTGCATGGCGTTATTCCGTAATGTCTATCCGGTTGCAAAGCAGCATGGCGAGCATGGCGAGGCAAGCATGGCATCAAAGCACGGCACGGCATGGCGTGGTACTGTACAAAGCGAAGCGCAACCCGTTCCGATACAGCATATCCGACGAATCTTGAGGCATTATCGCCTTCCTCTTTTCCTCTCCCTTCTCACCGCCAACTCACCTGATCATCAGACTTGGTGACTCCGGCTTCCGTCATCCCACCCACCTACCATTACCGATCAACACCGTTATCCCTCTGCGAGCATGGTTGGGCGTTGCACGATACCATGAAGGATTCTTAGCGTTTTCGGTCTCCTCACCGTCGCTTACTAAGCTTTGTTTTTCCTTTTCTTTTTCTGCTTTCTTCCCCTTTTTTTGGAGAACAGAAACAGATCTGCCGCCGCTGTTGCTTTTCTGAGTGTTTGAGCCAGCTTTGCGTTCTTTGTTGTGTTCACTCTGCCATTGCTTTTGTTTGGTGTTTTGTACTTTTCTTGGGTTTTCTTTAGTATCTAGTCAGGGCAGGCAGGCAAATGGGTAGGCAAGCAACGAAGGGGGGATGATACGGGTGATGGGGCGAGTAGTAGGAACGGAAAGTCAGGGGGGGCTTAAGGGGACGGGTCAAGGGAACAGGGAAGGATATGGCAGGGGATAGGGCCAAAGGAAGGAGGATTGGGAGGACGGGCGGGAGGGATGTAAGGGTACACGGATGGGGAGAGGAGTGTAGGAGTCATCATCATCATCAATACCTCTGTTTGGTTTTTTGTTCTCTACCTGTTTTTTGTCCTCTGACCTCCTCTCCCCAGCCCACCCTCCTCCTGTCTTCCTTTGATGAATGTTGTTGTTGGTTGTGGTACTGTACTGTACCGTACCGTACCGTACTCTTTGAAGCGGTCCCCTTAGTTATTTATTGACCGGGCCAACACCCGGCTGGGCAACATTACGCGTAGCCAGAGTCATGAAACGAACGAACGAATTCTTTGTTTTTGTTTTTCCTGTTCCTGTTCCACGTTCCATTTTCCATGGTGGATGTATCCCGGTTGTTGCTTCTGTCTTGCCGTTTTCTGAAGTGGTCTGTCTTCCCAGCCGATTCTCGTTGGAGTGGGCTTTATCCGCGTCTTCCATTGTGGCAGTATCTGCTGCTTTGCTTTCTACTCGTCTGTCTTAGCTACGCGCTTACGTCCCGACCTACTAGGCGGTATACACAAAGCACGTTAGGGGGCAATGGGGAGAGAACGGAACAGGGAAGATATGATGTGATATATGTCGATATATGACGAATGGAACATGAATCATTTCTTCCATTTTGGTGGAGTGTTGACTCCTTTTAGGAAGGGGAGGAGCTGGTAAAACAGGGAGGGGGAAAATAGAGAAAAAGGTGAGAAATGGGGAGATGGGGTGGTGGGAATACTTTCTGTAGGTACGGCTTGTGTCAGGACGAGAAGCAGGAAAGCTATAAGTGGGAGATAATTGTTGAATTGGTTGTTGGGTTGGTTGGGGAGAAAGGGTAGTTGCAACATCTATAGCTAGCTAGCCGGATGTACTGCAGGAAACGACTAAGACTAGCAAGCGTTTATACTGATTGGTTGTTTGTCTGTGTATCTCGTTGTCTAGCTCTTTATGTTGGCTCGGGTTTTATGTTAACGGACCGAGATGATGGAGTTGGGCTGGTGGTGGTGAGCATGGGATAGTAAGTATCGGGGCAAGCAATTGCCATTTCAATATCACGGCATGGTGTTTCTGATAGTGACCCCCCCCCCCCCTTATTTCTTTTCCTGGTTACGACTGCTAGCTTTAGGACTATTCCTTAACGTCTAGTGATTCCGGATTTCATGATGGGTTACAATAGCACTCGGTTTGGCAAATTTCTCGAAATATCAGTCGTTCAAGGAAGTGATTTTTACTATTTCTAACGTCCCGACCTTTTGTTTCATCCTGTGCGCTGTTATGAAAGGGTGTCGGGCTTCATCACCACCTGCAATGCTGAGATCAACGGTGGGGAGCGGCAACGAGAACGTTGGTATCTCATTCAAGTTACGAGACTTGGGTTGAATTGCGGGCCTTTGGAAAATATCCGGGCTAAGGGGCATTTTCCTAGCAGCTGGAGGTGAGAACCAGCCTCCAAGTGATTGTGATATCTATGAAAACAAGAAACGTCAAGGATAGCGCTGGTTCTGCTAGGGTTGTTTGCTACTTGGGGTACCAAGGACGTTAGAGTTTGATTCCATTGATGTTTGAGCCCTCGTTTTGTGTCGTTCCAAGCTTTCGTGAGGTCGTTTGCTCGAACACCACAATCACTAAGAACAATGGACTTGTTTGTGAGTATCCCACACATGACCTCGTCCATTTCGCAATGAGATCAGCAGCGAAGGGAGGCGACGGGGAATCGGCCAGACTTGACAAGACAGCCCAACAATGAACGCCAAAATTGAATGTGGCTACCTTGAACAGTATTACCCAGCCCGTTCTCCCATAGAACAATAGCATCAACAAGTACATCGTGCCTAGTTCGACACTCTGCCCCATCACCCCTCACCCATTACCAAAACCACCGCCCTACCTCCTCCCCGCAGCAGCCCTCCGAGCCTTCCCCGGCCGCGGCGCTTTCCCACCCTTCTTAGGCCCTCCACCAGGGCCACCAGCGCCACCTGGCCGACCACCGCTCTTCATGCGCTTCGCATTGAACCCACTGAGATCTCCCGACGACATAGCATCGCCAGACTTAAGGTGGCGCTTCTTGCCGCCGAAACCGTACTTGGCGTCCTTCTTTTGCCGCTTGGCGTTGGGGGCGCGACTGTCGCCGCCGGCGGCGGAGCGCTTTTTGTTGCTGCCGTTGCCGGCGGACCGGAGCTCGTTGTCGATGGCGACGTCGAAGAGGTCGTCTGCTTCGGTTGCGCCGAGGGCGGAGGAGCCGCCGTCTTGTCGTTCTGGGAGGGGGGTAAAAGTTAGTAAACGTAGGACTTGGACCGTAGATGAAAAAAAGGGGTAGACTAGAAGTGGCAAAACGTACTCCGCTTAAGCAGGTTAATCTTCTCGAGGGTATCGCGCTTCTGCTTAGCGCGCTCCTGCTGCTTCTGCACTTGGACCTGTTTGCCAAACTTCTTGAGGTCGCGCTGCTTGCGGGCCTCAGCCGAGGCCTTCTTCGCCGTCGCCTCCTCAACCATCTTGGCCTTGACCTTCTGCATGGTCTCGTCGCTGCGCACCGTCTCAGCGAAGAAATCAGACGGGCGCGTGAAAGGCACACCCTCCTTGCGCAGCAGCGCGCGCGCCTGGCGCGCCGCCTCGAGCGATTGGTTCATGAAGGCGAGCTCGCGCTCGAGGTCGTCATCGACGGACGGGATAGATTCTTCTGTCTTCTTGCTGGAGGTGACGGATTGGTGGAAGGCGAAAGGGACGGTTTTGGGGTTGGTGTCGAGGGCGAAGCGCCGAAGCGCCGCGAGGAGGCCCTCCTTGTTGTTGATTGTTTGGCGTACTCGGGTGCCGGCGGCGATTTGCTCTTCATCTTCTTCATCTTCGGCGGATAGCTCGTCGACGTCTATTTCCTCGTCCTCATCGTTCCCGTCCGCGCCGCCGTCCGAGTCGAGTTCCGATTCTGAATCAGAGTCGTCTATCCCGGCTAGGTCGATGCCGCCATGCCCATCGTCGTCTTCGTCGTCGCTATCACTCTCTTCGCTGTCTTCTTCGCTCAATTCCTCCTCCCTAACTTTCCTCTTGTTCGTTTTGCTGCCATTGGTTGCGGGGACCTCCTCTTTGTCGCTCTCGTCCTCCCACTCTTCGTCCTCGACGACCTCCGCGACAACGGGCTCCTTGGACTTTCTCCTGTCGCCCTTTTGCTTATTTGGTTTGGTGCTCGCGGCTTGTGACCTCGGCTTAGAGCCGGCCTTGGGGGATTGCGTCGTGCCTTTCTTCGCCATTGTGCTGATGGTTGGTTGGCTGGTGGGGACGGTGTCACGGTGAATTGATGGACTTGCAGCTTCTAAACTTCCAAAACTTTTTTGGCTGGGTCAAGCGATAAGATACGGAAGGTGGGGCGAGATTGCAGGGGTGTTGGAGCAACAACCCTAACCCCGCTTCATAAACTTGTCAGCTTGTATCTCGGATTCCTGCAGAACACTGACGTATACATGCCCTGATCTTGCCTAATGAAAGAACGAGGTGTATTCTGGAGGATCGCAGAGCATTAGACAGGGAGTGGAACATAATAAGGAGGAAAGTTTACAAAATTAAAATTCTAATTTGTGAATTGGATCTAGGACTAGGGATATGCTGTCTAGTTTCGAGAGTCCCAAGCAGGAACGATTGACCTTGGCATCCTCGATCCCACCTGCACCTTTCCACCCCTTTCAAGTCTCTGTCGTTTGCCCACCATGCATCACCCATCTGTCTCAAAAACGAGTACTAGAAGAGGTAATACATTGTTCACACGAGCCAAGGAGATAAAAATACCAAACCAGCCAAAAGAGAAATTTGACTGCCCACAACCAGAATCGAACTAGTGACCTTGTCATAGAGAATTTACTAGTGACACGCTCTACCACTGAGCCATGCGGGCTTCGAATGATAACCTCAAAAACCAAACTCTCACATCATATGCCACCCATTGTGCCACACAGCAAAACACAACATAGTGCTCATAGATACGGCCCCAATAGCATGGGTTTTGTTGGTTGTTGTTGGTTGCGGCTGTTGGCGGGAACGCCATGTGGTGTTCGGGGGTGGGTTGGTGGTGTTGGGGAGTTGGTTGAGGAGACGGGTATTTCTTGCTTTTTTTTTTTGTCTTTTTGCTCAGATGATGTGCTGCAAGACAGTCATAGTTAGACATGTTGGCGTGGGTACAAGATCCGACGGGTACGAGATCCGGGGGGACGACGTCTGTTGAGATTTTGGGGGTGGTGTTTGGTGATGATTGGGAAATGGCGTTAAAGGTTTACAAAGGAACAGGATTAAGTAGAGCGCGGTAAGTTAAGTGCTGTTGCCGTTGTCTACTCCCGGTGGATGTTGTAGAATTTCTGGAATCAAGTCATGTTCAAGTCACTTAAACAAGCAAAGAACTCAAGATTTGTTGTCAAACCGGCCTCAATTTTTGACTTATTTACCACTCCTCCTCCGATATACCAAGGACGAAGAAAAAGCGAAACCCAAGGGGAACTCCCATCTTCCGCCCAGAACAAACTAGTTGGAACCCCATCCTCCCATCTTCCCCTTCCACTTCCTCCGCATCCGAAACCATTCCCAAGAAGCTATCTAGCAAACCAAACCAGGCCATTCCTCCTGTAGGAACAGGGCAAAAAAAGGTCGCGAATCTTTTTCTGTCGCCGTTTTACCCCCCCGATCCAACTCGCCAGCGTTGAGAACGATATCGCGAAATAGCCCTCGCGGCTGGGAGTGAACAGGGAGAGAGAGAAAAATCTGAGAAGGGGGGTTTGGGTTGGTCTGTGACGTCGTGATAACCGGAAAAGACGAGTCGAAGAGGTCATTGTTGAGTGAAGAGTCGATATAAGAGAAAGGTGTTTGCCGAGTTTGCTGAGAGAAGAATGGGCCTTGGATCCGCCATGATGATATCAAAAAGGTTTGAGAATTTTGTGCTTCAAAAACTGTAGACGAAACGAAGCGAAGGCAAAAAAAAAAGACTGATGGTAGTGATTGGCGGGCGGGCGTTGGTGAGACGTTTTTGGTTGAGGCCGGTGGTTGACAAAGCAGCGGGTGTTGTTTGGTGTGGGTTGTGTGACCGTGATGAGGTTCCCCCACTCGTGGACCATGATACCAGAAGAGAGAATCAGAAGAGGTGATCATGGCAGGAGATGTCGATGGGGAAAATTCGGGTCTCTCATCACGGCCGCCCAGGCACCGAGAAGACACTGGATGTCATATTTACATGACAACGCAGTAGGCGTTGAAGGCAGAGGTGGAGGTCTTGGGGGCCTGGGTCTGGGTGGTGGAAGGCATGTTGATGGTTGGTTGGGGGGTTTGGCTTTAAAAAAGCTGGAATTCTTGTAGTAGTGTTGTTGAGTTGAGTTGTGTAGAGCGTGATGGTGAGAGAGAAGAAGATGGCTTTGGATGTGGGATAGAGGGTTGTTTTATAGACAAAGTCGAAGCATCAGAAGATTGGGAATCCACATTTACGGACGAGAAGGAAACCTCAAAGAGCCACCGTTACTGTTCGCGGTTCCTCATCGGATGCGTTTCCTGCTTCCAGCTACCCTGCCTTGCCTACTACTACATTGGGCGTGCAGGTACAGAATGGGGGAGATAAGAGTAGCAAGCGCAATCTTTCGGCCTGTGGTATTCTTTCACGACCCTCCCTTTGGTGTTCTCAGCATGAACAAACACAGCCCTATCGAAATAGAGAAAGCCGGAGAAAGAGGGGCCAGGGCGTGGACGAACCTGTCTAGCATTGTGCTCGATAGGGCTCTAAGCATTGTCCTTACGAGGAGACAAGGCCGCTGCGGACGGCCCCGTGATGCGAGGGAGTGGATGAGCAAGTGAGCGAGTGAGCGAGGGAGCGAGGGAGAGGGAGAGGGTATCCAGGGAGAGAGATGCGAAAGCCTCCGGAGCATATTGCGCCTCTCAGAACCGTGCGCCATATGCATTAGGGCGGAAACTATGGAGTTCGGCTGCGAGGTTTGGGGATGCACAACATTCCGCGCTGTGGGTGTGTTTGGTGTGTTTGATTGATGATGTGAGGTTTGAGTCGAAACAGGCAGAGTCGCAGTCGGGAGCAGTCTGGAACTTTGTTGCCGATCTCGCAAGCTGTCAATGGCTGACTCGTGGTGGCGTTGGGCCTTAGTATTGTTCTCTTAGTATTGTTCTCTTAGTATTGTTGACCCCTGAGCCAATGTTTGTTGACCTTGGCCCCCCTTGGCCCCCCTTGACTCCCCGACTCCCGACCCGCAAAGCGACATCAAACCCACTCAACGTCACCGAAACCTACCCAAAAATCACCAAATAACGTCCACTCGGGATTCCGAGGATGGGCGCGATTGGGTGTTTGCATTCGGGGGCCAGTTCGCCTTGGAAATGCTACCCATCGACTCCCTCGACCCCGTCGATGCACATCCCGGGATCCCGTGGTTGGCTAGTCTAGGAGAGAAAGAAGTACAGGACGCTCCAGGCCGCATACATTCGGCCCCCATGGAGAAAGAAAGAAAGCAGCTAAAACCACGCCTATTTGTCCATCGCTGAGACCGGCGAGATAGACTCTAAGAGTGGCCGGACTATAGTCTTAGAAACGACTAAAAGGGAGCCTGGTTTGGACACAGTGAATCAGCAAAGACACACCCACATCCGGATAAAGCGAGCTACAGGAAATGCCGCACACCACGCAGCATACATTGTCTGCCGGGAACTGAAAGGAAGGAAGGGAGAGCTCGGCGGAGATGAACCGAAAACGGGATATGCAGTCCTAGCCAGTCACCGAGCCCCCCGAGGGCTCCAAGTCCCCGGGCTACAGCCACGCCGAGGCTACCGAGAGAGAGGAAGAGAGGGATAACCCATGCGATGGGCTAGGGGATATGATAGGGAGCGACGGTAGTCGGCCACCCGTCACTGTGCGTGGAGGACGGGGGCCGAACCAGTGTATGACTGTGGAGCTCCTAGAGATGTGTGTGTGCTGTTTGTGGGTAGGCTTGGACTAGACGGTAGGCAGGTGGGCAAGTGGGGGTTGGATACGCAAAGTCAACGACGATCGTCTGGTCATCGACCGAGTATCATCATCGTCTACTTGCACGAACCGAAGAGTTGCGGCCTTGAGGATGGTGATGGGGGCCATGGACAGCGGAGAGAAAGGCGAGCAATGCCGGACTTACCACTTTCCCTTGAGCGTGATGACCACCCACGGCGCGCCCGTCTCGTCCTATTCCAAATCGTGTTCGTCAGCCGGGTTGTTTCTGTCCCCTTCTCGCCCCTTTACGCCTCTCCCTTGCGCCGCGAAGAATGCCCGGGGTCCCTCGGACTACAGCCTGCTATCGTCCGTCGCGGGGGATACTGTATGATCCGAGGATAACAATATCCCGAACCATGGCGGATGATGGGAGAACAATGATAGTCAGAAGGGAACCACCGGAACCAGGTCAACCCATCCAAGGATGAAGACCGAGAGAGGCCGGGAAAGCCAGAAGACGGGAAATCGGCATGAAGAACCGGATACCAGAACAGAAACAAGCAGCACTCACCACCTCCTTCTCAACCTCACTACTAAAACAAATCGCACTCATAATCCCATCCCCAAACTTCTCATTCATCACCGCCTTAAACGCATACCCATAGTTCTGCACAATCTCATACAGCCGATAAATCAGCGGCTCAACAGGCGGCATCGGCCCCGCACGTCCGCGGTCCGGAAACCCCGTCAGCTGCGCGACCGTCGCCCCGGACAGCGATTCCGCCGACAGGCCCAGCAGCTGGGTCAGCTTCACCACATCCTCGGGCGAGGCCCGCGCCTGGCCGTAGAACAGCGCTGCCACGGCGACTTCGCTGCGGCCGAGATGCTTGGCGATGGCTTCGAACGTGAGTCGCTTGTGAGTTTTGGCTTCGAAAAGGGCGGCGGAGAAGGAGGGGAGGCGGTCAATGATGGAGGACTGTGGGGGGTTTAGATGTTTGTTTAGTCATAGATTAAGTTGTAATTTGGTGAGGATTGTTATGTGGTGGTTGGACGACTTACATCGAGCGATGCCAGATTCTGCCGCTCTTCAGCAATGGCAGCGATGGAACCACGACGGTTAGCCATGATGATAATGATAATGATGGTTAGATAAGATTTTAGGATGAACAATTCCCTTCAATGTTTGTAGTGCTTGTTATTTTGGCTTTTGAGCAAGTTGTAAGTTGCACTTCAGACGTTGATGTCATCTCAACACCTCATACCCGACATTCAATAAACAGCCGTGGTATAAGATAAACCACCCCTCAACTACCCCTCCTCTCAACTGCCACAATCCTCGGTACTGCTACTCTACTATCATTGCTTGGCTTAAGCCCACACAACCCCGCGTAAGAACGGGCGAACGGGTGAACGGGACACATTCATTGTCCACACAAAACAGCCACTCCGGAGATTTCCCGGAGTCTCGGAGGCCACCGGAGCGGGGTCGCGGAATCCGATATCCAAAACCTCCATCCGTTCCTTCCCTCCCCCAAAGTTGTCCGCCCTTTATAATCCGCCCGCCCGCTGTTCCTTCCAACCGCCCTCCCAAACCGACTACGGTCGAATGGCGCAATGGGAGGGCCGTGGGCGTCAACTAGTACACCGCGGAATCTCAGCCCCCGGGTTCGATCCCCGGATGATGCACCGAGTAAAATCTTTCGGGGTTTTCGTAACCACCCCCCATTCCTTGACCCCTCCGGGGTGTTGAGATGATGGGGCGGTGAGCTTTTTTGTATTTTCCTCCTTGTAGTAGTAGACTCTTGTTTTCTCTTCTTATTGTGTTATGTATTATTTGCTAGTAGACATTGTTGATTTATCCAAAAAACATAATGTGACATTGCATCGAAGACCGGTTTCTATTTCATTACCTAAGTCATGTATGTACCATATTCTAATTAACCACCAACTCTCTTTCTCGCAATATGCTGTGGTATCCTAATCGCAATTCAAAATCGTGATGTGCTGCTGTATGTAAGGCAGGTGGGTATTCAACCATCTTTAGAGTGAAAGGGAAACCCCCGAAAACGCACCCTAATACAAAACCATTTACTACACTGTCGATTCCCCTAGAACGTCCCCGGCCTCGTCCAATCCTCCTTCGTCGCCGCGTTCACATCATCCACATTCAACATCCCAATCCCCTCCTCCACCAGGACCTCCCACACCTTATTGCGCACATGAATCGGCCACGGCGGCAGGCCCCAATACCGCGACACCAGGCCGCGATCCTTGGCCGCCTGGATTTGCGACCGGATCTTACCCAGCTGCGTTATATTGGGCCCGCCGCGCCACCACACGGCGCCGATAGCATGCCAGAAGTCGACGCTGGCGTAGTACGAGTTGGTGGCGTTGTACGTGTGGTAGGTTGCGTTACCGCTGCCGTCTTCTTCTTCGAGCTTGTTAAGCGGCGCATCGTAGAAGGCGTCGCGACGTTGTAGGGTGTTGTTGTTCCCGCTGAGGATCTGGTCAAAGGGCGCGTTCCCTGTCCCAACGACGGTGATGGGCCGCGGGTGGAATTGCCCGTCTGCCTCGTCGTAGTAGCTCAGCCAGCCTTTCTCTCTCAAGGGCGTCAGCTGCTTGACCACCCACGGCCAGGTCTCAGCGCCATCTGTTTTAATATCCACTAGCAGAACGAGAGTTTGCTCCGGATCGGTGTCAAACACGCCGTTGTCGTTGCCGTCGTAAAACTCCGTCTTCGGGTTCTGGTGCTGTAGGATCTCCACCAGCGGGTTGACGTAGAGCGTTTGGAACGTCCGGTTGGGCTGTAGCGAGGCCGTGTCGTGCCCGACGAGGAGGTCGCCGTTGCGCAGCCATACGTCGGCCTCGACGCCCGTGCAGCCGGCGTACAGCGCCGTGAAGACGGGAACGGTGCGCCAGTAGTCGTTGTGCGAGTGGCACGGCACCGGGATGACGTCCCGCAGGAAGTCTGTCGGGTACCAGGCAAGCTGCTCCGTGCCGCTGCCCGACTGGCCCCAGTTCGCAAACGGGTCACGCACCACGAGCCGGCCACCGAAATACCGGTGTGCGATGGTTTCCCCGGTGTCGACAATGATGAAGGTGAGAGCCCTAGAGAAGGATGTGTGAGTTAAGTGTGTCTTCACGGAGTGCGAGTCGGCCGGCGAATCGACCGGGTTTGACTTACACGGCTGCCAAGCCCAAAAGGTATAACTGCCAAGTACGCGGTTTCCTCATCTCGGGCCGCGTGGTTGTGTACGTGACCCGAGTCCCGCCGTGCTCGTCGTCCTCAGCATCTTGCCGAACCGGCGCGTAGTCCACCGCCATAGTCGCTTTTTGTTTTTCGAATTTCCAGAAAGCCATGGTTGCCAACAACGATGAAAGAATGCCGGTGGCTCTGTCGCGTTTTTCATGTACATCTTCCTCGGGGCCGCGTGGGTTCGTTCTTAAATGGGACTGGTTGCTCCCGGGGAGTGCTACCCCCACTTGTGTCACTTCCGTCGAGTCCCGGCTCCTGACCTCCACCAGACCCACCGACTCCGGCCCCATGATCCGTGTCTTGATCTCGAATCTTGAAAGCTTAATTACTGTTTAACGGGCTGAATGATCTCTAGGCGTTCAAGTCGGCCGCTTGGGGGGGGAGGGGGGGGAGGGGGGTCGGTTAAGACGATCGTGGGCTGGTGTCGCTATTCGTTGTGGGCGAGTTCCGAGTCACAAGTTCTGAGGAAAGGGGTTCCGAAGCGGACAATTCATGGCGATCTCAAAATACAGCGGTCCACAATTTCCAAGAAACAAGCACGCTTTGGGAAGAAGCATCTGAAATTAATAGCTAAAAAGGAATGGAAAGAGAGAAGGGCTCCATTGCAGGGACGATGTGCCTTTTGAAGTTCGGCAATCTAACGGCTGAGAGTCTAGACGATGGGGATGCCTGCCGTTTTTAGACTTCGTTGGCCCCGTTGTTGCTGACAGGCGGGTCGCGCTCCGTCGGCTGGATGCTGGGGAGCCGAGTGGCTGCAGCTGCATGTGGCGTCGACCTTAAATCCATCTTCAACTGCCGCTCCCGCCTCGGACGCCGTTTTTCATCTGTTTTTTTCTGGATTTAGTGATTTCCTATTGCCCCGTGCCAGTTGATATGATGGTAAGAATCGCGTATTCCAAGTCGGAGTGGCCGAGAGACATTGCTGGGTCAGACGGAGTTTCAAGCAGTTGGGAAGCACGGGCAGGGGAGGAAGCGGCTCAAGGTTTCGACAGTGGGGTTAAACGCGGCAGCAGGGGTGCGGATGGGAGGTCCACCTAAATTCTTATCTTATCGGCCTGTGGGGAAATTTTTCCACGACCAGAATTGAGGACCTTCAGGTGCTCTTATCGTTGGGTCAGCGCGTGAATTCTGGTGAGTATTTACCGACAGCATTGGGACAACGCTTGCTTTCGCCATGCCTCATAAACACACTCGGCGCGACAAGGACGAGTCGACGTAAGGATTGGAACTGATAGACCGTTATGATGCCCGTATCTAACCGCAATTAGCTTCGACCTTCCTCCATCGCAACTTGCAAAATCTCTACCGCCAACGACCATCTCCAAAAAGAAGGAGGCCGAAAAGAAAGTCGAGAAAAAATCTGACGACCCTCGCGGAAAGAGCAATGGACAGAAGAAGCGGAAACGCAATGGGAAGGACGCCGATGATGCCCCGCGCGCCTTCAAGCGCCTGATGGCCTTCACTAGCGGCAGGCCACAAAGGTCAGGTCTCGACAACGGCGACGCTCCCGAGAAGGGCAAGGGCAAAGGCAAGAAGAAGACCAAGCCCGCAAAGCCCGCAATAGCCGCGAAACCCACAGAAACAACCGCGGCAACGACATCGACAACACCGGACTCCACTACAACAACCACCCCTGAGACAGCCACCGACCTCAAGATCCGCCCCGGCGAGCGCATCTCCGAATTCAACCAGCGTGTCGACGCCGCCCTGCCCATCAGCGGCCTAGTCAACAAGACAGTGAAGAACGGCAAAGACCCGCTCGGCCTCAAAGTCCGGCGCACCCTCAAGGAGCGCCGCATGCAGAACATGTACGCCGAGTGGCGCGAGATCGACCGGCGCGTGCAGGAGCGTCGTGAGGAGGAGCGCGAGCTGGCTGAGGAGAAGGAGATGGAGGAGGACGAGACGATGGGGGTGACGTGGAAGTTGGATGCGGATGCGGCGGCGTTGGGTTCTGCCGGCAATAGTAAGAAAAAGAAAGGTGGGAAGAAGGGGAATAAGAGGGGGCGGTATATTGGTGAGGAGAGTGGGCCGGAGAAGGATCCGTGGGCGGAGATTAAGAAGAAGAGAGGGGAGGAGAGGGTTGGGTTGAATGAGGTTGCGCAGGCACCGCCGGAGTTGAAACTGCCCAAGAAGAATTTGCTGGTGCGTGGAGCCGCGGTCGCGGTGGAGGATATTCCCAAGGCGGCGGGGAGTTTGAGGCAGAGGGAGGAGCTGCAGAATATCCGGTCGGAGGTTGTCGCGTCATATCGGAAGATGATGAGCGAGAGGAGGCCTGCTATCGGGGCATGAGTAGAACACTGTTTTACGGTGCAGGTTTAAATGATAATGGATAATATCCAGTCGGAAAACTTTTGAAATTTTCTCTTTGCTACCTATGCTTGATATGGTGATGTTGTCATGCTAGGCAGCAATTGCTGCCCCCGTCCCATGGTGCACATTATTCCATCCAATTCTAAGATGAAAGACAATAACAAAGTTTATATCATCCCAGCCTGTTGTGCCATTGTGCACCACATGAATGAAATCATCCCAATTGAGCGGCAAGGTACGTACCTTTTCTCCGTGCAACAGTACCCCACCTTTTGACCCGCAGCGCAACCCACTGCCCCTCCAAAAATCCTCCGCTGCACTCACTCTCCCGCCCCATCGCGACTTTTCCCCGAAAATCGCCATCAAGAAACGAGAGCGCCAGCGTTCAATTCCCGCATCGACGCAACATTCATAAAAATTTTCAACGCCCGAGAATGAGCCTCGGCGCATCACCATCATGAGCGGAGTCGGTCTAGAGGTTTTCCTGGAGGACCTTATTCCGGAGATTGCGTATTCGGGCGAGAAAGGTGAGTTTTTCTGGCTGGTCTTTTCTCACCATGGATTTCAACACCATGGTGTGGGCGCGATGACTCAATTTGTTGGGGGATGTTTGGTTTGAGTGGTACTATGGATGGGCTACTGTTTTGTTAAAGAAAGGGATAAATTTGGCGCGGTGGTTATGGATGGCCTTTCAGTATCAACTATGATTCATCGCGATGCTAACCCCACGATTAGGAGTTTCCATCATCGAATTACTTAAAATTGTCCGCCAATATCACCTCAGCCTTGAAGGACAACAAGGGCCAAGCCATGACGCAGCGCAAAGTTTGCAGGGAGCTCCCGACGACAGGGATCTCGAGAAATCCCTGACAGATGCTGAATTCGCATCGGCTCGCTGGGCTTGGGACTGGCTACGTTCTCGTCCTCAAATCCTCATCAACGGCAACAAGCGATGGAACCGAATGGAGCTCAAGGACGCCCTCGCCTTGCCAGAAGCCGACACGATCGACCCGGCCCTGACCAACTCTTCCGCGTCGGCGCCAGCAGAGGCCGAGGCGAAAGCCAATACTAAGGAACCAACCGCGGACCAAGCGAAGGGAAAGAAGAGGACGAAGAAAACGCTCACCACGCGGCCGAGGATTCACCCAGCGGAGGATTTGGTCTGGCAGACGTTGACACGCCATGGGGTCGATTATAAGCGCGTGCCTGCGCTGGAATGGGCGTGTCTGCAGGGCATCGCGTCGACACGGGGCGAGGGCATCCTCCAGAGCGATCTGCGTCGGCTGGTCGATCAGGACAAACGGTCGCTACCCAAGCGGACGGACTCGCTGGCTCGGAAGGGATACATTGCCAAGCGCACGGTGGTGGTGCAAAAGATGAAGACCAGCAGGCTCTGGCTGATTGACTTTGCGCCGCCGCTGGTGGAAACGGAGAAATGCGGACTGGATTTGACACCCGAGACGTTGAGCAAGGACTTGGAGCCAGTGTCCTGGCACGAGCGCTGGACGGGGAATAACATCGACATGGACGCGCTGGGAAGGACCGCCGTGGGCGTGGTCAAGGCATTCAATGTGATTCGATACGCGGACCTGAGACTCAAGATGGGTGTCTCGGGGAAGCGATGGCAGATGAAGACACTGGCTAAGAACTGTCAGCGGCTGGTAGATGTGGGCGTGCTCAAGTACACGGCGGCCTCGTTCCCGGGTACGCGCAAAGTGTTCAAGGACTGTCTGAAGTTTGTACGAGAACCTAGCGCAGAGGAGTGGGAGAAGTTTCTTGCTACGGGCAAGAAGACGTCGCAGTATTCAGATCCGACACGGCACCGGGAGCCCAAGCCCAACGCGCTCGCCCTGTATAAGAAATCAGGAGAGGATGGCGCTGGAGGCGACGCCCGCGCCAAGGTCCGGCGTATCTTCAGCGGCTGGATCCCCGAGAAACCACTGGCGCAGACCGTCTTTGAGGTCATTCGGAGCTCTGGTGCTGAAGGGGCTTCAAACCCCCAGGTCAGCGTCGCGACTGTCGGGTATCAGCACCGTCGGTATCTCTCGAGCTATCTCACCAAGGTGGCCGACACGCAGCAGCCGGCGCATCTCAAGAAGTTTCAAGTCGTCAGCGAGCTTGTACGCACGGGCAAGACGTCGGCCTACATGTTCTCTGCACTTAGCGCAATAAGTGAAAACGGGAGCGCGCGCATTGCAGAAGATGCTCCGAAACAAGAAGAGACAGCAAAACCGCAACAGCAACAAGCATCGTCCAATCCTGCACCAGCAAACCCTTATGGGTTTGGCGCGATACGCACCAAGGCGTTGGAGTCGGACAACAACATTTCTCTCACCGAGATGGCGCGTCAAGCTCGCAAAACAAAGGTTTCATCGAAGCGAAAGTTGCTTCCTCGCATCAGACCGGAACATGTAGCTGCAGCCAGAGTTGCTTCTGACGCAGCTGCCACACCGGGCTCCAAGACTCAAACTCCAGCTCAAGAGGGTCAACCTGCTGAAACTGTGGAAGATGAGTCTGCATCTCAACAACGAAAACGGTCTTTCGATGAAATGGCGACCGGTGCTGAGAAGGCAGAGGGTGCTGCGGCTGAGCCGACCGAGACGCAAGAGACGCAAGAGACGCAAGAGACGCAATCACCTCGGACCATCGTTACGCCGGAGAACCAGGGGCCGCAAGTGCCCAAGATCCCGACGGACCAAGAACTGATCATGACTGTCCGATACAACAACGTGCTGGGGAAGCTTCAGGTCCATCGTGCGGATCGCAAAGTCACGTTTTTGAGATCTGGGAGGGGTCTCAAGAAGCCTGTTACGGTTTCGGTTGATGAGAATCTCAGCGAGCCAGTTATCCAGGATGATCCAGAGGGCGATGGGAAGAAGATATTGGCCCTGGAAACAGGAGCACAACCACCTCAGACGTATGCTTTTGCGGTTGAAGATGAAGGAAACCCAGAAAAGGCGGGCTGGATCCAGCAAGAAATCACCAAGATGAGATCAGCCGACTACCAGCCACCCACCCCAGAAGAAATCACAGCGGCTTCCCAAACGACCACAACCGGAATCACCCCCGCAGAACCCGCCGCCAAAGGCAAAGGCAGAGGCAAAGGCAAAGGCAAGAAAGGCCAAGCCCTCGCAGCCGGCGCAAAGCCCTACGTCTGCGATCTCTGCGGCGGTGCTTGGAAGAACGACATCGGTCTCAAATACCACCTCCAGAAGGCCCAAGTACCCTGCAACCCCAACTTCGACCCTACCATCCTCCTCGAGCGCTCCCGCAAGCGCCGCCGACTCTCTCCGGTGCCACCGCCGTCTGATACGGTCTCGATGGCGGGCGACGAGAAGAGGGGGAGGAGGACGGGACGTCGTGGCGGTAGTAAGCGGAAGGCGGCGGCCAAGGACGGGAAGAAGAAGAAGGGCAGCGGAAAGAAGGACAGCGGCAAGACGAAGAAGAAGACCACTCGTCGGCTCCGTGTTAAGATCCGGAAGGCGATGCGCACGCTTCAGGATCCGGCTCATCAGTTTCGCGGGTTGGAGGCGGCTGCTGCTGAGACTGTTGCGGCTAGTGAGGCGAATGAGGTTGATAACCCAGCGATGTGGGAGTCGGAGCGACCAAAGGGAGCAGATGCGCTGAAGATGTTTAGTCGCGGGCCTGATGCGGCGGCGGCGGCGGCGGCGGCGGCGGCTGCGAAGAACACTCTTACGGAGAGCACGATAAGTCCGTTTGGGGTTGGGTCACGCACGGGAGGACGGCCGCCGAGTTCAACAACTCAGAAGATGGCGGTCGCTGGCGCTGCTAAGGCGGCTCGGGCTACTCGTGGTACCGCTCGTGCTGCCAGCGGTAGCCAGGGGCGAGAACCAGCGTTCCCTTCTTTGCCGACGGCTCCTACCACGCCCTCTCGGTCTCGGTCACGGGCTTCCGACGAGGCTGCGGTGTCGTTGGTGAGCGGTGCACGCAGCGGTAAGCGAGCTAGGGCTGCTGCTGCTGGTGCCGCTACTACGGAGGGTTATTCCATGCGGGATCCGACCGGAGCAGCGTATCCGAATGGATATGGTGACGTCTCACCTACCCGGGGCTACGGAGTTGCCCAGCCCGAGTTCCCCTTGAGCGAATACCCCGATCCTGTTACCGACCACCAGGGAGAGCAGCAGCAGGTGTTTGAACAACAAAAACAGCAGGAGAACGAGGAGGGAGCACTGTCTTCACAAGACCACTACACGCCCTTCACCCGCACCTCCAACTACGACCGCATGACCAGCGACGCCAAGCGACGAACCGCGCAGGCCTTCGACATCATCCTCTACCTGCTAGCCAACACCAACGGCGTGTTCCCAGGCGACAAAGCCCTCTTCTACGCGCTAACCAAAGTATTCCTCATCGAATTCCGACGTCAGATGCCGCCCACCTGGAAAAACTGCACCAGCGCAGTCAAGGCACTCGAATCGCGCAAACTCGCCGCCGTGCACACGCACATGCTCAAGACCGAACGAGGCCGGCTCCAAACATGCACTCTGATCGTGGGGCACGGTGTCGACCCGAACGGACCCGCAGCAGCCGCGATGAAGCAATTGATGCGGGAGACCTACCCGGGCACGTACGTGCCACCGGCATTCTCACCAACGCAGGAAGAACTGCTGCGGCTGCAGGAATATGACACGAGGACGAACGAGCGGGACTTGATTGGGAAACCGAATGCTAATGGCCGCAAGTTCCGTAGTCGGCGGAAGATTGAGGAGATTGAGGTGTTTAATGCGACGTATTACAAGAACACGGCGCCGGTGGTTGGGCCAAGGCGGGATCCGCTTTGGATCAGGGAGACGGAGAGGTTGGTGGAGGAGGATGAGGATGAGGGTGAGGGCGAGGGCGATGAGTATGATGATGGTAGCCATGCTCGTCAGGTCGTTGGGCGCGGTCGGAGGAAGCGGAGGGCTAGGGAGGAGATTGGCGGTGGTTCTGCTACCAAGCGGGCGAGGACGGGGTACCAGGAGGATGAGTACTATTATAACGACGACGACATACCGGTCGATCCTAACATCATGGGCGAGATGGACCCGGCGGGGTATGCACAGGATCAAGAGCAAGCCGCACAGCAGCAGCAGGAAGAAGATCAACAGTGGCAGCAAGAAGAGGAAGGGCCTTCGGTTCTCGAAGCGATCAAGGCGTATAGTCTGCTGCCGGCGAAACTGGGCCCGCGCGCTGGGCGAAGGAGGCTCTCGCATTCTGACAAGCCGCTGGCCAAACTCCCCGCTGAGCTTGGGAGGGTCAGGAACCCGGGGCTGGGGAGTTTGCCCGAGGAGTTCTACTGGAGGCCGTCGGTTCCGTTTGGTGCTCCGGAGGTGTGTTTTCTGGGGCCGAATACTTGTTTGGAGGACGACGGGGAAGAAGGAATGGATGTGGACGAGGACGATCGTGAGGACCGGGAGAGTTCGGAGGATACTGGGGAGGATGTGAAAGCGGAGGAAGCGCCCGTGTCTCCCGAGGCAGCGAAGGGACCCAAGACGGCCGAATTCACCTGGCCAGTGGTACTTCAACAAGAGCCCGGCGGTCTGTGGCCGAACTGCACGCAGGGCTTCTTCGAAATCAACGACGGCAGCAGTTTCACCCTCCACGGCTGGATGCCCAGTCTCGCGTGGCTGCAGGCTCAGAACATCCCGACTAGTGTGCGAGACATGGTGGGAAGTCTAGTGTCCAACCAGCGGGACAACACAACCAAACCGCATGACTGGGCCGACGAAGACTACGCCAAGGTCTGCGGCGTACTCAACCAGTGCGCCGCTTGGGAACAGTCCCCAGCCGGCACGGCCATCATGCTCGGCCAGGCTTCCGTGGCCAATAGCAATCATGATTATTACGGCTACGACTACCGCCACTACAACTTCATCAACGTCTCTGCACCAAAATTCTCCATCGCCCCCTCACGACCCATGACGCTCGCCTGGTCAGACGACACACAGTACAACCTGGAAACCCTACCGTACGAAGACCTCGAAGACGACGACTACACCGATGTTGTGTTCCTCGATGACGATGACGACGCCGAACGGACTGGTGTCAGTCACCACACCAGAAACGGGGACATGGAAGGCCCATCGCCCCCCAAGAAGCGGCGCGTGCCGAAAGCACCACTGCCACCCGGAGAGCGGCGAAAACAAGGCCGACCGCCCAAGTTGAAGTTGGCGCCCATCAAGACGATGCGGGAGCTTACGGCGTATCCGAGGTCGGCGCAGGACTTTTTGAGGAAGGTGGATAATAATGCTGGAGAGGCTGGGGGAGAAGGAGAAGATGAGGATGGGTTGGATTGGTCGAGGGAGAATGTAAGGCTGGCGGCGTTTATTGTGGTGACGACTTTGTTGGGAGGTGTGGATCGGGTTGTGGATTGGGGGTTGATGTTGCGGCTTGTGCCGGATCAGACGTGAGTTTTTTTTTGTTTTGTTTTTTCTCGTGTTGCGATGTGGGAATGACCGGGTGTGTGTGAATACTGTTATGCTAACACCACACAGTATCAGCCAGCTCCGACACTACTGGTGCGCCCTCAAAAAAGACCGGCTCTCGACCATCGTGAGCCTGACGGAAAAGTTCCGCCGCGCGTTCCTACGTGCCTACGAGCGCGACGAGATTCCCCCCCTCGACTTCAACAACGTGCTGGCCTACGACTGGAAGTTCCTGATCAAGTGGACCACCAAGCTGGACCTGGCCGAGCGCCGCGTGCTCCCGGCCTCGCGCGCCGCCCTCGACAAGAAAGTCACCGTCACCAAGTTCACCCACGGCAACCGGCCCTGGCGCGAGGCCTTCTACCACCCGCAACGGTCCATCTTCAACAAGTTCCAGGACGTGACCTCCGAGCCGCTGTCCTTCCGGGTAGATGGCGATACTACTGACACTGTTGAGAAGAGCAACAACAACCCTCCCAATGGTCCAGCCGACCTAACCCCGCAAAACCCCGAACTAATCGTCGCCATGTCCTGGACGCGCTCCCTCTGCGTGACTCCCGTCGAAGCCTACACAGCCGACGCCGTACTCCACCAGCGCAACAGCCTATTCCCAACGCGTGCCAAAACCGAGATCACGGAACTTATGATGAAGGGCGTCGACCAACTACAGCGGCAAGGCGTCATCTCCAAATCATCCTCCAAATGGTCCAACGGCCGCCGCTGGCGCTTCAACACGCGCGTGCTCGACTCCATCGAGAAGTCGGCGCAGCAGCACAAGTTTGCCCAGGCGGCGCAGTTCAAGCGTGAGCTGGACGAGGCTTTTCGGGTTGCGGATCCGGCGCTGCGGAAGAAGAGGGTCACGTATATCACGAACGACGGCATGATCATGGCGTTGCTGAACTTGCAGGCAAACGGCCGCGTGCGGGTTGAGACTACGGGTCAGCCGCATGTGCCGATGGGCCATGAGCCGGGGAATTATGAGACGAGGAAGTATACGAAGAAGTATATGCATTTTCGGTTGGATGTGGTACCTACCGAGCGGTATCTCTTTGACGAGTACGACCCGGCCGAAGACCAAGCAGAAGAAGACCAATCCAACCCGGAGTCATCCTCCTCCTCCTCCAAACCTCACACCGCCAAAGACAGCATAGACAAATCATCCCTCACAACCCTCCGATCCCACCTCCGCACTCACCCCCCCCCCACCGTCGGCCCCTCAGGCGCCGTCCCAGTATGGTGCGACGTCTTCAACACAGTCCACCCGGCCCGCTGGCTCAAATACCTCAGCGCCGTGCTCATAACACTAGCCTCGCGCGGGTCGATGCGTGCGGCCGAGTTAGTCGCGACGCTGAAACCGGTGATTATGGAGTTTGAGGCGGAGTTGATTCTGGAGTGGCTGGGGGGTTTGGGGTTGGTGGTGGCTCAGGGACGGGGGATGGCCGGGGGGGTGGGGGAGTGGTGGTGGGTTGTTGTTGAGGTGCAACGGGAGGGGTTGGAGGGGGCGATGGGGGGTGGGAAGGAGGGGGTTTCTTCTTCTCGGGGGGTTGGGATTGGGGGTTGTGGGGATGAGAGTAATGGGAGGAATGGGGATGGGAATGGGATGGAGACGAGACAGAGAAAGGCACTGCCGTCTGGTCGGCCGGCTAGAGGGGGCAGAGGAGGAAGAGGGGGAAGAGGGGGAAGAGGGAGAGGAAGACGGGCGTGATACTTGGGAGTGTGAGAAAGGGACTGGACAGGAAAAGGAAACGGAGACGGAAAAGGAACGGAAACTGTTAGCTGGGCTTGGTTGGTCCGGTTGGATGAGGCGTTTGGTTGTGTTGGGCATAAGGTAACCGGTCAGTCATTGGAGTTTAGGCTTGGTTTGACTTGGAGTTTTGAGTTGTTTGCCGTTTTGCATCAGGCTCTGCATAATCAGAGTGGGAGGTATAGGGATCAGGACGGACGGGATACCACTGTATAGTACATGTATATTGCATCATGCGGCGTTGGAGCCTTGCCTTTGTGCAGTACCAATCACATGGGAAATTGATTGATTGATTACCCTTACACTGTTCATATTTCGTTCATATTGATTCATAGCAAGCTAGGATTCTAGGTGAACAAGAAGACAAAAAGAGATGTACTCGAGCCCTTCGAGAAGCTTCTCTTCTCTTCATTCACCTCGATTCCACTCCGACTGGGTGTTCTTCAATTACCCTGGGTATCTATCTCATCTCACCCACTACGACAGCATGACCTTGGCTATCACGGCCAGCAGCAGGATGGCAACAGCAGCGATCAGCCGGTCTAGCCATACCGTTGACTCGTCTATCGGGGCTTCTCGGTGGAGTTGTTGTAGTCCTGGAGTGTGAGTTGGTGATGGTGCTGTTCTTGGGGGGGCTGTGCTGCTCCCTGGTGTTGTTCCTGTTGTTCCTGCTGTCGTCGCTGCTGTACCTATTGTGGTCCCTGTTGTGCTCCCTGTGTCTGTTCTTGCTGGTGCTTGGCCAGCGGCAGACAATACCGGTGCCACTCCCACAGGAGCAGTCTGTACAAACCCCTCCGCCAACGCAGCACTCTCCTCATCTCCACTCTGTTCCTCCTCTTTCCCCTTCCCCTTCTCAATCTCCTTTCCCTTTCCCTTCCCCTCCATCTCATCCCTCCACCCCATCTTCAACTCCGCCGGCACCACCACCTCCTCTCCTCCCTTCTGCTCCGCACTCCCCCCCCACTCCCCCAAAATCTCCTCATTACTCCTTCCCCCCCCACAAACCCCACACCTCCACCCCCTACTCTCCCCGGCCAACCTCCTCCTCCCCGCCTCCCCCATCTCCAACCCACCCAACTGCCCCTTCACATCCGTCTCCATAAACGTCCGCAGCGCCACCAACGCCGTCCGAATCCCCCACGCCGGCTGCCACGTCTCTTCATGGTGTCCCGAAATAGAGAGACAGATCTCCCGGTTGGTTTCGAAGCGGCCCGAGGGAGTGGAGAAGCGGAAGGAGGGCGGGCGGAGAGGGTAGCTGGGGGGCAGGATGATGCGGCCGTGGTAGATGCCCGTGGAGAAGGGGGAGGAGGGGGGGCCGCGCAGGGTGAAGTGCCATTCGAAGAGGTTGGTGTCGAGCGGGGAGGCGTGGTAGTCGGGGGAGGGGGAGGTTGTGAGTTCGTGGGCTTCGCGGACTGGTGGAAAGAGAAGAAAAAAAGGTTAGTAGGGGGGTTGGTGATGGATAAGATGGGAGCCGGAGGGGGAACGTACGGATGCGGCGGATGGTGGGGGATTTGGAGTTGAATTTGGGCGTGGGCGTCGCCATGGTCGCTGCAGCGGACGGTCTGTAGATGAAATCAAGCAAGAGCACGGATGAAATAAAATAAAAAGTCGCTGGTATCGAGAGGTTAGTGATGGCTAAAAAACGCCGCGGAGGAGAGGGCAGCGTAGGCGCAAATGGAAATGTCCCGGTTGGAGTTGTCAACTTGTCAAGCTGTCAAAGTTTCCCTGGTGAAATGCGCGTTGGAGGGCCGCTTGGGCCGGTCGCGGCAGATGGCGAAAGGGCCAAGTTGCAACAAGGGTAGGACCCTGGCACCTGGAATCTGTGGGGGGCGGGTAATCCCTGGGGGCACAGCAGTGACGTAATCAGCAGGGAAAAATGGGTGGAAATTGTGAGATTTCTTTATTTCGAGGCACATTTTCATCCGGAGTACATTGGCTGTCAGGGACAGTCACCTGAGTGACTTCTTGGGCTTTGTTCTAGATTGCATTCCAAGACCGGCCCTCTCAACTGTTGCTGCAGGGTCTCCCGGAGATGTGGGGCCGAGAGGGGCCGAGAGGGGCCGTGCTTGGCGCCGGATTGAGACCCACATGCGGAGCTATCAAGGTGCTTCGGCCGGGCGTGACGTTCTGGGAAGCATGAAGCATAAAACTCATGTAGATGCAGGCCAGGATGTAGGTTGATGATAGGAACCCACTCCCGGTCGTAGCCAGGTCGAATGTCAAGTATGTCCGTCCAAATGCATGGTGAAATCGAACAACGGCTCACCTCAAACAAGCCCCTTGACAATGGCAGCACAATACTCCTTTTCTTTATGTCTTGTTGTGAATGTTGACCGCTCGTCACAGCATCGTATAGGTGATTTCTGGGCCGGATGCCCGTGGCCGGCTCCGGCGAATGTCACGGCCGGTGCTATTGTTTCATAGACCATCTCGGTCGTGCCTTCCATGAGAGATGCACGATGCCGCTTAGTCGTCAAACCCTAGGGCATCTCCGCCTGGAATCACAATTAGAATTTAAATTTTAAATCTTGTTGTCGCAGAAATCTTCTACCTGCTTGTTTCTTTACCTCCACCGTTGGGAGCGCCTAACAACCCGACCGTCGCCTCAATATCCTGTCCCTCACCTCTCGCCAAATATACCCAAATATACCAACCGACAGCATGGCTCGCCTTTGCGAGGAGTGCAAAGAGGAGGTGGAAAGCGGAGCGGCTCTCCGAATCCACTATAAAGAGCAGCGGGAGCTAGGCAACAAACATTACCATTGCCAGCCTTGCCTCAGGCTCTTCCACACCCCGGAGGGCGAGGAGAGCCATCGCCACGAGGTAAGATCCCTTAATCAAGAAAGCCAACCCGCATCATGCAATCCGCTCATCTAGGCTGACCTCCATCAGTTCCACGCGGCCGCGCAGCACCTCCGTTGCCCCGGTTGCGACGACCGATTCACCTCTGTCAGCTCCCTCATTGAGCACATTGAGAAGGACTTGTGCAAGGTCATCAAGAACCACGACTATGTCGCCCGTCGCGAGCACAAGCTGGCCTTTTCCAGGGAGCTGGAGCTCCGCAACACCGTTCCTACCGAGATGCTCGCTAGTCTTTCGCTGAAGGGTATCAACACGTCTAATCTCCGCCTCGACAATAAGAAGCACTATGATTACACGCCGTACCTTTCCCGAGTTAAGGCCGTTAGCGCCAGCAATTCCAAGGTCGAGCCCCTCGGACAAGAGCAAAAGGAAGAAGACTCGAAGTCGGGAACCGGTGTTACTTCCGCTGCGATCAACTCGGCCGATTTCCCTGAGCCTCCGGGCCAAAAGAATGGCGCGTCTGTAGCCGGTGGCGATGCCAGCGTCAAGCCAGTTAACCAGACCGCTACGGCTTGGGACCAGAAGAAGAATCTCTTTCCCGACGCCCCTGCTCCGGTCCGCCTGACCGAGATAGAGGATCGCCAGCGCTTGGAGGACAACAAGCCCGCGTGGTCGGAGCATGATCCACGCAATCCGGGATGGAAGGCAGAGAAATACTTTGTCAAGTGCCTGAACAAGTACAAATGCCCGCACGACCGCTGCCCGTAAGTTTTATTACAGAAAATGCCATGATCAACAAAACGACTAAGCCGTGTACAGCAAGTCATTCAAGAACGCAGCCGGCTTCCGCACCCACCTCAGCTCGGCAGTCCACACCGGCCTAATCAGAGTCCAATGCCCCCGCTGCTGCCGCTGGTTCGACACCATGACGGCGCTGACGGCGCACGTCGAGTCCCAGGGCATCCGCTGCGACATCCATAAGACCAAGGGCTACGCCGAGTTCCTCGACCAGGCCACGGCCGGCATCGTCGACCTGGCCGGCGTGCACGCAGACGGCACCAACAAGTACGCTGTTACCGAGTCGTCTCGCAAGTTCTTTGGTTCGGAGAAGGGCTCGCAGAATAGCGGGGACAACTGGGATAACTGGGAAGAGGAGGTGTGGGATAATGAGTGGCGCTAGCCGTGACGCCGGGGCTTAGACTGCCCGGTATAGGATGGCCATGCTTCGGGACTGAACTTGTGAGATGGGGGCGATATGGAGACCATGTAGGAACGCACCAGATGATGGGCGTAGAGTTTCCTGTGTAGGCATATTTTGGGCAGTCCCCCATTCAATGTTGAATACTACTACTCGGTAGGAGTAATATCAACAACGCATCTTGAAATTTGTAAAATCTCCTCTCAAAAAAGCAAGTTCACGTCTAGAATTATTGGTCCCGTGCGATCCAACATGGAAGATCTTCCCCCTGTCTTTGGTCGTCTTCAGGGGCGATTCCTCAGCCGTTGGAGGCTTTACAGGGGCTTATTTCCAAATATGGTCCGAGCTCCCTGGGGACGCAGGCATCTCCCTGTCCGGGGCGCAGCCCCATTGGCCGCGTATTGAACCCCTGAAGCGCGGTTTGGGGAAGTTTGGGTTCCGCGGTGCTGGGATTTCTGCAAGCACGTTCGAACTTCATCCTCTTTTTTTTCTAGGTAACTAACCTTGCACATTCCACAATCCCCGGGAAGGCATCATCGACGACAATGGACCGGTAACTCGCCGACCCTGTGCACTGACCACCCGACCGACTACCTGAGACGGTGCTACCTCCGGCCGACTGATGGATGGAACCTCGCCGTCGCGTCCCGGTCATCCCGAATCCTCCCCGTTCCTCTCGTCGGACCCGAACCACCCGTCATCTTCTTTAGCTCACCCTTTCGATTCTTCTTCTTCTTCGTCCCCGACCTCCGCTTCCACGACCATGGGGTGTATACGCCGTTGGGCACGCCGCATAGAGCGCTCCTGTTGCACGTGTGCCAAGTACTTTCCGCTTGTCTTCGTCTACGGCCTGACCTCGTGGGCTGCTTATGTGCTGGTGGTGCTCTGCTCGAGACCGTCGAAGGTGTCCTGGCTGGGTACGCTCGTTTTGGTCCTTTTTTTCTCTCCTTTAATAAAAGCAAAACTTATGTTCATGTGCTGACCTTCTCTCCGTCCAGGGACCCCCGCAGGCACCTTTGGCGTTGCCCTCTACTTGCTCCTCAACTGGTGCTACACGACCGCCGTCTTCACACCCCCCGGCAGCACCACCAACGACCATGGCTACAGCACGCTCCCGATGCACGCCATGCCGTCAGCCACATCGTTCACCGCCAAGTCCAACGGCGAGCTGCGCTTCTGCAAAAAGTGCCAGGCCCGCAAGCCCGACCGCGCACACCACTGCTCGACCTGCCGCCGCTGCGTGCTCAAGATGGACCACCACTGCCCGTGGCTGGCCACCTGCGTCGGCCTGCGCAACCACAAGGCCTTCTTGCTCTTCCTCATCTATACCTCCCTCTACTGCATCTACTGCTTCGCCGCGTCCGGAGCCTGGGTGTGGGTCGAGATCTTCGAGACCAACACAGGCCCCACAGAGAGCCTCATGCCTGTTAACTACATCATGCTGAGCATCGTCTCCGGCATCATCGGGATCGTTATCAGCGTCTTTTGCGGCTGGCACATCTACCTCGCCTCCAAGGGCCAGACCACCATCGAGTGCCTCGAAAAGACCCGCTACCTCTCCCCGCTACGCCGCTCCATGCACCAGACCTACATCAACCAACACACCCCAGGACAGGGCGTCAACCTGCCATCATACGGCCAGCAGCTCCTCGACCTCCACCAAAACGCCATCCCAGGGGTCACTCGCCCCGAAGAAGGCGAGGAACTCCGCCCGGAACCCTCACATACCCCGCGAACCCACGATTTCGAGATCGACAACGCACCAGGGGGCAGCACCGTCGGCCCCGCGCTCCAAGCCGGCTCGCGCCGCTTCACTCCGTCCGAAATGGAACGCAACCGCGCCCGCCAGCGCTACGAGGAGTATCTCGACGAGCAGGACTCGACGCGTTTGCCCAACGCCTTTGACCTTGGCGCGCGCCGTAACCTGTTGCATCTGTTTGGGCACAACGCGTGGCTCTGGCCCGTCCCGATCTGCACCACCACAGGCGACGGCTGGAGCTGGGAACCGAACCCGCGCTGGGTGGAAGCGCGCGAGCGGCTGGCGCGGGACCGTGCAGCGCAGGCTGAGAGGGAGAGGGCGGCGGGATGGGGTGGAGGTGGGGATGATGAGGACGAGGACGATGATGTGCCCGATAGCCAGGCTTTGTTGGGCGGTGGTAGCGGCGTTCGTGGGGGGGCCGGTCGACACTATCTACAGTCACAACCGCCTCGTTCGGTCCCACTGAACCGTACCTCGTCCCCGCTGGGTTCGTCTGGTCTAGCGGGGAGTGGTGGGACTGGTGCTGGACGGAGGGCACCGAGCAAGGCAGACCGGATTCTGGGGCGGGATCCGAATACGTATTCGGATAGTCGACCTGGTGGGGGGAGTGGTGCTGGGGAATCGGTATCGCTGAGGAGGTTGAATCCGGCGACAGGGAAGACGATTGAGGAGGAGTTGGAGGAGATTGATCGGGAGGAGGAAGAGGAGGAGGAGGAACGGGCGCGGTTGGCGTCGGTATCGAAAGCACAATCACAGCCGCCATTACAGCCTCAACAGCGACAACAACAACAATCCCAACAACAAAAGCCGCCCCAAACTCAATCCCAATCCCAACAACAACCAACTCCACCTAAAGCGAAAACAACACAACCCTCACAACAACAACAACAACAACAACAACAACAACAACAACAACAACAACGTCAACCCCCCCTCCACCGCACAACCAACCTAAATCTATCCGTCACTTCCAACCCCCGCTGGGGCCGCTCTCCTAGTCCCGGATCGGCCGCAAGCGCCTTGTTACGCGGGCCTGTGTCGCCTGCTTTGTCGTCGCCTGGTGGGGTGCGGTCGCCTGTTGTGGGTGCTGTGGGGGCTGGGAATGTGGTGAGGGGGAAGAGTCCTGCTAGGGATGGGAAGGGGGTGGATAGTAATGGGGGGGATGAGGAGGAGGAGGAGGGTGAGGAGGATGGGGATGAGAGCGAGGAGGAGGGGGAGGATGATGATGAAGATGAGGAGGATGAGGATGGGGTTGATTGATTGATTGATTGATTGATCGATTGGTTGGCTGATTGATTGATTGATGGTAATTGATAGAGGGGGGGGGTGGTTGTACATTCCGGTGTTGTCACCTCTAGTACATACTAGCGTTGTTGATAAAGCAGGTGCATGTTTAGCCCATGATAGGGGGCGGTTGGTCTAGTTTCTTGGGCTATTCGGGCTGTTACCTACGACTAGGAGATTAGGCTGCTACGTCTAGACTAGGACGCAGCGGGTATATTCTGGGAGGTGAGACTTTAGAGATGACATGATATCATATGAGTATTGCTCTTAAGCAAGCAAGCGATGTGATTGTTTGGTTGTTTGTTTATTTGCTAGTGTTAGGTTTTATTCTTCGGTGTTCCTCAGGTTTGCTTAGGGATAAGATAGCGTGTAGAAAAATAAAGATAAATGGAAAGGATATAGAACAGTGATCTGAGATTCTGGGAGTGAATATAGTTTTGTCAGTCGGTAAAGATCAATTATACGAGATTCTTGCCCTGGAAACTAGGTAGATGGACCTTATCCATCACGGCATCTTCTACGGCTGCTCAAGCCGCGTGCGTGATAAGGGCATTTCATCCTTTGCCGGTACGGGACATAACGGTATAAATATTCGGAATGGCATAGCAACAACCCACCCACCAACAGGGCTTTCGGTATCCTCATCCATGTTCAGACACAGACAACACTATATAGCACAAGAGTTTTTTCGCCCACGTTAGGTATGTATGTACAGAGGGCTGGGTGCGTACCAGGTGTGTGAACGGACCTGTTCATCGAATTGTTTGACTCGATAAGGCTGGGTAACCTGTTCTCTGATGGGCAAGTAGGTATGGTGTTGAGGCGGCACGCATAGAATGGGGAGAACTCCACGAACGAGCGAGGAGATCCCACCGTATCATATCACACCAGTCACAACTTACACGCTCACATACACAAGTGATGAGATGGAGAAATATCTGTAATACAACTCAACACAAGCTTAGTCTACATGCTGCTACTCGTATTAATGAGCCTGCCAAACAACACGCTTACAATAACCCCCTTGGCCCGTGTCTACAGAAGTAACCGGATGGGCAGATCGCGCGCAAGGATGGGGGGTGTAAACACGGCTGGGCAGGATATGGAATAAAAAGCACTACGCGTCGGAGTAACAGCACAGATGCCCGCCGTTGCCTATTGATTCATGGACAGGCACGAAAAGGCAGGTGGATAGGCGGGTAATCATCCACAACAATACGACATTGATTCACCGATGACAACAGCAGGCACATCACGAAAAAGGTCAAGTTCAACAGGCCGGTTCGAATTTCGCCCTACTCATAGAGCCGTGGTAACCCACATCAGAGAAAAGAAGAAGAAAAAAAAGAAGAAACCCAAAACATGAGCTGGCTGGCTGGTAGTGGATAAAATAATACTAGGGGTAAAAAGCTTAGGTATCGATCAAAAGCAATCGCAATCTCCTGCTGACTCGCAGCTCAAGAAAGGACAGAATAAGAAGCGAAGTGAAGTGAAGAAGTAGATGAAGAAATGAAACACAAGACTGGATGGATGAGGTAAAAAACAAACAAATCGAACCAGCCAACGTTGAACGTAGAAAAAAGAACAACAACAAATATGCCGACAATTGGGCCACCATCTTTCCTTGCCCATTCCTTCGCCATCTCGCCTAGCTTGTTGTTCAATGCACACCCAACCACCCACCCATGCATCCATGCATCCATGCATCTCGAAACCCAAACCCGAGAGATAAGGAAAAAGGAAATAGAAAACAAATCCCATTTCTTTCCCATCTCCGCCCAATGCAACTTTCCATCCCATGCCATCTCAAATCCTGAACCCATGCCAACTGGGCAAAGAAAAGTGTGAATTGTCCCTGTTTTTCCTACCCCTCGACCCAAATGCTGATCGATTTGATCGTGTATGCTCCCTTGTGCTTCGGGCCCTCGTCCTGGCCTATCTCGAATTTTTTTTCGTCCGTGTGACTGTAGAAACCCTCTTTTGCTGGGCGACGGTGTAATGTGTCGTGTGTCGTCCGGTCCAGGCCTATCGTGGCTCGAGTCCCCACCATGTCCCTTTCTTTTATTGTCTCGCAGAATCAACATGGTAGGGGCAAAAAAAGAAAGAAAAATGACAAAAACAACTCGAATGATGAGAGTTGATGAGTTGAGTGAGTGGAGAGAATTGAAGAAGAGGGAGGAAAAAAACAGAACAAAAAGATAAAACGCAACCAGGCAAATGGTTTTTTTTCTTGCTTCTGTCCCTGTCTATAAACAATGAACCCCAACCCCGTTTTTGCGCCGATTCGTAAATGTGTAAAGTAATGCCTCGCAATGCGGGTATCAAAATGTGGACAACTGGTATCAAGCAGATTCTGCCCCGGTCGGGTCGCCAGGACAAGTCGACGACGGCGCATGGATGATGACGACGATGATGACGATGATGACGACGATGCAAATGTTTCACTCGAGATCCCCTCGGTAAATGCTCACGCCCGTCCCACACCGAACAAGGAAACCAGACCCCAAGACGATAACGACAACTGGGGAAAATGAGAATAACAACGCCTTCGGTGATGAATGACAAAGGGAAATAGGTATCTGAAAGACGCTCAAGTTCAACCCGTGGCACGCTCCCCACGCTCACCCACCCATCATTTGGAATGAGAGGAGACGGTAATGCTCGCCGGCGTGGCTCGAAATGGTGCGTGTAAATGGGTGCTGAAACTGTGAACAAGAAAAACAGGAAAATGGCGAGAAACTGCAAGATATGGTGTTGGTACATGCGTGCCCATAAAAAAAGCACTTCCTCCCACTTGCAACCAAGAGTATTCGTACAGATGATATCTGAAGAGGCAGAGACGGAAAAGACCGCCGGTCAAGCGGTGCGGCCGCTTTCTAAGCTGGATTTCGGGCTCGAATTGGTAAACACATTTCGACCCAGGTTGCTGATGTTCTTGAGCTTGTTGTTGGCGTTCTTGGGCACATCCTCCGGGTACGACACCATGATGTCGGTGACGGGGCCTTTCTTGATCCTGCAGAACAGGGCGGCAAACTCGAAGAAGTCGCCGTGGTCGTCGAGCAGCCGGATGGTGCGGTAGCCTTGCTTGAAGTTGCAGAGCTTCCCGGTGAAGGTCGCGCTGTGAGGCGCCTTGTCGTTGTATCCGCCCTTGTCGGCGAACCGGACAGCGAACTGCACAAAGATCAAGTCGGGGTACTTGGTGGTCACGTCAAATGTGAAGGTGTCGTTGAACTGCGGGTTGAACCCGTTGTCGCGCACGATCTTGGTCCGCTGCTTCAGCTGCATCTGCTGGCCGGTGGCGGACACTGCGACGCCGCCCTTGTTCCGCTTGTCGTCCGCCATCATCACCTCGACCTGGATGTACGGGTCCATGGTGCGCTTCCCGCTGAGATTGGTGGGGCGCATCAGCTGCTGGGCCGAGATGATCTCGATCTCGAACGAGACCTGTTTCCGCGGCCGCTTGCCCATGCACTCATCCGGACTCAGGTTCGGCATCACTTGGATCTGGCGGCCCTCGAGCGGCTTCAGGACGTAACCCGACTCGGCGGTGCCGCCCTCAAACATGGCCCGGTTCAGCTGCATGCCCGTGTCGAAGGTCTGCCAGTTCAGCGCCGCCATTTGCACGCCGCGCTTCCAGTAGATGAGCGGGTTGAAGTTGGAGGACTGAATGCGCTGGCCGTCGGGGTAGACACGCATCAGATAGCGCATGTTGTGCCGGTACAGCGCCCGCTTCTCCTCGGACGGCTGGTTCTTCTCGGCAAACGTCTTCTCCTTGAACGAGAAAATGTGGTTGAACCTCTTGGCGTCGGGACTATCGAAGCCGTCGAAGTGGATGCCCATGCAGTAGACGCCCAACTCGCCCAGGACGGGGTGGATCTTGCTCTGGGGCCGTTTCACGGCACCGATGTCGCTCTCGCTATCGCACTCGCTCGGGCCGCTGCTGGCGGGTTCATGGACCAGGCCCTCAGTGATGGTGTTGATCTGCCGGTTCGATCTCGACGTCAAAGCCGGGCTCAAGAGCGGGCTCGAGGGCACTGGGACCGGCATCGAGTCCAGGGTCATGGAACGTTGGTACGGAGTCGGCATGCTGTTGCCACGGCGCCGTCCCATGGGCCGTTCGAGACCCTTGCTACCCTCGTTCGCCTTCTTCACCTTGATGAGAATGCGGTCCATCAACTCAGACGGCGAGGGCAGGCGGTCCGAGGTCGGGTCCAGAGGTGCTCGCACAAGCTTGTCACCAAACGTATCGATCATGATCTTGGCCATGTTGATCTGCGTGTTTTGGCTGCAGCGCACTTCCAGCGAGATCCAAAGCGGGAAGTGAGACGTGGAGAACGCATAATTGTTGATCGTGTTGATGACCTCTTGGAACGAGATTCTTGTCGTCAGCGCGTGGCCGTGGGTGACGACTGGCTGGTTGTTTTCGCCGTCCCAGCAGTCGACCTCCACACACCGGCAGCCCCCCTTCAGCGCGGCAATGTACCCTTCGGTGCTCGAGACGCCCCCAACCTGGCGCCCAATTAGGTAGGTGTTGTGGGAGCTGGAGATATAGTATTCGTTCAACGGTCGGTCCAACACGTACTCCCGGAACTGCCTGGGAATCGCGCCGTTGTGTGCCGAGGTGAGGTAGGCGGTAAAGGAGGCTTCAGACATGGTCAGTTCCTCCTCGCCTGCGGGCTCCTGCTTGTCGGTACCCCTCGGCCGCCCCTTGCGGGCAAACCCGGTGAAGATGTCGTCCCAGATCGCGAGGTCATCATCAATGTTTTCCTGCTGCGCTTCGCGCAAGAAGCGGAAAAACTCAGCCTTGGTCATCTTGTTCGCGCCAGTTCTCGTGTGGGCACGGAAGACGGTCCGGGAGTCGCTCCGGGCCACGATCAACCGCATGAATTCGACAAATTCGTCGAAGTTGAGACGAGAGTCGGGCTGCGGGCTGCCGGGCACGTCGTCCAAACTCGAGCGGGTGCCCCGAACCAGGTTGAACTTGGCTTGTACTTCCTCGCTGGACGCATGGATGAAGAGGCTGCGGCACAGGCGCTCGGCGTCGGCGAGATCGATATGCTCATCCTCAGCAGAGCGCATGCGTCCCAGCTGCCTCTCCATCTCCATTCGCCACCAGGTCCGCATGGCCTTGTTGTCCAACGACATCAGCTTGGCCGCAAACAGCTGACGCTGCTTGGGGATTGTGTCGAGTGCTTCGATCCAGAGCTGGAAGGACTCGTCGTTCTGGGCGATGAGGTGGAGCACCTTCGTGCTGGTCTTGCCCGGGGGCATGTAAATGATGGTGAAAAACCGGGGCTCGACGGATTCGAGAAGCCCGGCGTCGAGTCTGTATTGCCGGATGTCGGGGGCCTTACGGACCTCCACAACATCGTCGATGTTGAAGTACTTGTTCCGACCCCACCGGACGGAGGCCGTGTCGAGATCGAAAGACAGGGTGATTTGTTTGGTGTTCTTGTTTTTGGCAACCTTGGCCAGAGTTGTGCCTTGGCGGATGGCCAGCGGTATGAGGCCCAGACTGCTAGACGAGTTCAACGAGGCAGAACCGGTGTCCGGTAGTGTCCTGTCGGTACGATCATCTGCAGAGAAGGTGAATTCATCGTCGTCGCTGTCAAATGTGCTGACGGCCTCATAGGGTGTGTTTGGGTTGCTCATGCTGCCGCGCCGGCGGATCACACCGGGCCCCACGCTCCCATCCCGGCTGGTGGGATGTGTCGAGGAGGGTCGCCTCGCTACCAAACCAGTGGCCCGCCGGATCGTGTTGGAAGCGCGCCGGACGATGCTCATCTTCATGGCCTCGCCCATGGCACTTGTCCCGGGAGTCTTATGGCCTGACTGACCAGGCTGAACTGGTTGACCTGGCTGGCTTGGCTGACCTGGTTGGCTCTGTTGACTAGGTTGGCTCAGTTGACCTGGTTGACCTGGTTGACCTGGTTGACCCGGTTGGCCGAGCGAGGTGCTGCTGGTCCTCCTCGACAGGAGGGTAACGGCGGGCTCAGTTGGCTGCTTGGCGTTGACCGCCTCGGGAAGACGAAAAGGGGGGCCTAACGGATCGAGGTCTTCGAGCTCCTTCTCATAGCAAGTGTCGAGAAACTCGGGCGAAGCTTGGAGGGAGCTCCCGGTAGTAGCAGCCGTCCCAACGGTCTCTACCGACTGGGCCGGCGAGCCACGCAGCGAAGCAGTCGAGAGGGACGAGTTGCTGACGGCCGAGGGTGGTATGACCACGAGTTGTGTCTGTGGTACCAAGTCTGTCTTGACTTGGCCGGGACGCGCCCGCCGCGCCTGGATGGACTCGGGCACCATGGCTGAAAGCGCTGATGGCAATAATGAACGAGGAATCAAGTCAACTGTGGTCGTCATGGCGTCCGCAGACACAAAAATAGTGAAGAGAAAGAAAGATAAAGGTCCTCTTGAAAAAAAAAGGTGAAAGTCGTGTCACGTTCGACCCGTTCGGATGGGGCTAGGGGAGGTCCGGTTCCGTAGTGGAGCGCCCTATGCGGCTCAGAGGAGAGAAGACAGCTGTTGAAGATTATATGGGACGAAGCGCTATCGGCCGCATCTTTCGAGTAGCTGTTGGGTTGTCTGGGACTTCCTTTCTGGTGATCTGAGGTGCGGGGAAGATATAGACGAGCCTATGAGTCCGGCAGAGGCGGGTCCTTGGGGGGGTATGTATGGGTAGACAGGTGTCCGTCTTTGAAGGAAATGGACAACAAGTGGGCAGCCGGCCGGGGCTGGGTGCTTGTTGGCTGGGTCCTAAGTCCAGGGTGCTGAGCGCTGGGCACTGGGCGGACAAGACGCAGGGCGATGGATGATGACCAGCAGGCCTAGTCAACGCGAGATCAGCAAGCAGCAGCAGCACGAAAGTGCAGCAGTGCGGCGGCGCAACAGGGGCGTAACCGAACCAGTCGGCCTGTCGTCGTGCAGCAGGGAGTATCTGCGGGTACAGGTACGAAGGACGACCCAGGTACCGGCATGTACGACTTGATGCGTCGAATTCCTGGGGGGGCAGAATGGGCGTCCGGAGTGGCCCGTGTGGTGACCGCCCGGGTCGCTCACGGCAGGAAGATGAGGTGGCAGGCCGTATGCAAGTGGCTGTTTAGGGCACTCGCATTCCCAGGGTGCCGGTTCTGGTACCTCGGGAGGTCCACAAAAAAATGGACACAGAGTGACCACAACCTCGTCCGTCCGAAGATCGAGCTAGAAGGCGGCGAAGAGAAAGTCAAGGCCCAACAGGCGCCGCCCGCGGGATCGAGGAGAATCGAGAGAAATGGGGGGAGAAAGGGAGTAAAGGAGGTGGAACGGGAGGGCGACGAGTCCTAGTTGCCGAGTATGTGCCCGGCGCCGGCGTTGCGCTGCGCTGCGATGCGATGCGCCGCGTTGCCGGCCGTCTCTGGGGTTTCGCGGGGCGCCTTCGAGGTGCAGCGGCCTGCCGGGTAGCTGCGTTTCGCTTGGCGAGACAACCGAACAATGATTGAATAATTCGAATTCCGTGCTGTCGATTTCGGGGTATGTTGCTGCAGCCCTGCTGATGGTGCGCGCCAGCCCGTCTATGGCTCGCGAGAGTGGGCAAAGACAGAAAATGCTGGGTGGGGGGAATCGAACAGATGGATGGATGGGACTAAAAGAGAAAAATTGTGAAAGGAAGTTGGTTGCGTTTAAATTTGCGGCTGGCGCAAATTTCGATCCCAAGTTACGCGGAGTCCCCCGTCGTGCTTCGGAGTGTCGGCGGTTGTCGACGGTTGCCGATAACAGTGGTGATGGCCGCCGGCCGGGGGATGATGCGATGCCTCGATGACTCGGCGGCTACGGGGGCCGTGGGTGAAGCTGGGTGAAGCTGCCGGATGTGGACGAGGGCCGCAGCAGGTCCGGCCACGATCACGACAGGACGGCAGAAAAACAATGATGGATGGCCAATGCTGCGGTATGTTCCTGGCCGACGTTGTTATGGGCGTGTGCCTATGTCCAGATGCAGGAATAATGTGCTTTGTTGGTGTGTTGCGGATGCACAGTCGCTTGGTGGTCGAAAAGGGGGGGAGCTCGATTTCCAGGGTGATGCGTGCGTCGGCTGGCAAACTTTATTTCAGGGCTGTTATGGTGGAGGGCAGCGGGTCTTTTTGTCTCACCGCGCTCCCAGAATGCAAGACCCGGAAATAATTGGCAGCCTGGACGACGGTGTGGGCGCTGCGGGAATCATGGCTAGGACAAGGGCGGTTGGGGCGCTTGGTGCGAGGGTGATCGTCGACAGGAGGACAACGGCCAGGGACGAAGGTGAAAATTGTGTCATCAGTACCTATTATTATAGGGGTTGTACGTACCTAACGGCAGAGTATTGCCGTCACCACGACCAACAGGCCAAAGAGGTGCTGGGGGGTCTTGGCATCCCGGTGAGGCAAACGCTTGGGCATTTAAGTGCAGTACCTGTATCCATACAGAATAGCCTACGTACAGTGTTTCCAAGGTTCCGCCCAAGCCCGAAGACTGGACGGACGGGAATCCGTCGTTTGGTTCGTTGGACCTTTGGCTGTTGGGCTTGCTGGACTCGTGGGCTGACTGGTTTGACCCCCTGCGCCCCCCTTCCATCTCCCGAGCTCTGCCTTCTTTTCCATCACCCCGTTTCCGTCCTCCCTCAGATCCCAAAAATCCTTTCCTTTCGGGGAAGTGCGACTGCTGAGCTTTCAACCAAGGCGGAGCCTTTCAGGCAAGTGGACAGAAACAAGTGGGGTGCCGGTCCTTCACCGCACCTTCCAACCTCACTCTCATATTCTCTGGAATACATGTTATGACGACCCAGCCGTAACGTGCCGTAACGGTTTGTTTCACATCAGCAAGTCCAGTCCATTCCGGACATCGCCTTGCTTCCCAGCTGGCCACATGAACATGAGCCAGACAGACGGGACCACCGTGGACTTCGTAGTGTACAGGATACCCGCAGGACCTGTTGTAAGGCCTCTCCCCCCTATCCGATGGGCATATGAGGCCCGCTCCGTGCTGATCGGGTGATTCGGCCTGATGAGGTACCTTTTGTCCAGCAGCTCCCGTTCGCAGGTACACATTGGGCCCGCTGAGGGCGTCCGGGACGCAGTACTGTTGCAAAATCCTAACCCGAAAGTAGTGGGCACCAATCGGCGGAACTGTGGTGCCAGCACCACGTCGGCAGCAGTTCCAATGGCTCCCCGGCGCCTCCCCGAGATGGCCCAGCTTCGTTCATGGGCAGCGGGTGAGGTCAGACCGACCGGATCGGGCAAGTCAGGGCCAAGCCAGGGCGAAAAAAAATGGATGGTTTGTGTAACCATATGTAATTACCCCGTACCAATACCAATACGACGCTGCGTCTAGGTTCCACTCGCTGAGATGTCCCAGTTGGAGCTGAGTCTGTATCAGTCCGTTCTTGCTCAGTTTCCACCTCGCCAACGGGAAAGACGGCTGGGGATGGGGCAGGCGCAAATAGGGACTGGGGGACGGGATGAGATCATGGCAGGTGGGGTCGAGCCCGGAGTCATCGTCTGTCTGTCACGGGAATTCCGCATCGAGCCTGCCTAATTCGGACATCTCGGAATGTCTTGGGCTGCTTGTCTTGCAGGAGCGACCAACTCAGTGGGGGTCCGGTTCGACACGTTGAGCGTTCCAGTAAGTTGAGCTCCTTGAAAAGATGAAAAATTGCAGGAATGGACATTGGTCGAGGGAGGTGAAATGGGAAGAATAACCTGGAAGGCTCAGCATGGAATCGGGTCGAATTCTTTCCGTCGTGTATGTACTGTGGAATAAGTTTGGGAGCCAAGCAAACGGTTAACGAGGTGGTACCCAACCCACATCAAGGAGCTGCGGATGCTCGGCTGTTCCGTTCCTGCGGGAGGTTAACTTTACATAGAAACATTCTCGGGCATGGGTACGTACAAACTTGCCTCTTGCAACGTAAAACAAAACCCCGAGGTAAAGGTGGAGGGGATGGCCCTAGCATCTGCCAAAAAAGAATGCCAACCCAGCAATTTTCTTTGGTTTGGCCGAATTTTGTATCCCATGTTTCTGTCCCCCCGTTGCGGCAGCTCGGCAGGCGTTCCTGGTACTGCTGTACCTCAGCTGCGCTCTGGCGGGCCACAGGAACAAGGGGAGCGAGCGGATCCAAGCAGTTGGGTGGGATGTCGTTTGTTTCCAACGACAGAATTTCGATGGCGCCCACATGGCTCTACCCCCCCTTCCCAAACCCCATCCCACGACATCAAGGAATCATCAGCCGCTTGTGCCGGAGAGCCGGCCTCGGAAAGCGTTCAATGTCAGTGCATAATGGTCAGCCACTTCCGCCAGTCTATGAATAACACCGGCAAATCCTTCGGGAACACGCCAATCTAGAAATTACCGCGTATCTTACACACAATACAGTAACCTAACAGGTTTAAGTTTCATTTGAGGGATCGAGTGCGGCAATCGCTCGATTTCCCCTCGGGCAAATTTTTAGACTGGGGGTGAGAACCCGGTAGCACGGCTCGCTTGTAAACCTGGACATCAAGAACGAAGCACCGCACCGAGTGGAGGGCGGGATGTGTCCCGTGTAATCCGTACACAGTATTGGAGACTTCGTACCATTTCCGTAAGGGTAACGTTAACGCTGACGTTGCATCTTCGATCCATGTTCACAGCCCGCTGAGAAGCACAACGAATTTATTTTTTTCTTGCCCTTACTTCAACCGCTGCTCCGAGGTTGGTCAAAAATCAAGGAAGCCCGGGTTCACGCCCCACCCGCAGGTAACTCGTTTGTTACAAAACAAATAACAATGGTCCTTCATCTGCCTCTCCATTTCCGTTCGCCGAATAGAAAGGGGAAAAAATTGCAAGCTAGGGCCTTCCTATCGATCTATTCGAAAGCACTCGCTGGCAGAGGCGGGGGGTGGGATCGTTCAGAAAGCTTCCAAGTTCAGCGCTTCGCCGGCGTGCCAAGAAGCCCTCTCTCGAGTTCTGCCCTTGCCAGCGCAGCGCAAAGCACACAATCGGGGCGATGCACAGCATCCAGTTGCGTCAACCCTTCATTTTACACTACACTAGGAGGCTCATCAACCCCAACCCCAGCATCGGATGCCCCACGGTGATCCGTTTGAGATGCCAGGACTGCCCGCTTGTTTTGAGAAAATCATCCAAGATGAAGATCGCTCGATTTAGCTCCCCCATGGCCCGCCTCCAAGCAAACTGCCTGTCTGTTTTCCAGGTCGCCCACGGCCTGACCGCCTGGCGGAATGTGGGCACCATCTCCCACCGGACCGCGTCTTGATTGGGGCCCTCGAGTTCCGGGCAGCTTGGTGCTCAGCGCCGCG